AGGAAAGGAAAAAACGGAGGCATTTTTCGAGATTTAATCCTGTGAGCCCACGGCCAGACACGAAAAATAACACGCTGGCAGGCGAGGGGACCGCCAGAGGGTGGATATCATGCCATCGTCTTAAGAGTTGCACTATGGCTTGCTCTGCTTTCTTCAGGATCAACCCTTGAACTTGGCCCTTGTCCGGCCCAAAAACTTTATACGGCCAGTAGACGACCGTCTATCAGGAGCCGGTGTACTCCATATCCCGTAAAATAGACGAACAGGCCGGACATGAAGGCATAAAAAGGGCGGACATGCTATGAATAGCAAGTACTCCGTAACAAGCCTGTTGTGCGATCCTCCCTTACTGCCAAAGGAAGAGTGGAGGACAGCGAATTTGATATATGTCCTTCGCTTTCGTATCACCAAAACCGACAACCGCCATACCGGACTTCTGCAACAAGGCGATAGAGTTGACCAGGACATGGATAACTCAGGGCTGCAGCATATGAAAAGAAAAGGAATATGCTATGCTACAGCCATGCTGATAGGCCCTCCCACGGGCTTTCATGAGGGGCGATCAACACGAGCCTGGCTGGCCGCTAAAGTCCAAGATGGGGGACGGAAGCATGATCAAAAGTTCGGGGATGTTTCTGCGGAATCTCCGGTTTGACCACCGCTGACAGCCTGGCGGAGCGAGTCATACTAGTGCTCTGCCACCGAGATATCCACGGCTTGCCCATATTAGCCCTGCTGGTATTATTGACCGGGGTAGTGGCTGCTTTTCTCCCCCTTCCACTTCTCTCGCCTCTGGCTCTGGCGGTGGAGTTGACTTTTTTTGGCTAGCGAGTGAGATCTTTCGCATCCCCTTGTCCCCTTGATGTCGACCACAGAAGACGCAGAAGACGCAGAAGACGAAGCAGCAGCAGAGCAAACAAGGATCGCCTCTGCTAATACTATCCTTTTCAAACGCTATCATTGTTCTCTTAATTGCTTGTCTTTCCTTTTCTTTTTTTATCCTTCGCCGTCTCCTCCGCGCTGCTGGTAGGGGGAACAAACAAAAAAGAAAACCAAGAAACGCCAGGCTTACTACGAGTGGCTCGCCCAGGGCTTCTCTCTGCTTTCTTTGATACATAGACTCCGTGTCTTGATTGATGGTCGCCTGAAGCAGCAGCTGGAGAAGAAGACGACGAAGACGAAAAAGAGGAAGAGGACGAAGAAGACGGACGCCTGTTCGAGGGGCCCAGGATATACGGAGGATACTCAGCATAGAGATGGATTCACAACGACGCCAGCAGCCGCTTGGCGGTAGCAGACAGGCGCAGCATATCCAACAGTACCAACACCCCGACTACCAACAGCAGCAGCGGGAGGAGGAGAAGTATCGCCAGGAGCAGTTGGAGGAGGAGGAGGAGGAAGAGCGGGAGGCGCTGCCTGAAGATGGCCGGCCGGTCTCATCTGATGCGCCGTCACCGCAAGCAGCAGACTCGAGCGACGATGACGGGCTCGACGAGGCCTACGCCGACTCAACGAGCGAAGGGGAGATGATGGGCGACGATACAAAGACGCTGTCGACATACATCACTAGGTATCGCTATGAGAACGGCCGGCGATACCACTCGTACCGCGATGGAGCCTACTGGGTAGGTCATCGTTTTGTCTTCGGCCCATCCTGGCGATGTTGATGATAGTTATTGATGATGGATTTGATCAGGGACCGAACGACGAGACCGCAAACGACCAGCAGGACCTCGCGCACCACATGTACCTCTTGACCCTGGACGGCAAGCTGCATCTTGCGCCCATCTCCAACCCCCAGGTAACCACCCAACATAATCCGCCCAGGGCCCTCTGCAGCCAGAAGACACGGGCGGCAGAGGGTACTCTGTCGCACTGCAGCATCCCATGCTAACCATCTGTTTCCCTTCCCCCCGATCAGGAAATCTTAGACGTTGGCACTGGCACCGGAATATGGGCCATGTATGTCGTCAATCCACATCTCATCGTCTACCTCTACGCTTAGGTGTATTGGTCCCCTAGAGTGGTTCGTACTGACAGCCCACAGAGATACAGCGGACGAGTACCCGAGCGCAAAGGTCACTGGCGTCGACCTGTCGCCCATCCAGCCCAGCTTTCTCCCTCCAAACTGCTCATTTGAAGTAGATGATGTCACCCTCTGCCCCTGGACATACCCCCAGGACCAGTTTGACTTCATACATGTACGGGAAATGTTCGGCTGCATCCCGGACTGGGATGAGTTCTTCCAACAATGCTACCAGTGCCTCAAACCCGGCGGATACATCGAGGTGGTCGAACATTCCGTGGAGCCAACCTCGGACGACGGCTCGGTCGGGCCTTCGCACTTCTACACCCTGTGGGGGAAGACCGTCGTCGAAGCCGGCGCCTCATTTGGCAAGTCGTTTACCATCTGGAAGGAGAGCAAGGAGCGTCTTAAGCGAGCTGGCTTCGTCGACGTTGTCGAGATAGAATACAAGTGGCCCATGAACGGGTTAGTCTTGTCCGCCCCCTTCTTTCTATGTATAATATACATGCTGACAACCAGCAACAGATGGAGTAGAGACCCAAAACTACGGGAACTTGGCCGGTGGAACCAGGTGCGACTACACGGTGGCGTGGAAGGGTACATGCTCCGGCTCCTGACCACTGCGCTACGATGGCCGTACGAGGAAGCACAGTACTTCCTTGCCCAGATGCGTGCCCCTCTGCGGGACTATAAGACAAACGCATATCTACCGGGAACAATAGTGTATGCCCGAAAACCGACAGACGAGTCGTGATAACCACCCGCTCAGAAGTGTCTTTGCACTTCTCGAACCATATCACAATCTCACCACCACCACCACCACCACCACTATCTTCCTGCCAACGTCGATATGGTACCTTAATATTTCAAAAAAGCACATTTCACACTTGCTTGAAGCAGTGGGAAACTCGTCTCTGATTGATGCCAACTCCACCTTCTTCCCTTATACATTCATACATATTATACACACTTACCTCGGCCCCCGTTCAGCGAGCGGCGCTCTTATTGTCATTATTCCCTTCCTTTCTCTCCCTTTTCTCTTTCCTTTTTATTTTGTTTCTCTTACATCATAGCGTATACACCTCGCGCCAGACAACAATCAGTCTGGACAGCAAACCGAGGACGGGGCGGAGGGTGTTGGTTCAGGGGGGCGGTTATCATTTCTTGAATGCGTTCATTGTACATATCTCCAAGATATTTTCGATATACCCTTTTCCTTTCTTTGACTTTGTTTCTTCCCAACCCCCCCTGTCCCTCCTCCCTATCGACATTACTTATATCACGGCCGTTTAGTCCGTTTATGTCTGTTACTACCTTACCTTTACCAAGATAATGGAATCAGTTATCTCCTATCCCCTGCTCTGCCTCTGCACACATTCATATGCATGGCCGTTGGGGTACCAGCAACCATGTATATATTACCTCCTATCATCCTGTCCAATAGCCCTGTCCATACTCCGTACGCCAAACGACAAAACATGCAGTCATAATAAATACATGCAAATGTCATGTAGCCGAGACCCCTAACCCCAAGGATGCAGCCATGGACCGCTTCCTATTTGTATGCTTTGCTCCGTCGGCTTGCTAGACCGTACCTGTATATGCATGCACGTACATATTTCCTGTGCTATACGGAGTATATGTACATGCACGTCTTACATGTAAGTATGATGCATTTTACCCAACCCAGCCCGGCTGTTAATTGTTGGATTCCGCACTTTTCTCGAACGGCTTTATGTACCTCCTTGTGGTGTGACGCCGATGCCGCTTGGTAGTGACGGCGTACAGATGGCTGCAGGGGTGCAGGCTATCTATTTCTAACGGGCTCCTGAGGGGGTTCTTCGGCCGTTTTTCCCTGAGAACTCGCTTGCAGTCGCATGTTTAACGTAAGGATAAGAGGCCTACCCCTTGCTAGCGCGAACTGTTCAATTTAATACTGCTTGGAGCTACTCCGTAGTTATATGTAACCCGCGTCCTTTGCCAGTGGCATGATACAGATAATCATTTTATTATAGGTATGGGAATTAATACTAGAGTTGTTGCGAGAACGATAATGGGCAGAGCAAAAGATTAGACTCGCTGAGGGGAGATGTTATCATTCTTGTGCATTCCTTAGCTAGTCATCAAATTTCGCAGCGCCCTTAGGAGCGTGTCCGTACGGGGAGATCCTCATTCCAGCGATCTAAGGAAACTACTAGATATACTGAGGTACAAGAAATCGCCAAACTTACGGCTCCAGAGTCTTCCAAAGTATGTAAGGCAGGGTACAATATGTTAAGCCCGACTTTCAGACTGGAATTCCCTACGTCGGACCAAGTAGGTAGACGGATGGCTTGCTTTAACATCTTGGGTAGTTAACGAGTTACTAAAGACATGCACATGTCTCAGGGCGTCAGAAAACAACCCAAGACTATCCCCTTTCTCTCATCCCTTGGATCGGCGAGCCTGGCAGATAAAGGCCGTCCAAGGACTCGCTGAGAATGTGGAAGTCCAAACGGTCGTAGAGTTGATTAAAAGGCGAGGCGGCCAAAGAGGAGCAGAAGCGGAACTTCTTTGCTCCATCGCGGCTAAGTCGGGCCGGGAAGCGACGTCGGTAAATAGCCAGGCAACCAACGAACCAACCTCTAGCTAACTACATCCCTTGGATGGGCAAGCAGTTATGGTCCCACAGTAATATAACTATTATAAGCATGCTTTCAATCCCTTAAATATGGCTGGACTAGTACTAACAATGAGTAATTGCCTAGTCAAGAATGACAACAGGGCGCAACCAGAGATGGGTCTGCTAACTAAACAACTAACCAGTTGTTGACAAGCTATGTAACTATTTAATAAACCTGACTACCTACCACAGCGCACACAAACACTTTGATATCCAAAATATACCGTCGGGCCAATTCAGGACAGGAAGATGACGGGTCTCGACACGCTCCCTCTCGAGCTTATTAGAGAGATTATTTCCCATCTCACCACCTTTCGTGAGATACTCACATTTTCTCTTGTCTGCCGCCATTTCTACCATCTTATTGATCCATCGACGCGCCAAAAATACCATCGCATTAGACTCACAACAGACAGTCTCTGGTACAGAGCATATCGCAAATTGGAAGAAATTTGTGAGACACCCTACCTAGGGCAATATGTCCATGAGTTCCAGGTTCTTCTGCCCCTCATGTACCAGCCTAGAGATTACAGAAGAATTGCATCCCTGCCGGACAACTGTTCAGGCCATCCTGACTTTGGGATGTGTGAAATGTTTAAAGCTATGATGGGTGAGGCAGGATTTGACGATGAGGATGTGGAAATGGCTTGGGCTTGGGTGAAAAATGAATATAATCCTTTCAGCAGTATAAGGTTTCTCTTGCTTCCTCCCCTCCTGGAAATGTGCACAATTAGCTAACTTGCATTCAAGACGGCAAGAATTAATCCCTGCTCGCAGGGCTCCGAGGGAGTGGAGAAGGTTAGGAGACGCGGTCAAAACCTGGGGCACTAATGCCGTTGTGGTAGCATTAATTTCCAAATCGCCAAATATCAAGGTCCTAAAGATCCATAATATATGGCCATGCCAGATGTTGGGTCAATTCCTCAAGAGGATTAACAATAGTCACTCGGGTTATCTTCAGAAGCTGGTTGTCGTGAACATTTGCTTCAACGACCGTCGTGGTACTTGGCAGAATTATCACTCAGGAATTAACCTCTTAAGCCTCATGCGCTTTTTCGACCGGTTACCAAACGTCAAGACAATAAGTATTAACAACATATGCAGCACAAGTGACTGCAGTGACTCCGAGTATATTTCTCCAGGGACTTCTAACTTCAGGAATATACGTATTAACCACTCTAACATGCCCTCCAGCCACCTTGCGGATATTATTAGACAACCAAGAATACTGGAGGAGTTTACCTATACCATTGGAGGCCGACGCTTTTCATATTCTGCTGGCCCTGAGTTTATCTATCCGACAGACCTACGAGAGGCACTCCTCCCCCGTTGTGGTACTCTACAGATGCTTAATCTGGACGTTGATGCTGACCTGAAAGCTGACAACGGGGGCGAGTTGGCTGAGGAATCGCTACCAAATCAATTTGCGGCATCACTCAGGTCATTTACTGCCTTAACCCATCTTAGCATTGGGGTCGATTTGCTCCTAGGGAAGCCCAGTGAGGTCAACCAGAACCCTCAATCTTTCCAATTACATGATATCCTACCTCCAAATCTAGAACAGCTAGCCATACGCGGGTACAAGGCTGGGGAATGCCAATTTCACACAGATCAAATTTCGTCTTTAAGAAAAGGTAGAGATGAAAGGAGCCGTTTAAAGCGAGTTACTGGAATCGATGAGCCAATCCCCAGGGGAGTACATAGATATAGCCCCGACACCGGTCCAGATATTGAATATTGGGTAGAGGAATGCGACTGGGCAACTGAACCGGAGGAATTTGACTGGAAGGCGCCCCGGATTTCGGATCAAAGCGAGGATGACTCGGAGAGCCATGTGATAATATCAATTCCGCCGCCGTGCCTTTTTAACTTTTACATGGATGACGGTTATAGCTCAGGAAGTCGATATGCAGTACACCCGAGACGCATGCCAAATCCTCCCCCCGAGTTACTAGAGGAATTGGGACTCAAATGACTGCTATAGTTAATCGCTTCAGAGGCATCAATAGAGGGTATACCCGAGAGATGTTAACTGAACTGGATGAAAGTTTCAAAGGAGCAGCAGAGCACAAACGAGGGAATGAGTACAAAGTCTGGTACACTGGCCTAGCCAAACGTAAGGCTCACCTATGGTCACTTCATGAGGTTGATTCAACTGTAAAACGGAGAAGTGAATCACCTTGATACATGGCCACGGGGAAGCACAAAGCTGATCTTAACCTTCGAATCACACGGTGACTTCTTTGTATCTGGGAATTTCCGGATGCGATGCCATTATTCACTCAATACAGCCTACAATAGACATAGGCAAGGCACAGCCAAATAAAAATAAACCCCAATTTTCTTGAATCCTTCATCTAGCTCTCCTTTCTTCATACTCTTCGTCTTCCGTTCTTTCTAACTTGCATTCTTCTTGACTCTCAAAAAATGCGGATATTAGCGTCTCTCGCCCTTTTTTCGGCCGTGCTGGCCGCGGATATCGAAGCCGAGTTGCTCTACCGGCGGGTAATAGCTATGTCAATGACAGCGAACAAGTCTCCGCCTCCAACAGAGTGTACCTATACTCCGCCACCTAGGAACTGTGAGAAGGCTTGTGGGGTGGGGAACATTCCCTGTGTAAACGAGACTAGATGCTACAACCCAGAAGTAGGTGAGGTTTGCTGTATGGATGGGAGTATGTCACTTTCCCTTTAATCTTGATATCGTATTCCCTTCTCTTGTTACCTGGGTTTATAATAACCACATTCCCTCATTTCAACTGTTTATGCTATGGTAGCCTGTAATAAGCTGACGTCCATATAGGCTACTGTCCTCAGGATACGTACTGCATCGATACCGGGTGCTGCTCGATACAGTATACGCTCCAGCAATGTGGTGGACATGAAATCCGGAACTATGATCCTCCAAGAGAAGGCGTCTCAACTACAAAAAAGCACACTTCCACTTCCACAACTACTACATCTACATCCGTGATCTCATCGTCTACAAACCCTACGACAACGACAGCAAGTAGCACAGAACCTACCGTTCCAAGTATCCCTAACGACAAAGATGGAAATGGCGTGTCAAAGAGAGCTGGTGCTATTGCTGGAGGTGTTGTGGGCGGCCTTGCAGTTATAGGGGTAGTTATCGTAGGCGTTGTATGGATGGTCCTGAGATCAAGAGCAAAGGAAAAGAATACACCTGGCGTCACTGGAGAAAGAGGCCTGAATAACAGTATAGGGTTCAAGGAACAGAGGGTGCATGGGAACGGTGAGCCAAGACAAGACGCTTCGAGGTCAGTAATAGGATATTATCCGCCCTCTACTCTTGCTCCTACGGAGGCTACATCGAGTACGCCGTTTTATAATCTTTCTGGACCGAGGAGAGTGACGGAATTAGATGCTCAGGGGATACATAATACCAACACGGCATCTAGTTCAGTTCTGGGTGATATGACGAGTCGTTCAAGTGTAGAAAAGGTTTCCAAGGACACCAAATAGCTACTTTCCCGTCGTTTTCACTTGAACTTCGATATTCCGTTGATCTGCCACTTTACCATGTTTATTCGTTCTAATATGATATATCAATAAGCCGGGTATTATTTCATGTCTGGTTTTGGGACGTTGCCATCAAACATGATATTTAGTCGGGGGTATGCTGATAAAAAAATAAAAAATACTATGATTGCTCAATTCATACAGCGCGTTCCAAAAAAATCCAAGCTTATCTACATTATGGAGTATTTCAGTTTCGCATGCCAGACCGTTGCTAAAGGAAATAAAGACAGTGTTTTGCTTAATGTTAGTTTAAAGCTTGACAGCTGGGCCAGGGGCAGAAATCTCATTGTACAACAGCCTACAGATAAGAGTTAGTGATACTCAAAGGTATATGACATGTGGATAAATGGCGAGGACTTACGTGGTCAAGAAATCAGCATAATCCTCTCCGGTAACTTGGCCAGAGAAGTAGCGAGCAGCAAGCTGGTACTTGTTACCCTTTGGACCCTTGGCGGAAAGCTCGTCGGCTTGCTCCTTGAGGAGTTTAAGAGCATATGCCTTGTCCACTCTCTTTCCCTCGGCGGTGGGAACGTTGTGCTTGGCCCACTGCCAGAGCTGACTTCGGCTGACTTCAGCGGTAGCAGCATCCTCCTGTAAGCAGTGGGTTAGTGATGGGTTGTATTAGAAGTGATACCATGTTTCTTGACGAACCATAAGGAAGTTTATTGGGATACAGCCAACTCCACGGAGCCATCCCTCCATGTAGGAGAGGCCGATGTTCAGGTTCTTCCTGATGCCGGACTCGGTGATGCTTCCTGGAACATTAGTATTCAAGAGATCATTGGCAGTAACGTGGACGTCCTCCCTTCGGACAAAGAGCTGGTTAGGCGTGGGCATATATTCGTTAAAGACATTGGATGCAATTGCTGCAAGAGCTGGGTGAGCAACCCATGTCCCATCGTGGCCAGCACGGACTTCGCGGAGCTTATCGGCACGAACGCTCTCCATGGCAACGTCATTTGCCTTGGGGTCATTCTTGATAGGAATTTGAGCGGCCATACCACCCTATTTAAAGTGCGTATTAGCACTGCATTGATAAACCATAATGGGAAGAAAAGGAACAAGCTTACCATGGCGTGAACACCTCGTCGGTGGCAGGTTTTGATCAGAAGCCTAACATATGCGTCCATGAAGGGCACGGTCATGGTGACGGAGGCACGGTCAGGCAGGACAAAGTTAGGGTTGTTACGGAACTTCTTGATAAAGGAGAAGATGTAATCCCATCGTCCACAGTTCAAGCCAGAGCTGTGATCTCTCAACTCATAAATGATCTCGTCCATCTCAAAAGCAGCAGTGATGGTCTCAATGAGGACGGTACTTCGGATAGTGCCTCGGGGCATACCAATGTAGTCCTGGGCAATGTTGAAGACGTCGTTCCACAGGCGGGCCTCTAAGTGAGATTCCATCTTGGGGAGATAGAAGTATGGGCCAGCGCCTCGCTTGACGAGCTCCTGGGCATTGTGGAAGAAGTAAAGACCAAAGTCGAACAAGCTGCCGGAGATTGGCTCTCCGTCAACAGTGAAATGCTTCTCATCAAGGTGCCAGCCTCTAGCACGGGCAATGAGCGTGGGAAGTTTCCTATCGGTGCGGAGCTTGTACTCCTTGCCGCCGAGGGTGAAATCGACCTGACGACGGATGGCATCGTAAAGGTTCACCTGGCCATTGACCATGTTCTCCCATGTTGGAGCAGAGGAGTCTATAATATAACAGCATGCAGGCGTTAGCTATGTATATTTATCGCAGCTAGTTCTTCGTGCAAGCCATCGGAGGACTCCGCTCACCTTCAAAGTCGGCCATGTAAGTCCAAACATCGGCATTCAAAGCATTGACAACCATCTTCCTGTCCGTTGGACCTGTGATCTCAACACGACGATCAACGAGCCCGGGGGCAGGGGGAGCAGCCTTCCATGTATCATTGTCACGGATATGCTTGGTCTCAGGCAGGAAATCGAGAAGGGCGCCTCTATCAATTTCGGCCTGGCGGTCAATACGTCTCTTCAACAGTGCCTTGCGGGTACCATTGAATGTGCGATGGAGGAGAGCTAGGAACGCTGTGGCCTCCTTGGTGAGGATCTTGCGAGTCTGATCGTTAAGGGGGCCGAGGATGGCAACACCCTTGAGCTGAGCTTCCACCGAGGTCATCTTGCCTATGCTCTTGAGTGACGTTAACTTTGTATATGGTATATGTAGTTGTATCACAACAATCGGTATCGTGTTTGATGATGTAGCAAAATTCCAGAGGAGACAGAGGGGGAGATGCCCGAAGGACTATAGGAGGGCCTTTATATATACAAGACAACGCCAAACGGCCACCCAAAGCCGCGGCACATGTTAAACTGGAGTCTTGCTTCTGTATGGGATCCAGCTCCAGTTAGTTTCACTGCATCTGCCCGCGTAGCCAGTAACTTGCTGCCTTATTAACTGAGTTTCTCTCGGAACCCAGCCGACGCTGTCTATGTGTTATGGCAACACAGCATAGCTATCGAGTCACTTCCACGGCAGCATACGCCGAACGAACGGGAGATACGGCCAACGCGGAAGCGTAGGGCCAAACAACTCGGTCGAGATAGCTCTGCTACTAGATTTTACTACGTTAGAACGGGAAACCCTGGGCTGCTATTGGAAGTACGTTTGCATAGTAGAACACGTCCATCTAGACCACCAGCCGAAGGCTTTGATAGATGACCATCTCGGCCGATTTTTCCGACTTCCCAGAGGGTTTTCCCGTCCTCTGCCCCATACCCGGGGGCGTTATTGCGTATAGGTAAAGCTGCTTTCCTGCGGACATTTATCGCGAACCTGGTTTGCTCGGAGCCCTCCCGCAGGTACAAACAGCTGGTTCAACATTCTATCCAACGTCATCCGCGCATCTTCCACGCCCTGTCAAGAGACATGAGTTAGAAATCTCTGCAGTGCTGGCACCCTCTCTCCGCTGACGTATATATAATCCCCATATTAATATCAAAATGACCGATATCTGTTGTTTCTCGCGATATTTATCTTCGTCTCTTCGTCTTCTTTTGTCGTTGGTTTTTGCCTTTTCCAGAAGCAAAAAAAGAAGCCGAGGCTCAGCACGGCCGTTGATGACTTATCATATAAACACGTGATTTGTTCCCCCGGTTTCGGCCTTTTTCTCAAACCGGAAACGGACAACGTCCGGCTTTCTCTTTCTTGCTATCAAAGACGAAGGCGAAGATGATGAAGAGTGAAGATGAAGGCGTTCAAGCGATATCCAGGAACAAAAATGACAGGATGAAGAAGTGTCGTGGTCTCATTAGATATATACAAGCTAACAGACATGCATCCGGCAGCGCACAGAAAAAAGAAGATACCCGAAAGAACTGTTTCGAGTCCGAAAAGAAGTCCTGAAAGCGATTACCACCAGCTCAACTGATAACGCCATTTAGGTGTACTGCCAGGCAGCAGGCGTGGCACCCTCATACGCCTTTGCGACTCCAACGAACTCAACACACTGCTTGACGTCTCCGCCAGGGACCTTGGCGTCCTTGATGTTGGCGAAAACTTGATAGTACTTGTTGTTTGGGACAGGGCAAGCCATCAGCGCAGTGGCACCCCAGCCGCCGAAGTAGAAGCTGCCGAATTTCTTGTTGAGAGGCTTGTAGGCAAAGCCGCCGACATACGATCCTGGTGGAATGTATGCGGAATGCGCCTGGGTGAAGCCGAGCTTACCGCTAGGCTCGACGTACATCTGCTGGCCACCGGGGACGAGCACACTCTGGATTCAATCAATCTTTTAGCAAGGAGAAAGGGAATTGCGCTGGAATTTCTCTCTTAAAAAAGACCAGAAACTTACCATGCTGTTCAATCCGAGGATGACGGTAGCGTTCCCTGGTGGACAGGCGTCACCAACTATTTCTGGGCAGTAAGTAGCTGGAGAGCCGCCTAGCCAGAATGACTGTCCGGCAGCCTGCATGGGCAGCTTGTCGACTTCTTTACATCCCGGGTGTCGTGCTGTGACTTGGATATTGGCTGGCGGATCTGCCGGAGGAGGCGGAGCCCCAAGAGCGAGAAGGGGGAGGAAGAATGCGGTGATCAAGGAAGCCTTCATCTTGTCTGGACTGTCGACTCCTTTTGTCCCTATGTGGCCGAAAGGTGTGTATGAGGAATTGTAGCAAGCGTTGGGTTTTCTAGGTACAAATTTTTTTACCTACCAGAGCGCAGACAGGGGCGGATAATATATAGTCGATCGATATATACCTCTCATCGTATAATAGACATAAGTATACGCAGCTACCATGGCCTCGTATCCACTACATGCTTTTTCAACAATCCTGCCATCGTCTTTTCTCCATCTGTACATGAGGAGGATCCAATGGGCAGGGAGCGCATCTGCAGAATGCCGTCGTTCGTGGCAATGAAGGGCCGAAAACTGAAACATCGCCGACCCGTTCTTGAGCTGCTTAACAGCTTAGCACGGTGGAGATATCCGCAGTGGCAGGGAAGAGAGGCTGATAGATGGTGGATCTCGATGCCATTTTCCTCGGCCGCTCCTCTACTTATCAAGGTGTATCAAGGCAGGCAGATAGCTCTTCAGCTCTCGACTCAGACATCGGATAACTATGTGCGTGTGCGTATTTAACTGCGTTTACGAGATGCACGTCCAAGACATTGTCTCTGAGCACTTCAGCTCACCACTCGGATAAAGGCTGCGGAAGAGCTTAAATTCACAGCTGTCTGGGGCAACCCTCCATAGAGTTACCCATGGTTGAGTATATACTGAGTTCTGGATCTCCACAGCCGGGGATTCCCTCGATGCCTGTGCCTGTACCATGACCAGGCTACGGATACCCATAGTTAATTACCTGCTGCGCTCGCAAGGCTAATGCTGGCGGGGAAAAACTTTTCCCTTCTGAAGCAACATTTACATATCCATCAGATCGATTTTGGCTCTCCTTGCCGATATCAGAGCAATTATTATGACGACAGAGAGTCAATGATAATGCAGCCATAAAAAGCCGGACCCGCCATTACTATGCGAGTACCTGTTAGTTACGCCGTAACTAGCGTCCATCGAGTGGATTTGATCTGGGGATGGGCTAAATGAATATCTGGTCCGGCGGGTACAATCAACCAGGGGAATACCAGCATTGCCCACAGTGGTCAAAATTCTCTCTCTATCTACCAAATTTGACAACTAGCTGGGTGAGATTTTCAAGCTCATCCGCTGCTGTTCCATGCATGTGTCTGCCTCCTGTCAGCCGCATTTGCCTGCCACCTAGTTCTGTCGCTCCCCGTAGATCTCTGCCAGCCAGCGAGGATCGATCTCATCCACAGAGAGATACGGACTCCGATCGACTCCCTCCGTGATATTCGCAGGAACATTTCCCAGCCCTAGGAAACTCCACATGTTCTTCCTCCGATAGGTGATTGTGTAGTCTTCAAACCGGGGCTGCTTGATCAGCTCAATGAAATGCTCCGAGCTGCCCGGCCAGATCGCATTCACCCGTCCAGTCTTTTCATCCTTGTACCAGCTCCGGCAGCTATCTGTCCAGATAGTGTGCTTGCTCCACGCCTGGACATGCTCGTTGAAGGCGTCGGTGACGTCCTGTCGCGGGCTGATCGAGTGTATCTCTTCATTTTGAATCTTGCGGATGAATTTGACCGCATACCTACCGGCTTCCATCAGTGGACCGACGACTGACCCCTGCCAATCAGTCAGTTAAATAACTTGGGCACGTCAAAATTCGACGAGATAAAATGGAAAAGGAGTTGGTACATTATGTACGGGCCATGTTGGGCCAAAGAAGGATACCATGTTAGGGAACCTACCTTGACCGTCAGCAGTTATTTTAACCATAGTCCATACGGAGTATCAAGTCCATCTTGCCTCCCACTTACCCTGGCACTCCCAGGCCAAGATACGACTCTGGGTGAGCCTCCCACTTTTCACGAAGATCGACGCCTCCCTGGCCGACAAACGGGAACTTTGGTCGGTACGAAGTGTCGAAGCCTGTGGCGCATATGATCGTATCTGCCCTTCTCTTAGTACCGTCTGCGCCAACCAGCCCGTCTTCTGTGATTTCGCCCACAGCCGTGAAGTGGACGTCAACGTTATCTTGCTGGATCGCCGCCATAAACGGATCTGCAGGGGTGATTCTACGGCATCCCACGCCAAACGAAGGCATGAATCCTATTTTCCCCCTCAGCATCATCACTACCAAGGAGAATGAGGATAATGACAGTGATAGTGATATCATACCCTTTAAGAGACGTTCATCTTTGATGCATTCGGCCATTCGCTGCTCGTACATCTTACGGACAGCCTGCTGTGCCGGGCTCCCAGTATAGAACATCCCCCAGATGCCATTGATCTGGTCTTCCCAGGACTTGCAGTGCTCAATCAGCGCCTGCGGATCCGATCTGAATCTCTTCTTCTCTTCTTCGGAATAGGCTGCATTGTCACCCTTGTTTCCTGCAATGGTTGCAAACCATGTACCCTACCAATCTCAGTCAATATATGAAGTTATCAAAGTGTATATCCAAAGACCCGGCTTACCGTCCTCACGAATATATCAATATGTTTTACGTATGGCTGCATCCCCGGCACTGTCTGGATGCTTGAAGCTCCGCTGCCAATGACTGCAACGCTCTCTCCATTCCACTCCTCCTTTTGGTAATCTTTCGGCCATGCTGCGGTGTGGATCAACTGTCCTCATTCGTTAGCTATTAGCAAAGATATACAAGATATCGAAAGCAAGCAGAGAGAAACCCACTCTTCCCTTGAACCTGTCTAGACCAGGAACATTCGGCCACTTATGCTCGTTCAAGAAGCCCGAGGCATTCAGTAAAACGTGGCACCACTCTTCTATATCTTTCTTGGATCCATCTGCCGCCGTCTGGCTGAGTGTCACTCTCCACTGGCCGCAAGACTCTTCCCAGTATGCCCCTGTGATCTTCGTGTTGAAAATCATATATTTGCGAAGGTCAAAGACCTTGCACACTCTGTCTAAATACGCCCACACGTCTGTGGCATATGAATAGACGTTGTTCCATTCGGGCTATCGAATATATCAGTATACATTCCAATCATGTCAACGCATCTATGAAGTCCTAGCTGATAGGATAGGGTGATACCGACGTTAGGAGCAAAGTTGAATATATAAGCATGACTCGGCGCATCACATGCACAGTTTGGATACCTGTTCTCCAACCAGGTACCGCCTATATCATAGTTCTTCTCATATACCACATGTTCGACGTTCGGGCAGTGCTTTTGGATGTTATAGGCCATCATTATACCGCTTATGCCAGCCCCTATAGTCAGTACCTTGATCTTCCTACTATACCCATCGAACATGGCTTCTTTGTCGATTTCATAGCCCTGACTAGGACTCCTACTCGCGTCAAAGCCCGAAATGACTCCTGGCGCCATTTCAGTGTATTATTGTGGAATATAAGAACGTTTCCTTATGTTAAAATGCTGTGGAAGCCATCTACAGGCAATAACATTTGAAGAGGGAAGCCCTTCCCTTTATACATACTACCATGCCATATATCAAGGCTTAATTCTTCTTAAGAATTGGTCTAGAATGGACGGACTGATGAATAGATAGGACTTCCATTAACCACTTAAGGATAGTCCTTTTCACACGGCTCAGGCAGGACATGGCTTGTATCCCCAGGAATTCCGTCAACTGTCCAGGCACTCCGTATGGGCTAGAGTACATTCAGTTTGCGCTATTTGACCAGCAACCAATGCAGCATGCCGCAAGGATATCCCGACTAGGACCAGGCGATACCCCAACCGGACTGGCAAACTCCAATTGGCCATGCTGTGCATTTCTAGATACTTCCCAGCCGCACCCGCAGGGCGCCAGCATCTAAGTTTATTCCGTTATAGGCTGGTCGAAGGTTTCACATAGAGGAATATGCATCTGGTAACTAGGATTAGATATTAGTTGCTTAAGTACATATGTCTACGTCCGACTCAGGTGGGTAATCACATTTACATCATAGGGAACCAAGCGCGGCTACAATAACAAGGATCCATGGGGTATCGAGCATCAACACGAGTCATGCATTTAGAATTCACCAGTAAGAGGTAGGTCTCTTGAACTCTGTCCGGCCCAAAACTTGAACTTCCCAGCTGTAGGCATTATCCAGTTCTGCTGGTAGATGCTCCAGTAACTCAAATCCTTCCGTGTCAAGGGCAAGATCAGTTCCTTCGATTGGCCAGGCTGTAACTCGGTCTTTTCAAAATTCCGTAACACACGGTTAGGGAAATCTATGGATATCGCCTGGTCGTCTTTCCCCTCTTCCTTAACTGTCTCATTAACGCCAGACGGGAAAGAGACGTAAAGTTGAACCACAGTTTTACCAGCTCGTGCCCCAGTGTTGTTGACTGTGAGGCTGACGTTGACGATCTGTTCGAAGAGCGCTGGGTTTCCTCCTTCACCACCCCCGGCAGGTGAGCCTTTTTCCTCGGTATTCTGTCGGAGAAAGTGAAGGTGTTTTGTTTCCTGGATATCGTCCACAGATGTGATGTAGGGGTAGACATAATTATCTAGCCCGCGAAATCCTTCAGGGAACAGGGCTAGATCTGGGTCTGGGATGCTTTCGTTATATGAAGGTAAAGCCACATTAACCTCGGACTCTGCATTTGCGATCGCTGATTTCTGTTTTAGACCCTTGACTTTGATATCCGATAGTCGAAAGGAGGTGTACGATAGACCAAACCCAAATTCGTACCGCGGCGTGATGTTTTGTTTGTCAAAATACCGGTAATCGAAATATAACCCCTGGGAGAAATTTTTCTGGGGTACGGGGTCTTTGCTCTCATATAGAACTCTGGATTCCGGTCCATAGTCTTCAGGATCCTTTGCAATGGTATAAGGGAGCCTCCCAGTTGCATCAGCTCTACCGAACAAGACATCTCCAAGAGCTCTACCGCTCTCCTGACCTGGAAGGTTTGCAAGTATAACAGCTTTCACCCCAGGCTTCTCGATCCAGTCTTCCATCATTACCGGACCAACTGAGTGAAGAACCACGATAGTGCTACCTTTACCCTTCCCACACTTTTTGGCCGCTTGTCTGATCAAATTATTGCCATCCTTTTGAATGGATAAGTCATTGCGATCTCCATACATCCCTTCCCAGGAGGCGAATCCTTCCCCCGAGTTCGCATTGGTAAATACAATGCATAAGTCTTTATCCTCTAAGTCGCTGTCTTGGATGCCGTTATAAAGATACCCGTCTAAAGAGACGTTGTTACTGTTATATGTCTTCTTGATCTCATCCCACGGCGTGACAAGATATGGAAAGTCGACTGCACCGCTACCCCATCCCGATCCAAGGGTTCCCTGATTGCAGGACCTATCAGGACAAACGTTTGGTCCATCCCCTGGGCCGGCGTCTTCCCCAAAGACACCCACCTTCGTCTTCCTATCTGAACTTTCCCCTTCTGCAGAGAGAGGCAGTATACCATCTTCGTTCTTCAGGAGGACAGTTCCCTCGACTGCAATTTCTCGAGCAAGACCACTATGAGAGTCCTTCCACACGTTTGGTGCCCGGATATAGCGATTAACAGTCACCTTTTGGTCGTCATCCTTGCTCCCTTCATGCAAACGTCCTGTTTCATTCTTTGTCCAGGATGAAAAATTTGGTCCTCCATTGCCATCGGGCGGTGGCTTTTCCCACTCGTCCTGTTTTAATTGATACCATGCCGCAACTATCCTGGTTGCCATATCGTTCAATCTCCCAACCTCGACAGATCCATTCAGAACGGCAGTAGTCAGATTCTGACCCCAGAAAGACGCTCCCGAGTCTGAGTAATGTATTTCTCCCGGCATATTCATGTCCATCCCTGCCTGAGCACTTGCAACGCCGGTTTGCTGGCCATACCAGTCTGACTGAATGAAGCCCTGGAACGCCAATTCATCTTTGAGGATTTCATTCAAAAGCCGGTTGTTGTTGCAGGAATATGTGTTGTTAACCATCTGATATGCACACATTACGCTACCTACACCAGCACGAACACTCTCGGCAAACGGCCACGCGTATACCTCATGAAGTGTGCGATCATCCGTATTGGTAGACATGGCTCCTGATATATTCCATTCATGTGGCTGCCGAAAATGCTCCTGTTCATTTAGAACAAAATGCTTTGCAGTGGCAATTACCCCTTCTTTCTGCGTCCCTAGTATAGTTTCCGCAGACGCAATTCCTTGCAGAACAGGATCAGTGCCAAAGCCTTCCCAGTTACGCCCTCCGGCTGGAAGTACCCCTAGAGGGCCCATAGCGGGACCCAGGAGGACATTTACTCCCTTTCGTCGAGCTTCTCGCCCCAACGCTTCGCCTCTTCTATGCATCAGATCCCTATTCCAAGTTGCTCCAACAGTAATACCAGCAGGGAATGCGGTTATGTTGTCCGCAAAGCGTAACCCTAACGGGCCATCTTGAAGACATAACGAAGGAAACCCGACTTCTGTGGCAGGTCCTGGAAGAAAGCCTTAGTTTCGGAGCTTAATAGGAACTTATCAGTGCTCACAGGCGTGAAAGGAGTCTAACCGGTATTACCAACACAAAGCCCCATTTTCCAGCCTACCCCAGTTGTAATGTTGACCTTTTCCACTAGGGTCATATTGTTGACAAGTGACTGGGCCTTCAAATAGCTATCCTTCCATCTTGGAACTGTTCTTCTACCCAGCGGAGCGCTCTTTTTCGTGGGCGATACCTAGTATAATAATGTTAATATCCACCTACAATTAAGGGACACTTGACTTGAGGCCCCTAAGCTAGAAAAATATAGCATGATTTCGAGCAATGCAATAAGATCGAGGGTAGGTCGGCTTGTCAACTTGGGGGACTTATTTTCGAAGATACAGCAAGACTTACTTTGTCAGGGATGTTGTATTTGCGTTCTAGCCTGGGACGTTCGAGATTTTCCTGGCTTCCCCAGAATAGGAATACAACGATTACCGTGAGAAGAGCAGCTATTGTTGAAAGAATCAGAGCAAGGAGCCGCCTTTGTTTGATCCGTGCTGGGCTAGGATTCTTCGCTTCTTTCAACTTATCCATGGCCGGCGGATCTGTAGTTGAATTCAGGTGTACCGGCAATGAAAACCTTCAGCCAGCATTAAGACTTTATCCCCCGGTTCATCGTCTGATGCCGTGTGATCTTTCGACTAAGGTGAACAAAGTTCACAGTCACTTTTGCGGTTTTGGAATAGTCGATACTGCACAATTGATGTAAACAACTAATGTGTTGAATTGGGTAGTAGGTAATACTTAATTATCCGGCGAGCATAATATGTAGAAGAAGAGCAATGCCATATCACAAGCGATATATACCGCACAAAGGGTGTATATCTCAGGTGGCAAGAAATAGGGGTAACCATTTATGACGCATTTGCCCTGACCTGTCAAATTCTAGACCTGAGATAATAGCCGGTTATTGACATATATTCCCTGTAGAGCCAATGACTGGCATAATGTATGACTACATCAAGCAAATGTATAAGCGGTCGAGAGTAAATTGTATGGAGAAATTTGAGCGCTGGATGCGACGTACCATTGGCTTTTCAGCCTCAAAAAGTCTGTTATGTAAATGTAGAGTTTAACTTCAATAGCCAAGAACTAATATGAGCATGTTATATCAATGGTTAAATCAGATGTAGCAGCGGCTATAGAGACCTTAATTAGCGAGGTTCCATAGCGTCTATTAGCCAATCAAAAGGCATGGCGCTTCCTTTTAGTTAATTCTCCCACGGATTTCGTTTCATTATTTTGCGCAAACCTCTTCGACTCAACATCTCGATTTCAGCATTCTGAGACCTGCAAAAGCACAAACCCCATTCCTATGCAAAGGCTTGCTTCAATTTTAATGGGCTACTTTGTATAATGACTATTGCTTATGCAGCTTGAATCTTTGTCTAATAATGCAAAGCTTTAGAGCATGGTGAGCTTTCATGGCAAAGCGAGGACAGAGATAAGGTAACATACATGCACGTTAAACGAGCCGTTAAGGCTTAGGGGAGAACACGCCCAGGAACAATACACAATGCATCGTCTCTGACGTGATAGAAAAAACAAACGGCTTATCAAAAATAAGAACATTGGATGGTCCCATCGCACACCTTGTCATCATTACAGCAGTGGAAGCGGCAGCCCGCGTGCCCTGTTCATCAACTGAGACAGCCGTGTTATGGAGAACACTACTGACAATGTTCCCTCCTTCTCCCATCTTGGGGAAGTCGCTGGGGATATGGAGCCCAATTTCCTCAAAAAGTGGAAAGATATCCGTGCTATAGGACATATCCATCTTTGGGAACCCGAATCTATCGATCTTCTCCTGGCGGAACGAGTTCTGTTCTTGAATAGAAGGGAGACAGGACATGACTTCTTGCACTGACACACCGTCACGCGGTAGGTAAGCCGTGAACGAAGTTAATGCAGAAACATTCTTAGCTTCATATGGTAGCTTGACTGCCCTGTACTTCGATGTATTGTGTACGTATATGTCTTCCTTGAAACGAAACATCATGTCAACGCGACGAATATCTGAATCTGTGACCTTGAATTGGAAGTCCGAAGCTGTGTTTTTCGGATCGAACTTTTCCTTCCAGATGCCTTTGAATGCTAATGCATTGATGAGCACCAGGTGAGATCGAGCAAGACTGTCATTGCTAATCATATTATTGATCATGCCCATAGTGTTGTCTGATATCCAGCCGTTTATAGCATCTCGCCCATCAACCAGACGTGGGAATTCCATATTCGTGCAGACTTCAAACCGCTCAAGGAAGTTGGTATACTCATCGTGTAGTACAGTCCCCTTTTCCGCAAATATCGCATTTGCCGCAGCCGTAGTGTCGTTGCAGTGCTTGAGGTGGTGATGCACAGCGTCTAGTTCTTCTGGCTTATCCCCAAAACCCATCGACTGGCACATCTTCTGTGCCTCTGACGGAATGGCAGCACCGGCCAGCATGGCCATCGCGATGCCTATGGATGCAGGGGAGAGAGCTATTCCTCCGTCTGGAATCTCCTTGCCGCATAGCTGTTGCAGTAATTTCAGCCCAACGAAGCTAACGCTGGAAAAAGCAGAAGGTGCAGTCATGGTAACTAATAGTTTTAGAGGGTAAACGAAACAGGCTGTCCAGTTACTGACGGCAAAAGTAGAAAAACAGCTGCTTGTTGATGGTCTAAAGTTGGTAGAAGTTGATGGCTGCGAAGTAACAAGTTTTATAACGTTTGTTTGTGTTTACTTTCCTTGCTCAGCCTTGGGTGAACATGTGAAGAAGCAGCGATGGCTTCGCTTCTAGCAACGCCAATGACGACGGAGTGTCTCACAAACTCGGGAGAAGAGCCACCAGACGGAAAAGTACAAGATTATATAGACGAGCTCGCTTCTCAGTTGCGAGTTACAAGCTGCGGCTGCATCGACCTCTGTCTTAGTCGCTAAAAAGCTATGATTTTAGCAGCCCTTATTGGTCTCCGTGACGTGGTCATTCGTATGGTTACGTGCATATATGTTCGAGATCAGGTAAAATTTACGTATAATTTTATATATATATATGTACTTTAAAAGGTATATACTGTCGCCGATGGCTAATTTTGTACAACACTGCCTCGTCGATGGAGGACTTCTGCGTCTTCGTGGCGGGCGGTTTGTCCACGGTACTCTCGTTTACCTCGAAGGAACCAATCGGCGATGATGATGACAACAACGACAAAGTAGACGAGAGAGACATAGTTCATAGCTATTAACAGTTAGGTCATTAGTTAGAATAGCCTGTAATGAAACGTGGTTGGACAGGGGGCTAAACTGTAGACTTACTTCCGGCAGTGACGGGATAGACTGAAGGGAACGAATACATAATAATCGTAAATAGTGTCCAACAGAGCAGGATTATATTGGCCGCAAGACCGACCTTGCCCAGCCAGAACGGTCCGTGCTGGATGTTGTTTCGTCCCTTAATAAGGAGGCAGACAACCGGAATGACGTAGGACACGTACAACAGCACGATGCAAGCAGTGACCATGCTGTTGAACGCTGTTGAGGAACCAAGGAATAAGAGCCCCAAAAGACCGACAATAGTGCAACTGAACGCATGAGCCGCCAGGGGCACATCGAGTTTGCGGTTGATCTTGTTCAGACCCAAGGTGGTGTGGAAAGGGAGACCGCGATCGCGGGCAAAGGACCAACATAGGCGAGACTGCCATGTATGAGAAGCGATCTGACAACCAATTCCAGTGGCCAGGACGAGAGATTCAAGGACAATAGCGCCAGATTTGCTGCCGAGGGCCTGGAAGTACAGTTCGAGGATGGGGACACCGGTCGGTGAGTTGACTATGGTGTTGAAGTCGTTCAAGCTAAAGAACATGGAGATCACATAGAACCAAGCAGTGACGAAGCCAATGGCGACTGTGCCCATTATGGCAATGGGGATAGATCGTTCGGGTGCTGCGACCTCCTCGGCCATATGCGTTGCTGCGTCGAGACAGGCAAAAACCCAGTTGGTATTGATCAAACCAACCAGGTAAGCGATTCCATCCTGCTTCCAACCTGTGGAATTGATGAATGTTGCAAAGACAAACTTGGCTGACTGGTGGGTGGGTGCCTTTGCCGGGACAGTGATGAGGATCGTGATAAAGGAGATTAGGGAGGTGTAGAGTGTAACGGTTGCGATCTTGGGGAGAAGCCTTCCCACGCAGTTGAACAGAAATGCGAACCCGTTTATCACCTGGTAAGCAACGACGGTATGCCATGGCTTGGGGACGCTATTCGCATGGTGACTAGTCAGCCTCCCTATTGTTATACACGATCGGATTTAATACATTCGGGTTTCTTACAAGTCAGGATGGCCCATCTGCCACATTCCAACCGCGGCCGCACCGAGTCCCAGGGCAACACTGGCAGATGTGAAGATGCTCCCAGCCCAAGCAAACCAGCCGGTTAGGTAAGAGGCGAAGTTGGCATACTTTTTGGGAGCCAGTTCATTTGCCCAGAAGTACTGTCCTCCAGCATTGGGCATGGCGCTCGCGAGTTCGGACAGGGTGATGCCAACACAGGTCGAGATGAATGCGATCCATGGTATACCATAGATGGTCAACACCGCGCCGCCTGAGTTGATACCCGTAACCAGGGAGGCGGAGATACCAAACCACGAATTGGTAAGGGAGAAACCAACAGCGAGCAGTGATAGCACCGAGAACTTGCGGGTCATGTCCTGGGTGTACCCCATGGCCGCCAGCTTGGCCGCATCGCTATCAATCGATCCCTTTTCATCTCCAGAGGTTGGAGGAGAGGGATACCTCTCCGCCTTGGGGCCGATGCTCTCGTGGTCCATCTTGATCAATGAGGATTTAGTTATCCCAAGAGCTAACTAGTAATTCTAGTAGTTACTGGTGATATCTGAACGGCAAGTGGGCAAAGGGCGCTGGCAGGACAAGCTATCGATAGCTCGAAAAGGAAATCGGTCTTGTGTTGGTTGTCGCATATGGGATTTCGCTGGGATTTCACTGGCAGCGGGTCGAATGCACTGGATAGACGCAGCTATAGTCCATCTACAGCTTGTCGATAATGATATGGGCAGTCGCTTATGGGTGGTACACGGTGCTACGCATTCAGGACGGGCGATGCATACATTAACAGCCTCTTCGTCCAGGGAGGATGAAGACGATGCAGATGTTGATATAAGGAGGAATCAAATCAAATCGAAATGGAAAAAAAGACACCAGAAACAATCCACTCTCCGGTGTGGAGAATTCCAGAGAATTTTCACTTCCCGTCGGGTCGATATTTTTAGTTGATACGAGCGACTTTCACAAGCTTGGAGGAGTTATCAAATGTTTGAGATCGCCTCTCAAGCTTATATGCCGTTTCGTCTTCTCCTCTAGAGAATTTATGGAGGCTTAGGATGAATTCTCTGTGGGAAGATAACGCAGCGGTACAACTCTGGAGGGATCAGCGGAATAAAACCAACCATGCCCATCCCTAGTCAAATGGTATGAACGCCCGAGGTGGCCAGCAGAGTTTTAACGGAGGAGCGCCATGATGTCATATTCCGCTAGTGTTACATCCGCCCAGACAGACTCGGAGATGAGCGATGGCGATGGGGTTGGCAAAGGGCAGCTGGAGTTGAAGTTGACGATGGATGCCGGCGGTGTTGATAGCGACGTTGATACGAGTAACTAACCACCTGGGTACGGAGTAGTTAACTGGGTGGTTGGTTACTTTTCGGTCTCGTTGCTATTGAGACAAAGTCGTAAATAGCCGTAAATGCTCATCAAGCCAAATCAAGCCGTAACTAGCTCTGTATGAGTCTTCATGAGTCTTTCTCGCTCATGCAGCTCCTTCGTGGGGTAACTAGTTAACTACGGAGTAGTTAGAAATGGCATATAAAAATACCCCATAAGACTGCACCGGGAGCCTGGAGATGCAACAATAATTGATACCCCAGAATAAAGAGCAGTTATACTCCGTACGATACTCTTGAACTGCTTCCACCATGACTTCTTCATCCGCACCCGAGTCGATTTTGACGTTTTATGATATCGCACTTGCACCGCCAGTGATAGAAAACGCAGCCTCTCCCAACCCTTGGAAGTCTAGATACGCCCTCAACTTCAAGAAAATCCCTTATAAGACAACTTGGGTCCCCCTACCTGATGTCAGCGCCGTTAGAGCCCCTCTTAACATCCCAGCCTCGCGCACATTCGCCGATGGATCCCCATATCACACACTCCCTATGCTCTCTGACCCAGCGACTGGCCAAATAGTAGGAGATTCTTTTGAGATCGCCGTGTATCTTCAGCGCCAGTACCCGTCATCAGGAGGGGACCTGTTCCCAAAGCAAGATCTGTCTTTCGCCTACAAGGAGGGCCCAGTTTTGTTTGCGCCCATCGCGGAGTCGAAGGTGGATGAGACCATGCAGGCATATGTCAAATTTAACACCAACGTTGACGCTGCATTTACCGCACATGTACCACTCATGGTACACGGATTACCTTTTGATCCAGCCACAGCCGATCAGTCAAAGGCCGAGTTCTCACGGAGAGCAGGGATCCCATGGGAGGACTTGTCGGTTAAGGGGGACAAGAAAGACGAGATGCTCAAGTCGTATGAGCAGGCCCTCACTGGACTGGCAGAGATGTACAGAAGAGACACCACCGGACCGTTTCTGCTGGGAAATAGGCCATCTTATGCAGATTTCATCGTTGGAGGATGGTTGAGAATGAGCCGAGCGACGCTGCCTAGGATAGAGTGGGAGGCTTTGGAGAACTGGCACGACGGCATCTTCGGGCAGCTGCACCAGGCGCTCAAGGCATACGCACAGATAGACTAGACATGACATTTGTATTCAAGAAGAAAAGTTCAATCCAATTTTAGACCTCTATCAAGAAAAAATGGAAAGGCAAAGGAAATCCAAAACAACGCCGATAACCCCTATGATCTATCTAATTAGTGCCGGTCTCTGTGTCTATTGAAAGGAGTGCCCGGTCGTGTATAACAGAGCGAAATGATACCAAACGACTAGGGAGAAAACAGGGCATAAACTCATGAGCTATCCGAACTGCAAACATAAACATTAGGTACTTTTGATCAATAGTATATAAAAAAAAAATTCATGAAACGATGCCGAGCTACTGCTCATCATCGGTATCGGGTGGGTGAGGAGTGCCGGCAGGGCTGTTAAGCCACTCGATGTGTCGTAACCTGCGACGGACTTCACGCTCCTTGAGCTGAGCTCTGGTCATCTTCTTCTTCTTCTTAGCCTTGAACTTGAGCTCGCCTCCATCTTCGGCACCGGAGTTCACGGCAGAAGGGGCTGCACTGGACACTACGCTGCTGGCCACAGTGCTGGGATTGCGTGACTGGTCTTCAAACCGATCAAGGGCCACGGCGGTAGTGCCGCCATGAGTCATCCGACCGTTTTCAACATACCATCTCTCAGGGCAGAGGGCGCCAACGAATTCATCGTTGTGAGAAATCATGACCACGCCGCCCTTGAATTCGCGGATGGCGACAGCAAGGCCGCCCAAAAAGTCACGGTCCAAAAAGTTAGTAGGTTCGTCCAGCACGAGCAAATGAGGATTGTTCCACATGGCTCCCGCCAGGACAACCTTAACCTTCTGCCCACCAGAAAGACCGCCAATCTCGTTGTGGTTGGCTATCTCAGGGTCAAGACCGATATCTTCGAAGTGCTTGGAAATAACCTTAGGCTCGAGAACTCGGTATCCAAGACCTTCGCGAGACGCTTCATGATCGTCGAATTCTTGGACGAGCTTTTGGAATCCGAGTTGTAGAAGAGTTTCACGCGAGATCTGAGTGTTGTGCTTGGGAAGCATGTTCTTCCATTTACTAGGTTCTTGTTAGCGCCTATCAGGTCTTGGGATGCGTTGAAAGGTTGGGGATGCGTGCTTACACTTCATATTGGAAAGTCTTCTTGTACTTTTGTCTTCCCATCAAAGCTTCAATGTTGCGTGGACCCTTTCCGTCACCGATGTCAACAGGCTTGGCCATCTGGATCTTATCCTCCTCAGTGAGAATACGGGTTTGTTTCATAAGGACTTCACGGTCATCTCCGTTTGCATATCTCCATTGGAGGTATTGGTTGGGAGTCTTCTCCATATGCATTTCCACGTGCTCCAATGCGTGCTGCTTGATATAACCAATTCGAAGGTTGGGGTGCTTCTCAACTTTTCCAGTCTGTGGAATTGTTTCACCAGTGAGGAGTTTCATCAAAGTAGACTTTCCCGCTCCGTTACCACCAATGATAGCAACACGAGATGACAGAGTAAGAGCACAGCTTGCATCGACCAATGATGGTTTGCTACTACCCGGGTAAGTGTAGGAACAGTTGGTCATGCGTAGGATAATGCGAGTCGAGGATTTGACCCCAGACAATATACCAGGAGGTGGGAATTTGAAATTTGCGTTGGCAGAGGATAAAGTATAGTAACTCTTTGCTTCTGGCTTAACTTTGACAAAGCTATGGTTAATTTTGTTAGCATATTGGCTAAATTTTTTATGGTTCAAAGACGACTTACTCTGCAAGGTTTCCCTTGTAGTGAACAAGCTTCTTCTGCTCATAATGGTATATATCTGTGCAGACCTCATCGAGGAATCCGGAGTCGTGGCTGACAATCAAACTAGTAACTTCTGTGTGTTTCTTCAGGTATTCCTGCAACCATTTCACATTGTGGACATCCAGATGATTGGTAGGTTCGTCAAGGAGGAGCACATCAGCTCCCATAACCATGGCTCTGGCAAGAGCAAGTTTCATCTTCCAGCCACCAGATAGAGACCCAACAGGTTGTTGCTGTCTTCCCTCTGGGCCAGGAGTGAAACCGACCTCGTTAAGGGCAGCGGAGATCTTCTCTTCACCGGCAGCAGCCATCTCCGGATCCTTCGTGACAAATTCCAAGACACTCAATTCTGCGTCCTCTCCTTGATTATGTTCGACAAAGCAAGTCTTCAAAACATCCTGGGGTGGGAAGCCTTCGAGTTTGCCATTGGCGATACTGCGCATGAGAGTAGACTTTCCAACACCATTCCGGCCACATAGACCATACCTATGGCCCTTGAGTAGTCTTAGATTGGCATGTGAGAGGAGGAGTCGGCCTCCGTAACCAAGGGAGAAGTTGGCATTAACAATTTCGATCTCCCCATCGTCCTCCTTAACGGGAACACCAAATCTGCGCTCATCTTCTGCAACGAAATGAGCTTTAACAGCAGCAGCAATCTCATCATGTCTTCCATCGGGAACAAAGGATTGAAGGTATGGACCAACACACACGGGGATACGCTCAAGGAGTCGTGAGTTGGCGTCATCTCGGATCATATTGGCAATATAATTCCTGCTGGTTTCCCAGAAACGTTTCTCATCGGTACCACTGAAGTTGGAGTATGGTTTCATTTGCTCCTCAAGAACGGCCTCCACCTGCTCTGTAGTGGCGCGTGAATCGGTGGTGCCAGCTTCATCATCACCCATGGCCTTATCGATAACGTTCATGGCTCTAGTGGCCAGCTCTCGGACTTCTGGAAGGGAAGCACCATCCTTGACACGCTGAACACCAGGTTTCAACTTAGGCAAAAAAGTTCTGGCTTCGACGGGGTCGTGGACAAGTCGGGTAAGATTCTCAACAACGACGACAGTTTGGCGGAGGACTTCTTGAGTGGTAGTTGGAGTATTGAGAGATCGCTCAAGGAGAGGAGTAAGCAATGCAAGAACTGGGGATGTCACAATGGCGACAAAGGTTGTTTGCGAGAGCGCATGGATAGCCTTCTGGAGGGTTTCGGTTGAGGGTTTCTCCATGGTTTTGAGGAGCAATGGAATTCGTGTGGCAACATCATCGTTATCAAGGACAGTGGACAGAGCAGTCATAGTTTTAACGGCTTGTTTAGCGACTTCTGCTTTCAAGTCATGCATTCCACTCTCAACAATAGGGATAAGGTCTTTCAATTTTTGGCCCAGGGTCAGCCGTAGAAGATCCTTAAGCTCCTCCTTCTCCTTGCTATCCGTTCCAATCTCTGCTCTCTTCGCCACTTTTTCAAGCAACTTGTATGCTCCTACAGTTCCCTGCCATTTTCCAGTGGGCTTGTTAAGGTATCGAGAAAGTGGCTCAACAAGGGCGTGAACCAAAGATTCCTCCTTCAGACATGCAAACAAAGCATCAATGGCATACTGAGCCGCTTCTCGAACCACTGCGCCCTTATCTGCTAGGAGATCCAATGCAAGGTAAAGCAGCCCGCCATCTTCAAGCAGGAAGATAACTTCACTCAGCGGGTTCTTCAAAGGATATTGTTCAAACAAAGCTCCAAGAATTAGCATGGAGCTCTCCCTCCTCGCACCATTTTTCTTATCCGTCGCCGCTTTCTTTATCTCTGGGATGACATTGAATGTGTGGAGGCACCGAACGCTTCCAGTGCTGATGAGGAGATTGGTAAGGCCGTAAGAAGCGTCCAACGCCTGCTGCGAGGTCTGCGCTTCAAATATGGTCCTCAGGAGGTGTGCAACGTCATCTCTGACAGCACCATCAGCAGCTTTCGACGCTACAGGAACGATTCTTTCTGACTGCATGGATGCGGTTTCGAGGAGGGGCATCTTAATACTGAAGCCCAACCTGTCGACGGTGTGGTGGGAGTGGAGAGTGTCGGCGCACAAAACAGTATAGAAATATCACATCCAAGGGAAGACAAGACAGAAAATCGGACTCAACAAGAATATAAACAAAAGGAGAAGCAGAAAACAACGGCCGCTGGCCTCTTGAAACAGCAGAAGAGGATGAAGATAAAAAAATATTTCGATGTTTTCCTTTTCGGGTTTCTATCGAGGGGCGAAAGAGTGCTTAGTCATCATATGAAATTTTCCTTATCGATTAGAGCTGCGATCCTGATTGGGCAAACCTTTTCTTCTATCAAAATCAACGTAAACGACTTCCCGTAACAACGACCGATGTCCGAACTAACCAACTGCCACTGCTCACTAGCATTTGCAATTGATGGACAGAGCTTATCATCTGGGCTTACGAGCTAAATTATGCGGTTTCTCTTTGTGTCAGGACCTGAAAATGGTCAAAGATAGGCGTCTTGCTGATGGTATTGAAGAGCCCTCTTACTCCGTACCTATGTATCAAATGAATGATAACAAGGATAAACAATCCCAGTCAACTGACTCCTAGGAAAGAAGACCGGGCGATTCGGATCCACGTAAAGCCGCACGTTTTCTGACCGTGCTTCCCCGTCGTTATATCTACGCTAATATTGACCAGGGATGCGGCAAAGCTCAGTGTAGACCATAACGATGGAAATTTTCGGGGACAGCTTCCTCAAATTGAACAACTCTCTGCTTTTGAGCCTTCAACATGAATGTTGCTCATAGGGTGGTAAAAACCTCGCTTTTCCTAGCAGTCGATCAATGAGGGGCCTATCAATTAGTTAACTAGCGCGGACGATCGCATGTGCCTCGTCTAAAGATGGCACCAATGGTAAATGATGTTGTGCCACTCCTGCGCGACCTGGCTGGCAATCCCTGTTGAAGGGCTACCAGCCGACTTTCCAACTGCCGCGGAGCACTGTATGCTGTTGCCAGCAGGTTTTTGGACGGGAGACGTACTCCGCATACCCTGAGCTCAGGTGTTGTGAAGGTGCTCATCGTAGCCGAGGTGTCCTTAGAATACAAAACAACGCCTTGACCGCGCTTCTCAGAAGTGACGTAGCCCTAGGAAGAAAAAATGTCTTCTACTGCCTGGTTACGATACCCTTTACTACTCGCATTTGGCATCCTAGTTTCTCAGGCGGCCGCACAAGGCAAAGGTGATGCCCTTAACTATGTCGACCAACTAATTGGCACAGCGAACGGCGGACATGCATTTCCTGGAGCCAGCCTGCCATACGGCATGGCTAAGGCCGTGGCTGATGTTGATGGCAGCGAAAACTACGGCGGCTTTACAATGGAAGGTAGCAATGTCACTGGTTTCTCACACATGCACGACTCTGGAACTGGCGGCAAGCCATCAATGGGGAACTTTCCACTCGTACCGCAGATATGTCAAGATGATGATATAAACAAGTGTAAGTTCTCGAAGGAGGACAGAGCAGTGCATTATCTTGCCGATAGTGTGAAAGCAATGCCTGGGTATTTTGCTGTAAAGCTGGATAATGGCATCGCTGCAGAGATGACAGTCACCGAACATACCGCATTATATCACTTTGATTTCCCTCCGAGTAGTGCCAACGCAAATGGGAGTTTACCGGTGATTCTGGTAGACCTAACCGACATACAAGACTCGAGGCAGAAGGCAGCTATTTCGGTAGACGAGAACACCCTTCGAGTCAAAGCAAATGGGACCTTTCTTCCTAGCTTTGGAATTGGAAGCTATAACTCCTTCGTCTGTGTTGATTTTTCTGGGGCAAAAGCAAAGGATACCGGAATATACATCAGCAATCGGGCAGGAACGCAACCCAAGTCTATATCCGTGGGGCGCGGATTCAATTTGTTCTACGTGAAGGCTGGAACGTATCTCCAGTTCCAGGCCTCGAATAATGGAATGACTCGAGTCAGCGCTCGTGTGGGCCTAAGCTTCATCAACGAGGACCAAGCTTGTAAAAATGCAGAGAAGGAAATTCCAGGGTCTAGTTGGGATTTTGAAAGGGTCCGCACCAATGCCGAAAAGGCATGGAGGGAAAAATTTGACCTTATTTCGGTGAAATCAGGCGGTGTCAGCGATAACTTTCAGCGGACATTTTGGAGTGCGATATATCGTACCATGATCTCACCGCAGGATTACACTGGGGAGAACCCACTCTGGCGCAGCAAAGAGCCATACTTTGATTCTTTTTACTGGTACGCTCAATGATGCGATTTTACAGGTGTGTTTGATTCTAACTGAGCTTAGTCTTTGGGATTCATTTCGCTCGCAGATCCCCTTGCTTGCCATAATTGACCCGAACACCCTGGCAAAAATGATACGCAGCCTCCTTGATACTTACAAGCACCAGGGATGGCTACCGGATTGCCGCATGAGTTTATGCAAAGGGTTTACCCAGAGTGGGTCCAATGCCGATGTTGTCATAGCCGATGCATATGTCAAAAATGTTACCGAAGACATCGACTGGGACCTTGCATACGAAGCTGTTGTCAAAGATGCTGAAGTTGAACCGTCGGACTGGTCTGTCGAAGGGCGAGGGGGGTTAATGAGTTGGAAGGCTGTTGGTTATATCCCCGCACAAGACTATGACTATCTAGGAACCGGAATCACAACACGGAGCATCTCACGAACTGTGGAATATTCGTATAACGATTATTGCATTGGAGTGTTAGGAAAGGAGTTGGGTAAAGAGTATGAAAAATATTTCCAGAGATCTGGAAATTGGCAGAATTTGTTCAAGGCAGATCAGACCTCGTTTATAAACGGGAAGGATACAGGCTTCGTTGGGTTCTTTCAGCCAAGATACCAGAACGGCTCATGGGGTTACCAAGACCCAATACTCTGCAGTAATATTGCAGAATTCTGCTCCCTTACCTCAAACTCGCAGGAGACATACGAGTCAGGCATATGGGAAAATCAATTGTTTGTTTCTCAACCTCAGATTCAACTAAACATCTAGCTAACTTTTTCTATAGTTTCGTCCCTCATGACATGTCAACACTGATCAACCTCCTTGGTGGTCGTGCCAACTTCGTTTCTCGTTTAGACTATCTTCATGAGTCAAATGTGTTAAATATTGGCAACGAACCGTCATTCTTGGCTACATTCTTATATCACTATGCTGGTCGTCCTGCCCTCTCCGCCAAACGCGCACATACCTATATCCCTTCTCGTTTCAATGACACGACCTCCGGTGTTCCTGGAAATGATGACTCAGGCGCGATGGGCAGTTTCACTGTCTTTGCAATGATGGGCTTGTTCCCGAATCCAGGACAAAACGTATACTTTATTATGCCACCCTTTTTCGAAGCCGTCAGTATCAAACACCCGGTAACAGGGAATACTGCAACGGTAAGAAATGTCAATTTCGACAATGGGTACGAGAATGTGTATATTCAACGGGCAACGCTGGATGGAGAGGAGTATACGCGGAATTGGATTGGACATGAATTCTTCCTAAACGGCGGAACACTTGAGCTTACGCTTGGAAAGGAAGAGAGTTCTTGGGGAACGGGACAGAATGATGTTCCACCCAGCCTTGGAACAGGAGTCAAGAGCGATGGACTTCGGTTTACGTAGGTGATAGAATATGTGTTCAAGATGAAATGACTTGATATTCTACACAGACAATATCGTATAACTCGAGAGGTAGCAATCAATCAACACACAGGTAGAGAGCAACGTTTCCTAGCCGTTTAGTTATACAATGTTCTCTGACAAAAAAGTAAATCACTATACATCTATCTATTGGTCGTTAATCTGTTGGTTCATTCTCTTGAATGGCACCTTTTTCGTATCTTTTAGTTAGGGTTGTGGGTGGTATAAAAGTTGAGTGAACATCTAGTTCTTGTTAGTCAAGTCCAAGAGACCCTGGAGGTTGATACTCTTTGGTCGCTCGATGGGGAGACCAAGGGCACGGCTCCAGATAAGCTGGGCGAGTGGGCCGAGAGCACGGCTGACACCGAAGGTGACGGTGTAGTAGAGTGGCTCCTGGAAACCGTAGTGATGGAAGAGGACACCGGAGGCAGCGTCGACGTTAGGGTGGGGGTTCTTGGTCTGAAACGTTGTTAGTACATTTGAGAGGAAAAAGAGAGCGGAGTCAACGGGTAGTGTTTACCTTGCCGTGCTCAGTAAGAACGCCAGGGGCAATCTCGGAGTTCTTCTTAACGAGTCTGAAGACGGGGTTCTCCATGATCTCTGGGCGAGTGCTGGCAAAGTCCATGAGAGCCTCGAAACGAGGGTCGGGCTTTCGGAGAACACCGTGACCATATCCAGGAACGACCTGGCCGGACTTGAGGGTGGACCAGAGGTAGTCCTTGACATCCTGGTCGGTGAAGTTGTCACCGATCTTGGCCTTCATGTTCATGATCCATCGGAGCACCTCCTGGGCAGCGAGGCCGTGAAGAGGGCCTGCAAGACCGAGAAGACCAGCGCTGTAGCTGAGGAAAGGATCGCTGAGAGCAGATCCAACCAGGTGAGTGGCGTGGGCAGAGACATTGCCTCCCTCGTGGTCACCGTGAAGAGCGAGGTAGAGACGGAGGACGTCGTGGAAGCTGTCGTGCTCCTTGCCGCCCTTGCCAAGCAGGGCAGCGAAGTTGTATGCCCAGTCCATGTCAACATCGAGTTTCTGGGCACCGACAGCATCAACCTCATTGGGGCGGAAGACCAAGGCAGCGATACGTGGGATCTTGGCAAGGAGAGCAATGCTGTCATCGAAAGTTGGCTCCCAGTAGTCGGCCTTGTTGATGCCATCGGCATAGGCCTTAGCAAACTTGGACTCGGTGTTCAAGGCGGCAACAGCAACAGACAACTGGGTCATTGGGTGCATATCCTTGGGGAACGACTTGACGAGGTCGAGGATGTGCTTTGGGAGGTGCGACTTCTCAGCCAGCTCGCGGGAAAAGGCGCGGACCTGAGCGGTGGAGGGAACCTGGCCAGTCAAGAGGAGCCAGAACATAGCCTCTGGCAGCATCTCGGTACCAGTGGTGCCCTTAGGGAGCTCCTTTTGGCAGTCCTTGATGGTCTTGCCGTGGAAGCGGATGCCCTCGTTGGCGTCGAGAACAGAGCCCTCCCAGACCATGGCCTTGAGGCCTCTCATACCGCCAATTGTGTTGGCAACAGTGACCTGGCCGATGTTCTCGTCGGCACGGGCCTTGACCTGCTTGAGAAGCTCTCGCTTGGCTGGGATAGCATCCTTGAAGACGGACTTGAGGTCTGGTTCAGCGGTGGCATAGGACCGGGTGCCCAGCTGACGGGAGGACTTCTGTACCCAGCAGTTAGTAAATAGCCGCCCTTCCTTCCCCCCGAGCAACCGCAACAACCTACCTGGGCAGCCCTAAGCGCCTGTCTCGTAGCTCTCGCAGTAAAAGCCATTGTATCTCTCGATCGTACGGTTAGTTCGATGTTTTGATCCTGAGTCTGCGGCGGTCGTCGTTGTTGCGGCGAGAAAGAGTCGGGAGTTGCTCTTTATAGGTTGAGTTTAAGCTCGCGCACGGCTCGGTTTTCCGCGGTAAACTTTGGTCGGCTGCCTCGGCTGGATTTTCACGTCGGCCTCGAGCGCCGAAGATATCAACACGAACGAAGATATCAAAGCAAGCAGACAAGACGAGGACGGCGACGATAAAGAAGAAGAAAAGGAAAACAAGGGATAAACAGAAGAGAAAAGAAGTGGAAGAAACAGGATGCTTCGCTCAGTGTCACGCCAGCTGCCGCGAGCTCTCCGCAAGCCGACACCCGCATTCCCCACGATTCGCTTCCTCTCCAGCACTAGCCTACGCATGGCCGCCAATCTCCCCCCCGTACGCCCTCCTGTCTCGTCGGCGCTTCCAGCAGATTCATACCAACTCCTATCGACTGCTGAGAAGGCCGGTGTGGCCGAAGATGCCTTGTTCGAGGAGCAGATCAAGGCCGTAAACGAGTGGTGGGCCTCCGCCAGATATGAGGGCATCAAGAGACCATACTCCGCCGAGGCGGTGGTGAGCAAGCGAGGTGCCTTGCAGCAGACATATCCCAGCTCGTTAATGGCAAGAAAGCTGTTCAATTTGCTGAACGAACGAGCCGCAGAGGGCAAACCAGTCCACACCCGTCAGTAACATCTCTCTCAGATTTGATTATAAATGCACTTCGGCTAATACGATATTGGTTATAGTGGGAGCAATTGACCCTGTACAGATGACCCAGCAGGCGCCAAACCAGGAGGTGCTTTATATATCAGGATGGGCGTGCTCATCTCTTCTTACCTCCACGAACGAAGTCTCGCCGGACTTTGGAGACTACCCATACAACACCGTGCCAAATCAGGTACAACGCCTGTTCAAGGCCCAGAACATGCATGACAGGAAGCATTGGGATGCAAGGCGGAAGTTGTCGCCGGAAGAGCGCAAGAACACTCCTTATATTGACTACATGCGCCCTATTATTGCAGACGGTGATACCGGGTAAGCAGATTTTCCTTGGGCTGGAGAGATAGAGGTTTTATGTGCTTACGAAACACTAGACACGGCGGCCTCACAGCAGTTATGAAGCTAGCCAAATTGTTTGCCGAGAACGGTGCTGCAGCCGTACACTTTGAGGATCAATTGCATGGCGGCAAGAAGTGTGGCCATCTTGCCGGCAAGGTTCTCGTACCCATTGCCGAACATATCAACAGATTGGTTGCGGCCCGCTTCCAATGGGATATCATGGGCACTGAGAACCTTCTTATCGCGCGAACAGATTCCGAGAGTGGCAAGCTACTCAGTAGTACCATCGACGTTCGAGATCACGAGTTCATCCTGGGTGTGACGGAGGAGGGTGATCCTTTAGCTGAGACTTTGCAGAAGATGGAGCTGGAAGGCGCTTCCGGCGCAGAAATTGATGTCTTCGAAGCCCAATGGGTTAAGAAGCATAAACTCGTTACATTCGACGAAGGTAAACCCGCCCTATTTTTTTTACCTACCTGTGTCTCTTACATTTACCGTTACTAACATTACCCAGCCGTGGACAATCACCTTGCTGCCGAAGGCGCCTCCGAGTCCGTTAGAAATGAATACAAATCACACGTTCAGCAGAACCGTGATCTCTCAATCTCTGCTCGCCGTGAATTGGCCGCCAAATACACTAAGAACCCCGTCTTCTGGTCCTGGGACATCCCACGCACCCGTGAGGGCTTCTACCATTACCGTGCTGGCAATGAAGCAGCAACCAAGCGTGCTATTGCATTTGCTCCCTATGCAGACCTCTTGTGGGTTGAGACTGGAGACCCCAACGTCAGCAAGGCGGCAGACTTTGCTGGCAAGATCCGCAAGCAATTCCCCGGCAAGAAGCTGGTGTACAATTTGAGCCCCTCGTTCAACTGGATGGGACAAGGATTCACCGAGAAGACCCTCAAGTCATTTATTTGGGATTTGGCAGAGCATGGGTAAGTCATTTTTTTATTCGGTTTCTTGGTGACGTTCCTGTAGCTAACTGGGGTAACTTTCCAGGTTCATTCTACAACTCATCTCTCTTGCTGGTCTGCACTACAATGCCACGATGGCCACCGAGCTTTCTCGTGGGTTCAAGGAAGACGGCATGCTGTCTTACGTCAACCTGGTACAGAAACGTGAAAAGGAGATAGGCGTTGATGTTCTCACACATCAGAAATGGAGCGGTGCACCGTATGTTGACGGTATTGTGGGATCTATCCTTAGCGGTAGCAGTTCAAACAAGAGCATGGGTGAAGGAAACACTGAAGACCGTAAGTCATGATCACCCCTATATATTAGTTGCACTACTAATGATTAAACTATAGATTTCTAATTGTGGGTAAGGGATACCTACCTCCCCTATAAACGCCTGTGGACGTCAAGTCTAGTAATGTATACTATAGACAATCCCATAGGGTCTTGCTTGATCGTGTAATTTATGAATGAATATTGGAATATAACAGATCTTATCCACTTGCTGCTACTTCTCCCACACACCAGCGTAAACTACTTCATGACAAGATGCGACTATCTATTTCAAAGCCTTGCACCTCCTCCGACAATCCTCTCCCACTCCTGGTCTTCAAACTCTTCATACGTATTACTCTTTGGTTTAAGCCATAGAATCTTATCCTCCTTTCCACCTTCAGACTTTGTTCCTCTCCTCGATGGGTCAACACCCTCTTCACGTAGTCCAACCTTGTTCTGCTTGTGGTTATGTATGTGTGCAGAGGAGCCTACCAGCCTTATAAAGACTGGCACCGCATACTTGGGTAGTCTCTCGCGAGCATGCTTGAGAAGTGCGTCCCATTTGAAGCTCGCGAGAGCCTGGGGGTCAATTAAAAGGGCAGCACAGCCTGCTCGTCCTTCATGATTTGGTACAGTGACACCGTAGACATTCGCCTCAGAGACTCCAGGAAACTGGCCCAGTACCACGGCTACTTCGGCTGTAGAGACGTTTTCGGACTTCCATCTAAACGTGTCGCCCAGGCGGTCGAGGAAATGCCAGTGTCCGTCGTTGGTCCGTCGCAGCGAATCTCCACATCGATAATACAGATCTCCTTTCTTAAACACATCGCGGGCAAACTTCTTCGATGTAGCAGATGGATTGTCCCAGTAACCCTGGAACGCATTTTCATCAGGGATGGCGACCAGGATCTCCCCTCCGATCTCATAGGGACTGCGAGTAGCAAAGCCAGTTTTGGGATCACGCAGAATATCTCCCGTCACCGGGTCGTTGGCAACAGGCACATAGACATTGTGCAGCAACTTCCGAAGAATAAGACCATGATGGCCGACACAGGCAGCCTGGTACGGTCCACGATCAAAGTTGAACAACGAAAACATACCTTCTGTGCTGCTGAAGAATTCCGCGATGGTCGAGATATTGAAGCGGGTTCTGAACTTCTCCCATACATCGGGCCTCAGGCCGTTACCGTACGCTGTGCGTACGGAATGCGCCTTATCCAGTGGCGAGGGGGGTGCAGCGAGTAGATATCTTGCTATTTCACCTACGTAGACGAAATGCGTGGATTCAGAGTCGATAATGTCATGCCAGAACGAGGAGACGCTGAACCGTTTGCCGAGCGCGACACAGACGCCGCCTACTACGCAGACAATCATATTGATTCCTCCCGTCCCATGGTAAAGAGGCATGCAGTTATACCATCTATCAGGTCCGCCGGGGGAATCACGCAATGCTCGAGTGCCGAGGATTTGGCTGATGCGCTCTAAGGTAAATGCGCAGGCTTTAGGAAGACCAGTTGTGCCACTGGTATAGAGGAGACATCCTGGGAATGAGGGAGACATATTCCGACGGAGGGAAGCATCTGGTGCAGTTTTCGGTAAAGCATTGATCTGTTTCTTGAATTCGTCATCCAGCAGAATGGGGGTAATGCGAAGCTCTTTCTCGATCTTTGACCGTTCCTCTTCTAACCTAGATTTACAGATAGGATCATTATCAACGATCAACAGGTTGGCTCCGCTGACTTTTACGCAGTGTAGCAGCGCTCCTCCGGCTAGGTTATAGTTGATGAATGCCGGTGCGGCACCGATTGACCAAAGACCCAGCCAGATAGCAGGGAAGTCTGCGCAGTTTTGCAGGTATGTAGCTACTAGCTGCCCTGGCTGCACGCCCTGGGAGCGAAAGTAGTGCGCATACTGACATGCAACATCATGGAGTTCACGAAAGGTGTAGCATGTCTCTCGTGTCCAGACGGCGCGAACAGAGGGGTATTTCTTCACTGCGTCCTCGAACAGAAACCATGGGCAAATGGTGCCATTCGCAACTATAAACCATCAGCTTGGGTACCAGAGAGAATTCAGATCGAGCAGAGGTATAGGTACCTCTTGCAGCAACCTTTCTCTCGCTTCTCTTCATTGAAATGATAGAGGATATATCAGAAGCCAGCTGGTATTTCCCATTGAGATACGCAAGCGCCGTACCGCCAGCAACAGCAGCTACAGCCAGTTAGCGTATGTCCTGCCTCATATCGTAAAACTAGATGAATACTTACCCGCGAGCGCCATCTTTCGAATTTATCAATATAATGACTGACTCTCTACTCTCAATCGCTAAGTTGTGAAGTGGCCGTTCGACGGACACCCGTCTGACGGGCCAGAGATGTCTCTCATTGTGCTGTACCCCCGGCATCTCGGAATCTCCACCATCCTGCTCCCGAGCCAACGAGCTCCCCTGCTGTACCATGGCTGCTGTGTGTTGCTGGACTGGCTGCAGTTAATAATCCAACCAGCGTTTTCAGGGGTTGTTCAGGGATGATGGAGAAACGAAAAGGCGGAGTAACACAATTATGCAGTGTAGGCGAGAGGAGTTGGACCTCGGCATCTCGGCGGCTAAGCAGACGGCTATTATTCGTCCGCCCCAACGCTCCACTCCAACGCTGCGGAGCGGATACATATGTCAGTCTGCTATTGTACGCTGTACTGTTTATTATGAGTTGGTATTTGGTGATAATTCAGTGACGGAGCAGAGAATAAATGATTAAAGACGTACGAATTTGGTCATTTCCGATCTGGTATTTTTAATCGCTAACAAAAGACTACAATCTATGGTCTATGGGGCAGTTACTCCTTAACATACAAGTCAACATACTTGTCGACATCCATCTCCTCGAGAGTCTTCTGCTCGAGTCCGAGGTCGATGAGCTCCTTGACGCGGGAGGCGTCGAAGTGGCCCTCGAGGTGACGCTTGTACTTAGCGAGGATCTCAGGCTTGGCCTCCTCACGTCTGAGTCTGTGTCCCAGAGGAGCGTCGACGACAACCTCGTCGAGGACGGTACCATCGTTGAGAGTGACGGTGAGGGCATTGGGGATGGTGCGGAGGGCAGGGTCGTGGTAGTCCTTGGTCATCTGGGGGTCCTCGACACAGCGGATGCGGGTGCGGAGAGACTCGACGACGGGGCAAGTGGCGGCCTCGGAACCGTCAGTGTAGTCGCTGGCAACCAGGCGGTTGAAGCGAAGCATGGTGGCAACCATGTACTGGATGCAGTGGTCACGGTCGGCGAAGTTGTCCATGGGCTTGAACTGCTTGTCGATGATACGGACGCAGGCCTCGTGGGTGCGGATGGTGACCTCCTTGATGTCCTCGGCAGACTTGCCCATGGACTTCAGGGTGGCATTGATCTTGGTGGCGGCCTCAATGGCAGTTTGGGAGTGGAACTCAGCTAGTAGGTGTCAATAGTTAGAATAATGCGTTGAGTAGGAAGCTAGGGGGGCTGAGTGGGGATCATACCAGGGTAGGAGACCTTGAAGAGGACATTCTCCATGACGTAGCTGTCGTAGTCACGCTGGAAGGCAAACTTGTTGCCCTTGAAGAGGACGTCGTAGAAACCCCAGACGGGAGCAGAGAGGACGGTGGGAACACCGGGCTCGCCCTTCTGAACCTTGAGAACGAGGTTGACGGCACGCTGGCAGGCGTCACCGGCAGCCCAGGACTTACGGGACATGGTGTTTGGAGAGTGGCGGTAGGTACGGAGAGACTGGCCGTCAACCCAGGCCTGGGTGATGGCGTCGGCGGTCTGGCGCTCAGTCAAGCCCATAAGCTTGCTGACGACGGCAGTGGTAGCGACCTTGACGAGAACAACGTGGTCGAGACCGACCTTGTTGTAGGAGTTCTCAAGGGCGAGAACACCCTGGATCTCATGGGCCTTGATCATGGCCTCGAGGACATCACGGACCTTGAGCACCTTGCCGTTGGCGAGAGAGCCTCCAGCACGGTTGGTTCGCGAGATCCAGTCAGCGACGGCCAGGATACCACCGAGATTGTCGGACGGGTGACCCCATTCGGCAGCGAGCCAGCAGTCATTGTAGTCGAGCCAGCGGATCATGGCGCCAATGTTGAAGGCACCGTTGACCGGGTCGAGCTGGTAGGGAGTTCCTGGGACACGGGTGCCATTGGGGACTGTGGTGCCAGGAACAATTGGGCCGAGCAGCTTGGTGCACTCAGCGAACTTGAGGCCCTCGAGACCGCAGCCAAGGGTATCGAGGAAGACCCAGCGAGCAGTGTCAAACTACTATCATCAGCACGTCCATCTTGCATTTAATTTTCATGGTTAATTTTTTCTGCTACGGCTATGGAGGGGCAACTGACAGCGAGATCCGACTTGATTTCGTGGTTGTGGATGTAGGAAGCCATATCGTTGATCTCAGGGTCGTAGCTGCGAGGCGCCGCCGGGGCGACTGGCGCATTGGAGGAGAGAGCAGCCATGGTCGAGAAGGGGGCAGAAGTGCGTCGTGGTGAGGCCGAAGCTGGGAGACGCAGAGAGCGAAGAGGAAGAGGAAGCGCAGGGCGGGCTCTGAGGGCAAGCGAGCGTGGGGCGCAAGTCAGGCGCCGGAGCGGAGCAGCGGCAGACATCTGCAGAGTTATATAATCAGAAATCAGCCAGGTTCAGCGTTCCGGGGCCGGGACGCAGCAAGCACCGGGCCCAGCAGCAGCTTGTGATAAGCTGCCAATTAAGTGTGACAATAACACCAATTGAGTTGGGGCGAGGATCTGATAAGGGATTCAGGTGAAAGGGGGCGGGACGTACCTCTGTAGGAAGGAATTAACGGCTGCTTTGCTATAAGGAAGAAGGGGCGACGGAGGAGAAGGAGAAAAGAAGGAAAGGAGGAAGAAGAAGGAGGAAGTTGCGAAGTTGTTGAAGTTGAAGGAGACGAAAAAAGAAGGTTGGACATGCCGGGCCGAGGCTAGCCGAGGTCAGCTGACGAGATCAGATGCCGATTGAGATGAGATGAGATAAGATAAGATAGAGATTAGATGGACCTCAGACTCAATTTAGGTAAGACAACAGCCATTACTTAACTTAGGTAACTAGTACAGTATGAAGAAAACAAGAACATTAGATCAATCAATAGTGATGGGCTCGTCGGACTCGGTTGCGGCAGCGTCAGTGTTTTTAAGCGATTTGATGACCTCCTCAAAGACAGCCCGCGCGAGGACAGGAGGCACTGCGTTGCCGATCTGCTTCATCACGCCCGGGCCACAGAAGGTGTGGTGCAGCGGGAAAGTCTGCAGTGAGGCTGCCTCGCGCAGAGTAAAAGTCCTTGTCCCCGATGGATGGAAGTTGTCTCCCCCCGAACAAGTCAGCGTCTTCGCTAGGCTGCATGGGTTGTACGGCGGTCGATGGAAAGGTCGCTCCGCGCGCTCTAGGTCATGGTCGGGTGCTGTGCTGGGTATACCGCTGATGGCATCAAGAATTGTAACTGGAGGTAGTTGCCCTGGTTCGTCTCCATGAGTGGGCAGGGGGAAATTTGGTAGTTCTTCGCCGGGGCCGGAAGCTATAATCACCAACCTGCGTCGAGACTGTGGCACGCCGTAGTCTTTGCAGTTGACTAGCCGCCATCTCACACTGTAGCCGAGCTCAACCAGGGAGTGGATAATTGCATGGAGCCAGATCTCATGGCGTTCCTTCAGCCCACTCGTCTCCTCCATTGTGACCACTCGCGGTCTACATTTCTCTATTAGCCGGCGGACGCTAAACAGACACGCTTCGTTGGCATCATCGTGTGCTGCTGCTATGGTCTTTGCAGGTGAGAAGGGCTGGCAGGGTGGGGAGAGATGCAACACATCTATCCTTATATCCAAAGATCTGTTGGTGAGGAAGTCCGCTACATCACTCGTCTCAGCCAGGGAGGAAGGGAAGTTAGCTCGATAACTGTTCATGGCTGATGGCGAGTGGTCAAAGGCCCATGAAAGCCTCAACCCAGCCTGCTGCGCGCCTCTTGACACTCCACCAGCACCGCAGAATCCGTCTCCAAAGGTATATCGCCGTCTACTCGGTACAACTCCACGCCAGTTCATCCGTAAAACCGCGGTAGAGACAGAGAAAGCAGGCTGACATTGCTCTGGTGAAACAAAGGTGATCGTTTCCTCCACTATACGAGCGGCGGCACTACGTCCAGACGCTGATACTGATCGCTCCCATGTTCGGATGAATTTCATCCTGCAGAACAAGAAATCATCGTCTCTGCACTGGTCTGTCGTACGGGTATAGGGTTTGTTGGTCATTCTGATGATTCTCACGCGACGGATGGCAGAGAGCGGTACCTCCACCTCTCCATTGTATGGTTGGTACTGGAGATTACTGCTGCTGCTGCTGTGGCAATCTCCTTGATCAACGATCCAGCAAAGCTCATTGGGTCGGTCTGGCATTAAGCTCCCCATGGTTTCTAGACGCTCGAATTTTGGTCCGGATATGACAGTTTCCTGCATCGACGATAAGATCCTATTGATCCGTAGAAATGTACCATAGTGTAGCTCTACGTATTTCCCGGGACGATATGTCCGCCCCTGGTACGTAATCTCGCTAACTTGAGTTCTTGGTGGGAGCGCCTGCTGTGCCTGGGTTATCCTGCTCCGCCTGGCTGTCCGTCGTGGAGGACTCGGCGAGCCATCATTGCCGGACAAACAGTTGATATAAGCCTCAAAGTCCTCGTCAGACATGAAGTCATCCCGCCTGAATGATGAAGATGGTGATAGAGAGGATGCTGGCGATGAATATTCGTTTCTACCTGTCGTAGTATTGCCGCTGTTGATGCTCTCGCCGTCAGAGTCCAGGTCAATTACTGGAACTATCTGGATATCCTCCATCGTTCCTTGGGTCCGGCTCGAATGTGCTGAAGGTCAACAGTGTCTGTCCTGTTTCCAGAAAGGCCTGGAGTAAAAGCAGAAGAAAAGATAACATATCTCTAGCATCGCTGCTGGAGGTTTTTATATATCTGTGTTAAGGGGGCTGGGGTGTGTGTGTCTGTCTGTCTGTGTTGTTGCTTGTCCTGTTCAGCAACACAGCACAGTGGGTATCACACAGAAACGTAAACATCTTCCAGACTAAGGCTACCACCTTGTAGGAGTCTTCCTTATCCTTATAGCTCACAGTCACCATCTTTATCTTTATTATCTGCTGCCTTCTTCTATTACCTCATCTTTCTTTGCTGTGTTTCGGCTGTGTTGCTATCAAATTGATGCTTATATTCGTATCTTACCCACTACTAGCCGTGTACTGTATTGTCACAAAACATGTCCTCTGACTACCCTATCGCCAAGTCTTTGTAATTTCACTATTTTCATTGGCTATTACTTTACAAACGATTGTACCGCCATTACCAGAATTACATCTCAATCTTTTTTTTTTTCTCGCTTTTTTTTTTGGCGAGAAAGAAAGAAAAAAAATTTCTTGCTTAGAAGAAGAAGAAGAAGAAAATGAACAACTCCGGCTTCAACTTTGCATTCACTGTTAATGTGAATTTCCTTGACTCAGGCACTTTTCATACTGTGCCTTACGAGTGATCTTGTCTGCCCTACTTGCTGCTATTCTCACAATGAGTCTGCTATCCTAGGCGTGTCCTTTGCCACAAAAAGCCCGTCTGAGATATCACATTTAACCGACTCTTGAACCGCAGCGACTCTCTATACAACCAGGTACGGCCTCTTTACAGAGATATATATCATTATATCTACTCCGTATATACTCCCTTGCTACAGGATGATTCAAATGGAAAAAGGATGTTAGACTACTGAATCTCATCTGTGGATAAATCCAATGATATCTGACCGCTTCAGCGCTCTCAATCTCGACGTGACTTCTACGTACATATCTATATCTTATCTACACCATGGCTAATTATTATGGATGATACAGCAAGATGTGTGGCATTCTAGCCCTTATCCTCGCTAATACCAGTGAGGCAGCGAGTGTCGATCTCCATGAAGCCCTCTACCTCCTACAGCACCGTGGCCAGGACGCCTGTGGTATAGCCACTTGCGCCTCGGCCGGCCGTATCTTCCAGTGCAAAGGTGAACTACTTAAGCCTACATGTACCTGTCGAGTACCAATGCTAATACAAGTTTGCAGGCAATGGAATGTGTGGAAAGGTCTTCCAAGATGGCCAGCGCGTTGCGGATCTACCTGGGTTCATGGGGTATGTCTTCTCTTGCAGTATTGAACTTTTTGAGTATATCTAACGGTTTCTCAACGTAGACTTGGCCATTTGAGATATCCCACCGCAGGAAGCTCAGCCAACGCAGAGGCTCAGCCGTTCTACGTCAACAGTCCCTATGGCATCACCCTCGCACACAACGGTAACTTGATCAACGCTCCAGAGCTGAAGAGATACCTGGACTATGAAGCGCACCGTCACATCAACACCGACAGCGACAGCGAATTGATGCTTAATATCTTTGCCAATGAGCTCAACGAGACCAAAAAGGCTCGTGTGAACGTGGAAGATATCTTCGCTGCGCTTAGTCGGATGTATGAACGCTGCGAAGGTGGATGGGCATGCACCGCTATGCTCGCCGGATTCGGCGTACTCGGCTTCCGTGACGCATACGGAATCCGACCATTGATCATCGGCTCTCGGCCTTCGCGGAGCGGACCGGGAATGGACTACATGATGGCCTCGGAGTCCGTTGCTCTGGACCAGCTCGGTTTTACTAACCACCGTAACATCGTACCGGGCGAAGCTGTCATCATCCAGAAGGGCCACGAACCTGTCTTCCGCCAGGTACACCCCAGACTCAACTATACCCCGGACATCTTCGAGTACGTCTACTTCGCTCGTCCAGACTCGGTCATCGACGGAATCAGCGTATACCGCGCTCGGCAACGCATGGGTGAAAAGCTCGCAAAGCGAATCATCTCCGTTCTCGGCCCGGACGCTATCAAAGACATAGACGTTGTTATCCCTGTGCCCGAAACTTCCAACACCTCCGCCGCTGCTCTTGCCCGATACTTGGACAAGCCTTACTCTCAAGGTTTCGTGAAGAACCGGTATGTTTTCCGGACGTTTATCATGCCGGAGCAGAAGGCTCGGCAAAAGGGAGTCCGTCGGAAATTGAACGCCATGGCGTCGGAGTTCAAGGACCGAAACGTCCTGTTGGTCGATGATAGTATTGTTCGCGGTACCACAAGTAGAGAGATTGTCATGATGGCCAGAGATGCCGGGGCAAAGAGCGTCTTACTTGCTAGCTGTGCTCCTGAGATAGCGTATGTTCCCCTTGCTTTTTCCCGTCACATTTACTAACTGCCATATAGCCATCCTCACATCTATGGCATCGACTTGGCCTCTCCCCGTGAATTGGTTGCTCATGATCGTGACATCAAGGCGATCACAGCTTACATCGGTGCCGATGCCGTCATTTACCAGACTCTGGACGACCTTATCGCTTCTTGTGCCGAAATATCCACTGAAGGCGGTAATGCAGACCCCGTTAAGTTCGAAGTAGGTGTTTTCAACGGTATATACACCACTCCTGTCTCAGCCAACTACTTCGAACACGTAGAGAAGCTGCGCGGCGAAGGCAGAAAAATCAAGAGAGTTGAAAGCGCCAGGGCCGCTGTTCTCAATGGTGCCGCGAGCCATGAGAATCTCCTCATCGCCTCTAGCAAAGTCGACCTAGACGCCAACGGGAAACCACTTATCGTTGACACCGTCAGACCTGTGGTAGATGCTGGTATTGCCAATTCTACCGATTCGTCTTTGCAGGCGCAAGCTCAGGCGGATAATAGCCAATGTCAACCCCGAAAATCCACCGAAGCTCCACCTCACGTCAAAGATAGAATGGACATCAGCATTCATAACCTCGGCGATTATTAAATCACACATTCCCCCAACCAGGCTCGACCGATACCTCTTGTTAGAGGAGCTCCTTTCCATTGTGCCCCTTTCGGTCTCCCTTTCTCCCTTTTTTCCCACTTTTTTCCCTTTCTTCTCTATAGAGCCATGACTTGAACGTTTGAATGACCATGAATAAACATAAAAGACCAACCGCGAGGTTGCCACATTCTTTTGCCCTTTCTGGCCTTGCCCTCTTGTTCAGAGCAGCGCAGGACATCCGGCTGCTTCTGCTACTCCTATCCCCAACCTTGACCCCGATTTGACTTCCTTATGAAAAGCAAACGTGATGTCAATGAAGAGAGATGGAATAAAAGTATGGTAACACCTAGGCATATACATGCTAAGTGTAGGTAACGAAGCTGAATATAAATGCAAGTTAAATACAATCACATATTCGCTCGCTTTTTCTTTCTTTCCCCTTTTCACGCTGGTTTAGGACCAGCCTGTGTCTGAGCTGTATGATTCTCCTTATACTCCTCAAGGGCTACTCATTACTCCGTATAGCATACTCCTATAACAAACGAAAACCATACTCTAAAATTATATTAACCGCTAGTATTGTTCTGTAGGTTCCCTTTATTTTTGAGCTTACACCAAGATACTAAACCATGGATCTGTGAAGGTCAGCCCTGGTATTAAACTCAATATCGGCAGTGGCGGATAATATAGTTTTTTACATCATAGTTTGGTAATAGACAAACACTTTTTGTCACCAATGCCTGGGATTGTTCTCCTTAAGGAATTCCGTCACTTACTTGTCTATCTTGGAGGCTTTGGTCACTATCCCTATGCGATCAAACGATCAGTACAGTGGAGTATAGCTTTATTACCTTCTAAGCTTCTTTCAAACCTGCTAGATAGTGCCGTTTGCTCTTCTCAGACAAAGAGTTTTGATTTAAATACCCGTTCAAAGAAAAAAAGAGAGACAACGTAAAGAATAGAAGCGAAACAGAGACAGAGCTATATCAACATCCGAAACATCAAGGCCTGTCTTATACTGAGTTATACCTATTCAACAAGTATTTAAAACATATCCTTTTCCTCCTCATCAACATGACCCGGAGTAAGAGCAATATAGCTTCTCTATCCCAAGGGCAGCAGGATATACCTGAGAGCGATGGGCTTGCAACACCTCAGGATCACTATCGCCAATATTTAGACGGTCCGCCGCCACATACGGAACCTAGATATGCAACAAGACAACAGAAGAGACAAGCCATATCCGATGCTTCCTCTGCTTCTTCCGCAAAGAGAGCGAAGGCGAAAAAGGAGGTTTGGAAGCCAGTTCCAGCCATCCACGAGCTACCACATAATCTCGGTAAAATTGAGATTCTCGATGCTGTGGCCGTGGGTTCAACGCAAGAGTCCGTGGCTCACTCGACACCCAAGCTACATCCAGCAGCTAGCAGTCCCTCGCAAGCTCCCTATGAAGCAGTAACATCTAAGCCACGTCGAAATCGTGGACCGAGAAGCCCATATGGCCTAACACCGGGGATTAGCCCCTTTCCAGACTGGCAACACCCCACAATAGAAGAATGTGAGGAAGTTAACAGGCTCCTTTCTTCGGCCCATGGAAAAATAATAGCTCCAAAGGCAATACCACCGCCTTCGTTGACTGTATCCGGTTGTGGAGAGGTTCCCAGTATTCTCGATGCTCTGATCCGGACACTTCTTAGCGGTGCAACGACGGGCAACAACTCAGCCATGGCATTCCAGGGTCTGGTGCGCAAGTTCGGCATCCTCAACGAGGGTATAGGTAAAGGAAGCGTTAACTGGAATAAGGTCCGTGAAGCCCCGGTGGAAGACATCTACGAAGCAATGAAATGCGGTGGCCTCGGTGTCGCGAAGAGCAAATATATCAAACAGATTCTTGAAATGGTATATACGGAGAACAGAACTCGAAGAGACGCACTGGTTGAATCAAAATCCGGCAAACATCTCGACCTCACACAAGCCCCTGGGTCTGTAAAGAAGACGGAGGAGCAGAAGGACAATGAGATCGCCATGGCGGACGAGAATGTCCTCTCCCTTAATCACCTTCACTCGTTATCAAAGGACGAAGCTATGCTGGAATTCGTCAAATATCCTGGCATCGGCGTCAAGACGGCCGCCTGTGTCGTTCTATTTTGTCTTCAACGCCCCTGCTTTGCCGTCGATACGCATGTTTTCCGCCTTAGCAAGTGGCTTGGTTGGATTCCGTCAGATAAAGTCAACGAAATTACTGCCTTCAGTCACCTTGAGGTGAGGATTCCAGATAATCTCAAGTACTCGCTGCATCAGCTGTTCATACACCATGGCAAAGCCTGTCCTCGATGCCGTGCCATTACAACAGAGAATAGCCAGGGGTGGGAGACTGGATGCGTCATAGATCGCCTCGTTCAGCGGACCGGGAAGAAGAAAGATGGGCCACTGAAACAGACAAAGCTCAGCTTCAAAGTGAACAAGCTTGCAGGTAAGCTTGCAGACGGTGGTAAAATAGATAGCACACCAGAGAGCTCATCATAAGGGAGAAATTTCCAGCGAGCTTATGCGACTGAGGACTCATAGACAAAGGTTGCGGGCTGAGGACGGTAGTCCAGGAACTCCCCCGTCTACCTGACGGCCCCTATCAGCCGCACCATCGACTACCGTCCTACCACGACTATCTCAAGCAACACATACCTCGGGGTATTTAAATAACGAACTAATGGACGATGCAGAAATCGTTGATGATAAAATGGCGGACTCGGCAACAAACGAGCGCATTGGCAAACTCCTGGTCAAATCCACCACTAACATCGCCTCTGGGTTTTCGTCAGTATATCAATGAGGAAGCTGAAGTATTCGGCGTTTTAATAGCTTATGTCTACGACGACGGTAACAGCCGTAGTATGTGTATAGGCAGTCTGGCAATGGCCTCACGGAACACACATTTCAAGACTCAGCCAGCAGTTTTCAACTTATCAAAAACAACATCACCAGTTCGACCTGCTTCATCACCAGAAGAGCCACCAGAGCCATCGATCCATCAAATAGCTCGTGTAAGTCATCTCTATATGCATATCCCTTGCGATATTCGCATTTTAAACCCGAACTACTCCAAACCTTCCAGGGGTATATGTACTTGCGCGGATAAAACCAAGAACAAAGAAAATGTGTTGATGAGGTATGTTCTTACAATTATTAGATTAGAGTTGGTTTAATAGTATATTCTAGGCTGAGTATACGAGGAAAATACTAGAGCTATTGGTATAGAGCTTACTCGCCATGGAATCCTAACCAATATTGACGATGCCGAAGGGAACTTTTCGCTGCTAGAGCGAATGAAGGATATGGGGCCAATTTCAGATTTAGAACCACCCAGGTTTTTGACAGACCTTCCGGGCGAGCAGAAGATGCCACAGATAGCCAAAGATTACATGCACGATCTTAGGTCAGCGGTTGAGTATGCTGGTGGCAAATATATTGTTCGAATATTCCCTTAGCTACGACTCGCGCTCATTACCCAAGAATTTCTTGGGGCATTAGGCCTTTTTGTCCCTTGTGGTCCAGCATATATACAGTTAGGTATAGATGCTAGACGTTTCTGGCTAGGTATCAATAGAGAGTCCTTGTAAAATGTAGAATCGATTCCGATAGACGATCAAATTTCATGGCTGTATTTTGAGGTGGAGTTCGGCGAAAAGCTGGAGCAGAAGCTTTGGGTATATTGAAGACACAAAAACACTTCTGGCTCTCGCCCAGCTCATGTAATGATATTAGTCTGTAGTTATATAACTGCAAAACCACCATGCATTTCCATTTCCGCGAGTTGATGTTCTTTTGACAAGTCGAAGGTTCGTCTTTCCCCCTTTTTTACCATTGGAGAATCAAGTCTTGGCACCAGCAACACCTTCAGAGCTGCTTTTGAAGACAAAAAAAGGAAGAATCTCGAGATTCACGCACATTTCCTCCACGACTCCAGAGGTGCCGGCTAATGGGATGGAGGGTCTCCATATAAGCTGTGAGAAGTTGCTGAACTGCAGTTTCACCCAATTGCTCACCTCTCTTGTGTTAATTGTGCCGGCTCTCCTTGTTCTGAAGCTCTTCGTTGCTTCTCTGTTCGCACAAGATGAACGGCCGGTTACCTTTGACGTACCCCTACCCAAGGAACTGAGCCCCGAATGGGAGGGTGTTGCGTGGGAAGATATCAGTAAAGAGTCCCGAGAGATCCTGGCCTCCCAAGGTACAACTGGGGTAAGTCACCCACATCTTGTTCAACACTAGCTGTCCCTGACACGCCCCCTTTTTCAATAGACATTTAGCGAAAAGAAGATTTTGAGCTATTGCCCTGCCGATGGGCGTCTGTTGGGAGACGAGAACGGTATAACCCCAGCTACCCCGGAGGACATCGATAAAGCGTTCAAAAGAGCCTCGGCCGCATATTCGCAATGGAGGGAAACGAGCTTTGCGGAAAGGAGGAGAGTTCTAAGGACGCTATTGAAGTAAGGAGATAAAGCAATAATATATTCGGACAGACCCGTCAACGAGGTACTAACTCTCTGTCTACTTAGATACATCCTTGAACACCAGAATGAGATCGCAATCGCTTGCTGCCTCGACTCGGGTAAAACGAAAGTGGACGCTTGCTTTGGAGACATAATGGTTACAGCCGATAAGTTAAAATGGACAATTGACCATGGCGAAAAATCACTACAGACAGACCGCCGGCCAACGAACCTACTCATGATGTACAAGAAAAATACCGTTCGATATGAGCCCCTCGGCGTGGTGGGAGCTTGCGTGTCTTGGAACTATCCATTCCACAATCTTATTTCTCCGGTCATCAGTGCCATATTTGCTGGAAATGCCATCATTGTGAAACCATCTGAGCACACAGCATGGTCGTCAATCTTCCTATGCGATATCATACAACGCGCAATCGTCAGCTGTGGCCATCCAAAGGATCTCGTCCAGACGGTCATCTGCCTACCACAGCATGCTGATGCAATGACATCGCACCCGTTGCTACGGCATCTGATTTTCATTGGATCAAAACCGGTTGCCCATGAAGTCTGCAAGTCGGCCGCAAAGGCATTGATTCCCGTAACTGTGGAGCTTGGTGGAAAGGATCCCGCCATCATCCTCGATGACCCTAAAACTAAAGGCGACCTTCCCAGTATTGCTTCTATCATGATGAGAGCTGTGTTTCAATCCGCTGGCCAGAACTGCATTGGGACTGAAAGAATAATTGCACTTCCCAAGGTCTACGATGAGTTGCTCGAGATCGTCACTCCACGTATCAAGGCACTTCGTCTCGGATCCGCTCTCCTAGATGGGAAGGGGGACCCAAAGGCTCAGAAACCTCCTCACACTCCAGACGTCGGTGCTCAAATATCTACTAGATCTTTTGATCGTCTTGAAAGCCTGATATCCGAGGCTGTGCGAGACGGAGCCAGGCTGATTCATGGAGGGAAAAGATACAACCACCCCGACCACCCCCATGGCCATTACTTTATGCCCACCCTCCTAGTCGATGTAACTACCGAAATGAGGATTGCTCAGACAGAGTTGTTCGCGCCAGTCTTCGTTATGATGCGAGCTGAGACAGTAGATGAAGCCATCTCAATTGCAAATTCCATTAAATATGCCCTTGGTTCTAGCGTTTTCGGCCACAACCGAAAAGACGTGGATAAGTGTGTCTCCCGCCTCCACGCAGGCATGGTTGCAATCAATGACTTCGCTACGTTCTATGCTGTTGGTCTGCCCTTCGGTGGTGTGAAGGATAGCGGGTACGGGAGATTCGGTGGCGCTGAGGGTCTCAGGAACCTGAGCAATCTAAAGGCCGTTTGTGAAGATAGAACATTCATCCAGACCAAGATCCCACCGCGACTAGATTATCCAATCCAAAAGGGGCGGGGAAAAGGGGACGATGGTGATGTTGCATGGAATATGTGCCAGGGAGTAGTAGAGACTGGATATCAACCATCCCTCTTTGGAAAGATAAGTGGAGTACGAAAAATTCTAGGCAATATGTGAGTCGAGCAAGTTCCTGGGTTATAAAGTTGTCATTGCAGCAATGATGGTCATTATCTATGATTACATGAAATAAATGGCGGAATAAATATCATATCATCCACTGAATCGTCAAACGGACTGCGGGGTATCGTCGTCGTAGTCCCATCTCTCAAAACAATACAAAGAAAAAATAGTCCAAAAATGACCGGCTTTGAAAGCCTCCCTGAAGGAGACCACCATGCCAGTTTTTCGTAGCTCGCTCCGGGGTCTATATCAGTGCGCCTTAGACAGAGCTCATCACAGGTCGTCTCGTGTGGCGATGATGCCCTCCTACTCTGGACCGATGCCCTCCAACCCTCGATCGTCGACCCGAACACCAGCCACAGGTTAAGAAGGAGATGATAGCGTGGAGGACTGAAACTGTTCCGTTCACAATCGCCATTAATACGCTACCAATGGCATTGACGATGGCCATAAGTGCGCGACCAACCGCGTGGAATGCACCAACGATCTAAGTAAGCCGTTAGCCACATCACTTTCAAGCTGTCTGAAGAATGTTATACTTACACATGATACGACGGCACCCATGGTTATTAATTTGGTTAGGACAGTTAAACAGTAGGATGGTTTTTGGTTCAGTTGTGGGAAGTTTGAATATTTGGTGGTAGCTGGTAGGAATAATTCACACCGGTTCTTGATTCTTGGTTCTTCGAGTCTGATATTGGTAGGTGGTTTTTTTTGTTTAACTGAACATTATCATGGTCTGGCGAGGAACAGAGGGAGTTTATATATTCATCAATACGGTAACGAATTGCTTCTATCCTGTTCTTCCAAATAACCCTTCATGGTTGAGATACACGAGTTCGGTGACGTAGAGAGCGCAACGCTTCCCGGAATCTTGCCTTGATCCCTGAGACAAGAAGATGCAAGATGATGATTTTCTGGCTGATACATCTGTCAGTGACGTCATGGCAGACCCACCACGTGGAAATAAGGTTATTATGTTGACCGAGATATGTAACTTTAACTGTAAGCAGCAACGGCATTGATCTCGTTTGATGAAACTTTGTTACCAGGCTTTCCATGCTCCTTACAGGTGTTGGTCAGATGCGACGCGTCCGGTGTTATTTCTACTAAGTCATGGAGGGATGGCATTGCTAACCGCATATAAAAATTAGAGCGTAGGTTTCACTAGTTAGGTCACTAGGCTAAGAATACGGGAAGAATTGTTTTGGTCGACGCCCTTGTGAGTGACAAAGTCTCTGTATAGCTTGGATGACGTATAGAGCGAGTGAGCTTAGCGAGCTGGTTTGCGGTACCTTTCCTTAGGCAACTTAGCTATAGATTAGAGGGTAGAGTTGGGAAGACGAAGATTGAGCCATTAGCTGATATTACGCAATTTGATGACCGGGCGGCTGGACAAAGTAAACGTCCTAGAGAGCCATCCATATGTGCTATTATAATTGAAACCAGGTATCCATCATATGATTCCGCGGTTCAAGGGCCAGTCCGAAAGGTTTCATAGGTCTGTAATTCTAGCGACAAGAAGCCCTATATCTCTTATATTAGGTATTGAATTTGTTTGAGCGCTATCAGCGAAATGCAGTGACTTCAAAGTAAACTAGACGATAATTTGATCGAAAAATGGTTCGCCAATTTGACCAAACTATCATCGTACGCTCGCCTCCATAAAAGAGGGAAGAAAATAAACAAAGCCAGAGCACAAAACTAATAAGAAGCAATAGCTCGAGAAATCAAAGACGCCCAAAAGTAGTTTTATTCCACCCTTGGGTGACAAAGACCTAGCATCGAGTAGGCTGCTATGGAACTAACACGAACACTCGCCTCTGAGAAACAAGCAAGAGTTGAAAGAAGGGACAAGCTGAATAGTGTACGGCCCAAAAACTCCTTGGGTACCCAAGGTGAATAGCCATACGGAACTACTCGCTGTCAAGTTCCTTCCCTCGCAACATATTTGGGAAGCCAATCCTTTCCCCGGGATAGGATAGAAAGTATGCTTGGATTGGCAAATTGACTTCCCTAAGCCACACCAGTCTGCACAGAAGTGCAGAGAGGACATGAACTTTGATTTGTGGTGTATCACCACCACATATACAGAGCCCCCAGAGCCCATGCTGAACCAACATTGGTTCGATGGTTCGTTGAGTTTGATGTTTGGCGTACCCTTGGCAGATATATGCCAGTAAAGAAGATTCTCGCTTGGTTCCAACCTGAGAGGAACTTGAATCCATGAAGATTTGGACAGGACTGTCTGTTCGTACCGCTATGAAAGTCCGAAATCTGAATATCTCCTCATTTCCCTCTTTGTTGTCTCTTTTTTATTTTACTTGCTGGTGCTGCCGATGCTTTTTCCACCCGTTTGGCACCAACTTTCTTCTGTCGTTGCTTTTTAGCAATGCGTTGACTTCTTCTTGGTAGGCCCCGTTTCCGTACTCCTGTTCCATGTTAGCATGATACTCAGGCGTTCAAAGAGGTCCAGAGTTCAGATGTTGAAGGGATAATTAGAGCTAAAAGAGGTTATATGATTATAACGTACCATTTTGTGATGGGGATTTCCGTAGCTTCTTCAATACCCATGGAAGCACATTGATTATAAAAGTATACCGATCCTCTTCACTAGCCTCTTTCCCTATAAAGTTGAGTAGAAATGGCTGTAGTCTTTGTGGTAAAAGTTTTGTAAGCTCAAAATATATCCCGTTCACGGTGGTAGTAGCTTGTTGTGAGAGCTTCTGAGCGGCCTGGGACACGGTGAAATGTATGCGAGGCTCTAGGTCCCTGGTATCTTTGGTTGATTTGGAGCCAACATTTTTCGAAATCACTTCTTCTGCGAGGCGCCGGAATGTAGGTTTCGAGAGCGTGCTTTGGAGAGACGTGTTGCAACGACCTGAGAGCTCTGTTAAGAGCGTGTCATTCTCTCGTGGAAGATTGTATTGAGTCGGTTCCGGGTCCCGCGGAGCCGTGTACGGCGGTGTCAGCGGTCTTTGAGCCAACATAGTTTCGAGAATGGTCGTTAACAGATAGTAGATAACCGCTGTCGATGTCGATGTTGTTGTTCTCGTTCGTCCTGCCTACAGGTTTATTGAAAGGAGAAGAAGTTGTCGACACGAATTAGTCACGTGTTTTGGCCCCCGCGTCGCGCTTATCCAGAACTTCAAGTTTGGCGAACGACAAACTAGATAGCTACTTATTTTTCTAGAGTAAAATATACGTACTCTTAACTAAAACTTTGCACACTTGTTTGAAGGATGAAGTATTAGGTTTATATAAGATATTTATTGTCGGGAGGCACATCTATTGTTTCGGCTATGGCATACCTTTCTCCCGAACCTGAAGACACCAAATCAGAGGAATACCATACACGCGTTATCCTACTACCCATATCGACATCAGCCGTGAAATCTTTAAAACTCCCGGGAAATCGAGATATCGTTGGGTCAATTCCATTGACTGGATTGCCTATTGACCCATTGGTCACTCGTGGGAGAAACAAGATACTCGCTTTCCGGCTATACGAAAATCTAGATCGTCCATACTTTGTCGTTGGTAGTGACAAATCATGCCAAGTACAACTCCAGACTACAATAGATGAATGTTGGGTTAATATACGGCATTGTTTGTTTATTACGATACCCGATGATAAAGACGACGCAGTTCTCCTCCGCAATTCGTCCACCTCTCGGTTTATCCTCCGGGATGTTCTCTATGGACAAGAAGATGAGGAGGAGGAGGAGATTTTGCCTGGTGATCGACTGAGGATACGCCCCGGCCTTATGCATATAACACTCGGAGCAGGTCTCGAGTTTTTACTTAAGGTCCTTCCTAGTAGCGTATCGAACACCCGCTCCCCAGTCTCTTCGGGTGTTTGCGAGCTGCTCAGCGGGTCAGCAATAACAGCCAAATCGACGGTCCTTCGACGAAAAAAAGCGGCCAATAAAGATCCCATCGATGCTCTTCACGCGAACAAGCGGATTAAATCTGAGGCCTCTCCATCAAAAACTGCCCAGTGTGAAGCATGGCATCCGAAGCTGGATCTTGTTGCTGAAACCGGATTAACACGTGTTTTCAAGTTACAGCGGTTTGGACGACTTGTTGCTGCCAAGGTCTGCAGAAAGCCGGATATAGAGGATGCAGTGTATATGTGGGAAAACGAGAGAAAAATTCTGCAGGCTCTGAAACATGTATGTTCTACCACCCCTATTACTGTCTAACGTCTCCATTTCCTTCTAACCCTCTTGACTAGCGTAACATAGCACAGCTTCTCGATTTTCAGGCTTCTAACTTGGCGCTATATCTTGAATACATAGAAGGACTGGACCTTTCCCAGTATGTTGACACTGACAGATTTTCAATCATTAAGGAAGAGATGCAACTCCGAATCTGGATAGACATCAGTGGTGCCTTGAAGTATATTCATGAAAAGGGCATTATACATCATGATATAAAACCTAATAATATTATACTTGGCAACCATAAGCGAGGAGCTGTACTCTGCGACTTTGGCCTTTCCACCCTTGAGCACCGTTATAGTGATGGAGGGTCGACATCCTATGTCCCACCCGAAATGCTCTTGAAGCAGAGGGGTAAGCCAAGTGACATATGGGCCTTTGGCGTTACTATGCTCTTTGTTTTCAAGCATATACAGCTACCTTCTAATGGTTGGCCTATTCGAAAACTCATGGAGGATGCGAAAATCCGGAAAAAATTTATGACTTGGTGGGATCATATTGATACCTTGCGAAAGAAACTCCCTCGACGAATGACCGTCCTTCGGGAAATGCTGACCCTTGACCCTCAACGCCGTATTTCCGCTTCTTCTCTACATGATACCCTGAATAGACCGAGGATAGCAGCGGCAACAACAACAACTGCAGCAAAGAAGACTAAAATAAAGAAGCCCTATCTACTTAAGCGCTGATGAGCCATTGGAGGTTTTGTGTGCACGCACCAGGAACCAACTAGACTCTACGTTATACGATTACCACACATGAAGCGTGGTTAATTGAGCACAACTATCGCACAGAAGGACGAACAGTGCCAAATATTGGAGGCCAGTATGTGGGACAAAATCAACTCTCATATCGATATGATACTAACTTGTAAACATGTATGTAGAATCTGGAAACTCTTGGGGTTTTCCGCCTTATTCAGTTTGCCTTTCATGAAGCTTCTTGACCGGCCACTTGAAACATACCCCTCTTATGCACAGAAGCAAAGATCGAGGCCTCATACAGCTGTCAGGCAAACTTATCCAGATTCAACTGGCCGCTGCACTCCCATCAGCCGACCACTGACCTAGCACATTGCACGTGTCAACTCATGTAATGGAATAAACTTGGAAGCTAGGAACCTTACCTTCAAAATGGCTTCATAAATGGCGGCACCCACCGCTACAGGCACAGCAGGCAACATTGCACTCTTGGGACGGGCTACCATTAATATCACGCCATGGATTCCGCTGTATGATATACAGAGTACTTACTTCCGTATCCGCAGCAAGGCGTTGCGCGTGTTTTATCTGCGCACCACTATGAAGAATTAGTTTTGTCCGGTCATGTGTACATAAGATCAAGTAACTTACGAAAAATACATTTGAATTGCAGCAGTAATTCTCGCCTCTGGCTACTTTTGCACCTTGTCCATGGAGAGAAGCAGGGCTGAAGGCTGGCGATGCAAGAGCCAGCAACGGAGAAAAAAATACAATTGAGAACTTCATTTTCCACAAATATGCGCATCCGTTAACAAGTTGGCAGGTTTAAAATTTTTACACCTGTAGAGACCAAAGTGGGGAGAGCGCGGTTTATAAGCCTTTAAGTGAACAATGAGATATGGTGAATGTTATTCACACTATGCAATTAATTATAGCAGCGCATATTAATAGTTACTTCGTACAATATTTCCAAATCCGTCATTATGCGCAACGGGCGGCTGAATTGCGACTCTTTAAGAGTCACTACAATGAAAAGGCGTATCGCGCGAACCGCCGGCATAGCTCGAAACTGTGGCTAACATTCTTTGTAACATGATCCTCTAGGTACATATATGGCAATCCAGCTAATTACTAGTTTTAGGTTCCAAGCGGCTAATTAGTTAGTTAGTTAGCTTTACCGCCCACGTGATGTGGACAGGGCGTGAGCCAAGCCCTTGACAGCGTTAAATTTTGCGCAAGCGCCGAAGCGCGTTTAAGCACAACTTTCTATTCTCAGGGGAAGTGATGATGTGAAAAAAATAAAGAGCCAAGTCTACCGCCGCCTACAGAAAGGCACACCATGCCATCGACGCAATCCGGTGACCGTCCTATGACGCCGGTGAAGGTTCGTGGGAAAAAACGACATCGCGGAGATGGGAGCCATGCCACAGACAAGGGGCGGCCCGGACCAATTTCAACAAGGGCCAACAGCGACGGCACAGGCCGTTTGCCTATACCCTCAAAAGATACGATCATTAAACCAAAATTTCGGACGCAATTTGCCACTATAAATAAAATAAACTCCCGAAGAAGTTCATTACAATCGCTGCCCACGGAAATCTTGGAGCAGATATTTTTCGACTGCCTAGAAATAAATCTACTCCACGTATTTCCAAGGCTTGCATTTGCGGTGTCTAATGAATGTATATATTCCCGTATAACTATGCTTGCCATTTGGAAGGAACCAATCTCAAAACACCATATAGGGGATAAAGCTACCGATATCGAGTTAGCTGGTCTTGAACTAGTGGATGAAGCAATGGATGGGGCGGCCAGGCCCCCCTTGGAACTTGGAAAGAAGGAAATAATGAAAGAATTTCGTCCGGTTGGGTATCGAAAATTATCTAGGACAGAAAAAGCGAGACTACAGTCCCAAATTTTCAGCTGTCGATGGGCTACTCTTGAACTTATCAGCTCCTGTGTTGTTAAATGCAATGAGCTACAACAACTTCTAATCCACGGTTACGAGTCACAGAGAAATGTGCCCGATCTGATCAACATTTTAAGGGCACTAGAAAGTAACTTGCTCTGGTCATACCCACACAGCCTCGACTTTAAGGAAAATACTGCTCTACGGACATCATTGCACTACCATAATATAAAAACCATGGTTCCTTACAGGATGTCTCAAAATGCAGCCTGTATCTTCTCCATCCCTGAAAAAGCAATAGATAAGAGGCCTTGGACCCCTCGAAAACTGGAGTTATTCAGATTACTTCGCCTCCTACTCTATCAAGGAACAAACTCAGTTCCCAATCAGCCGTACCCACGAGAAGTTCTCCATGAAGGCGTTCATCAAGCTATTATCGAAAACCGATCGGGAATAGTGGAACGGCTGCTTGAGTTAGATGAATATTGTGTTCGTTCCATAGCATTCTCGTTCAAGGGTGTACCTAAGAATGCCGGCTACGATATTCCATCAGAACATTTCCTTACCGCTATTCGCTATTCCACAATGCCGGATATGATGAAAACACTGGTTCGTGCAAGCGCAGAGTCACTTCCGTTTGACAGTTCAGAAATTACTCAATGGGCACTTGAACGTGAGGAGCCATCCTCTCCATTTTATAAATGGCTCTTAGAACTTATGGTTCAACTGCCGTCTTATCAGAGACGTCACTCCTCCCGCCAGAGTCTGTTTGTCTGTGGAATGCTCAACCTATCACTGCAGTTGGGAGGTTCCATAAAACCACACCGCTATCTGAGATATGATGTTACTTATGAACCGTACAAGGAAGCATGGTCCGAAGAGCCATACGCATGGCCTGTAGGTTTGTTTTACCTTGCGGACGAAGCTCCCATCGATATTAGCGTGTTACAGCACCAAAGATCATAAAACCCCCGTTTAGTTTCTACCGAGGGAATTACTATGCCTTCTATGGGTCTATTGGTGATATAGTTATACCCGAATTGCCCTAACAACTTATATTGCACAGTACAGTCATCTTTTGGCTCTTTTTTATTTTCAGCTCGTAGGCCTAGTTGGTGCTATTAACACGAAGCTACTCTACACCTTCATGCCCATCCTCCAACAGAGTTATGATCGGGTACCCGAGTATTTTTCCATCAATGCCATGATAGCCGGATCTTCTCGAGGAATACTGTCTTTCCGCCTGTCAAATAGCAGCTGCAAAAACGGATCTTGGGTTGGCTCCGCGTGTCTAGCAGCTATCCTAAAATGATTATGGCTGACTGGCCAAAGGTATGGGTACCTGTACTGCTTGCCACAGATATGTAAATTCAATAGACATCTAAAGACATCGAGTTCACGGTCCTCGATGACTTTTCTTAGTACCGCCTTTGATCTGTCAGGTGGCCAGCCGCCATCTATATAGGCGTCTGACGAGAGAAGGGTTAGAAGCTCAAGTTTGTCTTCCGTCCAAGGGGGCGTAAGTAGCCGATCTGGCATTCTGCATGGCTCTGCTGGATAAGGAGGAGCACATGGGAGACGAAAAATGTCGATTTCTTGAAATACAGGGTTGAGATCTCGAATTTGAAAAGCCCCGAAACCGAACCATATTGCAATCTTGCATGGCTGGTTATTTTCCAGGCTATGAGCTCGTATCACCAAGTCCCCTTTCCCACGCTTTCCGACAGGTGTAGGATCGAACCTATTCATTTTCTGCCAATATTGATCTAAGTTTGAAAGGATATCTTGATTCTCGTCTGGAGATATCACAAAATGTGAGCGTTTCTGTCTGATAACATGCTCAACATATTCTCTCTGGCATTTCCGAAGCAACGATGCCGTGAACCACCGGCACTTGAGGATTTCGGTTTGGATCCTTGCTCTCTCAAGATGGTTGAAGTAAAAGAAATCTAGAGGGAGGAAATGGTGAGCCCCATAGATGTTATCGAGCCTTGATGAGCGGTTGCAGCTGCTGAATGCAAGACGGATAAGCCAGGTGTATAATATCGACGATGATAGTGTGTTGGCAATGTGTATTGATGCGCGAGGAAAATTGAATTCAAGACACTGGAAGAAGATCTTATGTACCAGCTCGGCAGGCAACGACTCTATGGGTGACCTTTGCCGAAGTTTTATTTTAAGACGACTTGGGATATTCATCGATTCCAGTTGAGCAGCCAAATCCAAAAGGCCCGGTGTCTCTCTGAAGAAAAGGGGCCCGTAGGTTTTTATGTTGTCTCATTTGACTCTGTCTAGATTGGCCTGAGGGTCAGAAGTACCCTCCTTCTGTGCCGTCTTTGCGCCTTTTAAGTAAAGAAAAAGTCTCTGCAGTATGCAGATTTGGTAGTTATAGAGATCAAGCGCTTGCGAGTGTTTCAATACCAGCTGGCCACTCATATGACTATATATAGCAATGTAGCAATTTCGCTGCGATAACAGCCCGAGTCTTGCATTCCCACTCCGGGCTCCATTGATAAACACGAGAACTATGCGAGTATTGCATTAGTTCGCTAGAGTCGCGAGAACTCGCGAGACTGGATAGAAAGAAAGTCATCGAGGTGCCAAATATCGGAGTAATAGAAAACCGCGCTGCTCTTCGGTCTAGTAAGCACATACAATAACTTAGGTACCTACCTGATAGCTACGTAAACTTGTTAGTGACCACGGACAGACACAGACAACATGGAGTATGGAGCATTATCCCAACACGGCATATTAATCACGAAAAAAAAAAAAAAGAAGAAGAAAGAAAAGCAAAGGGATCTCCATATTTAACCCCTGGTACTTACTATCTGTCAACATAGTAGCATTTTGTTTGTCCGCCCTGTGTGCGTCGTGCTGCAACATTGCCGACTCTCCTCGATCACTGGATCCCCTGACCGGAAGATGACCAAATGCCTCCCATATCAGACACCGAATATCAACATCAGGCCCAATCCGGAGTTCCGGAGGGCTGGAGCCAATTGGCAGCGCCTGTTGATCCGTTTTGCGATGCCCAAGGTTGTATCTGAGCCTGGCTCTCAGGTTGTTTGCTTCTGATCGTGCAGAAACCCCCTCACTTTGCCCTGCGATGGCGGCATGAGGGTGGCAGGGGGATATGCCATGTTACCATGGTTGGTTACGGAGCGGCCTGTTGGCTGTGCATAGTTTTATCATTGACTGGATGGTTTAACTAACTTGGCTGGCCACGTTGATGAATGTAATGAGCGGCTACGAGAATTTTTATGCAGCCTCACAAATCCGGAGGCGACATATAAATTGCCAGTGGCACAAAGGGAAATGAACATATAAAAAGGAACATGCTTCTATTGGAAACTCTCGGTTCTATACAGCTGTGGTCGATAGTACTCTCCACGCAGCATTAGGATGCTGACAAAAAGGCGTTTCAAGCCACAGAATACCAAAAATACATAGAAAATCACGGATACAGGCTGTGGCAACGGCTTGAGAGCAGTGTGCAACTTTACATGACAGCCAAGTCGCCGTACTTCTCCTGTTCAGTTCAAAAATATCAGTAATCATGTACAACACAGTCGCATGTGTGGAAGCCCAACTGATATAAGCTGGGAAGGACATTATATGGAAAGAACTAACCTTGTAGCCTGGTGGCATCCAGATACCCTTGGATACGAGCTGAGCGGTCTTTCGGTCGATTTCTGGGGCAGCAGCGGCAACATCGTCCTAAATTGTTGCAGACATATCATTAGCATTGACATTTTACGCGTGTAAACTTAAGTCGTCGGGAGCAACGCAAACCCGCACAACGACCCTCGAAATCCAAAGTGGAGGCAATTGCAGCCACAATTGAAGATATGAGGGGGAATTGACGGCCAGCACACTTGTAACGGAATACAACGAGGGTTTGGATGAACATACAACTGTGAGGTCCTCGAATGGTCGGGCGGACTCGATGTTGTCCAAGGTCTGCGACAGAGACTCCAATTCCATCTCGACTTTGCCCTTGGTCTCCTCGGCGTTCTTCACGGCCTGAGCCTCGAAGGCTTCGATGGCCTTCAACTGTCGGTTGACATCGTAGGTGACTGGCTTGAAGTTCTTGAAGTGCTGCTCGATCTCGTCGACGATAGCCTGGTTCTTCAACACCTTGCGGTAGTGGGCGAAATCGACGGTCTGTGGTGTTTCGGACAGGACCTGGACCTTGCGACGGGCGTCATCGTTACGCTTCTTGAAGGCCTGGAGAGAGGAAGCGGTTTGGCCGCGAAGTCCAAGGCTCTGGGCTACTTTGGCCCAATCGAGTTTGAGAGCAGCGCTCCGCTGGTAAACTGCGTGTTAGCTGGCTATATCGACTCAATGGGGAGAACAAAGGCCGAGGACAGGCAAATCATCTCATGAGAAGGGTGGGCGACGTACTGTAGCTGCCATTGTGACCGTGAATGTGGTGTGTCTGAGTTCTGTCGAGACGTGCAATTTCGACTTCGTCTTTCTTTTCTCCTGCTTGTTCCGATGAAGTTCGATGTTTGGCCAAAATCGGTCACGTGGAAGGTCACATGACCCGTTTCGGCCCTGGGGTCGCTTGTGGGCGGCATGGGGGGTTGATATTGGCGACGGCGAGGTCGATGCCGGCAGTTAATTTTGATAAAAATATGTTGGATTATTTATAGCTACGGTTGTGGATAGGCTTGCAGTTAAATTTCGTATCAAAGTGGCATATCCCAGTGGCAGCAGTTTGTGTAATCTTGTAGAATGCGGCTACTATAACACTACATGAGATAGTATTCATTAATTCCTTACTTAGAAAGAAAAAAAGACATGCGCATCAAGTTGTTGTTTCTTTCATTTATAGTCACAGCATTTTGATATCGCACACGTCAGATGGGGCGTAAAAGGCAAGATGTGAAGGTGATCCAACATCATTGAAAGATGTGTAGGTAGGTACAGAGGCTGGGTCATTATATGCTCAGTGCCATAATAGAGTTGACGATATCGTTGTCATTCTCTTGAAGGGCCTTGACGGCCTTCTTTCTCGAGACGTTTGCTTGGGCCATGACGAGCTCGATATCCTTGGGCTCAAGACCATCGTCATCGACTTCCTCGTCATCGTCATCGTCCTCCTCTTCCTTCTTCTCGGTCTCGGCGGCCTTGCCCTTTCCGAGGTCGATGGCTTCCTGGCCAGCAGACTCACCGGCAGCGGCGTTGGCGCTCTCGCTAGCGGCAAGCTGTTGGGCAGCGGAGGCCTGAGCCTGGGAGTTGAGGTCCTCGATCTTGGCCTCACCGAAGATGCTGAAAATAGAACCAATTAGCTATAGTTTCTAGTTGGGATAAAACCAGCCAGATGGGACTATTGCAAAAGGCAAATAATAATGGTATAAGCTTACATCCAGGTGTTGCTGGTGGGGGAGCGGTAGACATCGGGCTGGTTGATAACGAAGAGGATCTAGATATATGTCAGCTCTAGGGTGTTCAAAATAGTATAAAGGCTCTCAGTCTGGCTTATCCATACGTTCTTTGGTCGGCGGAGGGTAACTCGAGTGATTCCAGGAACATGCTTCAGTCCAAGCTTGCCAATTGCCTTTCTAGCCTTCTTCTCATTACGGGAGAGAATGGTAACGCCGGAGCCACCAGGAATGTTCAGTTCCTCAGCGCCTTCATCACCGGCCTCAGAGTCGGAGCTCTCCTCAACGGTAGCTTTGACATCCTCCTCAGGGAGCTCTTCTACTCGTGGGTTGGACATGTTTGCTGTAAATGTCGGCGGGGGGTTATGCGTGGAAGAACAGACGTAAACTATAGAAATTGCACAGAAGGTCCATTAGCATTATTTTATTCTCTGAGCCACAAATTATTTGAGGCTATTAAACACAGAAACAGCCTCCAATTCTACTTACCCGAAAGCTGGTGCTGGTACTCAAATGTTGTGCTGGTTCAGTGGTGGTTGTTGCTACAGCTGCGAACCGCTTTGGTGTGTGGTCTCGCCCAATCCCGTTAGCGAGGTTTTTTTTCGCAGCACACAAATCAGATAAATCTCACCACAATGTCCGGCAACAGCAAATTATATATGGCATAATACCTATATAACCACTACCGACGACTACTACTAGCTTTCCTGCTTTACATAGAATGAAAATACAGACTTGTTACAATTTATAGAAGTAATATCGTAGACCAGTGTCTTTTTGTTAGGATACCACCAATATGTGGCACTTGCCCCAGCCTGTTGGTGGAAACTTAGATACGGAGGGCACTTTAACCCCATAAAGTCCGGGTAGGGAGAGAGATATTGATCTGTTATAGTGAGCATATGGATTTTTTATTACATATAATACCACAGTCAATTCACAGAGTGTGAAGGAAGTTCTTTTTTGTTTTGATTTCTGAAAAGTCGTAAAAACCATGGTAGTAGAAGCCTGTTGTGAGAATCCAGTATTATTCCATCTAGTCGGGATAAAGTGGTTCGCAGATTAAAATCTGTCCTCAATTCCTCAGGTTGAAACTGATTACAGTTGAACATTCCTTCTTGAACAGGGGAGAGCATCTCTATGCCTTTTTTTTCTCCAAGCAAAAGAAGCCTCCCCGATTCAATGCGCCATTCCTCCGAACATCGTCAACCCATAATTCCTCACGAAGCAGCGCGGACTTTAGATAGAGATTTTTGGACAGCGAAGCGGGCCTGTAGTCGTAGAAAGAGTAGTCAGCAATTGAGTCTAGCTTTTACAACACAATCCTGCTCTATTGTATATATGACAGGTATAGCCATATATAGCTTGGAAGAATAAAGACGAACCTGTTTCCTCAGTCTCATGACCTTGAATCGCTCGAAGTCGGTCAAGTTGCGTCGTCGGTCTTGTTGTTCCTTCTTCTTAGCGTAGCCAGTCTGAGCCCATTTGGCGTCGATTCCGGACTTCTTCCAAGCCGTCCTCATGGCACCGGTTCTGGCACGTCGGGGGAGTTTGTCGAGGCAGAGAGATGTGAGGGTGACATGGGCGAGAGGGATAGATTGGCGTGGGACGGCCTTGTCTTCGTCTTCGGAGGGTCCATCAACCAAAACCTATATTTTCAGTGTCCTGTTAGATTCCCTTCCAATACTGCCTTTCATCTCGTGTATAAAAATATATCCCGTTCGGAGAGTCAAAACAAGGGCAAAAACGTACGCGCTTGTGATCAATGATTTCAGAGATAGCAGCAAGCTTGTCTGCATATGGACCTCTTCGGATCAGCACGACTCTGCCGACCTCGACAAGTTTCCATGTCGAGGGCTTAATATCAATCTCTTGAGACATGGCGAAGGAGTCCTGCAGCAGTTCGAACGGATTAGTCGAGGAGCCGGAATAGGCGCGCAATGGTGGGAAATGCTCACTGTCCACCGAAGGGGTGCTATAGAGGGTGGATGCGGGTTGTCGTTGTCGTTGTCGAGTTGAACGCTGTCTTCTGGTATCGCGAATTTCAATGTGTCCAGCGAGCTTTTGCCCACACAAAAAAGTTGCCTCGCTTAGCCATCATCGGCTTAGTGGCTTTCGCACGCTTTGGGTTTAGCGCCGTTTTGCGCTCTTACATAAAGATTTTTTTTTCTCCCTCGTCAACTTTTGGGACATCAACAACTTTTTCTTCCTCTGCTTCTTCTTCTTTTGCTATCAGGACCCTCGTCAAGCGAGGGGAATAGATGGACTATGATGCTAATAACTATGCAGAGTAAGTAAATCTTGTCTCGCTTTGCATTCTTTTTTCGTTTTATGATGTGGTAATTTGCGGTTGATCCGGCTTTTGTGAAGCTCACGCCAGAGCATTCTCAAGCAACTGTCGGGATGATATTTAATTTCTTACATATTCTGATTCCTGTTACTTTCAATTGATACTGTTGTGGCTTTTATCTTGCTTCGAATAAGCTAACAGTTTTGTCAGGATACTAGGAACTATTCAGTCATCCGTCAAATGTAATATGTCGCGTCGCCAAAACTAACAACCAGCACTCCCGTTCACTAGCCCGTTTACTAAGGTAAATATACGACATTCCGATTCCCTCCTTGGTTTCCTGATGAACACTCTCGCACAAGATAGTAGTTGATGCCTTCGGGCAGTGATATCACTCTTTTCTACCAAGATCGCTGAAAACCACCAAGCTTGCTACTTGAATTTGGTCTCTCGCACATGCATTGTTCAGCCGTGCTAACAAACCATAACAATTAGGTATCTCTATACGCATAACAGGCCTCTTCAATATGTACAAGTGGTGATTTGAGATGCCTTGCTATGTTGGGTTGGATCACCTAGTTTACAGTAGCTCACAACAATACAAATAATCCTGGGTATTTATGATTTTGGATTTTGATAGCACTTCCCCAGTAGCCAAGAAAGTCCATATTGACAACATATCATTACCCAAAGAACATCAGTTGGTTAAGAATATTACCGGCATACTGGTTTGGCTTGGTATCTGTGAATGCTGAGAAATACAACGTCTAAAGCGCCACCATGTCTGTCTGACGGCTTTGACAGTACTCACATGAGGTCTTCCGTGTATAACGACCCGGGCATCCCTGCCATCAGGGCGCCACACAATTGGCGGTCAAACTGGCCAGCCAGATAATGAGGGGAAAGCTCAAATTTATCAACCCTGGAAGCACCTCAGTCCTTTCGTTGAACGCCCGTCGTCAGAAAGCAGAGGCGCGAGCGCACTCCGGCTAGTAGGTCACCGTTTTAAGCTAATCGTGTTAGGCTGTACCTTTAAATACTGGCCATTGGGAGCATCGCAATGCCTCGTTTGGGAGAGAGCAAGCTTATCAAGCAAAAGCAAAGGGGTTTGAATGTATTAAAAGAAATTTCCTTTCGTATACTCTGAACTGTGAATGCAATATGCGACTGCGCTCGGGCTGGATGGAACTGCGCTGCCTACAGCCTAGAGAAGTGTGGCGTGAGCTGGTAGTTATCAGGTATGCGGCCTAGGCCTTGACCAGTTAACTAACCAACTACGTAGCCAACTGCGACGTCGGAAGAAACGAGTTTGTTGACAATTGCATTTGCCCTGAAAGGGGGATTCACCATCCGCTAAATGACGGGCATAGAGTTAACCATACCCTACTGCCGAAACTCTCCAGGTAAAACATGAAGCCATCTGGAAAAAGGCTGCATGAACCAGGCTGCGCTTTCCGCTCCATGCATGCATTCAAGGTGCATGCACATACGGAGCGCCCTGACATGCGGGGGTGACTACCATTTGCATGCGGTAAGTCGAGTGGAAGGCAGAACCGATAGTGGCATCCTTGTTACCGTTGTTGTTACACAGTTGACTCGCTTTGGCGAGCCGAGGAGGTCATTGCTGTGAAGATGCCATGGCTAATACGAGATGGCATTGGGCATGTTTGGGTTCAGGGCATGTAATCCACAAAAAGAAACAGGAGCTCGAGATTTCATCCATAACTTCTCTCCAACGATCCCATTCAAGCGAACGATATTACTATTCAGTATGCTGGTATTTTATCTCGAGGCTTGGTAAGTAGCTACTCCTTACATGTATTCTGGCAGTTTACCATGGGAATTCGTACTGCTACCGAACATAGAAATCCAAGAACATCAGGTTTAAACGCCGGAACATAGAGTATAATCAAAATAGGAAAGCACCAAGTCACATATGCAAGTATTACTCAAAGCGTACAGGCACAGACGTGAAGAGACATCTATCAACAGGGTCCACCCCTGAAATATATCCCGGAAACGCACTCTAATTACGTGGGGGGGGGAGGGGAGGGTCCAATTCATCGTCATCTGCCTTGCCTGCCTTTTAATGTCGTTTATCGGATTGGTGGAATCTCCCAATGGCGTAGCATCAAATGCACTACTCGAGCCCATTCATTCAGCAAAACGTTTGCAAGGCTCTCCATAGCTCCAGCGTCCGGCGTGCAGCCGCCCCACATTTCCGGCTTTGCGGCAGCTGCCCATGCATGCTTTGAGATCAGTTGTCTGTTGTTGGGAAGAAAAAACATTAGAAAAAGTAAAATAGCAGTGACAAATAATGGTTGGTAGACTCATGATCATCCAAAGGGTCACATGGTAGTTGTGACCCTGAATCTCCGTGAAAAGGAAAAACTCACTGGTCATGGATCTTTTGAAGAACTAGCCAGCAATAATTCCAGCTTCGTGAGCTTGATGGGTCCTGAAGGACTAGAGCTTTGGCTTCGTCTAGACACTCAGAGCTAAACGGATAGTCCTTGGTAAGGCTGCGTAGCTCGTTAAGGAGATTGTTCGAGTTGACAAAGTGTAGCCAGGCCGAGGCCAGCGGCTCGTAGATATCAGGGCTACCTGTCGGAACGAGAGCTTTCTCAATTCTGCGAATTTCCATGAGAGTGTTGACACGGTGAGATCGAAGGGAATGGATAAGTTGGTCCTTATCATGCGACATTGTGTAGAATGGGTTAATCATTTATAGATGACCAGGTATGGGTATCAAATGGTTAAAGACAAAATGTCTGCTTCTTTATATGAATGAAATGGCAACAGAAAGAGAAAGAGATCTAGCTTTTATACACTAAAAGCTAACTACCTGGTCATGAGATACACGAAAAAGAGAACACAACAGATAGGCCAGATGGAAAGCCCATCCGCAAGATGCCAACAAAATTGGCGGTTGATGGAGGCCATTGATTCCAGCCGTTAGCTCGCGGCGAGCCGGCCAGGCACAGGTACCCTGGATCTGCACTGCACTTCTGTAACCGAAGCAGCAGCCCCATAAGATCGGCTAGATAATAATATGTTCACCGTGACTGGGGACAGATTCCTTTTGCATGAGGAGAAAAGTATCCAGGCGGCCGCTCCCGGTCAATTTCCGCCCATGAGACGTTGGGCTCATGGCCGACGGTTCTGGGCTAGTCACAGTTATACTTGCGGGAACGCGGAAGACGGATGCTACCTTGTATGGGCCCATGCGGGGGTAGCATTTCAATACTCAGAAAAAAAAGCAGATTCATCGCGTATTCGTAACTAATATTCCATTCTCTGCTGTGATTTTTTGTCCTTCATTGACTTTTCTTGGGTGGTTGTTTTTCTCCTTTTTCTGCTTGGATGGTTTTTCAGATTGACTTAATGACTAAGCAAAAGTGATAAGATAAGATTGCCGACTGGACTAACCGAAAACCTACTAGCTCAAACCTAAAACGATATAATTTTTGAGTAATCCTCGAATTTCGCGGACTCACCAACACGACGCCCTTCCTATTCCTATCCATTCACCAACGCTGCATTACCACAGTGCGTCAAGCTCGGCCATGTAAATTGGCCTGGTTCTGAAAAACGCCTCCAGGCGTTTTTTGTTTCAAGTTGATGAGCGTCGCTTTCCTGCAAATCTCCGAGTTGCATCCCTAGCTTGTCTTCTCCGCACCTAAGCTTCAGCCTGCGCACCATGTCCAACATTTCATCACCAATGGCCCGTCGGGTCTCCTCGACCCCTCACTATCAGACGTTCTCTACGCCGCCGCCAAAATCAGCTGGCCGTCCTCTCTCTGCCGAGTCTGCGTCTACGAACCTCTCATCGTCTCATAATGCGGGCGAACGTTCAGAGGCCCCGACCTCTACCCCCATCCCTATACAGCAAATGTCTGTACTCGCATTTATCGCTCTATGCGAGCAGACCGCGCTTAATTCCATAAGCCCTTATCTACCGGCAATGGCAGCCTCTTTTCCAGAGGTTGAGTCCCACGAAGTTGGGATATATGTCGGTACGATAGCATCTGCGTTTGCGCTCGCGCAGTTTTCTACCAACTTTTTCTGGGGTTGGTTATCGGACCGTATTGGGAGAAAACCAGTCATATTATTGGGAACTGCTCTTACTGCTGTGTGTTTTCTTGCCTTCGGCTTCTGTAAAACACTGTGGCAGGCCATCGTCGTTCAACTCTTCATGGGGCTGGTCAACGGGAACCAGGGGGTTGTCTCCACATGTCTGGGGGAGATAACAGATCGCAGTAATCAGTCGCGTGCTTTTACATACCTACCAGTGATATATGGAATTGGAGGTATTACTGGCCCACTCTTGGGAGGACTGCTTGCCCCAAAAGACGCAAATGCCGAGGGCTACCCATTTCTTGCCCCAAACCTCATGTCTGCTGCTATATTGATTGCAGACTTTATAATTACGTCAATATTTTTGGAAGAAAGTGTTGAAGGCGCGGAAATGCTTCCTCGCATTTACCGGAAGTTCCGCGACATGTTTACCTGGCTGTGGCAATTTAACAGCTCGTCCCGGCCAACCTATCTGCGAAATGACAACGATGCAGATTATCCGCGACACCCTGTCCGCTACGGAGCCCATCATTACAGAGACTCTCTTGATAGTGATGAAGACAACGACGACGCCGACCTGAGCGTCACGCCTCTCTTCCCTCATCGGTCCCATAATGAGGCACTCAACCGCGACGAAATATTCAACAGAGACATGATTCTACTACTTCTCACCTACCTTATCTTCTCTCTGTCGAATGTCTCGTTCAACTCTCTGTACCCTATCTTCGCACAGGCGCCACCCCCCACCGGCCGAGAGTTCAATCCAAAAGAGATTGGCATGTCCTTGGCGTTTGCTGGTATTGTCACGATAGTTTTCCAGATATGTGTGTTTGGAAGGCTTCGCGACAAGATGGGCAACAGGTGGTCTTATCGTGCTGGCCTACTTGGCTTTGTTGCATCATTTATCCTAATGCCTTTTATCGGCTACAAAAACAAAGCAGGTGCCGATATAACTATATCTAAGCAAAATGTCATGGTTGCTATAGAAGTATGTGTAGTGTTGTTGATCAAAACTGTCGCTACTGTTGGTGGTCTAACTAGCGCGTTACTATTGGTATGTTTTTTGTGTTTTGGCGCCGTTCATGCCATACCATAAGTGGCTGTATTGCTAATATTTTTCTATATAGATCACCAATTCTGCGCCAGATCACTCTGTTCTAGGCTCCCTTAACGGCCTTGCTCAAACGCTCTCTGCAGCAGGCCGTGCTGTTGGGCCGTTTTTGTCTGGAAGCCTTTTCACGCTTGCCACAAAGGTACAGCCAAAGGGTGAGGCTCTTGCATTCGGGGTTTTCGGCGGAGTAGCCTTTCTCGGGTTCTTGCTTAGCCTGGGCATTCGTTCTCGCAACCTTGAAGCTGAGGGCTGGGGAGAGGAAGACGATGACTGCGGAAAGTCAGATGAAGAAGATGGCGTTTAGCGATACATAAGACCAAGCAATCAATCAAATAATATATGCTCCCATAGCTGGGGAGGCAAGTTCCAGGAAGGGAAAAAAGAAAGCAGAAAGCAGTCCAGTGATTTGGTTCCTGATATACCAGCATGTCAGCGTTTACATATCTCGGGCTTACATGATTTAACGAGTTTCTTTCGGTTGTCATCCTGAAGAAGAAAAAAGGAAGTAATAGCAAGAGCCGGAGTAGGCGCTTATGCACAGGAGACGGGTTTATATAGTGTGCAATACCATGGTACATAGATACGCTAACAGCTGGGATATCACTATCCTAAAAAAGCTTGTGTTACTTAGAATTTAGAACTTCAATTAGGGGTAATTTTTGCATAATACAATCTCCAAGAGGCTCTCCAAGTAATACGCTTAATAGCAGCAAACCGAGATAAATAGATAGGTTGTATGGTAAGTGACGAAAGACTACATTCGTTACTTCATGAGCAGGCCAACAGCCCAAGGAACGCTAAGTCCCCTGAGGTCACCGTAATGCTGTCCAACACCAAGGAAGACAATAGGTATGCCAGTGGCATGAACCATGCTGACAAGAGTACCAACCATGTCTCCTACGGTATCACACTTGCTAATAATAAATCCGTCAAGGCCTCTGCCGGAACCAAAAGCCTGGTTGAAATTCCGCGCTTGCATGACACTATCGGTGCCAACCAGCGCTTCTCCAACCATAAGAATCTTATCGGGGTTAGCAAACTTGGCGAATTTCTCCAGGGAGGACATGAGTCTTTGATCGTTGTGTCGACGACCAGCGGTATCGATTAGAACGACATCAAAGTCATTTGTAGCGGCGTAGGAGACAGCATCCTTAGCGACATTAGCTGCGTCTTTGCCATAGCCCTTTTCATAAAGTTCGACATGACCAGCGTTCTCTCTTGCGCTAAGCTCCTTGAGATTTCTGGCATGAACACGAAGCTGTTCAACTGCACCAGAACGAAAAGTGTCGCAGGCTGCGATGAGGACTTTATACTTATTCTGTAGCAGGAAGAAGCACAGCTTGCTCAAGTTGGTGGATTTGCCGACGCCGTTGACTCCGACGACTGAGATCACGTATGGCCTTCGGGGCTGTTGCCGATTCGTAGGTGAGGTGACTACCTCGATTTCACGGAGTAGATCAAGCGAGGATGTGGGCGTAAGAATTTTGCGAAGGGATGATTCCATTCCCGCGCGGAGGGCGGAGTCGATGCTCTGGAAGCTGGCTGTCTTCTTACCTACCAGCTCCTTTTGGACACCCTCGCAAAGGCGAACAGCGGCTTCACGAGCAACATTCTTCTTCAGCAAGTGATCTTCCATTGCCTTCAGGGGCTTCACCAGATCAGCTTCGGTCAACACCTTCCCCCCGACCACGTTGCGGAACATGCTACTGATGGCGCCTATGCTGGAGTTGACGACGCCAGCAGAAGATCCGTTGGCTTTAGCCTTCTCTTCATCTGCAGTCTGAAGGATGGAATGAATCTCATCGCCGAGATCCTTGAGAACGAACTGGCCCTTTTTCGTCTTTGTTCCGAATGAATCGCTGTCGATGGGATCGACTGAAGGCGTAGGCAAGTCTTCAGTGGCACTTGCACCAGCATCATTTGCAGAATAGTCCAGTATTTCATCACTTTCTTCATCTGCAATACCATCTGGCCCCCACTTTCTCATCTTCTTTCCACCAGATTTGCCATTAGTTGACTTCTTTCCCTTATCCTCCGCGCCAGAGTTAGGGTTTGAGTTGGCGTTGGCGGCCTTGCGGGCACGACGAGAAATGCGACCTCCTGGCCCTGCTTTTGCGGTGAGGACCTGGGAGCTTGGAGTAACAGGTCGAGACGTTTCTGGGGTTTGAGACGGGGTGCTGTCGCTAAGCACCTCCGTCGCCGGCGCAGCTTGACGCTGCACTAGAAAATGAGTTAGGAGATAACGTATACAATTCGGCGTAGAATGTAATCTCACCCGCAAGAAGCCCCGGAACAGGCGGCGGTGGTGGCCCTCCTGTATCTGCCTGTGTAAGTGCATCCCTTTTGCTTTCTACGCCAAGCTGACGTTTGTCTTCGGCCGGAAGCTCCGTTGTCTGATCAAGCTCCCTTAGCTGTTGCTCGAAGTATTTGTCGAACGGGTAGTTGGTGACTCTGAACTGCGACCCTTTAAGCTGTTCCTTGTATAGGCCCAAAAATATAGTCTTTATGTTTTCCAGGAGGTCGTCAATCCAGCTAAGATGGAGGAGGGACTGGTAAACTGCCTGACAAAGCGTTAGCGGGCACTGGTAGCAAATGGGCCTGTCAGTCAATACTAACAACAAAGATAAGGCCGAACCCCTTTGCCTCTGTCCATCTCAAGGTATATTGTTCCTTGTTATACTTCCGAGCAGCTCGGTCAATCCCGGTCCTCTCCTCGATAAAGACATCTTTGATCAGAGCGTTAACGATATGGGTTCTAACTGGAGCGTATGTTTTTGACCAGAGAACCACCCCGGACGTAGTAATAACTTCAAAGGCGTCCAACATCCTGTCTGCTATCGTTCAAAGGCGAACACGGCTTGATCCTGAGGAGTTGTCTGGTGTTCTCCTTCTTTCTTGTCTAGATTTGATAATTCTGATAACAACTTTCAGCTTATCAACAGCTTTGCCACGTGATAGAGATTTTACTTTGAGTCAAAATAACGTTAAACTGACTATAACTAAAAAAGGCTAATATTATGCCGTCTGAAATTTAAGTAAGAATTCTTATTGGTCAAAATTACTTAGATAAAACGTGACCTAAAATAAACTTGAAGCCCCAAGCTTGACTAATGCATCGAATACGCTGTCTATCCAGCAGCATATCTCCAAACGTGGACAATATAATATATACCAATTACATAGATATCGCTCCTTGACCACCCCTGGGCAAAGCGGCGACCATATGTCGTCTATGTATTCAGATTCATTTGAGACAATTCTATATAAGGGGATGGAAGACCGGGCCTATATTAGAAAGAAAGGAGGTATAGTTACATCAACTGGGACTCAGAAAGTGTGTCTTGGGAGAATGTTCCGGCCCAGGGCAGCCTATGAAGGTATCCTAGTGGTACGCCCTCCCTCTAGTACTTGCGTACGACAAACTTGTCTCATCACTGTCCTCACAAGTAGGAAAAGAACAGAAAACTACTTAGCACCTCACGGTGTGTAATGGAAAATTGTTTTGTGACAAAAAAGTCGACAAAGTAGAGTATTTATAGCCTTGTGTTAAAGTTTGCATCAGCAATCAGCTGCGTCATAGAGTAGGTACACTAGTGCCTCTGTTTGCATAGTAGACACGTAGAGGAACGACGAGGAACGCTTATAATGAAAGCAAATAAGCTACGCAGGTTTATAGTAAAGGCGATCAATAATACTGATAGACGAGAGCCAAAACTTCAAAAAAAGTCGAAAAAAAAAAAGAACTCCCTGACGGGGAATCGAACCCCGGTCTCCCGCGCTTGTTACTCGCTTACTAAGCGAAGTTGACAAGCGGAAATCATGACCACTAGACCATCAAGGACTTTCTGGTGGAAGGCGGATGCCCTGTGGTGAGTGATGAGGGAAAATGTGACAAATAGCTACCTAGATGCCCTATTTAAGTGTATTCCTAACCTGTCTTGTGGTTGTCGTTGTAGACTTGCGCTGGGTAAGCGTGTATACCCAAAAATGAGCATTTCCGTCATGGCGTTAAAAAATATTGCTTCACTAGTTGTGCGCTCGGTCTTTTGGCTGCTTGCTTTCCTTTATAACTCTTCACTTAGACTCTATCACGTGACAACGGCATGGCGATTAGTATGTGTCGATCGATAACTCGGCAGGGCGAGGAGAGATAAGGCAGTGGTGGAAGGCCGCCATCAAGCTTGATCACCAACATATTAACGCAACACCACCGCCTCCTAGAGACTGTGCGGAGGATCCCAGGGCATACAAGCTGCTATGCTATCTTACTAGCCTCCACTACACTTGTCCTGTCACTAGAGATCGCCAGCAATCAAGCCAGGGGAAGCGACAACGTCTCCCCAAATAGAGACCACGCATACGATGCAGCGCAACACTTTTGCACCCCCTCCGGCCCAGTCGCCTCCCCTCCACCACCCGATCCCTCAACATGTCTCTACAGTGCCGATGATGCGGTCACCGCCGCCGCCAGTGTCCCAACAGCCTCAGCACCAGCACCAGCAGCATGGATACAACAATCCCTACCAGCCAAATCCAACTCAGGGAGGAGGCCAGTTTGCCCCTGGGTTTGGCGGCTTTATGTCGGATCCCACAGCCCAGATGGGCTTTCAGGTTGGAAAGAGCGCTGTCATGGCAGGCCAGGAGTACATGGAGCAGAATGTATGTCTTTTTTCCCTGCTGGGTTGGGTTATATCTATTCTTGTGTTATGTTGTGTGGCACAGGATACTGACAGATAATTTTTTTTTTATCTAGTTGAACCGATATGTGTCAATTCCTGCGCTAAAACACTACTTCAACGTCTCCAATTCATACGTCCTTAAGAAGCTTGCCCTTGTCCTGTTCCCCTGGAGACATAAACCATGGTTCCGCCAGCAAGGACGCATGGCTGGTGCAGCCTCCGCGAATGGTCAGATCAGCCAGGCGCAGTACACCTCCATGTACCTCCCGCCACGAGACGACGTCAATTCACCAGACATGTATATTCCTGCCATGGCTCTGGTCACTTACATCTTGCTCTCCGCTGTCATGGCTGGCCTCCGAGGGAATTTCCATCCAGAGATACTGCGTTCGATAACGTTCATTGCTCTGGCTGTGGTGGTATTTGAGATTATCTGTCTCAAAGTGGCCATGTACATTCTCAATATCAACAATGACTCCCAACTTCTTGACCTAGTGGCTTATTCCGGGTACAAGTTTGTTGGAATCATCGTTACCTTGGGCGTGTCCGAGATCCTTACGCCTGGTCAAGGCACCGGAGGTTGGGTTGGCTGGACTGTGTTCATCTATACCTTCCTTGCCAACGCATTTTTCTTGGTCAGTATTGGGATTATTGAAAAAAAAAATATAAATAAAAATAAAAAAAGAGTTAAGCTGGTGATGAATATGCTAACAGTTTGAATGTATAGTTACGTTCACTAAAGTATGTCCTGCTACCGGACAGCTCGAGCGATGCAGCCATGCGAGGCGGTGCTATGCCGACCGTCGCCCGCTCCCAACGCAACAGACGAACCCAGTTCCTCTTCATCTACTCATACATGATCCAATTCGTCTTCATGTGGATTCTCAGCAGACAGGGACCGGTCCCATCGGCGGGCACCACTCCAAAAGTGCCTACCCCTGGCACCGTCTCATAATCCGTCTCATGTCCCTTCTAAGCTCGTAGACGCACAAAAATGATACCTGTTTGCCTAACATATATATCTACATCTACATCTACCTTTTAAACACCTGCAAAAGTCCTTTTAGACCACGATACGGCGATATCTTCTCCTAATGTTCATAAGTAGGCAGACTGGCTATATTGAATGACCGTTGCCAGCGCCATCCCTTTGCTAGCGATAATGATTGTTAATGAATAAGCGGACAAGCAGTTTAATGCTACTATCTATCCCTTTTGTCTTGTGAAAAACCGAGAAATCTATGGGCCAATACGGCCAAGCGCTTCCTTCTCATCAGCAGCCCCTGGCAGAGACTTAGGTATAATTCGATACTTAGGTATTGGTATCTAGTACGTATGGTGTAGTGTCTTCACTACCCCTACCGATCGAGCTGTGCGTTATCACGAGTCCGGCTGCCTTACCTAACATCAACAAGGCGTTGTGGCAGAGTGGTCTAATGCGATTGACTAGAATTTCTCTGAAACAGATAATCAATTCCCTTCGGGGGCGACGGTTCGAATCCGTCCGACGTCGGCCTTAACTTTTTTGTGTTTTCCATTTTTTTTTAATCACCTCATTTATTATTATGCTTTGCAAGGTTCTTGTTTTATTTTGTTGAATTATTTATTTGTTCACTGCTATCGCACAGTATCATGGCCAGATGTGTCTATAACTCTGTGCGTACACAGAACTGGGTAAACTTTGGCGCTGATGCAGTCTCGAGCCGTACAACAACCCTACACCAACACCGGAAGTTGTCGCAATCCTTGAGGATGCCAGTGGTTGCAAACGCAGCCATTCCAAGTACTGGCCTATCGTCATACGTTTTATCCTTTAACTATTCCCTGCTATGATTAATATTGCTTATCATCTTTATCCTGTTTGCTACGCCTGCAACTTCATTCGCCGGGGTGTGGATGCACCGACGTCATAACCTGTGCCATCGCCTACGGCCTTCCCCTAGGTCCAACCCAAGTCAATGGCCTCGATGGAAGGATAGATGGCCAGTCAGATTAAGCAGATTAAACAGCAATGGCTTGTCTGTTTCCTTTTAAAAGCTGCTTGTTGCCACTTAGCTGGCTGCTCTCAGCTGTTTGTCCACCGTCATTGTCAACTTGACATCTACCGTCATTGAATACTAGACTACTCTACCAAAGATATCCGGTACTTCTTTGGAGACAACATGTCGAAAGTCGAAGAAGGAATTCGAAAAGTGCAGGAGACCCTCCAGGGCCTGTATCCTCATGACAAGAAGCTTGCCGACCTGGCGAAGGATACGACGGATATCCATACTGCTGGTTCGATCACCACGGATCATGGAACCAAGGTCGAGAATACAGATGAATGGCTAAAGGCAGCCGATAGCTCGAGGTCTGGGCCGTCAATGCTCGAGGATCAGATTGCTCGAGAGAAGGTACGTTTGCTCTCTCAGCTTTGTTTGTGATTGTTGACTGACAGGTATATAGATCCACCGCTTTGATCACGAACGAATTCCCGAACGGGTTGTTCATGCTCGTGGAACCGGTGCATTTGGACATTTTAAGCTATTTGAAAGTGCTGCAGATGTGACTTCGGCCGGTGTCTTGACGGACACGTCTCGTACCACACCTGTCTTTGCCCGGGTTTCTACCGTCCAGGGAAGTAAAGGAAGTGCAGACACCGTCAGAGATGTCCGCGGTTTTGCCGTCAAGTTTTATACTGAGGAGGGAAACTGGGATCTCGTAGGGAATAACATTCCTGTCTTCTTCATCCAGGATGCCATCAAGTTCCCTGACTTTGGTATATCTCCCACCCCTTCTCTCCACCCACTTTATAAACATATACTAATACCCTCCTAGTTCACGCTGTTAAGCCAGAACCTCATAATGAAGTCCCCCAAGGCCAAACTGCTCATAACAACTTCTGGGACTTTGTCTATCTCCATCCTGAGGCTACTCACATGTTCATGTGGGCCATGTCTGACAGAGCCGTTCCACGATCATACCGTATGATGCAAGGCTTCGGAGTCAACACTTTTGTTCTCATCAACAAAGAAGGGAAGCGCCATTTTGTCAAGTTCCATTGGACTCCAGAGCTCGGTGTTCACTCTCTTGTCTGGGATGAAGCTCTCAAGCTCGGTGGCCAAGATCCTGACTTCCACAGAAAGGACCTGATGGAGGCCATTGATAACAAGGCCTATCCCAAGTGGAAGCTCGGTATCCAAGTCATCCCTGACGAAAAGGAGCATGATTTTGAGTTTGATATCCTCGATGCCACTAAGATCTGGCCCGAAGATTTGGTGCCGGTTAGATACATTGGTGAGATGGAACTGAACCGTAACGTCGACGAGTTCTTCCCTCAGACAGAGCAAGTCGCCTTCTGTACCGGCCATGTAGTCCCAGGCATCGATTTCTCAAACGATCCCCTCTTACAGGGTAGAAACTTCTCTTACTTTGACACCCAACTCTCCCGTCTCGGAACCAATTGGGAGGAGCTGCCCATCAACCGTCCAGTGTGTCCCGTCATGAACCACAACCGAGACGGACAGATGCGCCATAAGATCACTCAGGGCACCGTCAACTACTGGCCAAACAGATTCGAGGCATGCCCTCCGGCCAAGGTTGGGGAGGGGTTCCATTCTTTCCCTGAAAAGATAATGAGTATCAAGCAACGCACTCTCAGCGCTAAGTTCCGTGAACACATCAACCAAGCTCAGTTATTTTACAACTCTCTCACCCCATATGAGAAGAAACACGTTCAGAACGCCCTAGCATTCGAACTGGACCACTGTGATGACCCAACCGTTTACACCCGTGTAGTCCTACGCCTGGCTGAAATTGACCTCCCCCTCGCACAGGCAGTGGCACCTCTCGTTGGGGCAGAAACTCCCAAATCTTCACCCCGTTCCAATCCGGGCCAGAAAACAATCAATCTAAGCCAGGCAGAGATTAACGAGTCCCATCCCCAGGTCGGTACTGGTACACCAACAATCAAATCCCGGCGTATTGCCATTTTGATCGGAGACGGCTACGATCCAGTAGCATTCATTTCCGCCAAAACAGCAATCAAAGCCGCCGGAGCCTTACCATTCATCATTGGAACTAAACGCCAGCCCATCTTTGCTGCACACCAGCACAGAGAAACGGATAAGGGCATCGTACCTGACCATCAGTATGATGGTGCACGCTCGACCTTATTCGACGCCACTTTCATCCCTGGCGGCGAGCATGTTCGCATCCTAAGCAAGATAGGCCAGATCAGATACTGGATTTCTGAATCATTCGGCCATTTGAAAGCTATCGGCGCCACGGGTGAGGCAGTCAATTTGGTCGCTCAAGTGCTAGGTAATGACGTGCCGCAGCTTGACTTCGCCGACTCTTCTTCCGCTGGGGTTATTGAGAGCTATGGTGTGGTTACCAGTTGTAAGTTGCATGAACCGGAGAGTTTGACGGAGGGAATCAAGATATTCAAGGATGCAGGTGATTTCTTGGGTAAATTCTTTTACCATATCTCTTGTCATAGGAATTATGAGAGGGAGCTCGATGGCCTAGCTGCTTCACTTGCTTGGTAAGGGCGAACTTTGGGAGAACTTCGAGCTCCTTATTTGCTATTTAATTAATCTATCTATGCATGATAATTTGTCCGAAAAAATTTATATGAAATTATAATAACATTGGTCATGAAGGTGAGAGTTAAAGAGAGGTATAATATAAGTAGGTATTTGGTGACACGTTTAAACATATATGAAAAACATTCCATCATTATACATCTCAAGGGGCCAGCCAATAGCTATACACACATTGCCCTATTCCCAAGAGGGGAGATTAAACGAAAGACCAAACATAAGGAAGGGTATATAGCTGCGTCGAAACCATCATTTAAAGTCAAAAGAAGCAAAATGAGCAAAGAAAACAAACTCCTCGCTGGGTATAACGAGAGGTACATAGGCATGGAACCCAATCAAACTATAAAGTAGATTTTAGAAAGGAAATATAGCTGCACATTAATATGCAAGGTGGGTATATGAAAACAATAATTAGGGTATCAATGGTTTTATGCCCATCTCCAGGTAGGTCTGTAGATCTCATCTGCCTTTGTTTGCGGAATATTAGACTCGCGTTGCCTAAGGCCCATTTCCACAGACGAAGGGTTCGCCTTATTGGATTTGACGAGTAAAAGATGGACAGCGGCATTGATATCGACTGATTCACCTGTATCAGTCCGTTTCAGAGCCCATTTGGCATCTTCTTCATCAAAGCCTAGCTCATGCACCATCTTCTGTAGAGCCAAGTCAGCTGGGTCTGGGACGACTAGCTCCAAACAATTGTTGTGGTGTGGTGCGGGCCGGCTAGATGGCATTGGCTGGCGGCCTTGAGAAATTTTCTCCTCTACTGGCGGTGGTGTGGGCTGTGGTGATGATAATCTTGAGGTTGAGCGAGAATGATTGTTTGGACTGAATACTGGCATTCGAGGAGTGGGATGGAGATATGGAGTCCCCGATTCGGAGGAAATGAATTTGTTAACGACCACCTCAGAGACTGGAGTTGGACGCTCATCACAGTTGGGAATGGCGTTGGAGATACCCAGCCCTGTATCAAGGGATATTTTTTTATTGCGAAGCTCCGCTGCAAAGCCAGCTTGCCGTTGGCGACGGGCACTTTTCTGGCTTGTAATGCTCGACTGGCTACTTCGTTTTGATCTTGAACTTTGGGGAGATGCTCTGGAAGAGAGGGAGGACGGGTTAGAAGAAGAAAGGGAGGCTGACCTCAAAGGGAGGTCTCGGCAAACCCGTGAGACAGCTTCTTTGAAGAACAGCCGGGCTGGCTCGTTCTCTGCTTTCACAGAAGATTGCCAGCGGGTCCAGCCTAGAGATTTGGCACGAGCAAACTTCTGTTCAACTGGGGTAGAAGGGGCAAAGCTGATGAGAGTAAGGACTGCATAAGGGCCTAGGGTGAGTAGATATTGAGTCCACTCTTCTATAAAAACCGTTAGTTTTGCAACCATCTAAATAACGATATATATTATGATCGACATACCAAGTAAAGTCTCCTCCTGTGCTACATCTCCGGGAGTTACGTCCTTGTTGTCAAAGACCCCAAATTTGCGTGCCGCCTTACATTTCCCATGGAAAACACTAAGCAGATTGGCAAGGCAAGTCCAAATCTCAGACATATCGCATAGTTGATCCGAGCTTAAGCCGCCGTTATTCCCCTTAGCAAAACCTTGTGGCGGATCGAGAAGGAGGTTGCTGATGAAGGGCATGGGACTGAAGATAGATGCGGATGGCCTAGTATCGGACTCAGCGAGTATACCGCCCCGGAGCCAGTCGACCTGAGCCTCGATATCGCTTTCTCTCCCTTTCCCACAGCCGAAGAGGGAGCAGAATGTCCATACACGCCAGAAAGCATCGTCCATTTCTGCCGAGCGCTGTTCATCCAGGCCGGCCAGCGCACGAGAGGTTTCTAACCGTAGGAAACCCTCACAGTGTACAAGGATCATAGATTTTAGAGCAGCCATGGCGTATAAGTCTCTAGAATAGTGTTCGAGATATATTCGAGGGGTATACTCGGGAATAGGCTCATCTCTGACGCTGACACCAAGGCGAGCGACGCCATCATCATCCCATGGTGGACTCATCTCACGCAGCTCCCACGCCGGCAAGGACATAAGAGATAAAGTATTTCGGACAAGAGCCAGTTCATTCTGTTTAAACACTGTGTAAAAGGCTCGATTCGAGAGAGCTAGATTGAACAAATCGTCAAAGTAGCTGACGCTTTCGAATATTTGAAGAATAATGCTGTCTGCCAACGGCTTCAGTGGGCGAGGCGCAGCCTTTGTCTGCCTTGATTCTTCCCGTGGTGATGGGTCTGCATCAAGCTCTGCAAAGCCTACAGGAATATCCAGAACCACGTTCAAACCGAAATCCAGCTTCTCTATTGGATTGGCTGTATGCATGGGAGCTAACTTGAGAGTAGGTAAATCCGGCTGTGATTTCGGTGTCTCTGTCACTCCTTTTTTTGAGAATGCAGACAGACGGCTCCATCTTCCCTTAAAGCCAGACTGCCCACCCTTCTGGTTCTTCGTGCGGGTGAGTTGAACTTTTTGCTTCGATGCTATGCTCTCGCGAAGGCGTTCGATACTACTGCGGGCCAGGTCCATGCTGGGAGAGTTGCCTCTCTGAATTTCAGGGGTGGCGGCCTCCTGGTCGCTCTTGGTATCAGTAATAGTTCGCTGTAGAAAAGAGGGAGAAGGAGAACGAGATCGAGAGTTTGGTCGAGTTCCTTTGCCCGATGGTATCGCTAAAAGATGTGCTTCCAGGTCTTCGGCAGCTTTTTCTAAGGAAGGTAACAATGAACTTCGGTTGGACTGCTGGAACGTTTCGTCAAGCATTTCAAAATCGCTTTCTTGGGGTATTTGGGGTAGGCAGAGCTCGTTTGGTGAGTTGCTAGAATGGGAAGCCTTTCTCGAGCGCTTGAGTGACTGTTCAGATCCTTGGGGCCGAGGGCGTACGGTCTCCGGCAGCGGCGGATAGGGGGGCAGTGCCTTCATTCTTGATTCTCGAATAGTCAACCTCCTTTTGAGGTTAGCAGCCGGGACGGGTTGTCTCGAGCGGTATTCATCGTTGGAAATAACAGCGTCGACAGAGTTGAGTGAAAAAGGGCTATTCACAGCCCCCTTTTGGGGAAGGTTCCGCAGCGTTTGTTCACCGGCGCAGCTGACTGAGGACCAGGGGTATATTGAAGAACAAGTAGTCGCGGAACAACATGTTGGAGATGTTGGAGATGTTGGAGATCTGGGGTCAGGCGAGGTGTGATGCTTGTTATCGAGCATGAAATGGACGGTCTGCTTCCTTTTGAGTTCGTTATTGAACGATAGGGGGAGAATTGCTGATTCGTTAGCTGCTGTATCCGAGAAATATTCATGAGCCGCGTGGTGTGAAATATGCATACAGCTGCTAAACCCAGTCTCAATGGTAGTCACAGTGGCAGGAGACTGGCAGCAAATACTGTTATCATCACACAGCCTATCGTTGGCAGCTGTCGCCCATAGTGGCAGCACAGGATCTGGATGCAAAAGTTACTGGCGAGAGCAGTCGCTTTTCGTCATCTTCCCCTTGATGTCAGCTCCCTCCAGATAACGCTCCGCAACCTCCTGATAGCTCCTGCAAACTCCGAGCGGGGAATAAGAGCAGGGGTGGGACTCCTAGGTCTGCGCTGTCGTGTCGTACGCTCGGTAGCCATGGCATTCGATTTCTCCTTGCTTCCGTGAATTTTGCTGTGGACCTTGTTCTCGAAGCTTCGCAGATATATCCTTCGTCCAGTTCATACTGCTTTCTGACTGTCTGGCTTGGAGTTTCTTCATCTTCTTCGCCGAGGGCACCAGGTTATTGAGCTTTTCAGACCTCACGATGATCGTCATGGCTGCTGTTTTCCCACCTCTAGAGTTCATGCATCAGGTCAGCTCTTACTGCACATCAAAACGGTGACAACAAAACATCTGCAGGTCATTACTGCCGTCCCCTCTGCCCGGGCCATCCGGTAGATGTAAATGCAATTGCTTCCACCTCAAGCTCCTCGGATCGGATTCATTGTTTCAACGCCTTAGGAAATCACTAGCTTGGTCCAAAGCATGGATAAAGACATGATAGGCGGAAGATTTCCAAAAAGCCACAACTGATGATTCGTTTCTTGACGGGATATCAAGCAAAAAATGAGATAAATCAATTTTACTGGAAATGACTAAACCTCTCCTCAACAATGGGAAGCTGCAGAAGACGCTTGCGCAATCATCTTGAGGCTTCGAAAGCGGGATAAGGCGTGGAGAAGAAAGCCATAGACTTCATTGTCACATCGCATATAGACCAATTTCGAAGCTCCAAAAGAAGGAAATGACACGAATACTGGGGAGAAAGCAGAGCAGGTACAACCGGGTATCTGAAAACTAACCTCTTTGCAGCTGAAATGTTTAGGTATCTCTCATAGCCTTCGTTACTTCCGGCCTTCAACCACCACCAATCCCCCAAGAGCATAAATGGCTGCGCGAGATGTTGCGACGAAAAATGGATATCACAGTATCGCAGTAACGAACGCTACCTTTTGATTAATGGCGGATCTGTCAAAGAAATAGGCGCGCGAATCCGTCGAGTTGGGTCGAAGATCCGTCCTTGGAGAAAAGAAAGTCGGGCGTCCAACGAGCGTTAAAGAACGATAATTGTTGGAAATTGGATCCTAAAAGAAAAGATATTATGTTGTTGAGCCGAGCTAGTCAACTGATAAATGCTTGGGACAGGATGGTGGAGCGTACCTGGCAGCCGAGGGTGTATTCATACTACTTATCTAGTTATATGAGTATGAATATTGTTTACCCTGTCGTTTTCCAGTTTTGATAGAGCGACAGAAAGGAGTAGCCGCCACTAAAAAATCTGCTGGCCCTGGCGAACATATGACAAGGGCAAACAAGACAAGGCTCTGATCGATATAGATTGGGGTGTTATGTATGTGTCTGCATGCAGCTACAAGGGCGAGGAGTGATAGAACCGGATCCGTTGGAAGATAAGCCCTCTTCTCCCAAAAACGCACAAGTGCGGCATGTCAGCACCGTGCATATTATGTTCACGGCCGGGGAAACAGGCTGATATATGAATAGGCAATCACATAAGTGCCCGTTTTCGATCATCGTCGCCCGTATTTCTCAGCGAATCTTACGGGTTGGATAGATGGTGTGCAGGGCTGCTGCTGGAGAGACATGTTGCGGCCAAAGAGACTCAGGAAAAAGCAAAGCCGACGCCTCCACTGGGGAGCAGGCGGCGATCAGCCAAAGTGTGTAAGGCCCGTATTGTGCGGGAGCAGCCAGACTCAAATTGGGTCTTATTCTTAGTTTTGCCCCAGGCTGGTGCCCTCAAAACCTCCGCTGGCCTGTGCAAGGGGGCGGGCTATATCACTGCCCTGGTAAGCACCCACCAACTAACTAGTTAACCAGGGAAGCGTTCGGTCTAACCCCCAAGCACCCCGGCGAATCCTGGAGATAACTATTGGATTTTGACATGACTAGCCAAGGATTATTAACTGCACCAAAGTCCCTTTCTGCTCCGTTTGTTATGATAAGAGAAAATGGGCTCCACCATACGGAGTATAGGTAGGGTCTTTCACACAGCTGTTCCCGTAAAACCAGCCCCGCGACTCTTCAAAATCCGTTCCTCGCTGGTGCCTGGAGGACAGAACTCCGTCATCGAGCAGCAAGCCGGACTTATCACCAGTTACCAGAACCTAGTTACTTGGTTGTGTGGATATTGACGCGGTGTTTTACCCCTTAACGCCCTTGTGCTGCAGCACCAGGGCATCTGCAGCAAAAACAGACAAGGAGGCCGACCAGGTTCCAGTGCCCCCAAAAAAGCAGCAGCGGCCGTCGTCTTTTTCTGGTCCCTGTCGAGCTCCAGTGTTTGTATGGAGTGGTGGTCAAGGGGGCTCAGCCTAGCCAGCATCAGGACTGCTCCGTCTATCCGCGAGGACATCCGCCAACCCAGCCACGAAGTTCTATTTTTACAGTCAGCTAGTTAGTCACATGGAGGAACAGAGGCCGCAGCGATGTTTCTCTTTAACTTGCCGTGTCCATTTTTCACGATTGGTGTTCGTTATTTATTTATCGCTGTGGTCGCCGGAGAGATGAGGTGATGGAGGTTGTTGAGTTGTTGTCGTTGTCGTTGTCGTCTCATCTTTTGACTACGCGAGGAATTAACGACAACACCACAAACTCCTCCGTACGCCTAATTAACTACGGCGCACTTCTCTACTCTACCATAAACTAATATAACCCTCTTTGGCGTCGCTTACTTTGATGCGGACGACACTTGTAGGCTTCCCGTCTTACACAGACTATTTATTTATTCGTACTCACTCCGTATAGTCCCTGGTGTCATCGACGAAGCTCGGTTCACGACTCAGGGAGACTGGCCCTCCAAGGCGCATCAACTCCCAGATATCCTTTTCAAATACGAAACATGCTAATTTTTCCCCTTCTAGACTTCATCTCTCGTCCTTATTTCACGCCTTCCAACCTTCTTAGCAGAGATTTACACCCCAAGGACGCCAGTGCCATCTTGCGCGCAGAAGATTTAACCAAATTATACGAGGATTACGCCTCTGGGAACTCAGAATCCGGCTTTCCACATGGACTTCTATTTATATGACTGTCCTTTGCCGTCAGATACGAGAAGATGTACATACATGCACGGAAGAAGCGTATATCAAGGCAGAACGTACTTTTTATATATATTTTACTTCTTTAAGGTCACACAGTGTGTCAACGCAGAGTTGCTGTGAAGCCTCAAGGTGAGGTGACATGTCTTTCCCCAAATGCTGTAGTAGTGACGTCAGTGGGCCCCGTGGAATAGACGACAGAGACTGATACTGTTGATATACTGTGTAACGATATACCTATCTCTTGCGGTAATGTATGCGGAGTACTCCGTGCAAACCGGAGTAACCGTTTGATATTATCAAGAGGCAACAGGTAGCTTCTTAAACTCTCGATTCATCTCATATGCGGCATCAGCAAAGCCTTGACCCGGAATTAAGCTGCAGGATAATCACTTAACTATGTCGATCCCACCCGCCACAATGGGAGTGGTCGAGAAGTATGTTGCCGGCACCTACGGCGTAGCTGCTCTCCATACCGACGAAGTCGGCAAACCCTGGTTACTCGGAGTACGTCAACCAGAATTGCACGAGAAAGCTGTTTGCCCTTTCCGCTAAATAAGCAAGGACAATAACCAATGCAACAATAATAAAATGAAAATGGTTTGCACTAGTTCCATCAGCGCTCATTGGTTATTCATCGTGCTACGCCTCAAGGCCAACCCAACGTCTACCTATGGTTGACACGGTTACCATAAATATCCAGAGGGGGGTAGTGAATCAATCCGGAGCTATCTAGTTGCAAGGCTCACTTGTCGGTAGGAGAGCCCCAACTCGGTCTAGCCTGCGAGATGCCGTTACTGTTATGGACGAATTATTCCGGGTGTCTGGAAGCGCCTTGACTACGGCCTCTTGCCGAGGATGTGGGGAAGAGGGATTAAAACGCCGTTTCTGTTATCCTTTTCTCTCGTCCAAATCGACCATAAACAGTTAGTCACGTAAAATACTCACTGGTCTTAAAATCAAGTCCTGACAGGCAATAACAGAGCCAAATACAGGCCGTTGTTGGCGGGGTTGTTGACTGGAATGAATGATATGGCTGGAACCAAGCACAAATAGGCCGAATTCAAGCACCAAAACTGATATGGGGATATACCTCCGCGTACTGATAGAGAGACATTACAGGATCAGGATGCTCAGCCACCTGGGCTTTTGCGGAGCTGTTCGAACAGGCTTTAACAGCATGATCCGTCATCAAACGCAGAATAATGAGAGAATTTCCCTTGGGGACAATCCATCAAGAACATGCAAGTTCCCGGGTATCACCGAAAGAACTTATTGTAGGACGTTTGCTCATGCCAGGTGGAATGTTCCGAGAGAGGGCCATTTATGCTCCAGCGGCTGACTGAGAGATATGAAAAAGTTGCAAATAGCCAAGAGGAGACTGTATAATCCGTAGATACACATGCGAGCTCTGTATTGTATCCCGGGCATTTGTATGCTCGAGCGAGTTGTAATTTGATATCTGTCCGTGTCTTTTCAAACGAGCAGAACCGTGAAGTTTATATGCAAACAGTGCAACACAGCTGATGTAATATTTAAACTTTTCACGTGACATGCTCAAAGTGAAGCTTGGACCACTGGTTAGCTTGCTTAAGTAGGCAAGAACGACGTCACATGTTTTCTTCTTTCGTCACTTAGTTACGTATTTCATCGTCTTTCGCTTTCAGCTGCGCCAAACGGCAAGTTTTGGTTATTGCTTCTGCCTATTTGCTACTGCGGACCATAGGATAAATAAATACCCAGCTCTGCGTCTCCAAGTCGTTAAGAATGATTGCTGGTTAAGTGTTTCCAAGCTCATCCGGTTAGCCGTTGCAGCAACGATGGCTGCAAACACCACCCCGCCTGCGTCGCCGCCGTCTCCGTCAGCCTCATTCTACGATGTGAGCGACGATGAGGAAGGGGATTATAATACTGTCACCCATACTAGCTCCGGGAAAGGCGTGAGACTACTCTATTCTAAGAGTAAGGTAGGTAACGGACGTGGAGTGAAATCAAATGCATCAAGAGGAGTAAGCTAACTAATCGATTGTCACAGGTCTATGTCCATCCCACTGCATCTTCAAAGGATAATATACCCGGCTTTATTGCCTTGGTTCAGCAAAAGCCTGCTCCGTCTGCACCACACGAGAGTACTTCATCCCCCTCTCTATCTTCAGATAAAGCTGTTGATCCGTCGTCACTCTTACTGTCGTGGGTTCCTGAGGCATCTCTCGGGGATGAGCGCAATGTCTATGTTAAAGTAGATCTATCGGAGGGCAACTCGCCCCCACGGACATCCTATCTGGTCCCTCCACTACCCACTACCATTAGTAGTGCTGGCCCTATCGGATCTTATGCATTTGCAATTCCACTGTCACGGATATACTCGCTTTTGGTTCGGCCTCCCAGCCTAGGATGGTGGTTTGGTAGCGTGGTGATCAACACAAAAGCGGGAGATAGCTTTCCGGCGCTATTCTTTCATGATAGTGAGTGCGAGTCCACCATACTGCAAAAGAAGAAACGGACAAAGGAGAACTTTGACCCCTTTGCCGATGATGGAAGTATGTTCTGGGGTGGTGACGAAGTGCTTCGATGGCTACGGAGATACGCTGATGTTCACCGCTCTGGGGAGGACCCAAGTGCCTACCTTATCAACCCGACTGAGGAAGACAAAACAGCTTTTGGAAAGGCTAAAGACAAGGTAGAAAAATCTAGCGGCCAGCCTGGTTCTAGCAAGCCTCCCAAAGATGCAACAATGGACCCATTCACAAAGGCCCTCAAGGAAACAAGGTGGATGGTTCTTGAGCAGTTTAGCAAAATCACGACTTTCACCCGCAGAACAGCTCAAGATATCGCAGAAAACCCTCGAGTACCTCCGCAAGTAAGACGCCTAATGAGAAACCCAGAAGTCCAAACGTTACAAGACGAGTTTGATAGTGCCAGACTATACCTTGCTCGTTGGGCGATGGGTATTGCAGAACAGAGCGAACGTGAGCGCAATCAACGAATATGGACAGCAAACGATGTCTTGGCTATGGAGAATAGCTCTGTCGGAGAATTCGAAATTCTAGACATGGAAGCCGCCCAGATGAGTATTAGTGACAAGCGGAAAGTAGTCACCTTGGAAGAGTGGAATGGGTGGTTCCATAAGACAACTGGGAAACTCCAAATCACTGCTGGCGAAGCTAAAGAGCGGATTTTCCACGGTGGTCTTGAACCGAATGATGGCGTTCGAAAGGAGGCATGGCTGTTCCTTTTAGGTTTCTATGCCTGGGATAGCAGCGAAGATGAACGAAAAGCAGTCATGAACTCACGACGAGATGAATACATCCGCTTGAAAGGTGCTTGGTGGGAGCGTATGATTGACGGAGCTTCCACACCCAAAGAGCAGGAATGGTTTAGGGAACAGAAAAACAGAATAGGTAGGCTACCTCCACTGACTTTATGGTGCACCAAGTCCAAGTTATTCGTCAAGATTTCAGATGGCTAACTATACGCCATCCCTTGGTGTTTTAAATTCAGAAAAGGATGTTCACCGGACAGATCGCCATATCCCCCTCTTTGCGGGAGAGGACACGCCTCATCCGGACCCGGATTCACCGTTTGCTGAAACGGGAACAAATGTGCATCTTGAACAGATGAAAGATATGTTGCTCACATACAATGAGTATAACACAGAACTCGGATATGTGCAAGGTATGAGCGACCTTCTTAGCCCAATCTATGCAGTGATGCAGGACGATGCGATCGCATTCTGGGGGTTTGTCGGGTTCATGAACCGAATGGTAAGCATCTACCTAAATACTACGTTATTATACAGCCAGCTTATATATATCAGGAGCGAAACTTCCTCCGAGATCAATCTGGGATGCGCCAACAGCTATTGACACTTGACCAACTCCTTCAGCTCATGGATCCAAAGCTTTACCTACACCTCCAGAAGGCTGAGAGCACCAACTTCTTCTTTTTCTTCCGCATGCTTCTAGTATGGTTCAAGAGGGAATTTGAATGGGTCGATTGCCTCAGACTCTGGGAATCGCTATGGACAGATCATTTGTCTAGCAGTTTCCACATCTTCGTCGCTTTGGCTATACTAGAGAAGCACCGTGATGTCATCATGGCACACCTTCATCACTTCGATGAAGTCTTGAAATATGGTATGTGCTTTCCTTACTCACGTTATTACAAAACTTTTAGCTAAACCATCAATAGTTAACGAACTTTCAAATACAATCGACTTGATACCAACACTGAGTAGAGCCGAGGCCCTATTCCACCGTTTCGAGAAGAAGGTTGAAGCTATTGACAAGAAGTATAACTTCCCTCAAGCACCTGTTCGCCAGCGAACAACACGTCCTACATCTCAGGCCAATACCACTGCCTCACCCCCTGCAGATAGTGCTGCAAAAGCAACCGGAGCTAGCCCGTCAGCTAGTAGAGGAACAAGACCCTCCAACAAGCCTGATTCCAATGCTGACTCTGAGGCTACTTCTTCTCAAATAATAACCCCTCTTCTTCGTAAACTCCTAAGCCGGGAGGTGGAAGTCATGGATGCCAAAGAGGTTCGGCAACATAGTCGTCCTGGGGCAAAATAATTGTTGCTAAGCGTTTGTATGGAAGCCACTCTCGGCATTACACCTCTGGATGGGCGTTTTTACGAGTTTCCTTATTGTATCATCTCAATGGTATATTGCACTTAATACTTAGTATATTACGGGTATCTAGGAGTTTTAGGTGAGATGATAAGGACTTGGGACATCTTAACATTTACTGCATCGCATACGTTATTCTGTGGATAATAATTCCGTTATAGGCGTTCGGGGCCTTTGGATTGCCGTGAAATTTAATACTCAGTTATCACCGTGGACACGGAACATGCACTTACGTATATTACGTTCGTAGTAGACACTCAGACAATATGATGGATCATAATTCCGATTAGAAGGACTAGTTGACTTGAGATAGTAGGGGTATATGTTAAGAAGAATATTGCAATGCTAGAGGCATTGGATCAATACTTACAGAAACGAATCGCCAAAGCAGAGAGATGTTGAAATAACATAAGACCGAGGATAACCAAAACAACGACGAAAAAAAAGGACAGCAAAGAAAAGAGGAAAAAAGGAAAGGAAAAAGAAAAGACCAAGGTAAAAGAACGTGGTGCTAGAGATTAAAAGAGAGTAGTCATAGCGTTAGATGTAAGAAAAGGAAATCGAGACGGAAGATGGAAATGGATATCTTGAATAACGCCGGTCCAAAAAAAGTCCAGTCACTTACTTACTTACTCACAACATGCGGCCCAAGATGGAAATGGAAATAAGAATCAAAATGGAATGAAAATCGATGGTGATAAAGAGCGGATATTTGAAGCGATTGACAGGAAGGGGAAAAGGTCAACGATCATGTTGAATTATTCCTTTTCTTTCCCTACTCGACGTAAAAAGACTCGTTTATTTAGTGATACCCCTCCTATATCACTTGCGCTTCGGAGCTTGTTCTCGCCCCGGACTTTGTTCATTGCAATGTTGCTTGTCGGGCTTTGCTCGTTAAGAGTTGCACTGGGCATGCGTCGAAGGACGCTAGAGCTGCTACGGATAGCGGTCATTGATCGCTGAGCTCTAAGAGTAGATGAGCTTCTTCGTGCCTGGCCCATGACATCTTCGACCCAGGCTTCGCTCTCCGGGCTAATGGTATGTTGTTTAGATCGAGGTTTGGGGCCTGCTAAACCAAGTGGTGTCGAATGGGCGGCACCGGTGATTGTGGAAAAAGAACGACGGGATGGAGTGGCGCTGAATGAGTGATCTCCGACAACCGAGGTGCTCATAGAAGTTGCGGAAGATAGTGATGGGCGACGTTGCGAGGATAGAACGGAAGAGTTTCCCGGACTAACACCCTCCTCAGATAGTCTCTGGATGTTGGCAGCGGTGAGGTTTGGTAACAGATCTGCACCGGAGCCGGTTGCACGTCTTGCTCTGCGGATTGCTAGCGAGGAACCGGGGCGAGTATCCATAGCAGATCCAGGTCGTGATGGAGGTATGGGTGTGGTTCGACCGTTGGTAGGAGTAGGAGTTGGTGCGCGGGGATGTTGGCTAACAACAGGAATTCCCTGTACTTCGAATCGCCCGTCGATTATGCCTCGTCTTCCGTGATGCATGGCGTACTCGCGAAGATACTCACCTAGATCTGCCCAGCCACCGCCAACACGTACCATTACCCTCTCTCCAGTCTCGCCAACTATTCGTACAAACAGTTTGACCGGAGCTGCTTTGCCGCCTCTATGAAGATGATATAGCCGTACTTCATCTGGGCCAGGGTTATTGCGACGTCTAGGGCGAGGTGCTGGTGTAAGAGTAAGTGAAGGGGTAGGTGTGCTAGAGCGAGAAAGCGTTGGAGAAGGAGGATGAGTACGGCCTGAGTTTGTGGGCACGCGCAGATTATCCGGCCCAGGGCGTTCGTTGGAGTCATCGCCAACGGTAGACTTCATACGGATTTTGGGAATGGTGTCCAATATGGAATGTACCCTATCGTCGAATTCATCAAGTGGAATTTTTACAGGGGTTTTGGTCCCGGAGTGGGTTCTTGGTTTGAGCGGAGGAGGTATCAATTCTAAAGATTCGGCATCAGGGAATGTGTTCTCTGCTTCTGGAGACGAGGAGCGAACGAATGGACTCAACCTGGAAGGAAGATTGAGAGGTTTGAGGGGAGTGGATGAAATGTTTGTATCAGGAGAGCCTGTAGAGAGTGATGACTTCTCAAGATATAATGGTTCAGAACTTGCACTGCGGCGCAAATTTGATAGTCTCGAAAAATTTGATAGCCGGCGAAGGCTAAGTTGTTCCTGTAAACGAGGGGAGGAAGAAATGCTGGCGGATGAAACAGATCTCCGCAATTCAGACCTTGTTGAAGTACCTGGAGTCAAGCTATTTCGTCGATCAAAGACAGAATCTCCAAGCTGCAAAAAAGTTAGTAACTTATAGTTTTGTTAAATGGAAGCTCTCCAACGTACCTGTCCCTTTGGTGACATATCAACTGACTCGATGGATCTTGTACCTATCTGGGACCGGGAGTTCGGGTGATAGACCCCATCCTGCCCATACAAGACAGCAGACTCGTCATTGATATAACGAGCCAGCGGTAAGCTCATAGTTCTGCCAAATGATCGGAGAGAAGGTGGTGTCTGAATGTCAGGAGAGGAAGACGCGCTGCTGGTAAAGCGAGATGCGGAGTTCTTTGCTGCTTCTGGGGTATGGTGTATTACCGAACCACTGGAGCTGAGGCCAGGAGACGATGATATCTGGGCCGGAGTTGTCGGAGATCTTAGGGGTGGGACAGTGTTGAGATCTAAACTCTCCTTGTCAGGGATGAAAGTAGAAGCATCAGGGGAGCCAGCCGGGTCAGCCACATCATTCTGTTTAATGGTTGCGTCTGAGCCGGACGGAATTAACTGGAGTCTGGATGGAACGTTGCTCTCGCGTTTACTAGACCTTTTACGCATATTGGCCAAGGGCGTGAGGGGAGCTGGAGAATTATCGGGCGACACGTCACTGCGACTGTCCGAACATGGACTATCAATATCGTTGAAATCAAGACGGGAGACAGGTCTAGCCATGGGGTCTTCGCTACGAGTACCATCATATACTGACGGGTGGGGGCCACTTGGAGATTCAAAATTGGGGATGTCATAGTCTTGAAGATTTTTGGTAATAGCAGCAGCTCGGACATCCCTTGGAGTCGAACTAGGAGTATTTCCAAGCCTTTTAATGGGATCTTGCGACCTAGAGGGCGTATTGTCGGGGGTATATCCTTCTGACGAGGGGGTAGTAAAAGGCGTGGATGTCCGTGATTCAGCTGTTTGGTTTTCCTTGATAGCAGGTAGCAATGGCTGCGGTGTCAAAGGCGTGAATTGAAGACTGGACGTTGTGCTAGGGGAGGCGGTATGGTGTTCGACCGTTGCCTCAGTTACATCATGGTAAGGAGGGCTCTTTTGTTGTTGGGCGTGCGAGGCATCTCGTGCCGATTCCTTTGAAGCCTTTTGTGCCAAGTACTCGTCAAGTTCGCGTTGATATAGACATCTCAGCTCATTCTGAACTGCTCTTCTTTCTGCCTCAAATGCCCAGGTAGCAAACCTTGATTCGATAGCTTCCATGTCGTCGATCCAGCTATCTGGTAGGGAATCCTCCCTCCCTTCAAGGATATCGAGCATGCTATCTATCCGGCGGCCGAGAGATGAGACCATGGCCCGTAGCTCTCTCCAGCTAGATCTGAATGATTCTCTGGAGAACGAGGGATCATCAAGTTTAGGGAGCAGGCCATTTTGCAGGCGGTTAAGCGCATTATCAATGGCCCGTTTGGTCTCCTGAAGGCCCAATAGTAACCCTGGAACATGATTAAGAACAAGCAGTCGAGCATGCCAGTTGCTAAGCAGATTGTTTAATCTGGATAGCACAGGTAGAGCTCGTAGAATAGTAGCAGTTATGACCGCGGTAAAGTCGCTCATCTTCAAATAGCTAGCTAGACTTGAGCTTGTGGATATGTTGCTGGCAGAAGAAAGCGGACGGGACCGTGAAGGAATATGAGCTGTGAGAACATGCTCCTTCAGTTCTTCCACGTCCAGAGCTTCCATGCCATCTTTTATTTCCTTGATCCGGTTCTGATATAATTTCAAGATGCTCGCGGGCAAGCTTCCAAAGTGGATTTCTCGCTCAGACTCCCCAGCTTTAGCCTGGTCAGAGTCCTTTCCGGAGCTCTCCACGAGCTCTTTCGGCGGAAGAAAACCGTTCCTTGTATCTGGATTGTGAGCAGCATCCGGCCAGAGCCAGGAGAGTACTTCAGTATGCCATTCATTGAGTTTCTGGGCGGCTACGGCGGCCCTTATGCCGAAGGCACGATCCACGGTTGAGACATCAGATATGCTTTTGGCCAAAAGGCTATGCGGAGTATTTTTGTTTATCGGGATAACGTCGGTTGCGGAGAGGACTTGCAGCGTCGTCTCTGGAGAAAGGTCGGAGAGTAGAGGATCGAGCTGGTGAGAGAGGAAGTGGGCTCGCCGTTCCGGGGAGCGTGAAGACGAGCGCGGAGATCGCGAATGACGCGGAGGGAGACGGACAGCCGGGTCCAGAGACTTGAACGGGGATTTCGCCATGTCTGATATTGGTCCAGGAGCATCGCCGGGAGCCCCCAGGTGCTATCTATGGCTCTTGGTGGTCGTAGGCGCTCTCTTTCTTTTTCTCTCTCTCTCCCTTGATCTGCTTAAACGGCGCCTAGAGATGTCGACATGGCTTATGAGAACGAGTAATCCGCGCCGGTAACGAGCAAAGAGCGACAGTATATAGTCATACCAGGTGAAATCGTCCGTTTCAGATTGAGATTTCAGACAGCGAGGAGAAACAGGTGCTGGATATCTGCCATCGCAGTTGGAGGTGTTGGAGGTCCGTCAAGCATTGCCTCTCTTCGCCGGCCACCTTTCTGTCTTTCGCTGGAAGAAGCCTGCAGAAAGCGAATGCGCTGTCACAATAGAGCACCCCAGCAGCCTAAGCCATAAAGACGGTCATTCGCAGGCTGCTTTGTTTTTTGCTTCTTCCGCCTCTTCTTTGGTCGTGGTTTGGGTGTTTGTTTGGCCGTCGTGGAGAAGGAAGAAAAGCTGAGGTTGAGATGGATCTTTTTTTCCTATTTTATTTTCCTGTGGCTGCAAACCCGAAAAAGGAAAAAACAACATCAAGCCACAGCTTCAGCTACGAGCAGGCTAGTTGGCAGATATTTATACGCCTTTACGACCTGATCTACGGCTCCGTCGTCGTCGTCTTCCTTGAAAAGAGCGAGCGAGATACAGCCTGAGACAAGCATCTGGTGCTTTTTGTAACCGGCTTTGTCCTGGAGCTAGGCGGACCAGTTTGATACTCCTTGTTTCACACCCGCGGCGGGCGGCACAGCAGGGGGAGGAATCAGATAGTTACCAGAGGCGATTTACTCTGTACGAAGGGACGAGAGAGAGAGAGAGACGGAAAGCAGAAGAGAAGGGCGGCCTCTGCATGTCTCTTGCTACCGCTCACGCCGGACGATGAAGCGGACAAGATGCGTTTCAAAAGCCAGCTCACGAACGTAGCGACGTTCTCCAGTCAGTAGCAGCAAAATCTGACCCATAAGTTACCTGTTTTCCTACGCGTCAGCTTTGCAGACTATTTGACTAATCCTTGCTGCTAGAATTCACGGCCTCCCTCTCGTCACTTGGCAAGATCTGCTGGGTGAGGCTGGAGGATGAGGTCGTTCGATTCTCCGTAGTCCCAGACCAGGGGACGCAGGTCTGGGCCCAGCTCCCAATTGTATGTATATACAGATATATAGATATGCTCCGTATATATATATATCTGGACATGGGCCATGAAGAGGGCCATGGTAAGTTGATCTGGTTGAAGTTGGCCATGGGCTAAGAGACGGAGTAGCACACTGTTTTCGACTCATATTCGTTTTCTTCGGTTGCAAAGGTCATAAACCTGGAGGTTCCAATAGGTGCCTTGCATCGTGCGCTAAAGTCAGCCACCGGCGCTACCTCTGCACAACTACGATTGACCAAGAAGGGGAACCAGCCTCAACTCGCCCTGACTGTGGTCACCTCGTCCTGGACATCAGGGAAGGGTGCGTCTACCGCAGATGAGGCCGTAAGGGGCAGCGGCTCCCGCCCGGCAGACTCTCAGTCCCTTGAAAACGGCGGCGCCTTGACCGGAATACCCGCCGCAGAGCTGCTGCAAGACGGTCCCCGGGAACGTGAAACGATTGTCACACAGGAAATACCCATCCGCGTTCTTCACCCCTCCACGGTCGAAGGCCTGCACGAACCACGTTGCCGTGACCCGGATGTACACATCATTCTTCCCAGTCTCATCCAGCTCAAAAGCATATCTGAACGTTTCACAAAGCTTGCCACTGATGCCGCATCCAGCAAAGCAGGGAATGTCGGTGCTGGCGGTGGCAACGGCAATGGACCTGCTCTAGCGGGCGGGAGTTATAGCAGCGGGCCTAAGTTGGAACTTAGTGCCAACATGCACGGTTCACTGAAATTGGCCATTGCTACTGATGCTCTTCGCATTTCAAGTGTATGGACGGACTTGGTGAACCCTCCCCTTGACCCGGCGGATATGACCCAAAATGAGATCGCCCAGCTTCCCAGTGAGCGGATGAGAGCTCGGGGTGCAGACGGTGAGGAAGGATGGGCAAAAGTAAGAATTGACGGTAAAGACTGGGGCCGGGTATTGAGCGTTGGTAGATTGAGCCCCAAAGTTGTTGCCTGTAAGTATCTGTCAACTACCCTTTTACGTCTCTATTTTTTCTTCATATTCGTTTGTCCTTCTTTTCTCCCATGCTGATTCTGTAGGTTTCATCCATGAGACGGCACTGATCCTCTATGTTTACCTCCCGGGAGGCATAGGTGGAGAGGACTCTTGCCTAACATATTATATCAACTCGTACACCAGCTAGGTAGAAACGGACACTCTGCCAGAATGTTGATTATTCAGCGGAAGGGATTAGTGATATATTACGAATAATAATGATATAAAGTACAGTTAACCAAAAGGAAAGCCAGAAATTATACATGCAAAGACACGGAAGTAGCCGCAATCAAAATTTTATAGTTGCTCAGGGGATATGTGGGATTAAAACGGGTATTTTGAGGAAGTCAGAAAGCCATCTTTGAGGACAAAGCCAGCGTCGAGAAAAGAAATTAATGATCAAAGGGGAAAAAACAAAAGGCAGAAAGAACAATTAGCAAAACTGACTCCAGGTCGAGGGATATAAATTGAGGCTGACAAGTGTCAGTAGCAAAAGAAAATAATGCTGCGGTGGTGGTTGGTAGTGGTTGGTGGAAAGAAAGTATGTATAACGGCCTGATGAAGGCTCATATGGTAATTTGTCACTGTTTAGGCAGAGTCGAAAGGCATCTCAAGAATTTGCCATAACATCAACATATCGACCTTTCTTACGCCCCTTCAGGGTACCTCCCTTTTTGGTGGATGGTGCTGCAAGTAAATCATCAATGGAACTTGCATGGCTCAGGGCAGTTCCAGGTCTTGAAGATGGAGTCAAAGGTGGAGTACCTCCGGGAAGAGGAACTCCCAGCGATGACGATGGAGGGGCAGAGCCATATGGTGAATTGGGACCACCCTGAGCTGAAAATTGTCTAGCCAATGGAATGGGGACTGCGTCAGGTGCGCTGGCGATAGACGCTGAGGTCGGCGGGCGTTGTTCAGCACTGGCAGACCGGCTGCCCGCAGCTGAGCCCTTTGGTGGAGGTGGTAAGGCAGAGGTGGAGGACGTGGCACTGTTCGGGTCCTTCTTGTTAACCCACCGCTTAAGGTCCTCGTCAAAGTAAAAAGAGCTCTGTTCTCCTAACTTGGCTCGGATAGGGCCGCCAGAAGCGCTTGGCTCTCGCTTCCCAAACCAGCCAGTAAACCAGCCCTTCTTTGCATCCGACGGTGGACGTTTGGCTAGAACACAAATTAGTTGCTGTGCATAATGATATAATATTACTAAAACTTACCATCTTCTTCGGCAGCTTTCCTAACAAGCTCGGCTGCTTCTCGATCTCTGCGTCCCCTATCCGTTTCTACTCCATTTGTGGCTGCGGCGGCTCCTTTGCCAATATAATGATCATCACCATCATCGTCCATAAAGCTCTTCTTTGGTTTGAGCTTCCTCTCCTCAGCCTCTTCACTATCTGGGGACTCAGGTTCATCGGCAGGTGGTTCGTAAGACGGTGGTTCATAAGATGGGGGTTGGTATCCGCCATCAGATGGAGGTTCGTATCCTCCCTGGGAACCTTGCGTGGGAAGAGAGTAGGTAGAATTAGTGGGTTGATAGGCTGGCTGGAATGAACTGGGTCCAGGAGCCGACATGCCTAGCCCAGGAGCTTGCTCCGAGGTCGTGCTTGGAGCCAAAGACGAGCTAGCTTCCTCAACAGGGGCAAGGGGCGAGTGGGCGGGTAATGGCGTGGAGTGTGAAGTAGCTTGAGGAGCCGCCACAGACGGAGTGTAAGGATTGCCAGCTGTGAGTGGGGTGTAATTACTCTCATACCCCGTAGAAGGGTCTTGGGAATGTCGCCTCTGTGAGTATGACCGAGCAGCTGCGCCTTGCGAGGGAGAGCGCTGTGAGTCTAGAGAGCGACGGCCACGAAGCTGATCCGGAGATGAAAATTGCGCGTATTGATTGTTGGGCGCATACCGAGAGTTCGAGGTAGGAATAGGGACTGGTTGCTGTTGGTGTGTAGGGAAATATGAACCGAACGATTCAGGTCCTCCGGGTGAATGACCGATTGGTGGTGTCCCAACAATGTTTGCAAATGGGCCCTGGTCTTCATGAGTCTTAGACGGATCAGTAGAATCAGGGCTAGAGTCGTCACCAGCAACGAAGCTATTGAATTTAGCCCACATTGAGCCAGAAACCTTCTCCATGCTGGGTTTCGACATCCAAGACGACGCTGAATCACCGGGTGATTGGCGGAGACGATTTGAAAGCTCTTCCAACTCAATGAAGAATCGTTGGTTATAGTGTGGCGAGAGTTTGGTTGCTGTTTTCAGGAGAGCGCCAATTGCTTCGCAATACTGCTGGGCCTCGGATCTGTGGCCTGTCTCAGCGAGAGTCTTCGCATGTTGAAGCTTGAAAGCCTGCAAGTGAGGTATGACATGTGATGGCGTAGCTGTCAAGACAGAAGTAGCGAATTCGTATACCTCAGTGAGCAAACATGTAGTGGAGTCAGTCATATAGGTGAATGGATATCGTTTGTGGTCAGCTCCAATGAGGGCGATATAAGCATTTGGGTCCTGAACGCTTCCAAATATGGGGTTGGTGCTAGATCTAGCAACCAGGAAGCAAATATGGGCGGCCTCTACTCTTCCATAAGACGAAAGCAACCTGCCCAGTGCTAATATAGCCTGGTCATCTTGGGCACTAGGATTGCTCAAAATCAAACTCAAGGTCTCTTGCCATTTGTTGAGCCCATCAAGCGCGTTTCCAGTGGGACCCTGGCCGGTACGGGTATTGACCATCTGCAAACCAGCTCGTGCAGATAGAGGGACTAGTTCATCGGCACTCTCCTCGAAGTTACCGGCCAATACCTCATAAAGCGCAGCAAGGGATTGAGTATTTTCACCCACGGATCGTACTTCACGACGAATGAACTCCTGAACAACCTGCTTCCAAACAGATGGATTTAACGTTGAAGAGAGTAGCATGGCATGACCCCATAGTCGATGATCAACAGCATCCCATACAGCCTTTTCACGTTCACCGAGGAGCAAGTTATGCTGGATTGCGTTTAGGCTAACATTGCCTGGCTCTTCCTTGCCATAGAGTGCATTGGTTGAACCCAAGGTAGCTGCTCCTTGATCATCCTGTTGGGTGATTGGTGACAGAATGCTACGGAGACTCTTATCTGCCTCCGGAACCCCTCGAAGGACGCCGTCGTGCTCAACGAGCGTCTTAAGAACCTTCCAGAGCATGATTTTTTCTACCTTCGTCTGGTATTCTCCCTGAGTGAGGCTGACGAGACCTTGCGGGTCCTCATGTTCGAAACTAGAAATCATGCTTGATAACCAAGTAATAACCTCTTTCTTTTTGGATTTAGACTTTAGTGGGCCAGGGAATTTAGAGGGCATCACAGCCTCGGGAATGGCCTCGTTGAAAGAGCGCAATTTGATTTCACCTGGAACGGGTTTCATACGGGGTGCGGGCTGCCCGGTTGAGTATAGAGGAACACGCTTTGGAAACGAAGTAATTAAAGATCCGCCGAAGCCAAACTTAATAATCGGAGCGCCTTTCCAACGTTCTAGCTGATCAAGGCTGTGGTTGTCAGCTGGAGGAATGAAATCAATACTAGGTGCCGGATGTGAATCGGTCGTCATAGCGCGGGCAAGGGGGAAGTGAGAAGCCGGAGCAGGGCCACTGGGAGCATGAGCAGATGCAGGCCTTTGGGAATTATCCTGTAGTACAGATGGGTGCCCCTGACTGTAAACTCGCCTCCCAGGGGACTGAGTTTGTGATCTGCGCGGCGGAGACATTCGTACAGGAGCAGAAGGCGGTGGCATGCTAGACGGTGGAGACGATATAGCATTTGCGATTGGAGCATAATTCCGTTGCCCAAAGTCATTGTGGGCAGTTGGAGGAGACAGATGCTGAGATGACTCCTGGTTACCAAAAGAACCTTCACGGGGAGTTTCTGGATAAACCTGAGGCCTAACGTGGCTAGAATCATGTTGTGCCAGCGGGCTCGAAGTTCTTGGCTGGAAAGGTAGTGTAACTCCCGGATGATTTGGCATGTATGTGTGGTTGGGTGCACTGCTCGAAAGAGGAGCTGGAGAGTAACGCCCAGATACTGCAGGCTTCCCGGTGGGCCTGGAAGAGTATTGTGTTGCTGACTTCGGTGCAACTGGTCCAGCAGGAGCTGGGACGTTTGCGTAAGGATCCATTCTTGGAGGTGCCTGCAATCCATACTGCCCCTGAGGCTGAGGTTCATTATGCTGCGAAGGCGCGGGGCCCGCCTGCCGACTAGTTTCCGCAGGCGGAGGAGCATATCTTCCTCTTGTCGATGGCCTTGACCGTGAAGTTATTGGAAGCTCCTCGAAAAAGTTATTAGGAGCCGCTGGTCGCTGAGCTTGAGGCTGAGGCTGAGGCTGAGGTGCATAAGGGTTGGTTGGTGTCGGTGCCGGTGCTGCGCTATATGAGCTAGAAGGCCGGGAATCTGGGGTTGATTGAAATGGCTGGCTGATATTAGACGCAGACCGTGGAGCGATTCGACGCTTTGGCTGTAAATCATCGGGCAGATCATAAGGAGATTTGTATCCAGCCTTTGGTTGGTTTGAGAAACTCTCCGCAGACCCGGCGACCGGGCTAATGGGTTGCGCATGTTCTCCATAGAGAGCAGGAGCTATGCCCTCCATCATTGACGAAGATGATGGCTGGTGGGGAGCGTACGGATTGATTGGGGTTAGTGCAGGACGAGCTTGAGGTAATTGTGTCGAAATGCCGGGCGTATAGCGTTGGGATGGGACTGGAGCTGGTGATGTTTCATTTTCCTGCGGGGCTGCATTATCATTATCGAGTAGGTCGTCATCAAGGAGCTCATCATCAAGTAAATCATCATCAAGAGCTGCTTTCCAACGCTCTGCAAGCTCGTTTTCATCTAATGTTTCAGCAGGGGTTACATCAGCGTTGGAAGCCTGATGTCCATCCATAACTTCTGAGGTAGGATGCTGCTCGTCAGAGGACTGGCGCGGCTCGATAGGAGACTCGTCTCCCCGAAATGCATCATCTATTCTTAGTGAGTCTAGCACTTGTGAAGTCTGTTTCCGGTGAAGTGTTGGTGGTGTATCTGACGGCTGTGCATTATCCGACAAGTTTGAGCTAAAAAAGCCCGCTTCATCCGTAGCCATATCCTGGCCAAAAACCGAGTCAAGGGCATTTTGTTTTTTAGGCCGTGAAATTTGTTCCTCATCGTCCTGGTCACCGTTTTCAACCAGCGGCAGTCCTTCCTCGAACCTCGACTCCGCAAACTCAGGTGGGATATAGATTGGCTTGGTCTGGGTGCTGACCTGATCGAAAAAGTCTTCACCTTCAGCCTCGTTATCGATATCGTCATTCCAGGATGATGTAACATGGTTGTTCTCCAAATTAGCAGTTGATTCTGCGAGAGGACCATGGGAAATGTAGCTATTTGTATCGTGCTGCGATTCGGTGGAACTGTTAACTGGAGGTGCAGCTGTCGTGGTCTGGGCCTGTTCGTTGGTCGAATCAACAACAGGAAACGAATTGGTCCTTGAGACAATATCATCTCGTGAAAGTAAGTCGGCGGTATTAGACCTGGAAAGCACACTTGGCTGCTCCTCAGACGGTTGAGCTGCCGATTGTTCCTCGGTCTGTGTTGAGTCGCTATTGTCAGCTAAAGTTGCATCTTCCACCGTCAGTGTGACCTCCGGGACATTTTGTTGAGAGTTTTGTGACAATGTGGGCTCGACAACATCTTCAGTATCATCAGCAGTCACAGGAGCAGCTTCCGGTGCATCCTGCTCAGATGCTTGAGGGGGATTTGACTCTAGGAGGGTCAAGAATTCCGAGTTTTCTAGGTCGGTGGTAGCATCACCGAGTCCGGGAACACCCGACGGCTGATCGAGGGATGTCTCGGTAGCCTGTGGCACCTCCTGGGACTCGAATGGTAGAAGGATATCAGATGGATCTGAATCGGCAGGGACTTTAGATGGTATGGGTTCCGCTGGAGCGGAGCATTCCTGTGAGTCCGGGAGAGCGGCAGCAACGTCTGGCTCGGCAGACGGCTTGATAGATGAGTCGTCCGACATTTTTTATGAATCAACCTGCGCAGCATCCGGTCAGCATCGCGTTCTTTTGTTTGTTCAAAGGGGGACGCCATCCCGCATACTATACTGTTCAGTGAAGAAGAAACAACAAAAAACGAAACCAAAACCTGAAACAAACAACGCTGAATTCAAATGCAAATGCCAACCATGGCGGCCAGGACTCAGTCCTAAGAATGTACGCTTCTAGCAACGGAAGAAAAGGTAATGATGCCGTGAAGAAGATGTCGTCGACGTTGAAAAAAGCGTCCAAAAAACTGGCCAGCTTTCCTTTTTCGGGCCTTGCACGGACGCGCGACGGCAAAAGATCGGGCCGGTACCTAGCTTAGTCACTCAAAGCTTATTATGTCAACTAGAAAATAAAAAAAGGAGGCTCAAAGAGCAAAAAGAAAATCGACACCGGTGTGATTCGAACACACGCTCCCGAAGGAATTTGCTAATCTCCATACAAAGATGGTTACGAAAAACGTAACGTTCGAGGCAAACGCGTTAACCACTCCGCCACAGTGCCTTTCTAGTGGAGCGAGAGGCGGCTTGCTATACATAGACTCAGGTCTGAGCTAGCGTAGCATCTTATCTCTATCCTACGCCATTTCCCACCTGTGGTCATCATGCCATTCATTTACCTAGAAACATTCAAATAGAGGTTAATTAACGCTTAGCTATTGCTTTAAAACTTGCACGAGTTTCAAGGTGCAAGACTAGTTACAAAGTCGAGTAGTCGTTGGGGAAACCGACTTCTGACTCGATTCAATATTCAGAACCCAACCAACCCCTTTTGGGTAAATTGAAAAATAAGTACAGAGTACGGAGTATTATGCCTTTCGTTGCTCGTATAATTGATCAACCTCCGTCTTCATCGCCCTTTTAGCATGACAACTCCACAACTCCATGGCCACCACTAGAATGCCAGAAGTCACTAGTATAGACTCGCATGTTATCTATCACAAACGCAAATATGAAATTCGCCTTCTCTCAATACGGAGTAGCATGATATGGCCAAGGATAGGGATTACGGGGTTTTCGATATCAGGACGGGTTTAGGGCTTCCGGTACATTAATTCAGCCTAGAAAATTGTCAAATATTCTTAGAGGTACTCTGTATATCCATGTCTTTCTTTTGTCAGGGGAAGCAGAAAGACATCTATTCATCAAGAAGCCAGAAAAAGATTAAACTTAGATGGGTCACGTGAGATACGTGATACAATAAAAAAAAAAAAGCGACACCGACGCGATTCGAACGCGCGACCCCTAAGGGATAAGATTTCAAATCTTACGCATTAACCACTCTGCCACGGTGCCTCGGCAACGAGGTCGCCCGCTTGCTGCATTATGAGCTAGAGGGCGATGATTACGACTTCAACTATGATAAGACGCTCATTCTGCAGTGACCTTAGCCTAACTGCTGTGTATATTTAGTTCTACTCAATCTTTACTGTATGCTAGGTGATCTGCTCATTGCAGTTTATAAGTAAGAATTAAGTAGCAATGTTTTGAGCAGTCGTGGAAAAAACAATGTCACGGGACCCTGGGCCATCGAGTAATCACGTGCACCAAAGCCACCTTGAAGACATGACGAAAGGCCCAAAAGGGTTTAAAGTAACAAGCAATATTTAAATGTTGATGCCTCCGGGGCAGACGAGAGCATAAGACAGCACACAACATAGGAGAGCTCCTGTTCATACCTTGCTTGATCTAAGGGAGCGCCTCGAAGGTGGTTCTTTCACGGCCCAGCTTTTGGGTGGCTCCTAGGGCTGTTGATGGCTGGAACCGCGGTGTCCAAACAATCCTAGGATAAGGATGCTATCGGGAGAGCAACCCCGGACGCTGTCTTACAGTCCTTCCTTTTCATATCATTACGGAGTACATTGCGCTTCTACTGCGTTAACCTCTCTTTAGTGGTGGATTTCTCTCACGATGCCTACAAACTCTTATGCAATTCACTCCGATCGGCGGTCAATAGGGTCCACGGACGATGATGACGATTTAGAGCTGGAGGAGCTTGGGGTACACTCAAGTCCTAGATTTAGTGACCATGACAGGCACCGGAGGCCTTCGGATGGTTCACGTTGGTATAGCCCTGCGGTACCCCTGAAGAAGTTACGGCAGAAGACACAGAAACGACCTTGGGAACGGGATATAAGGCAAAGCGGAGAAGAGGATGATCTGGACGGCCTGCTTTACGACCATGAGCATGAAGAGCCCCGGCTCTCTCGTGCAACAATAAGTTCCGCCGATGACGATTCACCTCTTCTTACAACTGGCGAACGGCGACCGCTGTCTCGAGAGTCATCTGGCCAAACTCGTTCAGGTTTACGGTCCATGCTTGGTCTTCCAATGTTCGGCAACCGTGGTGCAATGACGACAGGAGGGTTACTTGACCGTCTCAAGCGCCCTGGATCTAACAAAACTGCCAACACAATACCTCCCCGCGAAATATTAGTCGGCCAGGGCCAGAAATCTCGATATCCGCCTAACGTTGTGTCAAACGCTAAATATACCCCCTGGAGTTTCCTCCCGCGTACTCTATATAATGAGTTTTCTTTCTTCTTCAATATTTATTTTCTACTCGTGGCTTTGTCCCAAACTATTCCCATTCTGCGCATTGGCTATATATCCTCTTACATTGCTCCACTTTCCTTCGTCGTGTTCATTTCTCTCAGCAAAGAGGCCCTGGATGACATCTCTCGGCGTCGAAGAGACGCAGAAGCAAACTCCGAGGAATACAATGTAATATCCTTCGAACGATCATCCTTTCGAACCCCAGGCCTCGCCTCGTCCAAAGGTCAAACTCCCAATTGGCCGGAACCTATTGAAATTACCAAGAAGTCTAAGGATCTCAAAGTTGGTGACATTTTGAAGGTTGGGAAGGACCGACGTCTCCCGGCAGACGTCATTATCCTGAAATCTTTACCGACAGATTCATCGTCTAACCCCGAAAGTGATGCCGAGTACTCCGTGCCTTATGATACCAGCCAGGAACACGGTGCTTCAGAGGCTAATAGAGGTGATATACCGTCAGACGCAGCTGGTTCTGCGGAGACATTTATCAGAACAGATCAATTAGATGGTGAAACAGATTGGAAATTGCGCCTGGCATCACCCCTCACCCAGAGCCTAGCCCTCGCGGAGCTTAATAGAATACGTATAACAGCCAGCTCCCCTGCAAAGAATGTCAATGAGTTTGTTGGGAAAATTGAACTTGCACAGCCACCGTCAGAACCATATGATCCAGCGGTTGAACAGGGTGGGAAGCAGGATGGATATTCATCACCAACCCAATCGGCTCCGCTTAGTATCGATAACGCTGCTTGGGCAAACACCGTGCTTGCCTCGAATACCATTACCTACGCAGCTGTTATCTACACCGGGTCACAAACAAGGTCTGCTTTGTCAACTTCCGCATCCCGCTCAAAGGTTGGGCTGCTTGAACACGAAATAAACAGCCTGACAAAGATTCTTTGTGTTCTCACTTTGACACTGTCGGTTACGCTGGTGGCGCTGGAAGGATTCGAACCAACCAATGATAAAGAGTGGTATATTGCCATTATGATCTACCTTATTCTTTTCTCTACCATCATTCCAATGAGCTTGCGTGTCAACCTTGACATGGCCAAAACGGTTTATGGGCGGTTTATCGAGAGGGATAAGGGAATACCAGGAACAATTGTACGAACAAGTACAATACCTGAGGATCTCGGAAGAATCGAATATCTTCTATCCGATAAAACGGGTACCCTGACTCAAAACGGTAAGCCCAAGCTATTCTTTAATGTGGCTGACTTGATTGATAACTAACTTTTAATAGAGATGGAACTGAAAAAGATTCATGTTGGGACAGTGTCATATGCTAATGAAGCAATGGAGGAAGTTGCGTCTTTTGTTCGCCAGGGATTCTCAGCTTCTTCATCGGCAGGTGGAAATGAATTGTTACCATTTACCAGTGCATCTGCACAGACAAGTTCTGGGCCTGCAACCAGGACAAGGCGTGAAATCAGTTCCCGTGTCAGGGACTTGATTCTCGCCCTTGCACTCTGCCACAATGTCACGCCAACAAAAGAAGAAGAAAACGGTGAAATAGTGACAACTTACCAAGCTTCATCCCCGGACGAAATTGCCATTGTTAAATATACGGAGGAAGTTGGACTCAAACTGTCTCATCGGGACAGACAATCCATCATTCTCACTGTTGGTGGCTCCGGCATATCGATCAAAGCCAAGATTTTGGATATCTTCCCGTTTACATCTGAAAGCAAGCGTATGGGGATCATAGTTCAATTTTCAGCAGATCAGTATCAGAGTGGCCCAACGCAACTACAAAACGAAATCTGGTTTTTTCAGAAAGGAGCTGATACTGTGATGTCATCTATTGTATCGGCAAATGACTGGCTCGACGAAGAGACTGCAAACATGGCACGAGAAGGCTTACGAACATTGGTAGTGGGCAGAAAGAAGCTTACCTCTGAACACTATGGTGAATTCTCCAAGAGTTACAAAGAAGCTTCTATGTCTCTTAACGATAGAGACAGCCTAATGACAAGTGTGGCTCGAGAGTACCTAGAACGGGATCTCGAGTTGTTAGGTGTCACTGGTGTCGAAGACAAGCTACAGAAGGATGTGAAACCCTCACTGGAACTGCTTAGGAATGCCGGAATCAAGATCTGGATGCTTACTGGAGATAAGGTTGAAACGGCCCGTTGTGTTGCTGTTTCCTCCAAACTTGTCTCTCGTGGTCAAGTTATCAATACAGTCACGAAATTGAAAGATGCAGATGCTGCAAACGACGCCTTGGATTTCCTTCGCAATAAAACCGAATCATGCCTCCTAATTGACGGGGAGTCTCTTGGCCTTATGCTTTCTCAATTCCGGATACCGTTTATAACCCTTGCCGTACGCCTTCCTGCGGTCATTGCCTGCCGCTGTTCTCCGATGCAAAAGGCCGAAATAGCGACTTTGATCCGACAGCACACCAAGAAGCGCATTTGCTGCATAGGAGATGGCGGTAATGATGTGTCTATGATCCAAGCTGCAGATGTTGGGATTGGAATCGTCGGGAAAGAAGGGAGACAAGCTTCTCTTGCTGCTGATTTCAGTATTACACACTTCCACCACCTCACGAAGCTTCTATTCTGGCACGGCCGTAACTCTTACAAGAGGTCTGCCAAGCTGGCTCAATTCGTCATGCACCGCGGTTTGATCATAAGTGCGTGTCAGACTATGTTCAGCATTGCAAGCCGCTTTGATCCCAAGGGCCTGTTTATAAACTGGCTACTAGTGGGCTACGCGACAATCTATACCAACGCTCCTGTGTTTTCACTTGTTCTAGACCGTGATGTTGATGAAGGCCTAGCAAATCTATATCCCGAGTTGTATAAAGAGCTGAAGTCTGGAAAAAGTCTTAGCTACAAATCGTTCTTCACCTGGGTTCTCGTCTCCGTCTACCAGGGTGCGGTCATAGAGGGCCTTGCACAAATTCTCGTTGGCGAAATTGCTGGCCCCCGGCTCGTCAGCGTCTCATTTACTGCTCTAGTGTTGAATGAACTTATCATGGTAGCCGTGGCTATTACCACATGGCATCCCGTCATGATAATGTGTATTGTAGGCACCGCCATAGTCTACGGTGCCACTGTCCCCTTCCTTGGAGACTATTACGATCTTGCATATGTTGTTACATGGGGATGGGCATGGAAAGTTGTTGCTATTTGCGCTGTTTCACTTATACCGGTTTGGGCCGTGAAGTTGATAAGCCGTACCTGGAGCCCGCCAAGCTATCGCAAAGTCCGGGGATGAATGTCCCTCCATACTCTTATATTTTACCCAACATCTATTCTCTCAACTACATTCTACGTTCTCCTTTTTGTTCAAGACTTGCAATCCTTTTATCCTTTGATACTCCCTTGGTACTCCTTTTCTGCGGTTATGGATTTGGGCCGGCATTTTTTATTTTATATACTACCTTTCGTGATCTGGACTGGTGCTTCCTTTTGGTGTATTATACCAAGCATGGGTGTTCGTATGGTAAATTTGTAGATTCATTTACGTCCGCATTCTCATGATCAATACTGCATAGACTATTAATTCAGCTGGCAACTCTGCATTTTCTAACGCCAAGCTACTGTTTACATGAAAATAGCTGATAATTAAATATTTAATATAGAGAATACAGTGAATGGGCAGAACTATACACGCTTGCAAGAATATTAATACTTGCGTGTTAAGATGATATGTACAGAGGCATGGCGGAGACGAGCAAGAAGAGAGGCTGGGTTAGCAGATAATCACTCTGTTAATGATTGTCGTGTCAATAATGAGAAATGGGAATAATGTAGTAGTTATGATGCCGACCAAAAAAACGCCAGGGCTCGCTGAGGAAAATAGTTGGGTATGTGTGAGCCTTGATGCACTCCTCTCTCCTTTCTCTTTATCTCTTCCTCCAATTTTATGCTAGTAAGTCCGAACTTATCGATAACCACCACTCTGGCCTGGTGCTTGATGTCTGGAATAGCCTCCGCCGTCACTCAAGGCAGAAGTAGAATCAAATGACTTGCTGGAGCCGAAAGACGATTTGCTACTTCCACCGTGCAACCGCGCACGAAGCCTATCCTGCGCCGAAGCCCCGGATAATGTTCGATCCATCCCTTCCGGGCGTGACGATTGTGCACCAGAAGTTTGGTATGAGCCAGCACGCTGACTAGGTAACGGTCTGGCGCCACCAGTGGTCTGAGAGCGGCCTCCAGCGTGAGGTGAAGGATCATGGTCGTATCCATTACTTTGGATCCTCAAGCCAGCTGCAGGACGGTGAGGTAGATGGTTTGGAGCGGGTTTTAAGGACGGTGGTAGTGCATTTTTCTGGCTTGTCAGGTTATTCTGGCCTCGACCGGAACGGAGGCTCCCTGTAGCTTGCTGCGGCGGTTGCGATCGCCCTGAGTCGTCCCACAGATCCCCTAGGCCACCACGGCCGCCTGGCTGAGTCGGCGTGCCACCATAGCCCTGGAAAGATGCCTGAGAGGTCGCAACAACGGGAGCGTTGTATGCCGATTTCTTATCTGGGGGTAACCAAGGCGGCAATCTGCGGCCTTTTTCGTTGTAGTACGCCCGTAGCACGTTGGAGATATGTGAGAGATCCTCGTTTTCGGGGTCGTCTGTCTCGTCTGCGGAAATAGCACGCCGAAGGGAGGTGAAGCGGGTACTGAGGTTGGATATCGAGGTTATGGATGAGAAGTAGGACGTCATGGTGAAACCAGCACCAGCGAAGAAGGGTTTGTCGTATGGAGGCGGGCGAGGGGTTGGCTAGAGGGTTGGCAGCTGTCTGCTCGGCTCAAGAGAAGAACGGCGCGAAGGACCAGAAATCAAGTTCGAAGAGGAACGAAGCCGAGTCTTAATAAAACCCCCGTACCCCCTTTAAAGGTCTCGCTAGTTGGATGTTTTAATATGAAACGCTGGAGTGGGAAGATAGTTGAAAGTCTTCAACACCCAAAAGAAGATCACCCCCCTAGTTCCAAAGGTTCCTACTAAGTCACATGTCCATATTGGTTCTACATAGGGGCCTTTATTCAATATTTATATGGTTGCACGGCAAAGATTCAATGTGATTATCTAAAGAAGCAGTTCAAGCTCCTATGCATTTCAATCCATCAATCGAGACTGGAACATTTATTAGCCCTGTACATAAAGAAAAAGGTCGTCGCGACGGAGCCGTTCGCCCAAGTAGATCCCAAACTCCAACCGAATTTTGGCACCGATAGAAAATTGAACAAATGGAAGAAAACACTTTTTTTCTGGCTTGTTGAGGACGTGTTCATGCAAACAGTGACTCTCTCGCTGGCCCTTCTGTCTCGTACTCAATCTCGACGTGCGCACCCTTCTTGCGCGGCCGCGAAGGCGCTGAAGATCGTTTGCGCTTGAGAGCGGCGGCACGCTTCTTCTTCTGGTCTTCCTCTTCGCTGGCCTCGTCGCTGCCAGACCCTTCTTCGTCATCGTCATCGTCGTCCTCGTCGTCGTCATCCTCCTCATCACTGTCCGCTTCATCACTCTCATCACCAAGCCAGTCTTCCAAATCCTCCATATCTTCATCCTCATCGATGTCACTGACATACTCAACTTCTCCCACGCCCTCCTCTTCCTCATCCAGCTCTTCCTCAATCCCCTCGTCGAGATCCTCGTCCCGTTCGCCATCTCCTTGCCTCTCTAAGCCCTTAAGAACCTTCTTCCATATATTTTCCTGCACATTGAGAGGCTGTTCACCATATGCGCCGCTCCTCAATCGCTCGATAAGCTCCCTTTCAATTGCCCGCTCAAGTTTTGCGGCAGCCTCTGCTTTTCGTTCCCTCGTCTCCTCTCGTCTCCTTATCTTGGGAGCAAGCTTCGGAACTAGCTTTTCACCCAGACGCTCTTCCTCTTTGGCAAGCTTTCTCATCCGTATGCTGACTTGAGTGAGTCGAGTAAGTCGTTGTTTGCACTTGTGAATCAAAAACTTAGGCCAGTAGATCAATCGTTCATCCAGCTGGCTGAGAGCCTTTGCGTAATTCGAAGATAACCGGATCTTCTCCCACCATTTATTGGGCATATGAGATCGTTCTACCGTTTTCATGTAGAGGTACATTGCACCCGTGCTGGGGTCTGATCGAACGGTCGCGTACCGAGAGTTTGCTAGAGGACATGACTGACGGTTGCAGAACCCAGTGACATTGTATTCATTACGACAGAAATTCTGGCCTTTGTCGGTTCTGTATTCACAAACTGTTAGATAAAATCTCGACAACGCGAAGGACGAGGATATATACATACTTGAGCTTGTATGAGCAAAACTGCTGGTTGATTACCTGCCAGACAATTTCATCCGACGACATCTTGATAAGCTAAAGGCTCAGGAACGGGCCTCAGTCCGGTGAATATAGTAGAAGAACTCGAACTTCTCTTTCTTTTCTTCTTCGCTGATTTTGATTTTGATTAAAAAATATTTAACTTTTAAGTTTGCCTCATATCACGTGACATGGCCTATCAAAACAGCAGAAAAGGAAGAAAGAGAAATAATCAACAATATCAAATTGAATATTTACTTATTCACGGGTAGAAAAGAAAAAAGATACCTTGATACACAGTCCAAAATGTGTTTTGATGTTGATGAAATATCAAGACATGGCCGAATATCATAGCATACTCGGGCGTTGTTGTACTCTGCAACACTACAACGCCTTGGGCTATCAACTTTCCTTCAGGGTAAGGATTGGAGGATTTGAAAGCTATGGAAAACATCTCTGGCTAGTGGAAATTTTTACTAATATTTGCTGCCACTAGCCTTGTCTCCCTCTCTTAAGGATCTTTTACTTCTTACTTCTCTTCTTTTCCCTCTTTTCAAATAGCAAAGCTCTCTTGTTCTTAGCTCCTTACCAAACGCGCTGTTCTTGTGATATTGAACAGCCTCCCTCTTTACCAGCTCAGAAATACCTAGAATCTGCCATCTCACATTATACTACTAGCTATAGAGTATAATTGAAGTCTTTTCTCTATATCTCTCTAACACTAGATCTCTTTCTACTTCCTTTAGAAGGCTTGATACCCTGCTAGCTGTTGGCCAGAGACTATGAACCAGACTGGCAAGGAAATCTTCTGCGCGCGATGTAATATTAGGTTTTCTCTGCCTAAGTATTACCGCGCGCATGTTGGATACTCTATAAATCATAATGCCTGCCATTTGTGTGGGAACCACCAGGACTTTGAGACCTTTACCAGCCTACAGAAACATCTAGAGGATCATCATTTCTACTGTGAACCTTGCAACTGGTTTGCGCCCTCAGCTATCGGATTGCGCCAGCACAACACCTGTAAACACTACCTCTGTGTTGCCTGTGGTGATTACTTTCCAAACGCGCATGAGCTGAATGGGGTATGTCTATGAGACTAAGTTTATAGTAAATAGAAACTAATGTTTTGTTAAATATATTATAGCATGCATTCAGGCATAGACCACGCGGAGTCTCCTGTTATTGTTGTCCCCAAGACTTCTCTACCCTCTCTGCAATGTTCAATCATCTCGAATCTGGAAATTGTCCCTCGGGAGTAGGGCCTGATGATATACTAGAGCTTGCTGCGAACTTTGTTCGGTCCTTTAAACCTGAAAAGGATTACATCTTCTTCTGCCATGGATGCCAAAAGCCTTTTCGCCGAATGTGTGACCTCTTGCAGCACTCGGAGACCAGCTCCTGCAATGAAGGCTACTGGAAAGGATCAGGCTATGTTGGATCGATGGTCACGTATATTGCTACCTGCATTCCAGATTTCATACCAGATCCGGATGAGAATGATGACAATGACGAAGCAGCTCCAACTCCTCATCCGAAATTCGACATCCCCAGGATCATCATTACAGGGCCTACTTGAGTCTTTTTCTTTTTGGCTTTTTTTTTTTTACCTTTCGGTCCATTAATAAATCAGCATATGGCGGAAGCCTTGGAAACTGTATGTCATTATCCTTTGATAAACCTCGATGGCGTGGATGAACAGGCCTTCATACCTCGCATGTCACTTTGCCACTTTTTCCCTGTACAGATAGCAGAAGCACGTCTCACGCCGATGGCATATCGGAGCATTGCATGTCAGGTTTGTTATTGTTACCATCATGGAGCGATGTGATTTTATCCTTCTGGCTCTATAGGTCGTATAGATAATGCATATTGTCTTTCATGACTTTCACGCGCTTCAAACCAGGCATCGCTCAGGGTAATTAGGCTTCCAGAGTAACCCGCGAGTGATAACAACAACCTCGAGCAAGCCGCTTCAAAGCATTGTGCTGCATCTCCTTTGTATAACCAAGAGCTTCTTTTATGCATGAGGCGATCTGAGACCTGCAGTGTATATCATTGTCAAAGTCGCTGTCAACTATGCAGACTGAAAAAAGCAACGTGCCACCGATGCCCCGGCTGTTTTTCGCTCGAGATGCCGAGGTCGCGCACTCAACTTCGGCTCTTCCTCAACTTCACCAGCTTTCCAACCACGAAACGAGATGGAGCCGCCTTCGTCTTCGTGGCTCCAGTTAGTTTGCAGGGGGCTGAAGCGGAGTGATTTCACTGCTCCGCCTTGCCATGCGATCTCTGCTTCTCTCTTGTTGCCCGGCAGTGACTAGTTCAACCTTACTCCTACGACGATTCTTAGTATAACACCTCCCATGTGTGTTGGATAACCAGCAGACCGACAATACGCCACGAAATATATCCTCTGGAAGCTCCGGTTGATATATCCCCCGCCCGTCCACGCCCGTCGAACTTATCGGCTCCTCGATTCAAAATGTCGTACCCTCTGGACGAAGTGACGGTCACCTACCAGGACCGCGTGGCTATCATTACCCTGAACCGACCCGCGAAGCTCAATGCCTTGACCGGTGTGCATTATTACCTCCTCGGAAAGAAGATGAGAGAGGTTGCGGAGAGGGATGACATATATATCACCGTACTTACGGGGGTTGGAAGGTTCTTCTCGGCGTAAGCTCCCATAGGCAAAGACGATATATTGCTCCAAAGATTTCAACGGCTAACCCTGAAAAGCGGTGCAGACGTCCTGCGAAGCGTGCCGGAAAAGGACGGTAACGTAGACGGACGTCGGGATATTGTTGAGGGCTTCGTTGCTAATAACATCGATCTGACACATACTTTTTACACGCACCCAAAGATCCTAGTTGTTGCTCTTAACGGGCCTGCTGTTGGGCTTTCCGCTGCCTTGGTCGCTTTTGGAGACTTTATATATGCTACTCCTCATGCCTACATCCTCACTCCCTTCTCTTCTATCGGCTTGGTTACAGAGGGAGGTTCTAGCCATGCGTTCGTCAGGCGGATGGGCCTAGCTAAGGCGAAGGAAGCTCTTATCATGAGCAAACGTATTTCGCCCGAGGAACTGTTGCAAGCAGGCTTCGTCAATAAGATTTTCACTCCGGCAAGCGGAAAAGAGGATGACTCAGATGCATTTCTCAAGATGGTTCTACACGAAATTGAGATGACTCTGGGTACTCATCTGAACCAGGACAGCATGCTGAAGATCAAGGCACTGATTAATGCCCCAGATAGAGATATACTGGACAGACAGAATGTCCTCGAGGTATTCGGGGGGTTAGACCGTTTTGTTTCCGGTATTCCCCAAGCTGAATTTATGAAGCTTGCCTCTGGACAGAAGAAGCACAAACTATAGACTGATTTCACCCTAGAACGATTTTTTGGGCGGCATCCTGACTCATAATTATTTTCTGTTTAGCATTTTATCCCTGATTTAGAGCCCAGTTATCAATGATGTACATAAATTACTGCGTTTGCAACTTGTAAGAAACACAACGGTACAATATTCTGTCTCCCCTTTTTATTTAGTTATCATCCTCGCTATCACCGGTATCCAGTTGTATCCTTCCCTCAAGTATGTCCCTCCACTGGGTGAGAAACTCTCCCATCCCGCCAGGACCACTTTTTGATGCATCTACCACATCCTTTGGAAGTTTATGTGCGGAATATGGGGCGGCATTCATGTTGGTTCCGGCTGGGTTCCCTCCTGATAGCAGAAGGAATAGTGGTAATTCGGAAACCACTTCCTCAATATCTGACTCGTCATTCTCGTCCTCGGCCAGCATTGAGGATATCTCAGCGGCAGATGATACGTTCTGGTCGCTAATTTTGAGCCTAATGACCTGTTCTTCAACCCCTTTGACCTGGCCATTGATATTTTGTTCTACTTCCTGGCCAATCTTAAGTATTTGCCGCCACGAAAAGAGAAGGGGATCTGTCTTGGGAGCAAAGGGGTTTATATCGATTAGCCAGACCTTGTTGTGTGGCGGCGGGACATAGACGTCAAACACAAAATCTGGATCAGGGAATGTATCTCGAAGCACTTCATCAAAGAAGGATTGAATCACCCTTAGTAACTGGTTCCGCATTCCAGATAGAAAGTCATAGTAGGTCAGATCCCGCTGGCAAAGGCATATTAGTTGCCTGTGGCGGACAAAGCACCGAAACTCCAGTGATGTGTTAACGTTAAAATATTTGCGTAGCACAAGATGATACGGAATAGACGGCTGGCTTGATGTGGTAGGCGTATTATCTTGTCCTTGGTTTGACTCAATCACGCAGTCATCAAATGCATGGTCAAGATCATGGTTCATGAAGTTGCTGCTCTTGAGGAGCAAGTAGACATCATTAGCCGTTCTGCATTGCATATCATTGGTCGCAAGTATCCATTTTGCGTCTCGAGGTGCACTCCAGTTCAATTTAGGTGAAACTTGACCTCCCAGCTCTCTTATTTTTGCTATTACTTCGGCATGCACCTCCGGCCACTCTCGCGAGGGATCATAGGGCTCGTCCTCATCCTCATCAGAGCCACCTTTCTCTGAGTTACTGTCCCCATTAGACGCGGAAAACGTCCAACTATCATCATCTGATACCTCTAGGCTTGTCTCATCTGGAGGAAGAACAATCCCATCTGCACGGATATAGTTGATGAATGATTCACTCAGAGGAATAAGTCGTGCCTTTGGAGAGACGGACCGATATCTATCACATATAATTAATTCTGCTAATTTATAGATCGTTGGTATGTAGCGCTTCCTTACAGAGAATACCATGCATGGTATGAGCAATTCAGGATATGTGATCGAGTGATTGGGGGGAAAGTCGTTAAATTTTCTTTTGGCGGGGAACATCGCTCAGTTGGACTAGCCATGATAAAATCGCCCGGCAAAGGTATCTCTTCTTTTTATTCTTCTGCAGGTAAAATCGTGAAGGATATAAAATTCTGTAGACTCACAAAATGATAAAAGAGGAGGGAGAGAGATTATGATGACATCTTTCCCCCGTTCTCCTTATGACGCATAGAAGGAAGTCGCGTTTAATGACTCGTTTAACCAATTAGCGCCTGAAGAGTTAGTTAGTTAAGCCTTGTCGCGCCTAACTTTAGTGGCTAACTAACTAGTTATCATGTGACGATAACTTGCTGCTTAGCCGATCTGTTTATCGGGAAGTTGACAACGAAGCTGGAAACGAAAACGAAGCATTTGAGCAGAGGTTGTTGGTGCAGGCCGCAACCATGGCTGTGGATACTCCAGATGCGATTACTCTTAATTCGTGGGAAGATGCGTTTAAGTACCCTATTCCTACAGTACGGCGAATGGAGCAGGAGCTCCGCAGAGACGCTGAAGGCAATAGGGACAAACTAAGGTCCCTTGTCGGGTATGTCTGAGCGCTGTAACCAAAAATTTCCTGTCTTATAATGCGAAATGAATGCCTGCTAATATATTGCTATACATAAAGAGTCAAATACCGGGATCTTCTTGAAACTGCGCAAACAATAGTGGACATGAACACAGATATTCAGCAGGTCGAGTCGACATTGTCCAATATTGGTAGGCGATGCAATCCTCGAACAATAACGAGGAGGAGTGAATTTCCCCGCGAATCAGATAAGAGTGACCCCAAGTTCGGCGAGAAGAGTGAGCATGGAACCCATCTTCGGGCTACCTGGGATTAGGCTAACATCATAACAGATAATGAAGAACGCAAGCTCAATGCTCACTTATGTCTTCTACGAAGCTGTACCAACTTGATTGTGAAAATAATACGGGAGCGTGGCTCTGTGGTTCTGGCTGCGAAGCTACTAGTCATTTCGAGACTCCTCTTGAAGACACTTTCACAGGCTGAAAATGCCCCCCCTTTTGTGGATAATTTAAAGAAAAATTTAGCCTCCCTCAGGGCGACGTTGCTGAGCCGAGTTAAGCTACGCTTGTCTCTTGCAAATATTACCACCGACAGGCTTATACAGGCATTGTCTGCATTTTGTTTGGCCACCAGTTCCTCGTCTAATGACGCTATACGCCATTTCTGCGATGTACGAAAAAGCGCAATTGGGGAACAAATAACCGAAGGCCCGCAGAAAGATGGTGTCCTTCTTGCCTTAAAACTGTACTTGCAGACTTTACGGCAGACGGATCACCTGCTCGGCGGCCCTTTAGCAGTGGCACTGGAGAAATTAACGACTCAGCCTCTTCTCGCAGACCCTGAAATTTTGCGCTTAGGCGAGCTCAACATAGATGTCTTGAAGCCCTGGATCGTGGCGGACATTCAGCATTTTACTCCATGGATTAAGTATGAGGAAATACCCAAGTCAGAAAGAAGTACCCAGCTAAAAAGCTGGTCTAAGAACACATTCAAGATATTCTCCTCGCAAGCAAAACTAAAGCTAACAGCCTTTAAGGATTTTGAGGATATCTTGAATTTGCGAAAAGAGCTACTTGAGTCGTGGCTGCTGGTTCAGTCTTCGACTCCAACCCATTCAAATATTGAAATATTAGAAGGTCTACAAGATATCATAAACCACCAACTAATTTTGATTCTCCAAGGCCAATCCGAAGGACTAGCTACTATTGGAAAAGAAATTACATCGGTTATAATGAGTCTTTCAACAGAAGAAGGTGACAAGTACAGGTCTTCATTATGGGATCCGAAACTTTCGTCAGTTGACTTTTCCGAAGGCGCCAAGAGCCTCAAGAGCGAGGTTGTCAATAGAGCCCTAGGTAGAGGAACAGACTCTCTAAGATTATTGGATTTGTACCAGAGCTGGCTAGGGGCTGTCGAAACTAGGGCTTCTTTAATTCGTGGAATGAAAAGCAATAACTGGGAGGATATTGCTGAAGATGATAGCGATGAAGATGTCATTGACCATATAAACGGATGCTTAACAGAAGATGATCCAGTGCTTCTTGAAGAAGAACACCAAAAGTCATTGGAGAAAGGATTCAGTGAACTCCAAGCCATTTTAGCTGGTGTGCTCGACGTATCCTCCGAATCACACAAGGTTTTGAAAGCCGTCTTTCTTCTGCGCATGATTCGAGAGATTCGAAATAAGATCCCAGACAGGCTCCTGGAAGAAAAGCAAATCCACTTTGCCCAGGAAATGGTACCCGAATTACATGCCATTATCGCAACTGGTGTTGTGTCCCAGCTATCTACTCAAATAACGAAGTTGATGCCGTACAAAAGCTCTCCCAGGTGCCCTGGTAGGACTTTATGGGAGGGCAATCCCGAGCTCCCAGTTCAGCCATCTCCAGCTACCTTCAAACTGCTACGGAAACTTGAACTTTCAATGGATGGCCTAGGCCCAGACCTCTGGAATCCCAGTGCACTATCTGTCTTGAAAGTGGAATTTCAGAAATCAATCAACGCACTTCTTGAAGGCAAGCTCGCGCAAGAAATGGTTGATTCAAAGGCTACCTCTTCTGAAAATGGAGTGACTGAACAAGAGCAACAGCCTAAATGTGAAGCGGATTCGCCTTCTCAGCGGGACTATAAATTACAACTCATATTTGACCTGATGTATTTGGATAATGTGACGACACCTCACTCTCTAACTCTAGAAAATTCCGCCTTGACCGCCCTTACCGAAGCTTTGCAGTTGGAGAAAGAAAAGATAGAAACTCTCAGGACAAAGTCGGTTGCATATTGGGAGCGAACACGGCTTCTCTTTGGGCTGTTGGGCTATTGATAACTAGAAGACACATATAATCAACAATTTAATATGTTCCATTCAACGGAAAAGGGGCCGAATTTTGGGATCATCACGTGACTGCCGTTTTTCGGAGCTTGCTGTTTCGGCTTTTTTTAATTCATCTTCCATTATTACTCCGTCGAACAATGTTTACTTCGCCGCAATGCTAAAATGGCACACCAACGACTCCCTTTTCTCTACCCGAATCTCCTACGGTCCGTCCGAGCTTGTGAACCTACTACTTATCGATCTATACGTTTCCCGGCCCAGCGAACCCATTCCGCGGGGCTTCATTCCAGTCGCGCATGTGAGCAAGACACACGCTTCCAAAAACGATATGGGCCGGCTGTTGAGCCGCGAGGACCTTCATCTGAAGCGTCTAACACACGGTCGGAATCTAGCCAAAACAACGTATCATCAAAAGGAGAACTGGACCGGGGGACAGAAAAGGACGATAAAGTGGAAGATGACAATGGACCACCCTCAAAACGAAGCGCATCGGAAAGTGATACCCAACCGTCTGATAAAGATCAAACCAAAGATGCGGCAGCTGGGTCAGCGTCGGAAAATGTCTTTGATGGGAACATTGAGCAAACCGAGCCTCCTGGCTTAATCGAGATTGGGTCCACTGGCGACGGCCCATCTCAGGGTGACTTGGGATCTATTTATAAAATGTCGAAATGCGAGCCACAAAAGGATCAGGACCAAGCCCAACCAAATGCTATGGAGCCCTATATCCATCCTAATAGCCACAAACCTCCGCATTCAGCCCCATTTGTCCATCACTTTGACACGTACACAATGGTGAGAGACCTGAATAAAAGCGGTTTTACAGAGCAGCAATCGATCGCCATAGCCAAGTCAATTCGCGGTTTACTGGCAGTAAATCTTGAGTCAACCCGTTACAGGCTGATGTCCAAGTCTGATTTTGAGAACGAGGTTTACCTTTTCCGAGCAGCATGTTCGGAGCTTCAAACCTCTATTCAGTCGTCTCGGAATACTGAGATACAATCGCAGCGAACTCGACGGGCTCTCATACAGCATGAGTTAGACATTCTGACCCAACGCATGACTCAAGACCTTTCTGGGCTAAAGGATGACCTAAAAGAGATGTTCAACAATCAGAAAATTTCGACTAGGGAACTTCAACGGTCAATTGACACAGCAATCCAAGAGCTCAACTATCAAATTACCGTATCTCTCAACAGTGACGGGAAAAGCGAAGTAGAGGGTCTTCGTTGGGTTCTAACTCGGAGAGCCGTTATTGCAGTTGCCACTAGTGCCAGTGAGGATCCCCCAACTCTTGTTTTATTGTATGAAGGCGTAGCTAACCAGCTCTAGGTATGATTATTCTTGCTTTAAGGTACCAATCTTATAAGGTTCAACAACGCGAAGCTGCAGAGAAAGCTGCAAAGAAAGCCGCGGCAGAATCCGAAGAAGTTGCCATCGGTGACATTGTTCAAGTCACCAAGCAGTAATCGTTTACAATCTAATAAAGTACGGGGAATACTGCCTGCATCTAATCTACTTAATAAATATTGAGACATTTTAGGCTATCCAAGAAAAGCCTTTGAACTGGCTTTGACGATGTTGATAGAGTATTAGCCATCCTGCTGTAGGGTATTTTTCATCATTTCTTATCCTATCAGAAGAAGAACATTCCTTGTAAATATATATGAGGAGAAAATGTAGAACATTAGAAGTAAATTTGTATTGTCTAATGAAGTATGATCCAAGCTTAAGAATAATCTATTTTTTTTTTCTTTTGATTCTTCTCGCAAGTTTTCACATGAATAAGAGAGAAAGCCAGGCTGCGACGTAAAGCCGTCAGGGCGACTCATTTAATGAAACGAACCCTCCTAAAAATCCATGCGTAAGGCGATAGTCGGTGCGTTTCTCTCGTGACCCTGATCGTGTCGTTTATTGGCATCTTCTTTTTGTCCAACCGTCTTCAGGATCTCCTCCAAGAGACCCTTTGACTCTTGCTCCATATTGGTAGCAAAGCCCCTGAAAGCCGTTTGATCTACCTTCGCAAGCTCTAATAGCCTCGTTGCAGTCTCCTGATAGACGCTGGCCCCTTCGCGTTTAGCGCGCGCCAGAAGGGCTGGAATCAATAATGCCATTGCAGCGGGAATGGCAGTTTTCGCAATTCCCGGTGATCCCACGAAAGACACCAGAGCTTGGGTGATATTGGATTTCATGTTCTCCGGGTCAATTGGGGGTTCATTATTATTCCCCATTGGCGTCTCTGTCACAAACGCTAGGAGCCTAGGGAAGATTGTGCGAGCTATCATGTCGTCGGTAGCGGAGCGGATGCCGGGGTTTAAAAGGAGGGAGCGGACACAGCCAGCCGCAACGGTTCCAAGTCCTAGATCCTGCAAACAATCAAGTAACTCTTGCATTGCTTGAGATATCAATGGGTCTTGGGGTTGAATTACAGAACCGGCACTTGTCAGGAGAATCGTAATACCAAGTAGAGTATTTTTGGCACAAGGAAGAGAAGTGTCTGATTCTCGTCGTTGTGCAACAGCAAGTATACCCAAGAACCGTGCCAAACAACCTCGGACTTGGCGACTAACACTTAAAGCCTCCGGTCCCTGGGGAGTTGGCTCTTGATTTTGAGGTTCGTTCGGATGACAGAGCTTTTGAAGGAAGCGTTTGAAGATTGGGAGAATTTTAGGAACTATTTCTGCCTGGCAACTACCGGTAGCGAAAACTGTGGTGAATATGTGCATTATGCAAGTATGTAGATCGTCCCGAATAATGGATGGAAACACGGACGTAATATCCACCAAAGAAGAGAGAGAATGCTGAATTAGGGATATTGATTCTTCAGATGCTTCGGATCGGGATTTCGGCGATGACTCCCCAAGATTCGGTAGTACACCTGCAATAACAAGTATGATATTGCGTGTTAGCTCAAACAACTGTTCAATATCATCCGATAGGTGCTCTGTGGATGAGCTATCTCGTGTTGCAGATGGATGATGAAGGGAGAGACTTCGAACAATCTGGACTATGACAGATTGTATGGATAAGTTTTCTGTCATTACCATCCTGTTCAAAGTGTCAATGGTTTCCGAGAAGATGGTCTCCTGGTAAACTGCGTTGCCGGCAACAGAAGGATGTAGTATTTTTTGCAGAGCCTGAAGGATATCGAGCGTTTGGGCTGGCGTACAGCTGTGGCTAACCAAAGCGTCAAATGCCAGTCCAAAGAGGACAAAAAAGAAGGCAACCGGTTCGTCGCGGTAGTTGATCTGATTGCCTTTGGCTTTTATTTCGCCGCTTTGAATTGGGACACCCTTGTTGCTTTCAGTTCTTTGAAGATCCTGTTTTCCGTTTAGGGCATCGAACACAAAATCGCTGTCTTTCTCAACGAGACTGGCAATAGCATCAACGAAATTCAACCAAGAATCTTGGTAGAACTAAACGGAGCACAATGTTAGAAACGTGTGGAAATTGGTTTGTCATGGATACGGAATATGTACCTTGAGTAGAATCTCTCGGTTAAGAGCTGAATATATATCATCTGGACTGTCCGATAAACTGACGGATCCCATGGTACTAGATATCTCCGGCTCAAATCTTAAGCGTGCAAACTCCTGAAGGGAGGAGAGCCAGAGTGGAGTTAGCATAGCCGTGTACGGGGATACTATATCTACAAGATATGCCTGTTCACTGCTAGAAATTTGCAGTCGCGCCCATGCGGAATACAAGGCTAGTTTTGCCATAACTCGCGCGTTGGAGTTGAGGCCTTTGAGATCTCCGATCTCCGTCATGTCCGGCTTATCTATTGACTTTATTAGCCTTTGATATACAATGTGGGCTAGAATAAAACTTACTAGCAAAGTTCTCAAGTCCAACAACAAGAAGCTTGAAGATGCGGCCCATTCTTTCAACACTAGTGACTATTCCGGTTCCGACGAACGTAGCACAAACGTTGATAGCCTCAGAAACAAGCTCTGGAGATGAATCTGCAGCAAACGCAGGGGTTAATGCAGATGCAATCTGGGCTTGATACTGCTCAAGCAGAGATGCTTCAGCAAAGTCGGGGTCAGGGGTTCGCCCAAATAACTAACACCAATCAAATTAGCGATGCGATGAACCCCTTATGGCAAACTGAGAACCCACCTTAAGAACTTGGTCCAAAATCTTCAGCCCCCAGATTCGTAGGTCAATAACATTTGCTGTAGAAGCAGAAAATGCCATCCGAACGATATCCCCGACTTTTTCCTGCAATGCAGCTTCAGCTGGGATAGTCTGGTCCGGTAAGATCTCACCCTGAACCATCGTCAGAAGTTCACTAAGACACCCAACGACGAAGTTCCGAGTCTGCCATTTGAGTAGCTCTTGTCCACCGGTGGATGTATCATTGGCTTCTCTGCTCTCTCCGGCAACAGCCGTAGCAAACCCAGCAACTTCTTCATCGGGGAGATCAGCACTGGGGGCAGCAGTAGTGACAGGGGGAGGCGAGGAGGCTTCATCACGTTTGGACCTGGTTTTCGTTAGGACCTTTTGGCACCTCTCGATCCACATTTTTGTATTTGTTAGTCCGGTCTGCTGAAGCCAGTTTACAATAATATCCCTGAGAAGTTGATTTCCTGGGTCGTTATCGATTGCGATCCATAGTTCATCTTCAAAAGTTGACGATGCAGTCTGTAAAACACGATTGGCATCTCTTTTCATAAGATTGCTAAGGCCATAAACTGCAGCTTGTTTCACCTGTTTGTCTGTTGAGGCCAACTCCTTTTGAAGCCATTGCACGTAGCCTGAGAAATCCATATATTGTGGTGCATACAGCGACAGGTGGTCAAGACACTGAGAGCTCACATTTATTAGAGGAGCATCGCGTTCCAGCTGAAACTCTTTGACTATAGTGAACACCAGATCTCTCGTTTTTGTAACATCTCTGAGGTCTGGTCCAACTACATTAACGAGAGCATCAACGCACCGACCAATTGCTAACGGTGTCGAGAATTCAGCTTCAAAGTTTGATGTTCCGACAGTTGGTGCTTCATGGTTATGGGTATCTGCAACATATAGACGAGCCAGCATTCCGAATGCTCCAGATACGTAGGCTGAAAAGGTTAGGCCTGCGGAGTCTATCACACGAACCAAGCCATCTAAAGCCCAGAAATGAACAACAGGGTGAGGATCATTGCATAGTGACATTAGGACACCAACAATAGTCTTCAAATGGAACCCTGCTGCCATCCCCCCTACTTGAGCATGTATGGAGCCTAGCGCAGCTGCACATCCAGCACGGGCATGCGGATCACGATTTTCAACAATGACATCAACAAGTCTATTTATTTCCGAGTTTGTATATGCATTCCCGGAGCTGTTGCATAAACGGCCAAGTCCTTCAAATCCGATTTTTCGGATGATATAATCAGGGCTTATTATGAAATTCTAATGCGTTATAAGTCCTATGCCTTGAATACGGATATAACTGAGAAGTCACATACCTGTATCAGCTCCTGGAAAAGCTTTTCAACTGCAACATGTTTCAAGTTCCCAGGGAGATACGGAGTTTCGTTTACGGAAACCCGAAGTGTATATAAGAGAGCAATAGCAATATTGGCGGTCATGGCTGCTTTGCGGCCAGGGTTTCGATTGAGACTATGTGATGACAGCATTGTTGCAATTTGCTCAACACTGCTTTCCTGGACCTTTGGGTTCTGTAATGGGAGAGTAACAGAGAATAACTCAATGGCGGAATTGACAACTTCGGTTGGAGGAGGGTCAGGAAGATAATCTGCATTAAGATTTTTGGCATAGTAAAGCAATATGGAATCATGTTCCCTTGCATGGCACATCGGCGTGGTCAACTGTCAACGTCAGTAAATATATAGTCCATTATACTCACAAAAAAAGAACTTACACAAGAGTCAATTGGATGGCCAGTGGCTTCGGTTACGCTCGTGTTAGCGAAAGGACCAGGTTTTGGTTCACCGGGCATAAATTTGCGAACAAAGCCCGTAACACCAAACCCGAAATTATCGTCTAGATCCCATAAGGTATCGAAATTTGCAGTGGAAGCAGCAATAGATGTCTCTAAGGGGTTCGCGGAGATGACATCTGGGTCGGCAAAACAGGAAATCGCTAGACCTAAGATGCCAGAAAGAGGAAGATTATCCATAGGGTTAAGATGGCTTAAGTTGACTAACTTGGTAAAACATTGTAGAACTCGCCGTCGAACCAATGTTGCATAGTCTGCAAGTTGAAGTGATGGGGATAATCTTTGGGAAATATCTTCGACAGATTTCAACTTAGGGAGGTGCTCCAAGAACGATACAGTGCCCTGAAGCATCATGGCAATCCTCTTCAATCCATCCAAGGTGACAAGTTTACTATTATATTCCAAGAAGACCAGTATCGAGCTCAATGCACATTCTTTGACGTGGGCTAGAAAGCTCATTTCCAGAGGGCCGCGCTTGGCAAGGGTTTCCTTTGCTATTGGCGACAAGGCATTTTTCCATAGCAAAAGAAGCTGCGAGAGATGTATCTTTGTAAAATTCGGTCCTAATGGCATCAAGCCGCCGATTAGAATCCAGGCGACCTGTATTTGAGTGCTGGCAACTCGAAGCTCCGAATCACCACTTGTCTTGAGAAGGTCAGTAGCTTGTGATAAGACTTTGGCATAAACGTCAACGGATCCGTATAGGGGCTGAAGTCGGGATGTGCTTAACATAGCGGAGAGAGCATGTGCGTAGCCCAGACAGCGAGACGCGGACATGCGGATTGACGACAATTGACCGAGTTCCCTAGTTAAACTGTTCATGCATATTGTCACGCATGAGAGAAGTTGCTGAGGGCATGCCACGACAAAATTACGCATGCAATGTGCAATATGAACTTGGACGCTGAAGCTTGGATGTTGAAGACTTTGGAGCAACGCTTCACGGCATGTTTCGGCAACAGTTGCTGCAGCAGACCCCAGGGATTCGATAAGAGAAGAGAGCGCACTGACAGCACTTATGAGAGTATATTTGCTGGGCTCTCGACGCTCCGGGACCACTTGGGGATAGTCTTTGAGGATGTTATTGGAAATCCATTTGACCGCAGTCAACTGACTGCTTTCACGTAACATTTCTCGCCCTAGTACGTCTTCCAGGATATGTTTCACAAATTTCCGAGTTAAAAGGAGGCGATATCGACTATATGCCACAGTTTGGTGGTTCAAAAGAGTGACGAGTAAGTGGTCCGCAATCTCCGTATAATAGTCCTCGACTACCTGCCCACCAAATTCCTTGAGAAGGAGTTCGTAGCAAACTGCAATTGCGGCTCTGGCACGATTCCCTGTTGATGATTTACAATAATGGCTTGAAAGTTGTGCTAGAAGGTCCTCCATCTTAAAAGATAGCGAGCTGTCAGCTTTGCGGCCTGATGGAGATTGGGTCCTCTCTATAATATCGCCATCCACGGGATCCGTAGGCTGTCTTTTCAATGGCTTTTTTGTCCGAAGAGCGGTAGGCTTCCTACTCAAGGTAGGCATGCTGGAGTGAGCTTTCACCAAGAAAGTTGCAAGACAACCTGCCGCTCCATGCCTCACCGAGGCAACAGAGCTATCCATGACTTTCCATAGAGTGGTCTTCAAGTGCTCATAATCATTGCTATTCCTAAAATATGGCGTTGACTTGACTAGCTCCTGAAGGCACACGCATGATCCAACTTGGACATTGTATGCCTTGTCACTGAGGGCCGCATTTCGAGCATATTTCCATATATCGCGAGCCGTAGCCTCATCAATTGGCGATCCAATTCCTGCTACCACTTTTTTCAAAGAAACGAACACACAATATCGTAGCCCTGCGTTGTTCTGCGCTAACTTTAGGGCCTTGAGGATAGCTGAGCACACGGCACTGGACAGTCCCACCGCGCCGTCACCCGCAGCGGCAAATATATCCCCTAAGGCCACCACAGCAGCAAACTTCGTCTTCAAATCCACTTCGTTCTTACCGGCATTAAGAATCCCTATCAGCTCGGTGACGGTATCAAAAAGAGTCGCTCTATTCCCCTTGGAAAACACGGCACTGAAGCAGCGGCCAATGCCATTTCGAATGACCCGAGTTGGCACTGGAGACACCAGGCGGAGGATTTTAAATAGTTCCTGCTTAATAAAATTCTGCTGTGCGCATAGCGTCTCCTTGTCCAGCGTCACCGTATACTGGACGAGGTCTGAGGTGTAGGTAAGGAGGTAGAGGTCCTGCTGCTCGGAGGGGAGCGCATGAAGCTTCGAGACGTCGAGCTCGGCGCGCGGCTGGACAGCGCCGTTGCCGCTGGAGGGCCGGGCAGCAGCAGCTTCGGAGGAAGACATTATGTCTCGATTCGCGGCATGCTATCTCCTTTGTCTGCTCGTCCTTTATTGTTTGCGTTGCGGTGCTTCTTCTCCTCCACGTCGTTGGAGGGCTGCGAGATCTAGACGGCACGGGTCAACTTTAAGCCGTTTTTTAAGCTGTCAAGGCCAAACGGGAGCTTCAAGCCGTTTCTACCTCTTCCATTTATATTATCATTGCTACTACTGCGTCTTCTGTGAAATAACTATATCAATTGCTTCCCAGGAGCTTCACAAGATGGCGGCAGCATTAGGCCGCAGGATGCTTTCGAGTCCTCGGATCCAGCCGTCCTGGATTTGCAGCAGCTGCCATTATATCTCGAGCAGCCAGGTACTGCGGTCAGGACACAATCGCTGGTCAACAATCAGACATGACAAAGGCAAAAACGATGCTGCAAAAAGCAAAGAGCGCCAGATATTCAGTAAAGACCTCATTCAGGCATCCAAGTGTAAGCTATTCTTGGTCTGTTGTGGTGTGGGTAGTTAGCTAACAATGCTTAGTATATGGCCCTGATCCAAAGACCAACCCTCGCCTTGCCCTTGTTATAGCGAACGCCAAACGGAGCGGAATGCCCAAGCCGACCATAGAAGCCGCCATTGCAAGAGGACAGGGCATTACAGCTGCTGGAACAGCATTGGAATCACTCACCATCGAGGGAATGCTGCCACATTCTGTCGCCGTCGTGGTAGAGTGCTTGACAGACCAAAAAGCTCGGGCTCTGCAAGATATTAGAGCTATTATCCGACATTCCGGAGGATCAAACACGCCTACAAGTTATTTATTCGAGAAAAAGGGGAAAATAGTATTTGAACAAAAACCGGAGTTGGATGTCGACAGTTATCTCGAACTAGCAATCGACGCTGGTGCAACCGATGTCGAGGGAGACGAAAACAGCCGCCTTGTCGTTTATACGGAGCATACGGCCACAAAGTCAGTAGCGGATAAGATGTCTGCTGCCACCGATTTGGTTACGGAAAGCATTGACATCATATGGGATCCGAACCAAGATACTCTGGTCAAGCTTGAGTCCGAAGAAGCCCGTGCTACTGTGGAAAATATAGTAAACGAGCTCAGGGATGACCCCAGCGTCCAGGATATCTACATCAACTGTCCAGAAATATCGTCTCAATGATCGACCCAATGATAACCCCAACTGAGCTTATCCTATCTTTGTCTCAGGGTCATCATTGAACTTCTCATTAATCGACCAATTCCTTCCGATCCATGCTTGTCCAGCCATTCAAGCATCTTCAGCCGATACTCTTGCCAGTCGACCTTGATACCCCCGGCTTTATGTAGAGCATTCAGCGCCTTTTGGGTCACCGGCCACGTTAACCGTGCCAGTATCTCTTCTCCATCCTTTTCAGCCATAGACTCTAGATTTCTGAAACACATTGCCGACATGCCACACAACGCGGCATGATGGCTCAAGGAAAATATAGATGCAAGCCGCAGCCTGTAAATACCACCATTTTTACCTTTTTTCGCTAGGTCCTCGCCGACTTCCTGGATATATTCGGTGAGCAATTCAACTACTTCGCTTCTCACAAGGCAGCCTAGGGCATTAGGCTCATCGCTATTTAACCCTCTGTTCCGCCATAATAGGTTGCAGATGTCTAGGACATGTCCATTGAGGCTGGTTACCACAGCATCTGGGTATGGCTTTCTGGAAGAACCATCTGCAGAAGCTGTAGTTGCTAGTGACTCTTCAAAGGAAGATTTATAGATTGCTATCACATTGCTCATCAACGACATATGGCTGAGAACCGGAGTGAAAGCCAGGAGGTATACACTCTCAGGAGGAGGGGTATTTAGCCGTATCAGATGGTTAGTCGGAGCATGAAGGTATAACTCGGCCAGCTGTATGTAAAACCAAAGGACAGGTGAGCTAGAGGACCAGTAGTCCTTGACTGACTTGGCATCTGAAGCGGATGGACTTTCGAGTAAGGTCAACGACAATAGCTCAGCCCTATTGACAATGCTCGCAAGGTCAAGGGCATAATCAAAAGACACATTTGACTGGAGAATGCTGCAACCAACGGCGGAAGTAGCGTGTAATACTGGAGAACCAGACTCTTGGACTCTATGGAGTTGTCCAGAATCGCATTCTCCACGCTGACAAAATATTGTTGATAAAGGTGATCACGCATAGGCGCATATTCTAGCAGATTGATCATCGCTGCTCGATGGCTTGTCCCATCCCATACCAGCAAGTAATTTTGGAGAAACTTTTCAACACAGCTAGGAAAGACCTGTACGAAGTTACTTATTAACCTGACCTCATAATACTATCTGAGGAGGAAAATCTTACCTTTGTATATCTCACATACCGTACTAGGTTATCCAGGACAAATGCCAGTTCTTCTGATGAGCTGTTTTCTTCTCTCAGTTGATCCAGTTCATCTTCGAAGAAACTTGTAAGCCAGCTTTCCATCCTCTGTAGTGCTTCCTTATTCTGCGCCAGAAGCAAGAATTTCTGATTCAGGGGCTCTATTAAAGCAGAGGCTATCTGATTCGGAAGTTCAATTTTGTCCAGTTTGTTGACGAAATCCCGCACATTGCTAAGTTCTTCTAGAGAAGTAAAACCGGGTCGGACTCGGGAAGTTTTAGGAACGGGAATAACAACCTCAATCCGACTCCTTTTGACACCATCTCGACGAATAGTCTGGAAGGCTTCTGGGGCAGACTGGGGAGCAGAATTTGCAGCTCTCTCCTGAAGCATTTTCATGTGTGCGGTCCATTCCGGGTCCGGATGTTTGAAAAAGTAGGTTGCTCGCCGGCGAGGGATCGCCGTATCATCAATGATAATGTCAGGATAGTAGCTTTTATACACTCGTAGCAGTCCCCAGAGCTCTCTTTCATCACCGCCCGTGTTCCGGATAAGCTCCAAGAGAGCCCAAACACGGAATGGCTTAATGTGTTTCCTCCGAGTGATGAGCGAGAGGATATGACAAATCGGGCGGCGCAAACTAATCATATCCAAGTTATCGAAGAGGACGCTATAGAATTTCCCCAGATGAGCCTGGCTCATCAGGCTATCGTAAACCAGTAGAAGCCATCTCAGCAGTAAATTTTGCGTGGCTGGAGACGGCTTGGATTTTGCAGCTCCCAAGGAGCAAATCACTCTCGAAACAGTTGTTGATGGAACTCTTTCAGCAGGGTAAAGATTTTTTATTATTGAAGTCACAGTCGACTGGTCAAGGTGTCGAGATGACACGATGACGTTCAGGATACGGTTCAGTGTGTCTACGTCCAGCCCGGATTCAAAGGCAGATGAGACTATCACTTTCACCAGCTCCGCAACGTTGGTATGCCGCTGCTTTGGAGGCAGATTTGCAACTTGGTAACAGTTAGCGCAATCCCGTGTAATTGAAAATAACATAAAGTCCACGTTACCACTCTCAAGCTGTTCCACAGCTTCATCTAATGCCCAGGCCATTATAATATATATTTTCTTTGATTCTTGTCATGTTCGTCAGTTGCTTGACATACTTGAGTATCGCGTTTCCGACGCGCCCCTGAAATCACTAGTTAACTAACTACCCAAAAACAAAGTTCTAGTGATCGCCCGTGAGGATTATGTAAGCTACAGCAACTATGTACAGAGTAGTTCTACGGAAGAATAGAGAGGACGTCAAGGGAATTGCGCAAATGAAGGTATAATATATATCTAAGTACCCTATTCTATACTCTGAGATAAGAAACTAATGGTTTCCACAAGGAGAAGTCCAGAGACAGGGAGTTGTGCGATACAGAGATACATGATGTGAAAGGGGGATAACTATGAACAGGGGGATAAAATATAAAATAATTGTCATAAATCAAAGCATGACCCAGCCGGTGTGAGAATAGTAAATAAGTACAGGGCGGGTGGCGAGTCGTAATTATATCCATGCTTAGCTCAAGGGGAACCATTGACGAGCTCGTGGATGGCTGTCCAATCGTTCAATTGTGGTGATGAGCCTTTGGGATTATTGTCGTGATCTCTGGCGCGAGATCTATTTGGTGCACTGTTGCCATCTAACGTGGACAATCTGCTTGAAGCTGGTGTCGACGGAGTCGCTGGTAAGGATACCGCGAGCGTTGCGGTCGGTTGAGGTGAGTCGGACCTGGGAGTTGATGTTCAGAGCACCGTTAGCTCCGCAAGGAGACCAGACAGTAGAGGTCTGGTTGGCCTCGTCATGGAGGATGTAGTCCTTGTCAAGTGGGCCCTTCCATGTGGTGCTTGTGGAAGTCTACGTAGTAAGTTAGCATCTAGTTCAGATAAAGAAACAAAAGAGAGAAACCGGTGTAAACAAAGAACTAACCTGCTCGGTCTGGCCAGAGAAGTAGTAGATGGACTTCTGGGTACCAGAGACACCCTTGTCAAGGTTGGCGTAGCCACGGTAATCGGCAGAGAAGACCGAGAACTGGAATCCACCGGGGTAGCGGAGGTTGATGTTGAGCTGGCAGTTCTTGCGGTTCTCCTTGGTGTTAACATCCGGGCCAATCTGAGCCACGTATTGATCGAAGATGAGGGTCATGACCTGGCGGTCGTCGGACAAGATGTGGCTGACGGTGCCTTCGGGGCATCCAGTACCGCCATAGGTGACACCAACAATGTGGACCTTGTCTGGGTCAGGGGCGTTGCCGCTGCCGTTGTCTGGAGGGAGTTCAGCGCGCTGTTCGACCCCGCGAGTTGGAATGCTGCCGCCGGGGAAGTTGGGGAGGTCCAAGGTGCGAGTGCCGGGGGTTCTGTCACCTTCAACTGGCTGAGAGGTAACAGCAAGGGCCTGGGCCAAAACGGCAATAATAGCTGCAGACTTCATCTTGAGATGGAAGAAAGTGTTGATTGATTCTCAGGTGGTAATTGAGAAAGATATTAAGATCGAGCTGAGGTGCAGGTAAACAAGAAAAATAACCAGAGTATCTGGGAGAAACGTTGGGTTTATATAACTTTTCTCTGGGGGTACGGCCAGGATAGATCAGGGTAGAACCGAACGATAGCGGAAATGCTATAGACTACAAGTTCGTGTTCTTCCTCCGACCATACGCGAGACCAAATCTCTGTGAAGATGCCCAGGTTGAGCCAATATCTGATAGCGTTGCATCTCCGTCACTCAAACCAGCCGTGCATTATCCCACCTGACCGTAGTCTTCATAGCACATGGCCAATGCCAAGCCACTACAGCCAGGCATTGCAGATAAAAGACGGGGAAACGTGAAGACGCCATGATGCATGCAAAAATGACCGCCTTCTTTCTCGCCAACGGAAGCTAAAAGACCGACGCAACGTTGGTATCACAGATCTAATCTCCGTTCTAGGCGCTAGCAAAACTAGACCGAATCCTCTAGCTGCACAGCTGATATGCCAGACCCAGTGGATAATGACAAGTAAGAAGAAAATAGAAGAGAATGGGGAAGTGAAGTGGGCTCAACCCCCCCTGGTACTGGACATGCGTTTGCTAAGCCAAAGTCAACGGTGCTTGCACCGTTCACAGGGTCCAGCGCCATCAGGTCGGCGACCCAGGCAGACAGGATAAGAAGACGCGGTGGGGGCCCTTGCATCCCCGGAAGAGCCCATGAGGAAGAAATGGAGCAGGAAACTGCTTTTTTATGCCCAGTCTTGTGCAGAGTCCGCGAGATGGAGAAACCTGGGGTAACCCTTGAGCCGAAGGGTGGTTTCAGGTAGAAACGCCCCTCCCGCCCAATGACTCATGGCCGGCCGTTTGAAAGCCGACACGGCGACCATCAACTGGTCCATATCCCGAGCAGAAGAGAGACGACTGTCTAGAGACTGCAAGCCAGCCCGAGTCTCGTCCTCTTTTTCGCTGTGATGTCGATGTCGATGTCGATGTTTTGCAGATCCGACGATCAAACTCCACGAGCTTAATCGCGGGTCTTGGCCGGATGATTATTAATCCGGGAGATAGACATGTGCCAAGACTTCAAGCTCATGTGACTTGTTACTGAGCTAAAAAAGGCAACAACAACGACAACAACAACAGCAGCAGCAAAAACAAACAACATCACGACATCGAAGGAAGAGACGGAAGGCGAACTAAGAAGAGCACATCGAAGAGGATGCATGGTATCACCCCCGCCCCTGTCTATCTCGCTTCAGTTAGCTCCTGTTGATAGGTACACATCACATAGCAGTTATTAACACTTGGAGTTTACGCCCCTTCAGCAGTGCGGTAACTAGTCTATTATACTTTTCTCGCCTCTGCACCAGGACGGGATCGCTTCTTACCCTTGGCTGTTTTCAGGTGCATTTCCGAGGACACGGAAGAGTTATGTATACATAGTGGCCAATATGTCTGCTAGGCTAGGGGATCCTAGCGTTGGTCTGTCAGACTAACCGCGTACCAAGTCGACTTATCTTCGCCGTTTTCTTAGTCAGGTACGCGGAACTTTTGATCTGCGTCCTTCTTCTGATGTCATGGTAAGCAATTCGATCAGCGCCCCAAGGCGATGTCGTTGCTTGTCCGACCTGAAGGTACGGAGTATGGAGTACACTACGCTCTGGGAGCCACAAAAAGGTGCTCTGTGTGTCTGGCAACCCCGCTCAGATACAGTGCTGAAGGAAGTCTGTTGTGCATTTTCTGCTAGGATAGCCCTCCCCTTGAGCCGCGGATTCCCATGCTACATTTCCCTGACAATAATGAATAAAATGGAGCCTTTTAGATACTCTCCGCGAAGCCAGGCTCAAGGATATCAAAGGCTATTTAGGAAAGGCAAAAGATACCACCCCGCATGGCTGTAGATACCTGCTCCGTGTATGTATTTTATACCAGGGGACGACATGCTTTTACACTTCCTCGGTGGCTAAGGCACTAACCAACCCCTGGTAATTTGCTGGTCAGATGTAAAAACCCGAAATTCCAGAAGCATGGTTATGATGATCGCCCTCATGCACGCTATGGAGCTGCAAGTAAACTAGACTGCTTAGGCCATCCCTGAAACATTCAGTTGGTATGAAGGAAGTAAATCCACCCCTCTCTCTTCCCTCCAAACCGGTAAAGCTAAGCTACTACTCGTGGCATTGGTAGAGTTCAGACTGATGGAATTTGTCTCTGAGGACTGTGGGGAGGACGGCTGGGGATGTTTACATCGTCTTATCCTATTTGCAGGGGTGTCGGCGACGATCTTGCTATTTTGATTCTTTGCAAGCACAGGGGCAGCAGGAAGGATATATTGGTCTCGGAATACGGCTTTGGAGGAGGCATGCTGCTTGTCTTCGTTGTCTCTCTCATGACAGATGTATATACTTCGTGCTTCGTATAACAACGACTTGTTCTGTCTCATGCATCCTTTTAACTACTTCAGGTCGGTAATGATGCGTGTGGGCCAGGGGCTCGGTCGAGTAAAATGAGATATCACCTCATTCCATTCGAAAAGCCTTGGGGTTAGAATATCATAATGCACATGCATACGGCGTATTTTAGGTTGTAACATGGATGATAATATATTATTAGCAAGGGGGTGACTTCCTCTACAGGAATATGCCTACCTGTGTGTTGTTCAGGTGCGAGACTTTGTGGTATCGGGCCTGAAGGTTGTTAAAAACTATGCTTGATATCAACAGGGAGAAGCCATGGGCTGCGCCCGCTTTAAGACAGGGTACGTAGTGATATTATTATGTACGGGCAGAATAATGCACCTTTTCTAGCTGCCAACATGTGCTGCTTTATTGGGGACATTAACCGATTATTTCGTATATATGGTTTTTGATTTTAGAATGAATGATACCCTTCCTGGTTCCAAAGGCCGCATGCTCACATGGGTGGAAAACGAGATGCTAGATGGCTGCCTGGGGCGGAATGGCCCGGTAGAATGGAACATAGGCTGCGGCCTACTTCCTTTTCCGCATGGAACCCTTTGATGATGCCTTTGCGGATGAAGAAGCCTCATCCTCACCCGCTTTGACCGCGGGAGTGGATGGTTCTACGGCCTTCGAATCGCCACCGGAGGTATTCTCCTCGCTTTTCTGAGTGGTTTTCTCCTTTTTCTCCTCTTCTTCATCGTCGTCTCCTCCTTGGCCGAATTCGTTGACTCGAGTGTAGTCAACCTTGTACTTCCAGCTTTGATAGAGCCAGATGAAGAAGATAACGTCATCTCGGAGGGTTGCAAGTCGATGCAGTGTTGGCATCTTGATGGTGAATGCAAACAAGTCATCGATGAACGTGTTGAGGAACTTGTAAGTGAGTGCTTTTCCAGGCATATGTGCAACGGACTATTGCCATTTTGCGGTTAGCTAAACCAGCTTTTCCAGATCTTGTGTTTCACAGTTGGGAAAACTTCACTTGCCTTGAGACGATAGTTGATATACAAGCTTGGAACCATCATGAGGAACCCATATGCATAGACACTGCCAACAAGTGTCTCGATAATATAAGAGTACCACGACTTGTGGGTCTCATATAACAGGCTGTATATGGCATATCCGATCAATAGCGGAACGGCAGCGATATACAACCATTTGAACGCAATTTCATCGTACTCTTGGGTTTTCTTCTCAGTCTCGCTAAGCTTGTGTTTGTCTTCAAGGACAATGATGTACGGGAGGAACGAGAGATATGAGTCTGCCGGCGGCGGGCGAATGCGGACATTAGCTGTCTTTGTGATTTTCCAAGCTTCAACAACAATACCAAAGCCTTGGCCGCCGAGAATCATCCAAGATGTGTGCTCATTGTTGTCAAGTAGGTACAAGAAGATGATCAGCTGCATGAAGACATTTGCAATAATGGTGCGGACAGAGGTTCCAACGACGTCTTTCTTCTTTCTCCAGTGAGACTAGGTCGATACCGGTAAGCATTGCCCATTAAAGTTTATTTACGCAAGAAGTGTGCCAATGGGGAGGTATTTTACTTACGATATCATTCTTGAAAGCGAGGAACTCAAAGATTGTATGCAGCACACCAACAACACCGGTGGTGATGAGAAGGTAGATGTTAGTATCTAAAAGTACTTCCTTAATCATCTCGACCTCGCTTCCGTCGCCTGAAGTAGGAGGAAGTGGGCCTCCAAAGGCTGCTTGACGTTGCTTCTGCTTGGAATCTTCCTCAATGCTAGACATTATAGCAAATTGCCACTGTTTCACCGTGTTCAGGGTAATGCGCAGTGGGACTTCACTGACAGTGGAGTTGAGTTCCGTCATATGGTTCCTAAGCTGCCAAAAACGATTGAAAAAGAAAGTCGGATAGTACCAGCCCACTTGCCCAGAGCCATCTCTGGCGCCGCTCCGTTCCAATTGAAGGAACTGGCGAATAGACGGATGAGATGCCTGGAAATTTATAGCTCCTTGGTCGGTAACGAAAGATACAGTGAGATTTGGGTGATAAAAGGAGCTAATCTTGACTGTTTTTGGCACTTCGTCCACGACTTCAGTCTCATTAGCTGCATCCAAAAGGTTCCGGAGCTTTTTGGCCTTCTTTTTTGGTAGGTACTGGTTAACCGGGTGGGAAAAGTTATAGGCTGTGTCAGCGCTATATCCTTCCTCATTCGAGTACTGTGGATGTCCCGAAAGCGCAACGAAAAAGTGAGCCCAGAGAGTCTCATTATTCTGCACTGCTTTCGGAATAAACAGAGTGGTACTAATTTCTCGAAGCTCCTTTGCACCCGCAGTATTAAACTCCTTCTCATCCAGTACCTTGCTATCCCTTGGAAGAGGGAATGTAGTAGATGGGGTAACATGTACCGCAATGTCTAGCTTGCTGCCTGTCTCCCACATCGGCACTGTCTTGACAGGGAAATAAGTCGCGTTTGTAATTGTATCTTGGTCGGGACGCTCGGAGAATTTTGGGAACGAGTTCTTAACAACAGCCGCACCGCCAGCAGCATCACTGGGCGCATTCCAGTAGTTCATAGCCTTCGACAACACAAACTGGGAGACCACTAGCATGACAAACCCCTTTAACATGGGCTGGAGTGCCGACTATAGCTTGTGGGAGCTCCTGTTAGCCTTGCCCAAGTAACAAGTAGTTAGTTTTGGCTGGCCAACTCACGGTCTCATCCTCCTGGCGCGCATTGCCTCTGGGTGCTTCCGGCATCTTGGCTGTCGAAGCAAGCCTCAAGAGTAATTATCCGAAGCTGACCAAGTTTCGAGATGTATGTTTATCGAGACGAAGACGTTGTGGAGAGAAGGAGAATAACAGGAGCCAGATATTCTTTTTACGTTATCGCTCGGGAGTTGCCAGAAACGACCAATGAAATCGCCTCATCCCGCATCAACCAACGATAAGGAGATCGAAGCAACCAAAAAAAGCCGCCGCCGCTTCAAACTCCGGCGAAACAATCGACATGCGACAGACGCTTTGATCCCGTTTACGCTGAGACAGATACGCACGCCGTGATCGGCCGGAGTCGCTCTTCTGCTGGACCTCGAGATGGGCTTTCAACCTACCCTTAAAGCGAATCGATAACATGGAAAACTACCAAGCAGGCACAGGAACAGCAACCGGAGCAGCAGGAGCACAAGCGGCAGCTCCAGCATCAACACCGAGTGCAACAGCTGCGGCAACGGGCCAATCCCAGTTTCCGGTACACGAGAACCCACGAGTTTGGCTGTTTTCCTCTGGCGACTCTCCCATTGGAATCTCGCTGGCTCGCCAGATCCTCGCGCATGGCGACTATGTGGTTTGCGGCCGCTGTCCCGCAGACTCTGGACGAGAGAATCCCAGGCTCGCTGCCTTTGAAAACTTCCTCGAAGAACTAGACAATGCGGAATCGGACCGGGAGACTGGCGGGTGGAAGGAAAGATTTGATGTTGTGAATCTTGATATCAGGTACGGATGAGATGGCGGCATACAACTACAGTGACAGAAACCTGGATGCATTGGCCCATACAGGAGTGCTAACTTGGGTGTCTATAGGATAATGAGCGACTGCCAGGCTGCAATTGCTAGTACGATCAACAAATATGGAAGAATTGACATCATTCTCTGTTGCACGAGCCAAGGTGAGCACATCGAACCCTCTCCTCAAGTTCCTACCCTGACAGTCGCTGATACGGGCGTGATAGCGGTCATTGGATCCGTTGAAGAGCTCGCAACTTCAGAGCGTGCGAGAATGCTGCTGAAAGACCAGTTTGAAACTAATTACTTCGGACCCGTTAACTTGATCAAATCTGCCCTTCCGCAAATGCGACTCCAGAGATCCGGGCATCTTATGGTCCTAGGTGGAATAAGTAAGTTTGCATCCCTTAACTAATTATACTAGTCTCTCTTCATGCAACCTGCTAAAAAAATAACAGCTGGACATATTGGAACACCTGGTCTTGGGGTTTATTGTGCCGCGGAATGGGCATTAGACGGCTACTGTGACGTGAGCCTTACCTCTCTCTATTCTCCCCAAGACATTATATTAAAATCTACAACAGAGCCTTGCATACGAAGTGGCGCCATTCAATATCCGAATCACAATCCTCCAAAGCAGCGTTGAGATTGGGGTGCTATCTAATCTAATCACAAGCGTCCCACCGCTCAACGCCTACAATCCAGCGCAAAACCATGCACCCCTTTTCCGAAGAATTATGAACAGCGTGCTTTCCCAGCTTCCGGGTTCCAGCGGGTATGCCCGGTCAGCTCGTTTTCCACCCACTCCGCTGGCTCCGTTGTCTTCTCCGGGAAGCGTGAAGCAGGAGTTTGCAAACGAGAATAGCGAACCCCTCTCCGCGCCTTCAGGCGTATCACTATATCCGCCACTTGGCTCTGAGCACCTGGAAATCCTAATAGGAGAAACCATGTATGCGATTACTGCGATTGGAGGCCATGAAAACCCGCCTGCTAGACATATCGTTGGGGCAGAGTCGGTGGCATGTGTTAAGGAGAAACTGAAGACAGTCAGCGAAGAGCTGGAGGACTTCATCGAGTGCAGCTGTGCTGTGGATATTAATAGCACAGACAATCCGCCTAGGGTCACGAGTGACGAGGTAGTGGCCCAGTCCGAGACGTAAAGTACTTTGTAGATATATATTAATGTGACATCATGGCCTTAATGCTCATGTATATACAAGTGTAGACCCAAAAAGTGAAATCTTACAGCCGTTCGTATTCATTAATCAGTCCCTAAAGCTATGCCAAGGTTGTTCATTCACCTCGGAGATCACCTCGGCGAACATGCTCATTCAATTGACAAATCTATCTAGGATGATTGGTATCGTACAGGGAGAGATTCAAGGATCTAGGGCATATTTCAAATCGTATTCAGGCGCTGCTAATAGTGATGCTGTGGGAGATATTCCCCAAAATTCCACAAGTAGTATCCTGGCAGTCAGCGTGTATTAGACCCTGTACCTTGCCCTATCAATAGTAGGCTTAGGTACCTTCCCCATCATTATATTCTCAACGTTTTGATCGGAGATACCAGCTGTGACGGATATCCCAAAGGGTTCCCATATCCTGGTTGTTTCTAATGCAGCGGAAAACCATCCATGCATTTGCGATTCGGGCTGAACATTCTCGGCCATCAAGTTCATGAATCTTTCTAATCAAAAACATAGGTCCGGTGACACCGGAAAATATCACTGGTTCACCGCTATTGGGGCTTCCAAGAAAACCTTCCTCTTTACCCATCGGAGAAGGATTCATTTTGTTAAGAGTTTCGGATGGCTCTTTGGGCTTCATGTTGAGGGTACCAGGCGAGCCAGCACCGAGCTGACTTGATGTTTCTGGCCAATTGTTTGGTGTTTCTGTTTTCGTTTGAGCGTCAGAGTCTGTACCAGCTTCGGATTGTACAAATACTCGACCATGAGACTGATTCGTATCTGTTTGACCAGATACATCAGGAACTTGCAACTCAGTTTCGGTTGCTGCTGTTGCTGTTTCCGCTAGTATAGGGGCTTTAAGGCTAGGAATTTTTGGTACGAATATGCTAGATCGCCCAGGCTGTGTGCGATTTGGAGCATCTGGATTTCCGGCTTCTAGCTCCTTCACAGCTACTTCAGGCTCAGCAGGTGACGTACCTTTTCTAGAGGCAGAAGAGTGTACTTGTAGAGGGATTGGTGTATATGGAATATTAGCGGGGGGTGAAGGCCCTAACTCTTGTAAAGACCTGTGAAAATCCACATCATCTATTTCATCTATGATGTCCGGTGGGTCAGACACAATGCTGTGGTCATCACCATCATCCAGAAGTTGATCAATAAAAGACTGTTCAACAAAAGACTTCTGGTTAATGTAACTGAGCACTTTGGATGCTTGTGATTCAGTACTAGGAGGAACGTTGTCAGATGGGTGAACATCCATAGCTGTACTGAGGCTTGAAGGATCTTTGGGTATAGCGAGCTCAACAGTTGCTTTGTTTGTAATACAACTTTCATCTGCTGGTGGTTGATTAGATTCCGCTTCGAGGTTCTCTGTAAGGACATTCCGGCTGTTGCTCGCTATGTATTCCTGGGCAATACTTCGGTCCTCATCACAAACATGAGGCTTACTTGAATCAGCTCCTGGCATGCCTGTGTCTGGAATCACCTGGGAGCCGACTTTGCATTCAGTTTTGATCGTAGGCTCACACTCGGGACTAGATTTTGGCCTAGGTTCAGGCTCAACAGGACAATCTGGTATATGCTCTGGTGTGGGCAATGTCGCTGGCTGATTTTTAGACGATGAAGGTAGAAACACGCGCCTACCAGGAGGAATGGCAAACGTAAGTGTCTCTCCATCCAAACTCATGACCTGTACGATATAATTCCATCAGTAAATGAAACCTGTGGGGGAGTAAAAGCGATAGACGTACAGCAACCTCCTTCTCAACTAAAAATTTATCCGCCCCCTTCCCCTGGGAGCGAGAGTACTTCCAAATGTCTCCCACTTCAAACACGCCGTTTGTGACCAACGTTTTGAAGTCAACCGTGGCGCTTTCACCAGCTGGCGCATTGGTGTGGTAGCGCTGTTTCTGGCCCCAGAAGGCCTCAAAATCTCGTTCTTTTCGTGCATCAAATTTCCCCTCGGCCCTTTCTTTCATTGCTTTATGTGCCTGTTTCTGCCATTGAGGGTTATATTTTCCGTTTTGAAGATCAACTTGGAACTGACGGGTTGTATCACGCCAGACATTTGAGTAGCGCAGAAACTCTTCGGAGAGAGGCGGAATGATTCCATCTGGATTCTCAGCAGACGGCTCTGCATTTGGGTGTACGCTTTCGGGAAGTAAAGCAAGGATCTCTTTCTTCTCTCCTTCGTCTAGGCACGCCCATGCTTCGGGTTTGGCCAGCAGTTTCTAATATCAATCAATAAGTAAACAGTGTATTATCTAGATTGTGACTATCTAACCACCACGTACCGCTAGATCAACGTCGACAAGCGGCGATTTCTCGCTTGTCATCACTAGGTCTTCGTCGGCCCATGGATTCTTCTTGGTCCCTCTGCCGGACTTGCGTTTTGTGGAGGTCGTTTTGGCAGGCATCTTCCTCTCCATCTTCTCCTTTGAGGATTGAGCTGTCTTTTTAGTATAAGTCGCATCGTCCAGCGCACCCTGCTGCCCACACCTGGTGGTTCCCAGATCTTAGCATATTCTCACTGTCTAGGCAAAAGTGAACGGTAAAGGGAGCAAAAGAAACATCTTCGAAAGCAGCCCTTGCTGTGTGGTGAACGTTGACGTTGACGTTAAGAGTTGAAGTTGTACTTACGGGGAGCTCGTTCTGCCGCTCGACACCGCCTTGCGCTTCATCTTCTTTTCTTCCAACAAGTTGTCTAAGTAAATAAAAATAACAAAATCTGGCTTTAAGAAAACAGTCAACGGACAACAGCCAACGGCGGATTAAAGGATAATTTATAGCTGCAGGAGTGAAGAAGAAGAAGAGCCGATATGGTCATATCAACACAGATTTCCAGGCTAGATGGTGGGTCGTGTTCTGTGTCTGGATCGCCGAGGGTGTGTTGCAGCTAAGATGTTTGTCTCCTTCTAGGCCTTATGCTTGCGGCTTCGGTAGACAATGAACAGGTGCGTGTGTTGCTCCAGGATGTGGACACTCAAGGGAAAGTGAATACGCTAACAAGTTTCTGGTGCAGGCCGAGTCTGAGCTTTCGGATGTTAAGTCGCAAACCAAAGAGATAGTTGCGCGGTTGAACCGCAACTCGGAGCAGCAAGCTAGCATATCCTCGGGGCGCTACAGTCTACAGTATGGAGATGGATTCCTTAGGGAGATTTCGTGGAGTGAGGGGAGATCGATTGCGGATGCTAACTCGGCCACTCTAGTTACATCATTCAGGACGACATCTGCTTCCTCTGCATTGCGGAGCAGTCGTACCCCCGCAAACTCGCATTTTCATATCTCTCTGATATCGCAACAGAGTTTTTTAACACCTATTCTCCAACAAGATACCTTTCCTCCTCTTTACGACCATACGCCTTTGTCGAGTTCGACTCCTTTATCCAACGAACCAAGAAATCATATCAAGATAGCCGGGCATCCCAGAACATCGATAAATTGAACGATGAGCTCAAGGATGTCACCAAGGTGATGACGAAGAATATAGAAGATCTCTTGTACCGGGGCGACAGCCTGGAGCGCATGGGAGAGATGTCCGGGAGGCTGCGGGAGGACAGCAAGAAATACCGAAAGGCAGCTGTGCGAATAAACTGGGAATTGCTGATTAAACAGGTATGTCCTGTTTATCTGTTTGTCCGTCCGCGTTGTGGAAGTTGGATACTAATACAGTTCGACAGTATGGTCCGTTTGCGGGTGTTGGCTTTATCTTTATCGTTCTCATCTGGTGGCGGTTCTTCTAGTGCAGATATTAATGTCCATAATCATACACACCAAAATGCCTTCCAGACGACGACGCTATTGCCCTGAATGTTGTAGCCTTCGTGTAAGCCCTCACATCTTACATGTCTTATTAATGGGCAAACGGGAATTCGGAGGAGGGCTTTCACTTTTTCCTTGCCGGCAATTGCTGATTATGTTCAGATTTCGTCCTCTTCTTCGTCGAAATCGTCTTCTTCGCCCATGTCATAGAGGATACGCCCACCTTCTCCCGGTCCATCACCCTTCTGGGCGTCGAAATAAGGCAGCACCACGTTATCCCTGTCTCTCCGCTGTCTATCTGTTAAGCCAAGTTCAAAGGTTGACTCGGGCTCCCAGGGCTCCTCGTGCATGTCTGTGTCCTTCCGTTTATACAGAGGGTGGTCATCAAGCAGTATGGTCACTTCTGTGGCCTGTTTGGCGGGGTATTTAGATGCATGTGGTAGAAAGTACCACTCGACTATGCCGCGTCCGCTCTTTCGTCTATGTTCCATTTCCAGGACAATTCCGTCTTGTTTCTCCGCCTTTGATTGTTGGTTTACTCTTCCGATTAGAACACCATCAACTTCTTCCTCCAGCCCAAATGCCGGAGGCGGCAGACTCCTGTCCATAGCTGCCTTGCGAGCAAGCATCTGAGATATTGAGTGTGTGGTGATTATCGTGGTGGCTAAATATGTCAACAGGCAGAGTGGTGATGGCGCATATGGATTCGAGCTGGATGAAGACGGTATGTGACGGTGATAAACCAGAACAAGAGAGACTTGCATATGAGGCGACGGAGACCCCAACAGTGAGCTCAGGTATTCAGGCAGATAAACAGGGTCTGCACCAGCTCTGGGGGAAAGCAACGGGTGTACCGAATCGACTATCACGAGGCATCCTAGAGACTGTGTCTTAACAGCTTGAACAGACAAAATCTTCTCAAGCTACTTACTTTTAGGAGCGATGCTCTGGCTCCCTGCAGGCTGAGAGGCAGCATAAGACCCTACCACCTCCTCTGCGACCTGCTCATATGCCTTTCCAGTGGTGGTTATGAATGTATCGACCCCCGCAGGACGGGTCAACGTATCGAAGGAGACGAAGGTTACATGTCCTTTTGATAGCTGGTAAAACGAACAAAAAAGAACCTGTCAGACACACTACTCTAAATCACAGCTATAAGGGGTGTCAAGAGTGTTACTTTGGTCCGTCTAATGTATTCCTTCAACAGCGGTGCGGCTGATTGCTCCAGCGAGTCTTGAACAAGTGTTAACGGCGCAGCGCCCTCCCGGAGGTTAAGCAGCTTTGATATGAGGAGCAAGTTATGGGTACGACGGTGAGACACGTCGTTAGGAGCCATTTCAGCAAGCCTTCACTCCTCGGTATACGGAGTACTCTTGTAGTTCTATCTATCAAAGTCGTCGTCGTCTTTCTCTGTCTATCAAATTTCTTTCTTCTGCCCGCAAAAAAAAAGTAAAGAAAAAAAGAAAAAATATCGAAGCACTTTTGGCCTTTTCCGCCCGCCGTAGAAGTTTCTTGTTCATTTTCATTCCTGCAAACAAGCAAAGAAGCAGCAAGCAGACGTTTGAACCAGCGTTAAGCAGTGACTGAGACGAGACCCGGGCGATACCAGCAGCTATTCGACATAGCCTTGTCCCTCATTTAACCGTGATACCGTCGTATTCGTCGCTTTTCGCCCTCATGCCCGACACCATGGTAGAGCCACCAGCCAAACGCGCCAGACGAACGGACAGCTCTGCAATGTGGGATATGAATGATAATAGCACGCGGTCTGATGGTGAATCTAAGGAATCTAGTGGTACCTTGAGAAAACCAGCAACAGGCAGTGAGGAAGTCTCCAGGAACGGGTCCTCTAGAGGGGAACGGCGAGTGCGATCTCGATCTCGATCTCGGGACAGAGGAGAGAGACGGCGAGACAGAAGCTGGTCAAGGGATAGACGACCGCGAGATTACCCACGAGATACCCGGAGGGACTCTGACAGAGATGGTAGAGGTGTCAAAGGTCGGGAGAGGAGCTTAAGCAGGGAGAGATACAGCTCACGTCGTGGTATGTATATATACACATACACTGTTTTGCTCTTTGATATGTTTCATGGTCACAGGGAGCTAACACATCTTTGACTATATAGACTATACGTCCAGATCCAAAAGACACCGCGAGAGATCGTTCAGCCGGTCGCCGTCGAGATCACGCTCTCCTGCACGGAATGGCCGTAGAGCCCGCTCACGGTCACCCGCCCGGAGAGGCGGACTTGATCGCGCGGATACAAAACACAGCCGACACGGAGAACCCAGCAGAGAACCCAATGGCGTAGCTAGCTCTGCGCGACCGCCGACAAAGTCCGGCCGGCAAGACGAAATGGAGGTGGACATACCAGACGATCCAGACGACCTTGACCAAGTGATGATGAAAGCCATGGGATTCTCCTCCTTTAAGAGTACACAGAACACTAAGGTCCCGGGAAACAACGTCTCCGGTGTCCGAAAGGAGAAGAAGACACAGTACAGACAGTACATGAACCGTGTGGGAGGATTCAACAAACCGCTGAGTCCAACTCGATGATAGCACTTTTCTCTCCTTTCTTATTATGTCCACAACCTTCAACGGCATTCTGAGCGTTCTTCCTCTCTTTTCCTTCTAATTTTTTCTTCCCTCATCATCTATTCCTGTGCAATCAGGGCGAATTATGAGCTTGTTTGTTGCTAATCTTCATGGCCTTTCCTTGCCTTCATTCCTGGGATATGACCACCGTTTGTATAATTAGAGCCACTGCAGCATTGAGAAATATACCCGATTTTATTTCATGCGTTGTCTTTGCCGCTGTTGAAGCTGTTTAATAAATGCAGTTGTTGTGGTAGATTCTTCTTTTTCGTGGGGATTGAAGGTACTGTTTTATACGACGTCATAGGAAAAAAGACAAACTTCAACGACGGCACAGTGACATCTCATATCAACAGGCCCAGACACCGTTGAGGACGTTGTTACCATCTGATTGCCAGCATAGGACGTACCACTCTGCAGAGTATCCGAAAGAAACGAGCAAAAATGGCTGACACTGGCAGGGAGCGGGACATTGTTATTGTCGGTAGGTCGCAGCGCGCCCCTCATGATCATTGAACACCAGTCTAATGTCTTAATTACCAGGCGGTGGGATAATTGGATGCTGCTGCGCCTATTTCCTGACAAGACACCCTTCCTACGATCCTTCAAGACACAAAATAACAATTCTTGAGGCCTCAGAAATTGCTGGCGGGGCATCTGGCAAGGCTGGCGGCTTGTTAGCTCTATGGGCATATCCCAAGGTCATTGTCCCATTGAGCTACCAACTACACGCACAGCTGGCACAGGAACACGGCGGAGTGGACAGATGGGGCTATAGAGAAGTTGGATGCGGACAGCTTGTCGCTGATAGCCGGGCCAGAAACCAACCTGGCAAGCCAAAGTCTGATGAAGAGGCCGTGTCTCTGGGCAAGAGAAGCGACGATGCTATGGCCACGCTGAAGGCGGCTGGGTTTCCCGAAGACCTCGATTGGTTTGATCCTGTCGTGTTAAGGGCATATGAGGAGATGGGAGGCAAGGGGACCACCGCACAGGTGCATCCGTACCTATTCACGACGTCAATGGCAAAGCTGGCGGAAGAGAAGGGCGCGAAAGTGGTCCTGGGCACTGTCACCAACATCGACTACTCAGCCAGCCATATCAAGACCTTAGCCTACCAAAGCAAGGCCTCTGGGACTATGGAGACTATCATCGCTACAGACGTTATTATTTCAGCGGGCCCCTGGACATCAAGGATATTCCCACCAGCCCCCATCGAGGCCCTTCGAGCACATAGTGTTGTCCTGCGTCCAACACGTCCAGTCTCAGCCTACACACTATTCACCGAGATCACCCTGTCGGCCGGACAGTCCAAGTCTGGCAGACTATCTGCCACCAGCCCCGAAATCTACGCCCGGCCAGACAACACTGTATACGCATGCGGAGAAGGAGATACACTGGTGCCATTGCCTTCATCTACAGCTGACGTCGAGGTTGACCAGTCCCGATGCCAGGACATCATCAACGCAATTGGAAGCGTTTCCGATGAGCTACGAGATGGAGAAGTTATCATTCGACAAGCCTGCTATCTTCCTAATGTAGCTGGAACCGGCGATCGAGGGAGCCCCCTTATAGGCAAGACTGGGACAGAAGGTTTGTATCTAGCAACTGGTCATACCTGCTGGGGCATCCAGAATGCACCAGCAACAGGCAAGCTGATGAGCGAGTTTGTATTCGATGGAGACGCTAAGAGTTTGGATATCTCTTCCCTGGATCCTCGCAAGGTGTTATAGGAGAATTCTTTATATTACCCAGCCTCCAGCCTCCATCGGGCTTCTCTAGAGATGACTGATCTCTCTCCTACATTCTCTTTAAGACGGTTAACTAGCTATAGAATAGTATGGAATGACGTCACACCATGATCCCATAGCTATATCCACTAGTTAATCTCAAAGACAGCAGAAGGCTTTCTCATATATTCACCAACAATATAAACCGCTATACATGCAACAAGCACCTCTATCCATTACCGGGGGGGAATTATTTAAATTCAGTAATAAACAGATAACTGGTTGGTCAACCCTAACCTTCCAGCGGGCCGCATCTCATCAAACGGACCATCGTATCTCCGGCGGTTGCAGCTATGTTTCTAAGGTCAACTATAATCGGGACACGTCAGGACATCAACAACTCCACGCGGATGGAAAGGCAGGGCCGGACCCATTGATACCTAAGCTCGAACAGCTTATGACATAGTGGTGGAGAATGAAGCCAGGGCGAGCGAGCAAAATGGCTACACTGTCCTCTTTTCTTTGGGTATGTATCCTCGCCGTGCTGGCACCTGTTGCAGCGAAGGATACAGCTGCCCTAGCCGTGGATACGGCATTGAACCAGACTTTGCTATGGGGCCCCTATCGTCCTAATTTATATTTCGGAGTGCGGCCACGGATTCCAAAGAGCTTGCTTATGGGGTTGTTGTGGGCAAAAGTTGACGATTACCAGACCGCTCAGGATAGTACGTAAACACAGTCGCTGTTCGGTCCAATTACAACCTACGATAAGATATAGTTTTTGGATAATAGCTAACCTGATACCGTAGACTTCAGGCATACCTGTGAGCAGAATGAGGGAATGGAGGGCTATGGTTGGGAGGAATATGACATTCGAAACGGCGGCAGACAGACCGTTCACGATTCCCGTAATACAATTGACCTTACGATAGACTTCGTAAAGGTCCCAGGAGGGACTCACGGCGGTAGCTGGGGCGCTCGCATTAAGGGAGTGCCTCGTCCTGATGCACCTCCTGACCAGCCTACGACTTTGATATTCTATACTGCATTGGAAGGACTAGGGAAGCTAAAACTGCACAACGAGCCCGATGAGCTTGGATACGAGGGGGATGTCAGACTCGGTGGAAGCACACCGAGCCTGGGTGACTTTACCATTGACATTACCCGCGGTCCGGATACCAATGCCTACCCTCCGCGGATGCATCCAAGCTACGATGAGAGGCCTTTGGACAGAACAATCGTTTCAAGCATGAATGTACCGCCAGAGGCACTTTGGCAAGGAAAGAGTATGAAACCATCCTTTTTTTCCTTTACTCTGACCGACCTTGACGCGCTGCTAAAATCGTCAATGCTACTATAGCTATACTTTTCACACAGATGAAACAATCTATTGAGGCTGCCATAAAGAAGTTTGGAGAAGGGAATATACCTCCTCCTCCGGCGTTACTCACCCTGGCAAATGCTCCGGGAGGAGGTAACATTCATTATATCCAGAAAGTCTTTCGCGGGTCTTTTGAGGCAAGTGCTCATTTATCCCAACCATCAAGCTATTAATCACTAATCTTCAGTTAGTTTGACATCATATTCTCATCGGCGACTGCTGAAAAGCCACTGACGTGTATGTATATAATAATTCTGTGGGTGATTACTGTTGTTAACTTTTATACCCAGCACCCACGATCACAAAACGGATTAAAGACATATCAGCTTCCTTTTCCCAAAAGTATGAGAAGACATTTAAGCCTCTCGCTCCGTTTAACAATCCAGAGTACTTGCGGTTCTCAAAGGAAATGCTCTCCAATCTGGTAGGCGGCATTGGCTACTTTTACGGAGATTCAATTGTCGACCGCAGTTATGCTCCAGAGTACGACGAAGAAAATGAAGGATTCTGGGAGGAAGCCGCTGAAGCTCGATCCCGCGCAAAGCTCATTCCCACGAATCCATCTGAATTATTTACTTCAGTTCCGTCCCGGCCGTTTTTCCCAAGGGGATTCTTGTGGGATGAGGGCTTCCACCTGCTGCCAATCATGGAATGGGACCTTGACTTGACGTATGCCTATCTACCCCACTCCGTCTACCAGATAAAAAACTGACAGTTACAGACTTCAAATTGTTAAGAGCTGGCTCAACCTCATGGATGAAGATGGATGGATTGCGAGAGAACAGATCCTAGGACCTGAAGCAAGAAGCAAAGTCCCAAGCGAGTTTCAAACCCAGTACCCTCACTATGCCAACCCACCAACGTTGTTCCTTGTTCTCAGGGAATTTATGAACAAGGCTGCATTGGCAAAATCTTCTGACCCCCAGAGTCCTAACAACTCCGCGTATTCTGACAATAAAGAGCTCGGTATAACATTCCTTCGCTCAATATATCCTCTGCTCTGTCGTCAATACTTCTGGTTTAGGAAAACGCAACGGGGTGATCTCAAATCCTACGAGAGAGATTCTTTCTCAAGCAAAGAAGGATATCGATGGCGAGGACGTACGGTTGAACACATTCTCACTTCTGGCCTAGATGACTATCCTCGAGCTCAACCACCCCACCCTGGAGAGCTTCACGTTGATCTAATAAGCTGGATGGGCATGATGACCCGTTCTTTGCGAGATATTGCCGAAGCATTAGGTGAGACAGCTGACGTCGAAGAATTCACGAAATACGAAACAGCTATCCTTAGGAATATTGATGATCTCCATTGGAATAAGGACGCAAAAACTTATTGTGATTCCACAATCGATGATTATGAAGAAAGTATCCATGTGTGCCATAAGGGCTATATTTCTATTTTCCCTTTTATGGCTGGTCTTTTGGATGCCAACCACCCGAGACTGGGGGATATTTTAAATCTTATCCAGGATTCAGAAGAACTATGGAGTGACTATGGCATCCGAAGTCTTAGCAAAAGAGACGAATTTTTCGGGACTGGCGAGAATTACTGGAAAGGGCCTATTTGGATCAATATGAACTATCTAGTTCTCAAGAATCTTCTGGTATGTCTTTATATTAGCTGACTGTCAGAGACATATGTCTAACTAAGGTGTTTTCCACAGAGTATCGCTCAGGTTCAGGGGCCCTACCAGGAACAAGCATCAGAGATGTACACGAAGCTACGCAAGAACGTGGTCGATAATGTTTTCAAGGAGTGGAAGAACACTGGCTTTGCTTGGGAGCAGTATAACCCTGATACCGGCAAGGGCCAGCGAACACAACACTTCACTGGTTGGACCAGTCTGGTGGTAAAGATGATGACTATGCCTGACTTAAGCACCCAATTCAGCACCAAAGATGAATTGTGAATATATAGAACTTAGAGATGACTATGCGTTTATACAAAATGATGTGTGACCAATCCTAGAGGCTATGCAAATGAGAAAATGAAACCTCCACCCAAAACGCCAAAAAGCCTGTCGTTATATTTGAGCTGTGTTATCCTCATCTGTCGTAACGGTCATGTCTCTTATCGTCTCTATAATATCGAGAGGTATGGGGTGATCGGCTCCGTCTGTGATGGCTTCGACGATTTCGTGGTTCCCGATCCCTACTGCGTGAACGTGAAGCTGACCGCCGTCTTCGAACACCCTCTCGGGACCGAGAACGCGAACGATGTTTTCTCCTTGCATGTCGATCTGAGCGATAGTCTTCTCTCCGGCTTCTATGATCCCTCGCACGATCCCGATCATTTCTTCTGCCGTGCTCCTTTCTTCTGTCCGAGTGGCGGTCGCTGCGGGGCCGGCTGTCGGCGTTGGTCCTCGTACTTTGGCTATAGTTGTTAGAAACATCTCCTATTGGCTCTAGCTTCTCGACTCCTTCTCCAGCTGGCGTCTTTCCGGTGTAGCCACCGAATCCGACTCCCTTGACACGATCAACGCCCTCGTGATCATCGGCCCCTTGTAGGATTGCTCGCTCGACCTCCTTGCCTCCTAGCGGTTCCATATTCGCGTTCGAGCTTTTTGACGGCACTGACACTGGTAGACCGAGTGCTCGAGCTATGGCTTCTTGTTCTGCCTCTTTGATCTTCCGGATTTCTTCTTCCCGAGCTCTCTTTGCCGCATCAGGGTCTTCACCTTTGGCATACCATGAGAGATCACGGCCTTGCTGCCACCGACCAACCGGGGCCATCAAGGAATGGCCAAGGTAGTTTTCCCGGCGGCTCGAGTCCTTGACATCTGACCATTTGAACTCTGTCTGGCCTCCCCTGCGAAGCGATATCAATTAACTAGTTAGCTACTGGAACCCACGGGTTGGATGCCCTCAAGCTTCGCAACTCACCTGCTCCCTTCCTTCCGAATAGTGGACACAAGATCCATTGCTGGTTAACTGCCCGGAGCAACAATTGCAGACCTCTGGCTCTCTATCTCTTTCTCGTTCCTTTTCGACCGCGTCTTCTGCTGTCCTCGTCTTTCGTTCGACTTTTGCCTGCAGCTTGTCCTTGATATCATCAAGAAAGTCGAACGTCGAAACTCGAAACTTTCGCCGAAAATAGTAAAATCAATCACGTGACAAACGGTTTATGCACTGATCAATAGAGAGCCCGTGCATTATGATCCCCCGGGGAAATAAAGTGAGCACGTGATAAACACGTAACTTTCTTACTTTTCCAAAAACGAAAAAGCGTTTGACGTAAAGCCGGAAAACAACTTACAGCCTCACCACCGGCTTTGTCTCGACGACAGGTCAACTTCTCGGCGGTGCGGGCTGACGCTGTTGTGCTGGTGAGCTGTGAACGAACCTGCTACTGCGATGCACGCCGGAGGGTGAGAGCGCTGCTATTCTTGTCTGCAACTTGACCCTGGTTCTTGTTTTGGTTCTTCCCAGAAACTACAAAAAACCCCACCATATTTGTTCGCCTCCACCGAGAATGGTTGCTTCGTCTCTGAGACAGCGCCAGATCTCACGCATATTTACTTATCTCAGCGCTTCAGCAGGCTCGAGCTTCACACAACAGTGCCGATGATTTAATTTTGATATACCCAAATGCATGGCCTGACTGTACAACATGGATCAGAATTCTCCGAGCGATAGTGGTGCAGGCAACCCAGTCTGGGTAGAAGTTGTTGATGAACATGCCGACCATGGGATCACCGTGGAGCCACACGGTGTTGAACGGGGAGATACGCGCGTATGCTTTGAAAATGTCCCTCCTTTTATGCTGTAAGACGATATCGCTAACTCAAGCCTGCAGTTTCCGTATGTTACTCCCCTCTATCGCTCCAGGAATCCCTAGCCTTTCCCCACCCCCCGACGACTGACTGAGTTTTTATATCAGACGGACTGGCCCTTCACCCCCTATTGCGACATGGCGGAACAATCTAGTGAGTCCCGACACCTTTGGGATTATTCGGTGTACATCCAATTAACTATGTGGCACCTTCTCTTGTAGACTGCCCTCTCTCAGAGACAGAATCTTTATTTTGTTGCTTACTCTAGTCGAATATACGTGTTTCAGCCAAGTTGCGGACAAATTATTGGATCACGACCGGTCCTTATCTTGAACCCAAAAATGGCAAGGCCTGATGCTCCGGGCTACATTGCACCTAACAACCCTCATGCTATCAACCAGATAACTGTTGGGGACCTTGGCTCTGATGAAATTTTACTCCTGGCTACCGACTCTGGAAATATAGCCGCTTATAGAACTGAACGCATCTTCCAGTGTATTGAAAACCGCAGGGCTGGAGATATTGACCCAGTCCAGGTAGGCAATGGAGTAGAATGCTTTTTCAGTGAGTGGGTTACACAAAGTGCCTGGGCTTTGGCAATTCATAAATTTGCGAGGATGATAGCTGTGAGCTCAAATACCACAACCATAAGCATTTTTGCTTTTGCCCTGGTGGATAACACAGACATTTCCCATTCAACCCGGGAGGGCTCGTCTTCCTCCAGCGCAACGCACCCAAAGGTTCATAATAATGACTGGGTTCATATTACCCAACCTTCAGAATTCTTAAAGCTACGAAGCTGGTCACGACAACGCCGACGTTCTCAGAACATACGGCTCTCATTGTCAGGGCATTCTACAAATATACCCAATGTCTCGTTCCTGAATTGTGACCTAGACCCACACGGAGACTGGCTAGTTAGCACGGATATCAACAACAAACTTCTCGTATGGAAGATTTGGGAACGCTTTCGCCCTGTTAATTATTGGGACTTTTACGCAGGTGATGATGACCAACAGTATGATGACCTATTTGACGAGTAAGTTAATCATTAGTGAGGGTCCGCATCGAAATTGTCTAATATTTATGAGAATTGGTAGCCGACAGCGAGGCTGGAATGTTCTGGCCGTAGATCCAAGATCTTTTCGCATGAAAGAGGACCTTTTTGAAGCTTGCGGTGGCCCTCCACATAAGTACCCAGACAAGGATGCCCCTTACGACCTGAGCTTTTTAGCCAGCAAAGTCCATGACGCTACTCAGTACTATAATGTCCTCTCCTCACCAACTCCCGTCAATCCTCGTCGGAATCAAGGACCCCCACCCGATGAACTCTTCCCGCTTACTCACTCTGATGGTTCAGACGAAGATGATGAAGATCGCATTGAGCGTTACGATCCCGTTCCTCATATAAAGACGCCTCCGGCTAAAACGGAAAGGCCCAGTGATCGCCCTACTTCTACAACCGGACCACAAGGAAGTCCGCAAAATATCCCCCCCGTAGCTGTCCATAACTATTCCAATATCCTTATTCACGCTATATCCAATGGCCCTGTTCTGAATGAGTCTGATGAAGAGAGTGACGAGGCCTTTGATGAGGACGAGGAAGACGAGGAGGATGAGGAAGAGGAGGAAGAGGAGGAAGAGGAGGAAGAGGAGGAAGAGGAGGAAGAGGAGGAAGAGGAGGAAGAGGAGGAAGAGGAGGAAGATGAGGGAGAGGAGGGAGAGGAGGATGACGAGGAAGTTGCCCCGGCTCTTGGTACCAGCAACAGCCATGTCACTGTGAGCGATGCGGATATTGATATGGACCATGATGCAGATGGAGACAATAGTGCTGATAACTCACCCGATGGGGATTTGTCTGAACTGAGTAACCTAGATGAATTGGATGAGCACTCCGACTCCCGCATGAATGAAGCTGCGAACCCCGAATCTAATACGGCAGCCAAGACAAACGGTAGGGGAGGATCTCTCAGAGCTGACCGTCCAACTTCCAATGTCTTCTATGACTTCCAAATTCTCCATTTCTCTGAGTCTCATATTCGAATGCTTCCTGGTCCCTTTTCTAATGGGCCTTCCGTCATTTTCCGAGCTGCTCTGTCACAAGTTGTAACCAATCCTGTACAGTTCATCGAAGCTACGGATCGGTTCAACATGGCTCTTCAAATACCTGAGCTGGGTGTTGTTATTGCGGCCTCTCAGAAAGGCAGAGTTGCAGTGCTTGGTCTTACCGAGGTCCCCAATAAAGGAAAGGTATTCAGAATGGACCGTATACTACCACTTGCAAGTCAAGAACGCAACCGCCTTCGTCCACTTTGCCCACTACTTGGAATTGCTGCTAGCCCGGTTGTACCACATTTAATACCCCCAGAATCTCCTTCAGATGACTATGGAGATACATATTCCGGATTGAATGATGCCGATGGCCAGGAAGTCCACAGTACTCTGCCGTATTCCGCTGGGAGTGAATACCTTAAACCAGGCTTGTCTGGGAAATTCCCATCTCAATTACCGCTTGGTGGAGCGAAGAAAGAAAAGTGGCATGGCATTGAATACTCCCGTCGCTATCGTCTCTTCTTAACATATTGTGATCACACAATCCTGCATTATGAGCTCTACTATGACTGGCCGAAAGAGCTTAGGGGACCAGAAGCGCAGATGGCATACGATAAGAATGAGCCATTTATTCTCAGGCCCTAGGTTGTTTATCAACAATGGAATTTGCTAACGGAAACAATAATTAAACCAGCTGGGTTTTAACACAGCATTCTTGTTCACGGTGAGATATGTGCGATTAACGAGAATGGTTAGTTGACAGCACATATGAATATACCATTTGGAAGTTGAGATGGCTTTCTTTTCTCTCTTTTCTTTTCTTTTCTTTCTTTCCTTCTTTTCTTTTCCTGATTCGTTGAATGGAGCCAGCGAGCGAATGTGAAATACTATTATTACTATAGATTGCTGACATCACTGTCTTAAAATATTCATCCCTGAGATTAGGTACAAGTTAAGTTAGAGCAAATTGCTATATCTTTACATACCAAAGCCAGGCGAATCCTCTTCGCAGTGGTTGTTACGGTGAATTAAGTTCTATGATGAAAAAAGACCTCGTGCAAATAAAACATCAGTAGCCATAAACTCATACGCTGCTTAGAGGCGACCTGTACTAGGTGCATATCATATTACCAAGCTTCCATCTGAATGGCTTTCTCTAATTCAGGGCCTCCTCCAATATGAGGTACGAATTCCCCATCGTCATCAGCACCATTAGTTAGCTCTTCTCCAAACCATCCCCATCCAATTTTCTCCAGTTCTCGTGTGAAAAAATCTCGCTCCTCCTCTACCAATGGCTTCCCAGTCTCGGTGGACAAGACATCCTTGTACTGCCTAACATGCCACCAGTGGGTTAATCCTCTTAGCGCTTGCTCCATTGGTAGCGACTCCTCAACTTCAGCATCGACGTCACCGCCGGCAAGCCAATCATCCCGCAGCTCAGGGCGACAGTATAGGTAGATCGCTGTAATAACCCTCATGTGGCTTAAACGCCATTTTCGGCCGCAGTAAGGTACTTGTGACTTGAACAATTTGAGGGTGTATAGACGAAGGTGGGGATCGGGGATCTTAAGACCCTTCCGTAGCACAGCGCTACATTTATATTGCACAAGGAGTAAACACCGGTGGGCTTTGTCGCGGGTAATCTTGTGCATGATATGCAGGAAGTTGATGGCAGAGAAAAAGTTTCGAAAGGAGTAAGTAGCAATAGGCCCAGGCTCAATCGGCGCCGTTGGGAACCCTAGTTCGTCGACTTCAAGGAGCCTAGAATTCTCTTTGCTCTGTTCAGTTGCAGCTGATTTTGCGGATGCTTCTTCGAGCATGGATATTCTAGAACGGCTCTGCCGAAGTATCGGAGGCGGAGCTGCCTCATCTTCGCTGCTGTCATCCGCAATTTCAGTAGGCTCAAGTGGGGGGATTGGTTCGGGCGGCTGGTCGGAATGAACATGACAGAAGTGAAAGAAGCTGCAACTTGCATTAGCAGACATGGTTTTACAGAGAGCTGAAATAACATTAGGCCTTTACCTTGATATTAATGGGTCCTGGGGCTGGGCGACGGCATGATCAACTTCCTGGTGGATAAACATTTTTAATATTAAAGGAATATAGTTTGAGTCGAGAAGTATTTGCGACAAATACTCGAATTTTAGAATATCTAGCCAACTGTTAGAAATAGATACGTGTTTGACAACTTTTGTGTACATACGGCATCGTTTGAACCACTTTAAAAGTAGGACCAGTGCTCCAGATATAGCTTCAAATCTGATCTCTCGTGACCTAGCTTCTTGCAGCTGTTTTGTAGATAGGAATGGCTCTAGAACGCGGTTCTTGTTTGATATTTGTTTTTGACCATTCAATGCATTCCTGATAAAGTGTGGTCAGTACGCAATAGTGCGTGATTGAAAAGAATACATACTCTGCTCTGCCCTCAAGATCATCGTTGCCGTTTGCTTTACTCGCAATAGCAGTGATACTCGTTAGAAGTTCTTTAAGTACCACAATCACAAAAGATTGAAGATTTGGGAGTGCGTGGGCCTGGACAATGTTAGGCTAGCAATTCAGGAGTTGTTGTGCGAGTACACGTACGTAAAATTTCTCGACTTCATCTAAGCGTCGTTGAACATCTTCATCTTCAGTTTGTCGTCGAGGTTTCAATTCTTGCTCGGCTTGTGATTCCGATGCAGTGTCATCGGATGGTCCTCGGTAACCACCGTTTGGTGCTCTTTCATCCCAACCACGATCGTACTTCATGAATGCTTCTCGCTCTTCCCATAATTGTTCCAATGCACGCGTCATCCTCATGCGGCTGGAGAATAACTCGCCGGCCTCAATGATGGACGCAGGAACATCACTGCCTTCCCACCTCCTACCAACAAGGCTGTCCTGAAGGTCGCTAGATCCTTTGCCTCCGATATTATTACTCGACCCGTCCAGCGGAGGGTACATAAATGGGAAATGTTGATTTGTTTGGTAATTCTGCTTCTTGCCTACCTTTCCCGGCCCCCCAGGGGATGGCGGTGGGGAGGGGGCGGGCGTGGCAATGTGCACGGATTGATGGAGGATAGAGTCATTGTTACTCGCTAGAGTAGATCCGACTCCAGAAAAGAGAACGGAGGAAGAATTGCGGCTTGAAGATGTGGGAAGAGGAGGAAGAACCGAATTGTGCTCCAGCTCAAATGGGACTAGCGGTGGTGGCGGATTATAGGCAGGGTATTTAGATATGATTTCTTGTCTGAATAAGTGATAATCCAGTGGAGAGGCAGTAAGAGTTGGGATATTTGACGATTCATTTTGTCCAGAACCGGTTGGTACGTGTACAGGCTCCAAGACAGTTTTTGCTCTTTTCAATGGCTCGATGCCACCGAATAGGAGAAGAATTGATTTCCAGAAGAGAAGAAGGATCTATCAAAGGCCGTTAAAACATAGTTGATAATGTGATGAAGGGGTATGACTTACTCTCGTTAATGGAAAGATGGACGGATCATCCCACCGAAGTCGTGCAACAATTTCGGCAAGCGTTGCGGGTAAATTGGGGGTTAGCGCCGCTATATTGAACAAAGTTAGTAAGATTGACTCAATACGACCAAGCATGTAAAATTAGGGAATTTGTCACCTACCAAATGCATCTCTCAACTCTAGACTAGAGTATTCTAGCTTTTCTTCCCTTCGTGCCACCTCAACAACAATGTAAAGGCAGGTGAGTATTAGATTAATCTCCCTATCCCTTGTAGCAACGTAGGCTGTCGTGCCATTTTCATTTGTAAAGGCTTTCATATCCTCCTGTACCAATGCTCTGGCAACGCACAAATGTCAGAAACTCAAACTGAAATCCCAAAAAAAGGTATGATGATCTACTCACTGATCCTTGTTAAAAAACCGTTGTAGATAGGCAAATAAAGCTTCAATACCTTGGCATTCTAAAAATGTATGGGCATTTTTAATCATCCATTGAATTTGCATAGATCGTTCCTTAGGAGTCTCGGCAGCGTCGTGATCGGTAATATCAGAAGGGTAATCCCCAGCTACCTTTCCAGCCGTAGAAACCCAGGCACCCGTTAATGTGTAGGCAATACTCTCCAGGGCTTCGATCCTCGAAAAAATATCGGTGCTGGTAAACAGTCCTATCATTCTTTCTATGAACGCCTCCTTATCTTCGTCACTAGCACTCAACCAAGATGGTTCAGTTTCGGGAGACTCAGGCAAAGTGTGACGGAAGGATGACCACGTCTGCTCAAAGGTAGTTTTGCAGCCCAGGAGCATAAGTTTGTCAGGCTCACTGTCACTAAACCATTCATTGATTTCCTCTGGGAATGGCTGGCAGTCGTCATATTTGAAGGCATAGGATGGTAGATCAGATTTTGGAAGATCTTGGACAATTTTACGCAGTTGAGCAAGGCTCACTGAGTCCGTTTGGGTTTCAGGGTTCTGTACTGGGGCAGGCGGTGGTGGTTGCAATGGTGGTGGCGGTGCTACACGATCACGCCGTAATTCAGGTCGAGCCGGAGGTTGAGATAGTCTCTGGAGTACTGATGCATCGCCAAGTCCCCCCGCTTCATCGATTTTTGCTTCACTTTCTTCAGAGATCTTTATATTTGAGACAGCATCATCTGTAGCCACCTGTTCTTCAGGGGAAGTGGATATATCAACTTCAATATTATCGACTTCGTCTGCGCGCATAATTGGCTCTTCCACAGATCCTTCCTGCTCGGTATTTTCTTGAGGTTCCATTTTGTGAACAATTAGATGGTATGATCAGGGCTGATTGAAAGGTCACTGAGACCCAATTTCCCCTACTTTGTTAGCTGATTATCATGAAGCCGTATCGCAATCAGGTGCTCATTAATCAGTTAAGCAGGGCACAGAGGCGTATCCACACTGCGTAAGCTGTATCGCTCAGTTACACACGGCTCAGCTATCCCCTATTGCAAACGTATTATCTGATATTTCAGATATGGAAGCTTCATGTCGCGGTCGAAGGTTTGATATTGGGCGTCGTTAAAACGACGATGACTAATTTCGGAAAAAAGAAATAGCGAAACCTTAAACGTTTATTTTGAAGACGCGAAAATTTTACTTTTCATTTATAGATCGAGCAAACTAATAAAATAACCAAACAGCTACATGGAAGGCATCAATTGAATAAACAATCCGCTCGCTAGATGCAGGTTTAATGGTGTTACTTTGGGTAAGGGAGATTTTTTTCCTTCCTATTTTGCTCTTTTATGTTAGAATGGGAAAATCAAGCACCCTACCACGAAGGATTGATCTCACCTGATTACTCCGTATTTGGAGGCTGGAAGAGCATTCAGTCGCTCAAAATATTTAATATTCCGCAAAGTAAGGGTATATGCAAAAGAAAAACACAAAAATACACGGTATGGGCGTCCTTGATACCGATCCTAGGCCATATGCGTACTGGACGGTGTGAGATGGTTGTCATGCTTATGTTCATGACGTCCTACCAAGAACGGCCAACACATCCGATTTGGATTAATTTGAAAGGGTGGTGGATAAACCGTGCGCAGATATAATTTTCTGCAAAATATGTCATTAAAATCCACCAGTGGTCATAAATATAACCATCTGGCTGCAGGGAGGTGAGTATCAACGTCAAAAATCATCGTCCATTTCATCACTGTCCCATTCATCTTCCTGATCATGCTGAACGAGGTATAAAAACCGTTGCAGTCCTCGCAGCTGCTCGGGAGGCACCTGATCATTGTTTTCAGCTCCATTTTGGTTATTATTGTTATTAGCACCCCGTCGTGGCTGTGCACGGCGTCGATTTGCATCACCGCCGCGCAACCCCAGTCTTGCTAGGCCGATTTCTTCTGCGAGTGGTGGCAGCCGACGATTTCGGGGTCCGGCTCTTGGAGGAACCGGTGCAGGTGGTGGTACAGCTAGTGGGTGTCCGGTATCGTCTTCATCATCACTCATCTCAATCTCTCCATTGACAATGTCTGGGTCTTCGATGTGGAGGGGAGCCCCCACTCCGTCGCCGCCTTCCAGCTCCCACAGTCTCATATAACAAGATGTCTTTTCAGTGTTGAAATGCGCGTACGGATTATTCGCAAAAAGCCAGCTGGAGCACAGATAGCAGAAATGAGTGTTGCACTGGAAGCATATCATATGATTGCAACCCATCGACTTTTGACATCGTGCAGCACAAGTGGGACATCTCGAGGTATATATGTCGAGATAATCCTCGGATGCCTTTTCCTCCGCAGATAGCTCTATCTCTCTTCGAGGGAAGCATATACTCGTCGGGCCATGCCAACCTTTTTTGCAAACGCTGCAAAATGCATAGGAGCAATCCTCACAGACAGCCAACCGCTCCGGCATTGGTGGTAATTGCTCCTGTGCGCCTAGTGGGTCAAATGGGGCACGATTATCCTCTTCCTCGTCAGAGGTTTCCTCATCGTTAATCAGGTCTACCGGTTTTGGATGCTTCTTTGAACGGGCAGCACCCTGACACCACTGACGGGGACAATAAATCGTCGTCTTATCTGACTCGAGTTTCTTCTTCCTCTTAAGCCGCGCATAACGTTGCACGGTTTCGATCGGAAGGGGTATTTGTATCAGCTCTCCAGGACGAAGAGTCAGGTCATGCTTTTTCCGTGGACCTGGCTGGTTACCATCAGCTTTCTCCTTTCCACACCCAGGAGAAAGACATTTCACATTGTCAACATCGCCATCCTTGATACATGAGTTATAAAAGTCCTGCAAACATTGGACACAAAACACATGAAGGCACCGCTGTATCCTATGGCACACCTTACCCTTCTTTGGTTCAAGACACACTCCACATTCAAAGGTCTCTTGTTCAAACTCTTCCTTCCGAGCTTTATTTTCGAAATCGAGCAAGCTTATCTTCAAACTCTGCGGGAAGACCACCACATCCTTTGACTCATTGCCTATACCCAAGCCTTCCTCTGCCGCAACTTGGAGGTGATCGATGTATGAGAACACGACCAAATTATTTCCGGATTCCTCCCATAGTCTTGTTCCATCTTCGATTAATTTGTTGATATTTGAGATAGGGAGCCAGTTATGGTCTGTTGATATTGAAAATACCGGCGGTTTCTCGGCCGGATAGCCTTCCGGAAGTTCGATCCCCAAGTTAAGATGAGGCAGATGCGTGAGGTTGTAGACTTCGTTATCCACGGCCTCCTCAGCTTCTTGTGCCCCATTTATACCATTTTCTCCCATTTCGGCATCGCTAGGTTCGGCCGACGGAGGAGGTGATGGCAGACAGGGGGTGCTGGTCTCGGTGCTGGGCTTTCGGAAGATGGCCTTTATAGGGTTCACTGGTAATATTGGAAGAGTAAGGGATGCTTTAAACGGCGTAGAAGAGTCCACAACGATCTCGGGGTAAATAGCCGCTATGGAGTGAAGCTCCTGGCTTCTCTCGTCATCGGTATCCTCATCCATTGGTCCGACTTGATGAACTTGATGTTCGAGTGGTTAGTTATACTGGATGGGTCAGAATGTAAGTAGAATAACCACAGTATCGGGTCGTATAACCCGGACTGACTCTCCGGCTGCAGCTGAGATATACTGAATAATGCCCGATAAGAGCCTCAAAAGGACCTCGAGCCTTAATTTTTTTTGTGCCCCTCCGAAACTGGTGGGCTGAGGTGACGAATCTCTGCTCAAATATGGCCGTAAAACGGTACGAAGCGAGTGCTTTCGTATCTGCTGCGAGGCAAGGAGAAAATGACTGAAAGAAAAGGGACTTCTTCACTGCTCTTTTCTCAGCGACGGCTTGTCTGTTTAATACTTTTTGGTCACTGGCTGGACTGCTAAACTATTTTGGCTCACCGAGGACCTTCTGTCATGTCCTTATCGATAAGCAGAAGCCAAAAACCCTGAACTTAAGCCGCGGCATCCTCTTCTTTCACTCCGCCTGCTTCACTGCCTGGAACTGGGGATAACTACCAGAAGTGCATTACAGGCGAACGCACCAGCAGCTTATCTGCCTGTTATATAGGTAGCTAGAGGTACATATGACCTTCTCATTATGAGACTTTTACCTGATTAGCTTGTTTTATTCAGCATCTTGTTTCTGTCTGGTTTTACAGCCTGTTACCTCCTCCAGCTTTATGGTCACTCAGGGAATATCCTGACCTGACAATGGTTGAAGACTATATCCCTGTGGCATCTCTGTCACTGACACACGTCAACTATGTAAGTGAATCACTGTCTGATCTTAAGAATTCAAGGTTTATACTGATTCCTGTGGGTAGAACCCGGAAGACCCTCTCTCCTACCTCTGCGCCTTTCTTGCACTTGTTCCGCAGGCCCTAATAATCTCATATGTATCACTATGCTGGGCCACACGGGAAGCAGAAATCATCTTTATGCTTGCTGGCCAGCTATCATGTGAAGTTCTGAATTTTGGATTGAAGAGGGTGATTAAACAAGAGAGACCGAACCGTATGGCTGCCCTCCTCAAGTCACATACGGCTGGAGTTAATACGAATGCCATACTAATTAATTTGAGTTAGAAATGAATGGAAAGGGATATGGGATGCCATCATCTCATTCTCAATTTATGGGATATTTCGCCATATTCTTCACCCTCTTCTTGCTTGTCCGACACACCCCTTCCTCGTCAATTCGGTCTGGCTACATTAGCATGGTGGAACGTGTTGGCCTATCCGCGCTGGCCTGTGCGGGTGCTCTGGCCGTTGCTCTGAGTCGTATATATCTAAACTATCATACTCTAGAACAAGTGATGGCTGGAACTGCCATCGGAGTGGTTTATGGATTTACCTGGTTTGGAATCGGAAGCTTTTTGCGGAAAAGCGGCTGGCTAGGATGGGGCTTAGGTCTGCCGCCGGTTAGATACCTGAGAATTCGGGACCTTCTCCCCCATGAAGACCTAGCCGAGAGTGGCTGGCAGCGCTGGGAAAACATGCAACAGGAATCCAAAACTAGAGACAAAAAAGAGTCTACTAGGAACTCAGCAAAACAGCGTAGCAAAACATCTCACATAGAATGACAGCATTGCCCGGTCAATAGATTAGAATTAAATATTTTTTAAATGTGAATATATATGTTCCCCAGGTTTAGGAACCTAAAGCCATGTACCAACTACGCTTTAATAGCGATATGACAAGCGCCTACAAGGTCCGCCTCTTTATTAAGAGCATCGATCTCCGCCTGAACGTAAGGAATACCGTCTCTCGCCCTTTCTTGCGAGGTAATAATCTCAATCTCGCCAGGGTAGTAGATCCTATCCACGCCCTGCATCTTCTCGCAGCTAACAACCCGCTTGTAGAGGTAGTCCATTCTGTCTTTGAATTCATCGAGACTTAAAAACAAGTCAGGCTTCAGCGCCATGATGAAATGTCCCACACCAGCTGGTTTTGACGGATCATATGGACCAGTGACGTGTCCGGCAAACGAAGAGCCTGAGAGTACGCCGGAGAAGACATCCATCATGATAGAGAGGGCAGAGCCCTTGGGGCCTCCCATAGGCAACATCACTCCCTGAAGAGCAGCGGCAGGATCGGTAGTATGCGAGCCGTTTGCATCCAGGGCCCAGCCTTCTGGAATAGTCTCACCTCTGCGATGAGCCTTGTATATTTTCCCTCTAGCAGCGACAGAAGGAGCCATGTCTAGGATGAAAGGAGGCGAGTTGGGGCCAGATGGCGCCCCACAGGCAATTGGAGATACACCCATCAGTTTCTCCTTTCCACCCCAAACGGGTAGAGCAGGCGAGGAATTGGTGAAAACAAAGCTCATCATGTTTGCATCAACGGCTTGTCTAACAAAAGAGGCTGACATGCCAAAATGGTTCGAGTTATGTACCGAGACCATGCCGATGCCGAACTCCTTGGCCATTCCAATCGCACGATCCATGGCTATGGTGGCAGAGATGAAACCAAATGCATTTTGTCCGTCAATACGGGCAACAACAGGAGTAACCTGGGTCAAGGACGGAGATGCTTTGGGGTCCAGAACGCCCTGACGGATGCGTTCCATGTAGGATGGGATGCGGTTTATGCCATGGGTATCAACACCGCGGAGGTCGGCTTCCACGAGGCATTTGGCGACTATAGAGGCGTTTGATGACGGTACGCCGTTCTTCTCGAGCACTCTTTGGACAAAGTCCTCAGCATCCGAGGCTGTAACTCTCTTCTTCTCTTGATCTGCCATGATGATTGATATTGGTGTGTCTAGTGATGAGGTAGATGAAGTATAGGGAGTTAAGGTAAGGAGAAGTGACAATACAACATAAATTATGCAACTGAGCTGGCAGCAGCCGCAGCTTTTATAGACATCTACATTGACTCACGGGCTCTTATATTCTCCTGCCTGCCGGACTTTTGGCTGCTCCCAATGCTCCACTGTCTTTTCGCCAGTTTTACTTTCGCGGAGTTCTTCGTCCCTTCAAAATCAACAGAAACGTTCATTTCGCTGCGTTTTTCGGCCGGCTTAAGATTACATAAGCGTGATTTTGTTGGGAGGTCATGATGAGGTAAGCCGGATTTAGGAATAATATTTACCTTTAGCGTCATTAGGTAAACAGAGATTTAGCAAGCTCTTGATTGGCTACTCAAGAAATTGTGAAGAAGACGAAGATAGAGTCGAAGGAAGCAGAAGAAAGAGACACGACAGTCAAGATAGCCTGCACCGTGGCACAGTCGCATTTCAATCAGAATCCAAGACCCAGGTGTTGGGTTAATACTCCTGACGTACACATACCCCATTCAATCCGCAGTTAAGAATCAGACAACATGTTCAGCAACATCCTTCGCAGGCTACAGGGAGGGAACTTGGAAGTTTTCAAGGTATGTATAGAAACTACCTATTGCGCCCTGTTAGATCTTACTCCTCTGTTCATGCGCAATATATTCCAAAGTTCCAAGCTAATGGAGTATTGGTTCTAGTTCGGCCTCTATATTGGATTCCCCATAGGGTGGATGTACTACTTTGGAACCAACTTGGAAGAACGGTTCAGCGTCCCCGACTTCTGGCCGACTACAGCGCACTCCCATAAAATACCTACAGACAAGGGCGAGATAGACAAGGAATTGGCCCGGATGAACGAACAGAGAGCAAAACGGTTACTGGAGAAGCAAAGAATCCAGAAGGAATTCGAAAACGTTTCGGCCACCTCGAACTCGAGTGCGGAATAGTTGTACGGGTTCACCTACGTATGAACAGATTAGTGTTGTTCCATATTGTATCATACAACCTTTTGTACATTCGCGGGCGTTTTTGGGCGGTAATAGGGAGTTACATTGGACGGATAAGCTATACTTCGGGCTTGGGATTGAACGACTCATGTCGACAGCATAAAATCTGCGCGGGAGACAATTTGCATATATAAATCTCATCTCAGAATACCACAAAGCTACATCTGTAAAATTAGGATAGCACCAATTCAGGATGCTATGAGATGTGCTTGAAAGAAAGAGTGCTATTCAGCAATTAATAATATATACAGAGAAGTAAGGCAGTGCGTCACATCTTAGCCCAAAATGCGCCTGATATCCGCTAATAATAACTCATAATAAACGGCTGATGTCGAGAGGCTCAACACCACGAGAAGCAAAAAATGTAAAGGGGTTCCGGGGAGGAAAATTAGTCACGCGGAGGTGCAATTAAAACGTATAAGGTAGTATCAATCCGTAGGCTCGTATCTATCGCTAAATGAAATAACATTTATAGTTCCTTCAACGCCTCGGCTGTCGCAGCGGCGGCATTCGCGGTAGCAGCAGAGAGCTTCATGTTGGCCGCATGTAACGCGATCTGATCGGCGACAGGCTGGCCAGCCCAGTAATAGTTAATATGTCGGTATAGAGAAAGGACATGGTCTGGTAGGTAAATGTAGGCGGCGGTGATAAGCATGGAAATGAAGAGGATAAGGATAGTATCTAGATATCGCGGTGTTAGCCAAATCGTCCGATAAGGTGATAGGGAAGCATCTGAACGGAGAATATGGAAAGGCACGCGACTTCAAGGTTGAACGTACTGAAAACTACTTTCTCTATGGGAGTCAGCATGTATAGTGAGAATGTCACTTCATACTGGTAGTTCTTTAGCCGGAGCCATCGGAAGAAGGACATGAAAACCCCTGGAGATGTTGTTCCTTGTGACATGGTGGTTGAAAAGGGGCGTGTTCTCGAGATGAATGTCTTTGCTGAGGGGGTGCTCGGAATCAGTAAGAAGCTGGTCTAGCACGAGATGAATAATTCTGTCACGCAATAGAACTTGAAGATTTAATTGCTGAAACTGCGCATCGCTGTTGTTGTTGTTGTGTTTGCGAGAACTTTTGGAGATAAAAAAGTTGCAGCAATCTCCTTTCTGAGTCAGCAGGGCTTTATCTTGAAGATGAAGTAAGCAGTTATTTTAGCGGAGCTAGCTTAGGTAATGAAATGTTTAATTAAGGACTACGAACTTGATTAAAATAAATCTCTGATTGGTTTATATTAAGAATAATAACTGCTTGGTTAGCCAATGGAAATGATGTATATGTCAAGCCAAAAGTTGAATATTCTGGCCAATAGAAAGGAGCATAAGTAGACTATCAGCTGGGACTTCATAAAATGGAACAATTGAATAACACTTATTTAACACTACGGCAACTACTCTACACCATGTTCAAAATATACCCACAAGCTATATCACGGCATATACCAAAACAGACAGCTCAATGGCAATTGAATAAATACGCTGGCGCTGTGCGTTTCTTCGGGGCCTCACCCCTATCGGCAGCGAAGCAGATGCCTCCGCGCCCTACAATAGATGACTCGGAAATAACTGGAACATATCTTAAAGGATCAGGGCCCGGAGGTCAAAAGATTGTCAGTTAAGCGTTTTCCCCCTTGGTTACCAGGCTCTATACATCCTTGAATTCGCTGATTGGAATAGCCATGTGCAAAATCCAATCGACAAAGATACCCTGATCAAAACCAAATGCATTATCTACCAAACATATGACGACACATGCTTACCATGTCCCAGAATAAAACCAGCTCGGCCGTACAACTCATTCATATTCCGACAAACACAGTGGTGAAATGCCAAGCGACACGCTCCCAGTCGCAGAATCGGAAAATTGCCAAGCGGATTCTAGCTGAGAAGATAGAACTGCTTGAAAAGGGGGAGCAGAGCCGAGCGGCGATAGTGAATAATGTGAAGAAAAAGAGGAAGGCGAGTAAAATGAAGAAGAGTAAGAGAAAGTATCGGGCTTTGGAAGAAGAGAAGAGGAAGAAAAGGGCAGAAGCTGGGTTGGAGGCAGAGGAGGGAGAGGTTTGCGAGGATGAAGCAGATGATGTGGAGGAAGTCGAGCAAGTGGGTAAGGGTAATGGAAAGATGGGGGAAGGGGAGAAGTGATTTGCGCTTATAGCGAGTTCTGAATTGGCTGTTTTATTTGTATCTGTTTTATTTGTATCGGGGGTTGGATGTACAATTACTGGCTTGGGCTTGATCTGGACATGTATTTTAAAATTTGAACTACCTGGATCCTCCTACATCGTCATCATCATCGGCGTCATTATCTGTGAACATCAAGCGAATAAATCATTCATCTGTATTTTTGAAGTCAAGCTCTGGTAATTTAGGGAACAAATTCGCCGTCTATAATGTGATTCATGAACGATCCCTAATCTATGCAAGCAGCTTGGCCAAGCCCGGTAAGATTTGAGGGTCTAGCCGCTCCTGAGCAAAGGTCTGAATCCTTCCATTATTCTTGCTGTTCTGCTCCTTCAAATAAGAAGCAGCCCACTGCCCAACTTGCGGGCCGGTCTCTGGCCAAGGGTCTCTAGGTGGCATCTTAATGGTTGTTAGTTGGGTGAATCCAACTCCGAATGCCATGTCCTCAACATCATGCTCGGTTACAATGTCATCACCGGTAGTTGGGAGAATCGGTTGATCGAGCAGGTATAGTAGGGCTTCACAGGTAAAGCCCCATCCTTTCTTGTACCGAGTGGCGAAAGCTTCAGAGTGTGCAAGAGTTTTGGCAAACGAGATGATTGCAATTTTCCTGTCAAGCGGGCGAGCAAGTTTTCTCGATTCCGGAAGGATTATGCTGAGATAAATGGGGGTGAAGACGCTAGAAGCATATTAGAAAGTGTTGTAGTCAATAAAAACCGGAAACGAAGAAAGAACATACCCGCTTTGAATATTTTCGGTGCACTGGATGAAGAAGTCTGCTCCGTACCCGTTCTCTAGGTGGGCAGAGAGGAAGTGATAGAATCGAACAAACCGGAGTGAGAAATTTTCGGTCTTCGAGTTCTGAAGTCGGGTAAGGATGATCTGGAGGATGGTAGGGAAATAGCTTTGTAGCATAGCCCTGGAACAATATCTTGGTCAGATGGTGAAACACTTCATGTCGAGCGGGTCGTATAAGGGTAGAACTTACGAAGGGAAAGTTGAAATTACAGTTTCCAAAAGGTCGAAGCCATAGCTTTCGTTGACCTTGGAAGACACTAGTTTTTGGAAGATTCCTAATATCGGCTCAATTTGGTTGTTTTTGCTCAATATGTCCCCTCCGCGTCGCACGATAGCTTGCAACAGTCGAACTAGGGCAGGGACATTTCCCCTTTGCTCCCACATAACGGGCGCAAGAATGGGGGCAATCATGTCCTTGAAGTAGTCTGGGAACGGTCCGTTGGGATCGACTTCAAGCAAGGCAGCTAACAGCTGGAATACATATGGCATAAACTCTACAGGAGGTTAGTATAAGAAGCACAAGGGTGGACGTTAGGGGGTAACTTGCCTGACACATCGTTCCTCAAGAGGGTAAAGAACGGGGTATACAAGGCCTGGCCAAGCTTATCTGGGTGGGAAGGTCCGGTAAATCTATTAAAAGAGGTGAGCAATTTTCGCGCGCAAACAAATGACGGTGCAGTATATCTATCTCCATACCTGATGAGCGCGCCTAGAGCCTCGAAATGGTAGTAGTAGAAATGGGGGTTGCTGGGGTTAGAACTGATGATCTCAGTGATCCTGATGAGATGGTTGAGAATGGACTGTGTCTGAGGAACAGCACCATCCTTGATTACCACAAGAACTCGCATGATACATTTCATGATGAACTCGTTCTCCTGGACTTTAGGTGCAGATGACTCTTTCTGAACCAGTTGGAAGAGATGCTCGAGAAGCTGCCCAGCCAAGGGAGTGATATCACTTGCTGGCACGATTTGAGCGCCAGAAGCGTCAGTCAGGACGAAGACTCTCTCTACGGCAATTGCGGCATAGGTGTACACCACGTAGTCTGAAGAGGCAAGGTGCTTCACTAACAGAGGCATGATCTCGCGCCACTGTTCCTTGGTGATGATGCTTCTAAATGAGTAGAGGTACTTGATGGCATCCACTTTCAAGATTGGCTGAACACCAGTCTCCGCAACGAGATCGGAAGCGATATTCTTCTGGAAGAAATCGGTGATATTGACATGGGAGTTGATAGTAGTGACACCGTGGCTTGCAGTAGCGACACCTTTGGCCGCAATGGCGGAATAGAGGTAGACCGCGGTATCCTTAGACTTCCAGTTGTCAGCAGGGGACTTGGCATAGTCGGCTAGGTAGTGCTCGACATATCTTAGCACCACGGTAGTGACTAAATCCTCGAAGTTTTGAAGAAGCTGCCTGAGGAAATCCGTGGCAGCCCGTCGTCTTGTATCACTGTCTGAGCCCTCGAGATCTCTGCGGATGAATTCAATGGGTTCATCCTCAAACATTTCTACATCAGACTCTCGGAGGGTGATGTTGGGCAAGATGACTTTCTCGGTGACCTGGCCGAGGGTTCCTTCGTTCTGGAATGCTGCTGCGTGCTCCGGAATCTTTGCAATGGAAGTCAAGAACTGCAAAGCCTTACTGACCAGAATGTCATACTTTGTCTCCTGGCCAATGGTGGTAAGGAGGTTCCATGAGCTGCCAATGAACTGTTCAACCAGCGGTCCGAATACGTCAAGGTACTTTTGGACATAGAGGGTGAGGCCTTCGAATGTTCCAGCTTTGACGAATTCCAGCACGCCAGACTCTGAGTCGTCGTCCGTATGTAATAGTTTGTTGTCGTACATCAAGTATTTGAGGAACAGCGTCGCAATTGCTCCTAGATTCTCTTCGAACATGGGAGGCAGGTCGTGGGACGACAGGTCGTAGAACAGCTTCACCATGAGGTTGAGCTGGGTGAAGCCGAGAGTGAGGTTCTCCTTGTTTTCCTTGTTCTTCTCGAGGTATGCGTCAAGGGACTGGAGTATGTTAGTACAATGGCGGTAGTTAGTCCGATCAAAAACTCATGCATGCTTACTTACCTCGAACAGAGCGAGGTATGGATGTCCGAACTTCTCCAGGACATGGTTGATCTCTCTATAGAGGTCATCGGAGCGGAAGAGCGGTCGCCATCTCTTGAAGATGGAGTGGGCTACCTGCAAGACACCGACGTTGGTCTTGATGTTATCAGGCGATAGTCGAGACACAAGGTCCTAGGCGAAAAAGGTAGGTAGGGTTAGTTATGAACGCTTCCAAAAGAAGAAAAGAAAAGAAAGACAAACATCGACCAGTGTGTCCCATCTCTCCCAAAAGTCGCTGTCTGCAATGACACTGACTGCCTCTCCGAGCTGCGACTGTATGCCCGAAGGCACGGATATCATCAAGCTTATCAGCTCCTGCTTGATAGTGACGACATCGCTCTCCGGCAGCTTGTACTGGCCCTCCTCATCTGTCCAATTCCTCTTTATAAAGTTCTTGAAGCAAAGTGCACTGGCAAGACGCGTGTTGTATGCAAACGACTCGGACGCTGTGATGTGCAGGAGTTGGAGGGAAAATCCAGGCTTAGCTTCCTCTTGCTTCAACGCGGCCTCGGCTAGAGATCGCAACCACCGGGTTAGCTTCTACACCTCATCGCCGTATATAGCACTGGGGAATGAGCAGAGGAAATAACCCACCCTGTTTGTGCTGTCGAGGATCCAAACTGGCCTCCAGAAGCTGCGCAATTGGAGCTAGGTTGCCAGCCATGGCGGGGGATAGAGATCCTGATCTATAAAAACAACAGACAGACGACTGAGCACTCTCGTCCGAGCTAGATGAACGCGAGTGACTTTCCGGTATCTATCAGGACAGCCAGACGCTCCTTGCTGTGTCGAGCCGTAGACTGAGATAAAGAGTGCAGCTTCTTCTTCTTCTGCTTCTTCTTCTTCTTCTTCCTCAGTTCGTCTTTCTTCGACCAAAACAAAAAACAAAAAAAAAAACAAGAGGAGGGGACTTGCTTATGTCATGCTTATGTTATCCTGTTAGTCATCTCTTACTCAGCCGCGTCGGAGAAATAAAAGTCCGAGTTCCCCCGGATTTGCCACGAAAAAAAAAAAAAGGTCGAAGTTTCAACTTTTTGTCTCTTTTTTTCTTTTTCTTTTCTGTCTTTTGATATTTTTATCTTTTTATATAAATCTTTTCTTTCGCTTTTGTCTTCTTCCTGTCTTTCTCTGCTTTGATGGCGACCTGGTAGTTTTCTATATACAAAGCCCTGTCTGTTCTACTTCTACTGCTTTACTCTAGTCTTAAGGTAAAGTGAGACCCCGCAATCCCCCTTCTTGCCCGTTTGGGTTTTCCTATCTTTGTCTTTTGCTATCAAAGTAGCGCGCTTGGCGTGACTTTTGGTAGCTCAAAAAAGTTCAAGACGGCGGCCGTTGTTTGTTATTTTTGATAGGACAGCAAAGGCAAAGGCATGATCATGTTAATAATCAGCTGCTGACCGGGTCACAGCGCGGGAAGACAGAGCCTGCTCTGGTTGATATATACATATATATATATGCACAGGTATACAGGTAGTGAAACAGCCTGATGTGCGGACATACGATGCTGGCGCGGATATAGAGGGAGACCTGGCCTTTTTTGCTCTCCAGCCAAACACCACCCAGATTCACAGCATCTCAATACCAACAAGCGGACGCAGCAGCAGAGAAAGAGCAACGACTAAGCCTGCGCCTACGACTAAGCGCACCAAGTGAACCAGCTGCTCTGTCACTGTCCTGGCCATCAGGACCTTGACTCATTCGCCCGTCAAGGGCGGATGTCTTCCGACGATGTCCCCCAAGCGCCACAAAACAAACCGTCTACCTCCTCCTTCGCCGACGTCTTCAAGACCCTCGCAGTAGGCCGTCCCAAGTCGCAGTCGCCGGTCTTGCATGCGCAGAACGCTGGAGGCGCGTTGTCCCCCGAGATGGAAGGCAGACGCGGCAGCAGAGTGACCTTTGGCTTCGAGGCCCTGCACCGAGGCAGCGTGGCCGCCGGTGCGTCTGAGGCGTCCACCACCCCGAGCCTCGACACGATCCTCCATAACCTGGCGGCAGACCAGCCCCTGCAGAGTGCCGCCGACGAGGCCGAGAAGGTGGTGCGCTACTTGCACGGGTTCAGTGGTGACCAGGTTGTCGCCGTTTGGGAGCAGGCAGCCCATCTCCTCGACCATCCAAGCTCGCCGGAAGCACGAGCGTCAGGCGGCATCTTGCTGGAAAACGTCTCTGCCCGCCAGGACCTGTCTCTGGCCGGCCGCAAGTCCCTCTTCCTCTCCATCTCGCAGCCCTCGCATCCAGACGTCATTGCTCGCCGCGTAAAGGCCCTTATCTCCCTGTCAGACTACGGAAGGAAGTTTGATTTCACCGAAGAGCCCGTTCTACGAGTTATCGCCGCATGGATCGTACCCCTTTACGAACAAACGGCCGCTATGCGGTCGAAGATTAAGCGGTCCAGAGGACAGAGACCCAGTGGTGCCACTTTCGATGAGGCCATCCTGGGCGAGCTGTTTCAGCATATCGTCGATGTCGTTACCCTACAACGCCATTCTCCGAGCCCAGAGGTCATCGAGCTCGTTCTCAACCACATATTCACTGTCTGCAAGAAGACAAGTGCCGCTGTGGACATCAAAAACTCCCTGGGGGTCTTCGATGCCATCATCACCACTTCGGGCGTCCCTGATGAAAGCTTCATTCCTCTGCTCGAAGTCCTGTGCAGTATCCATGCTTCAGTCAAGTCGTTAGCAGGTCCAACGTCAAGAGCCGTCCGAAGTCTTGCCAAGTCTGGCAAACAGTCAGATATGATACAGACTCTTCACACCTTTCTCATGGAGACCACCGAACGCCCAGACAGAAACCTGAACGTCACCCGCGGCGCCGTTGACATTTTCCGAGATTTACTGGTTGCGTACGGCCAAGATGGGATGCCCACCATCTCCTTTGAACGCCTCATCGCGTCACTCCATCAAGCTTCACTTCGAAAGGACGGTCGTATCGACACAGACATCCTAGAAGTCTGCCTTAACGCGTTACAGGGTGAATTCTCACAGGTCTCCCTCAAGCACGACTGGACAGAGTTTGTCAACGTCATGCTGGCTTGCTCAGATAGAGCTATCGACATCACTGCCCCTACCTCTCCCACTTCAAACATATCTCCCGTCCCCCTCTCGGCCGCATCAACTCCTCCATCAAAGGCCTCCTTGGCCGATGACGTACGCTCTAACATCATCGCCAACCTTGCCCGTATTTCAGCTGCTCTAGAAGCCCTATGGCCAAGTTTGGACAAGGCTCAAAAGCTTGAAGCATGGCGTTTATTGGCTGATATCCATAAACATCTTACCCATTCCCAATCAGAACTAGCTATCCGCCTGTTGGGAACCGAAAGACTGTGTCACCCTTCCGCTTCCGATGGTTGGATCACTTACTCCTGGAAATTGGTGCAAGACTACATTTTGGACCGTGAAAAGGCCCCGGAAACTCGCATTCTCGCTTTGGCAACCTTTAGAGACGCATACTTTAGTGAAAACGCACCGGAATTATACCTAAAGGAGGGCCTGGTCCGTGTTCTTACCAATGGCTTTGCCGACGAAGATTCATACCTGTTTCTTCAGGAGCTGGTGGCTTTCCTTGTTGATGGGACAGCCAGCTCGGACGAAGATACGCTCAATCTCATTGTTGACACCCTAAGTCAGCCCATGAGTGCGGATGAGAATACGGACGACATGTCCCCATCCGGCACCAAACCGGTCCCGCACTATGTTTTGGCCTCCGATACACTTGCACCGTCCCTCAGCGACGCAACAACATGGGGACTCATCCGGATCTTTCTAAAGGGACTAGAGACCAAATCTCAAGTTGTTGTGAAAGTATACCAGAAGCTGATAGACATTGCATCGTCAACAAGCCGGCCTTCTGACTCCCGTCTCTCTGCACTTCGACTACTCTTCCGACTTCGATGCGATACCTCTGGTGTCGTACACATTGCGTCTTCCATTGACAATGGCCACTTGACTGCCAGCATGCTGCGCACTGTCGAATCAGCTGCCAAGTCAAACGCCAGTGAAGAGTCGTCTGTCGAACGCTCAAGAGATAACGACACATCTTCCACCCCCAATAGCAGATCGTCTCTGAAAGACCAGTCTGTAACCCCGCTTGGAGGCCACAGTCAGCGTGTTATTTCCCGACGCCCTTCGCGGTGGGTTGCTCCAATCTGGGCGTTTGACGACCATAGCAAGCTACCTGACATGACCGTCCTCAATCTCGGAAGTAATGTCTATGCATTTAAAGCAGCACCATGCAAGGAAGGAGAGCAAAAACATGAAGAGCAAAGCAGTGAAGAGCAAAGTGGTGACGAGCAAAAACGCGACACCAAAGTCGTACTGAAGGTCAACCTGTGGGCCGAGGCCATCATTGCTCTTCTCCAGCGCGAGAAAGACTGGGATATCTACAGCTACGTTTCTGCCCATGTCAGTGCACAGCTTGCCAACCGAGACTTCTTCCGTGCAGCAATCCCCCAGATCAAGCTACTTAGAAGTGTTCTGTGTGAGCAAATCAAGAACGAGAGCTTCCCTGAACCCCTTGGATGGACAGGTGTGAAGAAGAAGGATATTGCTATCTGTCTACTGGACGCCCTGACAATGCTTGTCAGCTTCCATGCACACTTTGCAAAGGGCGAGCAGGATGAGATTGTTCGCTCGTTTATGTATGGAATCGGATCATGGGAGGGTACGTCTCGTGGATGTATCCATGCGCTGAGCGTTTGCTGTCATGAAATTCCCCTGTCTGTCACAAAGTCCTTAAACGCTATCCTCGATAAGATGTCCAAGGTTATCACTCGATCCCACATTGCCGTTCACATCCTTGAGTTCCTAGCTCTATTGGCCCGTTTGCCTGAAGTGTACGTCAACCTGCGCGATGAGGAGATCCGGACCGTGTTTGGAATCTGCATCCGCTACCTTCAGACCTCCAGAGAACAACGATACAAGAATAATGAAGCTGTCAGCAGCCGGTCTGTTTCCATGCCGACGCGTATTAGCAACGGCTCAAAGGACCCTGTCTCAAACCCCTCGGCAGAAGCAGTTGATATCCACGGTGGAGAAAATGTTGCCAGATATGTCTACCATCTGACATATCACGTCATGGTCTTTTGGTTCCTATCCCTTAAGTTGCAGGATCGGCCTAATCATGTCGGCTGGATAACGAAACGGTTGCTGTTCAATGATGAGCAAGGTAAAGAAGTCATTGAAGAGCAGAGCCAGGTGTTCATTGACATGATGCAGCGAGTTGCGTATTCGGACTTGGGAGATACCATTCCGTTCGACCACTTCCCGCCTTCGCCGTCCGATGGCCCAGTCGTGAAGAAGACTTGGATTGTTGGTACAAGTATCATCACCATCGAAACCGCATGTGCCTCTGGCTTAAACCAGGTCACCAAAAGACAAGCATCCGGGACGACGTACTCGATCTTCCAGCAGCGAACCGCACCAGTCCTGCCTCATCAAATCCCAACTAACCCCGGCTCATACTCGCTCAGTGACGACCCTTCGACACGAACTTCGGTACTGCCCAGTCATGCTCTCCTGCAGATGACTGCCTCCGCATTCCCAACTTCCATCCCATTACAGCCACTTCCTCTGCCTGATGATGATTTCACTCGACGAGCAATTAGCGCTTTTGATAGGAACAGTATTGTCGACGGCCACAAGATCGGAGTCTTATACATCGGCGAGGGCCAGACCGACGAGACGGAAATATTTGCCAACGACCATGGCAGCCCGGATTATGAATTCTTCATTGCCAGTCTTGGAACTAAAGTCTCCATTGAGAATCCTAAGTTCAACCCTCAGGGTCTCTATCATGAGCGAGACGGCAAATACATCTACGCCTGGCGTGACCGAGTCTCGGAAATTATATACCATATCGCTACCATGATGCCGACGAACCTGGAAGCAGATCCGCAATGCGTAAACAAAAAGCAGCACATTGGCAATGACTTTGTGAACATTATCTTCAACCGATCTGGCTCTGAGTTTGACTTTAATACAATCTCAACGCAATTCAACTTTGTTGATATTGTCATCACGCCAGCCTCCCGAGTCGGCACAGAAGACATGCCAGGGAAATTCTCCGTTGACGACTTCAACCACAGACTCTACACTGTTAAAGTGCTGAGCAAGCCTGGTATCCCTGAATTATCAGCCGCGGCCATCCCGAAAGTCATATGCGGCAAGAACCTTGCTGCCTTCGTGAGGATCATCGGCTTGAACGCTTCCGTCTTCTCTCTTGTCTGCAGCCATGGCGGCGAATACATTTCATCCTGGCAGAACCGCCTGAGAGAAATCCGTCGTCTTCGGGATCGTGCATACGCCTGCTTTTCTCCCGAAGTTACTAGCCCGGACGCCTCCTCCAGCAACCTCACCGGCGGTAGTTCACACGGCGATGGCTCATTCCCGCCCTCACGACGCAATACCAAACACTATGCCGATGACGGAAGCCTACGTAGCGGCCTGGGCACTGAACGCAATCTTACAATGGAAGCCAATGCCTTCCCATGCCTGGATTTCTCACGCTGGACTCGCTGAAATCTCTCCCCCAACCCCCCTCTTTCCATCACGATGTATCATGCCTTACACTCTTCCTCTTCTTTCGCCCCACGATTCTTCTCCCTCCTGCATTAATATCTTATCCCCTTTCACCCTCCCCCATTAACCCATGTTACGACGAGCTCTATTCTAAGGTATACCCCCCTTGCTAAGATAACGGATTAAAAGTTTTTGTGATTTGATTTCTTCCCATTCTTGATACGTGTTGACCCTTTTTCTCAGGTTAACACCCAAAAAACAAAGGGAAAAAAAGAATAATAAAAAAAGGCACACGCACACGCACACTACAGTCCCCCTTTTCATTAAGCGTTGAAACTTATAAACTATTATAATAAATCGCTGCTTTTTAGTATCTTGACCTTCAGCGTAGTTGTATTTGCAATCCGGTAGCCGATGACGTCCCTTTTATTTTCGATACCCGTATTTCGTCTGTATCTTCCTCGTACTTCCATCCGCGCCGCGCAGGTCAAAACACCCCGTCGATCACTGTCACTGGCCGCTGACAGGCGGAAGGAAACGAGACTATTTGAACCTTCGTCCGTCTATCAAAATGCCCTGGGCCAACAGAGTGCGCGAATCCACCATAGGACGTGACCTCCTTCAAACGTTCGCCAAAAGCCAGAAAAACACGAAGATAAAATCAATAGCAGGAGAAAAAGAAACGATAAAATGATGCAACTACTCGGCTGAGGGCTTCGTTGATTGGTTTAGAATACTGACTGCGGTTCGAATGTTCAACATAATGCTTCTATCGTTGGAAGGCTGGTTGATTTTTCTTTCACCAGGCGTGCAGAAGAAAGACGATAAAACGACCCGACCATTGGAGTAGGAAGCAATAGTAAGGGCCAGGGTGGGAAGAAAACTGCAGGCTAGAAGAGCAGCGACGATTTATGAATTTAAGAGATTTATTTATTTATATAATAGTTATAATATACGGAGCAGGCTTGCTTGAGAAGAAACGAGAGCTCGAAGGATGGCATATCAACATGAAACTGTGCCTGTTGCCTGCGTTGTCCATAACAAAGATATAAACCGCTTTTCTTTTCGAATTCGTGATCTCCTTGAAAGAAAGCAGAGAATTGAGAAAGAATCTGATTTCATAGTGCCCGTGAAAAAGATAAATAGAGAAAGGACATAGAGAGAGATCATTTGTAGTTTTTATTCGATCGAGGCAATTGATGTATGATGAAAACCGAGGGACCCATGAAATATGAAGCATAGCAAACGCGAGATAAACTAGAATCAACTGCGGATGAGAACAAGAAGAATAACATCAATGCCTTGGACGCCAGCCTGTGTTCCTTTCCACCGTATGTTATCTCGCACCGTCGGAGAGGAAACCATTCCCTAAAACTAGTTGGTAAAGAAAAAACTCCCTGAAGATCCATGATAGTAGTGATGTCGATGATGAAAATGTCACCGTAACCGAAAAAAAAGAGTAAAATGCGAGATATGAGGCGTGCAAAAAGGCAGGTGAATAAAATGGAAGTAGGAGAACGCAATGTATCTTCAGTTTGAACGGGTAAAAAAAGAGTGTGCGAGAGGGAAAGTAAGTAGGTACGTATGAAGATAACTATGGATTGTGAAGAAGAAACCAGAGAAGAAACCGCCATTTATACTATACCTGTGGAAAAATAAAGTGAAGAAATAGAAATGGAAAATGTAGCGCTAATCGGTGGAAAGGCCTAGACAGGCAAATTGTTTGCTTGAAGTTGCTGCAATGCGATGCGATGCGATGGACGAAAAGGTGACCGAGAGAGAGAGAGCGACCGAGAGCGACGAGAGATGTTCCTCCCATCCCTAAACCCCATGCTAAAAAAGTATATATCCGTTTTCGTTTCCATTATTTGAAAGGTGGTCGATTAGATTAAGTGTACAAATTTCATAATGCCTCGCTAGATCGCGCCAGATCGATTTGGGTTGCATAATGGGCCCATTGAAATTTCCGTTGGATCGAGGGTATTATATGACTGCTGCTGGCTTGAGGATGGCACCGCCGTCCTCTTTCGTCATATCAATTGGGGGGCATTCTTCCAATACGCTGGTGTTTGCACTTGGGATGGAGCTTCTGTCGGCAGTGACAGGAGAGAGGTCGTAAACAGGGCTGTTATCACGGGTATAGGTGAGGCTATTCGCATTGTTTTCAACATCCAGGCCGAGTGACTTGTTGGTGTCAACAGGCGAGGATGGAGATGAAGAAGTTTGATGTCCGTATTTATGGAGGTGACCTTCAATGCCAGCAATCTGTTTGCCGTAGCTGCATTTTTTCAGCAGGGGCATCAATGGCATAATTCTGCTGACAAGCATCTTGTAGTCTTCTCCCTCCAGGACGCTAAGGGATTTTTCTGTATAATGACTGTTAGCATCTTGATACTGATATTGCAGGAGGCTTCATAAAAAGGAAACTTACGGATAACGTAGTTGCCATATTGGTCGCGCATCAAGCCAAGCAAGGGGCCCTCTCCCTTTTCGTTGACAGCGGACAGAATCCGGGTAATGGCCAAGCGTTGCTCCATAGTGCCGAAAGTGATGCTCTTCTCTACCACGTTGCTGGCAAACTTATGCTTAGAGAAGTGAACTGCCTGGCCGAGAACAATGGAGATAATCTTGTTCTTATCAACCTCTTCACCGAATTCAATTATGTGCTGAATGACATAGTTGCCGTATTGGTCGGAAATGAGGCTTGGGGTGCAAGCATGGATTTCAGCAAGAATGGATAAACGATCGGCCAGAGGACAGTGCTCTAGCATGCGTTGGATTACCCGACACCCGTATGTATGAGTAGCGTAACGTGGAATTTGGCCTCGGAATTCATCGATGATAAATCGAATGTGTTGGTTTGGAACACGTTCAATCGCCTTCTGAATAACATGGTTTCCGTTCTGGTTGGTGACGCACTTCATCACGCTGTCTTCGAGCTCCTTGACCATGGTGGCTTGCTGCTCAACGAGGACATGTTCAAGTGCCTAAAAACTTGGTTAGCATCGTAAGTTCAGAATCGCAAAAGAAGTCGGGGCATACCTTTTGAACAGTGCGGCATCCATACGTCTGTACAGAGAGCGAGCAAATGTTGCCTTGCATCTGCTGGGCAAGAAGACGCTTCTGTGCTTGATTACCGTGTTCGAACAGTTTCTGGATAACGTAATTGCCAAATAAGTCCATCATAAGCTGTACGGCATTAGGCCTGATTTCCTGGAATACCCGCTCCTTCTCGTCACTGTTGGCAGTTTCAAGCTTAAGCTGAATGAAGCGGGAGCCGTGCTGATCACCACAGAATTCGACGATGTGACCATAGATATCTTTCAATTCATATCGCTTATTTCCCTTGTTATTTGCCCTGAACTCCTGTAGAACTGGGCTGCGAGTTACCTGGTTGGAGTCCTGGTCTGAAGTGGAAGGCCTATGAACCATGGACGGGGAAACGGGGCTAAATGGACCCATTGAGTAAAGGGGTAACTGTATTGGATGGATGGTGCTGGGCTGAGGAGGCTGGAATGTTGCGTATCTGTAGCCTGGAGGCAGGTGGATACCCCCCGGGAGCTGACTCATGGCGACCGAAGGGTAGGCCTGCTCCTGCTGCTGCTGCAAGGTTGCTCGCAATCCCTGAGCTAGTAGTTCAGCTTGTTCCTCTGGACTACGCTCACTGCCAGAGTAACGGTATCTTGGGGAGTACATTCCCTGGCTCATGGAGTCCTGAAGCTGGCCGTCGACACTAGAATAATAACCGGGGATGGAACTGCGCTGGTGCTCAAGAGACGGGTGGCCGCGTTCTTGTCTTCTGATGAGGGAAGGTAAATTGACGGAAGGAGATGAGATGGTTCGTGAGTATGTTGCATACTGGGTACGGGTCTCCTCCGGCTCTATCGTATAATTGGCGCGGGATAGAACAGCGTCGTATGATGCACGTTGTTGAAACGATGGTCTGGGAGGCAGAGCTTGCTGTCGGTGCTCAGCCAGCGCACCAGCGACCTTGACGTCTATCTTGGACAGGGCGGCAGCGAGTTCATCTTCAGCTAAACTAGCCCTACCATGGCCGGTTGATATTGAGTGGCGTGGGGTACCGGCTCCGAAATGGCTCGAGGAGGGAGTCATGGAAGCCAGATTCATGGATGAGGATGGGGGGAAGTAGGATGCTTGATCGCTTGACCTAGGGCCCTCTCTAAATGGAAGGGTATTGCTATGGTCGAATGGATTCACCTGCGGCTCCTGTGCAGATAATCCATTGTGTGCAGTGCTTCCGTTGGTAATCCCATTGAGAGCAGCCGTATGCTGACTGTTTCTACCAACTCCATTGTCAAATGCAGTGATAGATGATGGAGAATCACTCGATTTGTGATAGTGGCTCCAGTTTGAAACCCGGTTGCTATTTGGCATGTTTGAACCAGAGGGTTGAGCTGCTGCTAAATAAGAGAGAGCTTCGCTTCGGGTAATAGCGTTGACGACTGCAGAGTTTCCTGGCGGAGTGCTGGCACCTGCGTTTACCGAAGACGCATGGGAGCTTGAGGTTGGGGAAAAGTTCCAAGGAAGAGGTTGGCCAGCCCAGCCCTCAGCCTCCGACGAAGGCAAAAGAGAGCGGGACCCAGTCACAGTGTCTCCGTTGACAGTAGTAGCCACTGCTGGAAGTTAGTCATGGTAGCCTTGGAAACAGATAAATTAGACAGGGGCCGAAATACCTTTTGGATGTGTACTTTCGACCATAGTGCTAGAAATCCCAGTCATAGGGGTGCGCGACCAAATGTTGCTATTCCAGCCTCCGCTTCCAAATGCAGCAGATGACTGGGCTAGAGTGGCCCTTTCACCGGCATAACTGACCGAAGAGGTAGAGTTGCGACCATTTGTTCTGGCCTATTAGATAGTTAGATGCTGTGTAGATTTGGCCTTTGGTTTCAATAACATACCGTCTGCTGTGATGCTGCATTAGGCATTCCTATCGCGGCCATGTTTGTTCAAAGCGACAGAATAGTAGTTATAACAGCGTGATTTTTATGCGGGAATTAAAATAGGGAACTGTGCAGTGAAAAGGTAGAAGGGGCTTCCAAAGGATTATCTGCAGTAGCGAGAAGATCTGAATGTGCTGGGGAATAGACAAAGGTGGAGAAAGGAAGAAGAGGAATATGTTCCAGGGAGAGAGAATTTATTTGCGAGGGATTATGGGCATGGACAGGAAGAGGCCTTGCAGGTGAATGGAATTAGTATTAATAAGAAGTCACTGTAAGCTGTGTTCGAGCAGTTAGCGAGCTGTAGCAGTGAATATTGCGGCAGGTTCCAGTGACTGCGGAAGTAGTGTGAATGTGTGTATATTTGGGAGCTCTGAGGGAGTATTTTAAGCTGCTGCCGAAGCAAACCAGATCATGTACAGAAGACAGCCGTACCGGAGAGGGGGAAAAGAGACAGTGGAATGGAACTGTGTGAAGAAGAAGAAGAAGAAGAAGAAGAAGAAGAAGAAGAAGAAATAGGGAAATAAAGTAGAGTAGATCGAGGCCAGGAGAAGTAGATATATGGCGAAGGTAGAGTGACACGGCCTTGAACCGTGGAATGAGACCTTTGGCCGGAACAACCCAGGTCTCTCCGGACAGAACAAGACAGCGAGGGTGAAGAAATAAAAATGATTTGCGGGTGACGGAGACGGGAAGACGCAGGAGAGGTCTTAGTGAAGGGTGATTAAGTGCAAGGCATCCGAATGCAGGCAATTGAATGGGGCAAGGTCGGGATGCGTTTTGACAGCACAATCGCGGCAAGCAGCCGCCTGGGAAATTTGATAGGAGCAGAGGAATGGGGCAGAAGAGGGAGCAGAAAAGACCCAACTGACCTCTGTTGTTCACATTATACGCTCTGGGTTGAAGTGCGACCAGCCTTGACAGTTCATACAGCGGTCCCCCTCCGGCCGTCCGTCTATATGAGTCCTGTCTGTATGTCTCTGGCTCCAACGGTCAAACAAAACGGCGGCGAGCAAGGCAACGTACAGTGAGCGAGGTGGCCTGACGTGCGTGCGGTAGGTATGTAAGTGTATATGTGTGTGTCTCTCTCTCGTGGGGGCCGTCCCGAGAGAAGGGAATTCTGAGCTGCCGGAGCTTCTATTTACAGGGCAAGCAAAGCTTTGTTTTCGGTATGCACAACGATTGGGGGAGATCTGGTTCGAGAAGACGCAGACAGAGCGGCGGCGGGAAGATCGAATGCGGATCAAGGGGTGAAAAGGAGGAGAAAGGAAAGAGGACAGACGCCTTCAGCGGAGTCTGCTTGTCTTGCTTCTCTTTGCTGCGGTTGCTGTCGTCGTCGTCGCCGTTGTTGGTGGTGATTGATGGTGGTGGAGGCGGAGGTACTGCAGGACTGCGAGCGGCCAGCCAGCCAGCAACGAAGCGAAACGAAACGGACGAGCGTTTGCTTTCTGTTTCAGCGAGGCGGAGGAGGAAACGAAGAGACGCAGCTCAGCAAAAAGGCAGAGGTTTGCGATGGAGGACAAAGAGAGGTCAAAAGCGCATGAAGCTGTCACACAGACGGCAACATGATGGCACCGCAGGGCTTCCGTCCAGTTCTCGATGAAAAAGAGGATGAAGACGGAACAAGTCGAGCGTCCTTCTGTCTGTCTGTGTGTCTGTCTGTCTGCCTCTCGTCGTCGGGCCCAGCTGGTTGCTCTGTTCAAGGACGCTGCTCGTCGTGTCCTTTGGGGGGAGGTTGATGGTGCTGGTGTTGGTGATGGTAGATTTTGTGGTGGTCTGAAGAAATGGACGAGAAAAGAAAAAAAGCCACCCACGGCAAGCAAAAGAAGCAAAAATCAAAGAAGTATCAAGAAGAGGTCGCACAGCGTGTGAAACTACGGCGTACAAAGGCAACGGGCAGCGAGGGACAAGGCCGGTACAAGACAATGACTTGAGGGCCAGGACGAAGCAAAGAGGACGAAGGTTGAGGATTATCCCAAGCTATCTCAGGGATGCCGGATGCTAACCGTCTTGCGCCAGGATATTGGTATTAAATATATCTACGCCCAAACACACTCGATACAGTGAGGGTAACGGCCAGAGACAACGAGCAGAGGCTGCTCTACGCCCTCAACTTACGCTTGGCCATTTGTCCGGCTTCTGTTCTACACTCTGTTGCCCTGACGGGGGGGTAGGGTGCTGCCAATCAATAACCTACCAACAACCTCCGGCCTATTTCTTGAACTAGTTATCTATCCAGCACCCGGCACCCAGCAGCCAGAGAGCTTAACGCCATCCGTATGATATCTCTCGAATAACCACGGCTCTCGCTGCTTGTCACGGCCAGATGAGAATGAAGGGGCCAAGGTACATAGCTACAGTGGGAGAGGGAGGGAAGAAAAAAGAGGCCAAGTTGGCCCGCTGTACGTATCATTTTTTCCCTGGCTTTCCCTCTTTGCTTTTTCAGCATCGTCTCTCTCTAGTGAGAGAAGCGGATGGATACACAGTCCAGGGCCTACGGAATATGCAGCTACGGGAAGGGGGAAGCTTTTTAGGACATGCAGCATGAGCATCAACCAAGACAAGAAAAGGCAGCGAGAGCGCAGACGGGGGGGACGATGGGGCCGCAAGCATTCTTAGCCTGCCCTGGGTATTACCCGCCTAATGTGCAACATTCGCCTTCATCGTACGGAGTACATCGTCCTGCAGTGTACAGCATCTTTGTCTGTCGTGGCCCAGCCCCGTCGAAGGGGGGACCCGGGGAGGATAGGTGGAGGAAGGCAGGCGAGCGGTTCTCTCTCTTTGCTTTTCAAGGGAGAAATAATGGATGGGGACCTCTCCTTCTCCCGTATCTTCGCGCCAATCGCGATGGTGGACCAGCGCGGAGGCCAATGGGCCACGGATCGGCGAATATCTTCTATACTCGTCTCATGGTCGACAGCCAGAAGCGAAAGCACGGAAGTACTGATAACTAATGAAAGCGGCCGGCTCGGCTGGCGGAGGCAATTCTACCATGTTTGGCCGGCCTTCTTCCAAAGCTCGAGTGTCCTTAATACAGGACTTCGCCGTGCAAGACGTTCCAGGCCCCCCTAGAGGTTAACCCGAGAAAACGCCTCAGTCTTGAGCGGTACTGAAAAAGAGTATCGCAGGGGGTGTCTACTAAAAAGATAGGGCCAGCGGCCCACCCAGCAGATCGTTTTAAGGCCGGTATAGGGGGTCCACTTCATCCTGGGAAACTAGACGATCCACAAAGAAGCAAAACCATCTACTTATACGCCAACTCACCCTTGACCCTTCAACCTGATAGTGCTTCCCATTATTACGGTACTGTTCTGGCTTGTCTGCTGACGGTAACCTACGGTCGATGGTTGGGGTACCTGTGTGGCCCCCCCAGGCTCCAGCGGGCAAGTTGTACAGAGACTTTGAATGACAGGCAGCGTTTATATGTGAGTGTGTTTGTTGTGCGACCTTTTGCCCGGTCCGGTGTGGAATTCCTTTCCGTTTTTATCGCTGGAAAAGGAAGGGAGACGGGATGACGGTGTTCATTGCTCATATTACTCACATATCGGCATCTGCACTGCCTATATCCATGTGTTGACCCTTAGTGCCCCCTTGCTCATTTTGGATCGTCCGTGAAAGTACTCGCTTGTACTCCATACAGAGAGCAGTTAACTAACTATTGTTACTGTTACCCGTACTCATTGTAAAACGGGCGACACAACCAGTACCGACATCGAGCTGCCGCCGTACATCTTGCTGGTTTGTCAAACATCCCAACAGTTACGCCGTCCTCGGCTGCGTAACTGGTCATGTCGCTGGACTTGCTTGACTGTATGGGATGCAAATGCCATATACGTGTCATGAACTCCTGTACATCGCAGATACGAGCAGTCAGGCAGCACCAGCAACCGCCGGGATCTGTCTGTATGGAGTACAAGCTACCAACCACGGGCAGCGGTCTCTTTGCTCTACTTGTCGACTTACTTGAGTCCCGAGCTCCCCCGGTGGTGCAGAGACCCGTTAGCCATCTCAGCGTGGGGTAGCACACGACACCGATATACAATTGGGGGCAGTGCTCGTCTCTTTCGTTTGTGCATTTATCGTCCTGCATGGGGAATACTCCAATATCCACCAATTTATGCACACAGTCGCGAGCCAGCCCTCTCTCTCTCTCGCGCTCGCTTTGGCGGTCTGGCACTCTGTACAACAACAGCCATTCGGACTCTGGGGAAATAGTAAAAAAGCAAAGAAGCTCAGTCTGGATGTTGGGGCACGATGAGAGGACAAGCAGACACGGAGGGAGGATCCGGAGGCTGCACCACTGATACTAAACCCGACTTGAAATTTCGGTACTTGTACCGCCCTTTGACCAAGATTATCTTTTCTGATATCAAGCCTGATGACTTCATAGCTGAAGTATCTGTTCTTTCTGACCTGCTGATCCGCGGTTGAGCTCATGGCTGCGAGGAAGACAAAAAACCAAGTTTTGCTCCAGGAACCGACCAAAAAAAGACGAGGAAGATTGTTGCTTTTTCCCCTTTTTCTTCTTCGGATCCAAGCCAGGTACGAGGAAGGACGATTGTCAGCCACCGTCGATCAGTAGAACGGCGGGAGGACTTGATACAACGGGAGTACCTCCCGCCGGATATAGCCAGGGCAGCATTGGCCAGTGAATGCCACTATCACTCTGTCTACAAAAACCATCGATGTCTAAGAGGTGCGTTCAGCCCGGCTTCTATAGCTTCATAACCACTCATTATTCGTATTGCTATAAAGTATAAAGGTAGATGGTGTATCAAACAGGTATTCTCGTCTAACCTCCCATTCCTCCAAGGCCACCACCACCACAACCACTACCACATTCTAGACTTTCCACTGCATGTCTCCTGGCGCCAGATATGATATCCAAATAGTGGAAGCAGCCCTATGATAGCCTAGCTTCCAACTTCTTCCATGCAATGCACGGTAAATGGGTGCTCTGGGACAAGAACTAGGAACAAGATGGTACAGAAAGGGAAGATCGCTACTGTATACATAAGCAGCCTCAAAGGATCTACTACTGCTACGGAGTACCCCGTATATATTCCAATTGAGACGTGCAAGCTAGCCTCACTACAGGTTGTAAATGAATAAAAACACTGGCGACTAGGTGTGACTAAATGGTACTTGATCAGAACAAAGATACGGAGTAGCCACGGCTTCTATGAAGCAAAAAGGAATACTCCGAACTTGATAGACGCTGCCTCGGACTATCAACCCGTTGGAATCCATGGATCACTCGGCCCTTGCATGGGAGGGGAAAGAGAGAGCGGCCTGAGCTTTCGGTAATAATCCCTGGCGATAACCCTGCTGGGTGAGGAGGCAAAGAATGAGATATATATATACTCCGTATATCTATCTCTATATAGGAATTCCCCGTCCAGCATCCCACAGGCTCCATGCAACCGGGCCCCTGGTTCCCGGTGACGCGCGATGATCGGGGGGAATACCGAGATACTATTTGGTGAAAGGAGCAGGGAAGTATTTAATAGTCTATTGTGCGTAGCCAGAAAACCTCCGCCAGACCCAGCGTGATGGCAGGCTAGAACGACACTCACTGTCAACTACGGAGTAGTCAGGCCTGGTCCGCTGGACGAACGGAACCAGGACACTGCACTTTCTTGTATCTCGAGAAAGCAAGCCGTAGCAGGGGGATATATCTTGGGCCTCAAAACGAGGCATTTTTTATCCTATTGTCTTTTTTTCCTAGTAAACAATCTGGGATAACTTTTGCTGGATTTTTCGATGCCCAAGACTTGCATCCCTCTGTCCGGTGCGAGGTTTCTCTGCTGGATGGCGAAAAATAGGGTGGTAGTTGTATCCAACCCAGGCCAAGTCGAGCCGGTTTCATGTCTCCGTGTACTGCACAATTGCCGCTCAAACACGCCACATTCCGGCGGTGATATTAAGCAACAGCCGTACTCCGTACGGAGTACAAGGAAAACCGCCTTTACCGACTCGGTTCTCACGTCACTCAGACTCTGCATCTTCTACTACTTCTTCATCTCTCTGTGTATCCGCGGGAGGCACACATGCGTTGCTGGTGGTGACGGCATCTCGGAAAATGAAACCAGCATCGCCCATATAGAGTTCTCTGCCGTTATCCCACTCATCGACGCATGAAAATATATTGCTCCGTAATATTAGCATGAATTTCTGGCCAGCGGATGGTGTGTCTTGATAGGGTTCGCAGTCACATTAACTTAACTTGTTTTGTGTGATTCTGCTGTGATTCGATGGCGCCAGCGCTTCCCTGCAGTTGTTGGCAGGGCAGGTAGGCCAATGGCCCTCCTTCACGTCCAGCAGGGCAGCCATGCACGCCTCCTACCACCTCGCGGCGGCAAGCCCTCCCCCGGCACCCCAACCTCGACACTGCGACGGCTACCCGCGATTCCTGGGAGTTTTCCTCCTTTTCTTTATCTTCTTTATTATTATTTTATTTATTTTATTTTCGATCTTTTTTTATCTTTTGCTTTTTTATGCTTAAACGGCTTAAGCTGATGGGTCCATGACTAAGCATTTAAGGCACTTCTTGACTGCCATTGGCTGGTGTTCCTGCGGGACCAGCGCAGAGCGGGGATTTGCCTCCCTCCCATTGGTCTGTTGTACTATGCTAGGCTTCTTCCGGACTAGCGGCGCCTACCCCTGTCCCTTTTTCCCCCTTTTGGCACCGCCCTTTTTTTCTGCCTCGCTCTTCTTCTTTTCTTTCTTTCTTTTCCTTCTTTCTTGAACTTCAACATCACCAAAACCACATCTCGGCGCTTCGAGCTCGACTTGTTCTTCTTCTTCTCCCGCCTCCAACTCCCCCCAAGTGGGTTGCCAGATTCATTCTTTTGCTGGCTGCCTCACTGTCCGTTCATTCTCTACTCTACCAGACGCCCAACCTGTCCCGCTCTTTATCTTCGACTTGACGACCTACAGATCTACGACCACACATACAGCATACTCTCTGCCTGAACAACCTGACAGTTCCTAGCCAGGATACATACCTTCGTTGACCACTTAACCGTCGCTCTTTTTTCACATACGTATCTACTACCGAACATACTCGAGCCGAACACGCATCAACAAACAGCAAAGCAACATGGACAACTTGCGCGCCATCTTCAAGCGCGGTGATGGCAAGGAGAACGGCAGCAATGACTTGAACCCCACTCTCGTCAACCTCCTGATTGCCCTGCTTGCTATCATCCTCTTCACTATGGCACTCGTCGGTGTCCTGATGTTCCTCAACCGCAGACGCCGCCGCATGCAGGAGCGCCGCCAGTCTGAACTCCCGCTCTACGACAAAACTGCCCACAGCCGCCGTCTCACCATCACTACCACAGCATACGGCCAGTGCATGGTCGATGAGAAGGAGTCCGGACGGCCCTCGAGCCCCGTCCCCGAAATTCGCATTACCTTCCCGGAGGAGGAAGATGCTGCCGGCAAGCGCACCTCCGGCCGCGTCGTTGTCGTCAGAATAGGCGAAAAGGGCAGCGTCGGTCTCGAGCCATGCAACGAAGACCTGCCACCATACCAGTCTGACAGCAACGAGAGATTCCAGTCCCTCGACCTCGAGCGGATAGGCGGCCTGAAAGAAAAAGGAGATCTTAAACAGTATTCATAAACTATGACTGCTTGTTTCCTACCTTCAATCAAAATTTTATAGATCTCCTCTTCTTTCCACGCGCGGTGAATCACTCCTACTTTACGAACTACGACGCTTGAGCGTTTTATTCTTCTTTTCATTTCGACCTCTCTCGGACCTATGGTTCCTAGCAGTGTGCGTCTTTTTCCCTTTCCCCTTTATACTTATGGCCCAGCTCGACTCTCCCTTCGGCTGCTCTCCCACCCCGCTGAGGAGATGGCGAGTCTGGGTCTTCCGATCGCTGTGTTTCTGTATATTCCTTGTCATGACCCACCATGCCCTGAAACGTTCCAAGGGCGTGAGTAAGTAACCCTGTGGCATACCCCTTCTACTGTTTCCTTGACTTCCTTTGTTAGCTTTTTTTCCTACTCTTAATTTCTATTCTCTATTTCATTTGGTGTGAATGATGAACTTTTCTACTTCTTTGGTCATGGAGCCGCCTGCAAGCTTAGGACGGCTCCTGCACCCCCCAGATTGGACCTCATTTTCTTCCCCTTCTCTTTTCTTTCCCCTCTCCCGCAAACCTCCCACCTTTCTCTGCACTCTAATTGCGTTAATCGTAATGTTTGTGTATCTCGGCTATGCTTCTTAGTAAATTCAATTAATTTATCTACTCTTTTTACGCTTTTTAACACCACCACGCCTCTGTAGAACCACGTGATATAGAAATTTGGGCAAAACATCCCAAACTTTGGAGCTATCAAAAAGTGTTAATTGACACCACCTTGTTAGCTCTCACGCGGTTTCCAACTCCTACCGCCAGCTGTTTGCGCCGGTTAAGTTCTCCACCGGCATCGACGGGGCCGTTGTGTGCAGTTCGCTTGAGGTTCCTTATCAGGCTTGAAAAAGGGGGCAAATCCGGCATCAATTGACTTCGCATCAACCAGAAACCAACGGGCAATGCTCCTTACAACCTATTCGAGCAAATCATAGCCAACGACGGATGGCATGAATTAATTCCATCTGTATCAGAATATCTGCCTCCGAACGGCCCCTCAAGTTCTCCCGGCTGGTCCTGCCATCCCGTTTGATCTGACGCGCGCCATCATGAAACCAAACACTTCGCAGAAAGCCACCGCCGCTGAAACCCCTTCTCCTTCATCTTCGAACGTCAACCCCGAATATCGCGAGATAAAAGCCAAGTTTGCTAAGCTCTTAGCTGAAGAGGAGGCTAAACGTGCTGCCGCGGGAGAGAAACCTCTGCGCGCAAAGAAGCCGGTAGCGAGCCAGTCCGAGCTTGCCAAAAAGGCAAAGGAGCAGGATGATAAGCGGAACAAGGAGAAGGAGAATGAGTTCAAGGTCCAGCATCTAGGCATATTGCTGTTACTCGGGTGGTTCGGGTAAGTTGGTTCCTCAACAAGAATGAACTCCGCTCCATTTATATTTGGATGAAGCTAAGCTGCTGGCCATAGCCTTGTACATATAATAGGGATATACTTCTTTACCAAAGGGTTCTTATTAACTAGGCTGGTGCTAGAAGATAAATCCCAATGTGACGTTCTACCGCTACAAGACGTTCCCGATGCCATTGCGCCGGCGGACCTGGGCATCGACGCTCCCAAAGATGGCGCCGGAAAGGGCTGTTGGCATCCCAAGACATTCGATAAAGCCGTGGTGATCATCATCGATGCACTACGATACGACTTCACCGTTCCCCCAAAGACCATGACTGAAGGCGAGACTCCTCGTCTGTACCACAACAATATCCCCGTGTTTTACGATACCGCGGTCAATTCGCCGAATGATGCGTTTCTTCTTCCGTTCATTGCTGACCCACCTACCACTACCTTACAGCGTCTCAAGGGGCTAACCACCGGTACACTACCCACGTTTATTGATGCGGGATCGAACTTTGCTGGAACTGCAATTGACGAGGATAATATCATTGCGCAATTGAAATCCGCTGGGAAACGTGTCGTGCATCTAGGGGACGATACCTGGCACGCACTATTCCCTGGGTACTTTGAAGAAGAACTTACACACGCATATGACTCGTTTAATGTGTGGGATCTCTTTACCGTTGACAATGGAGTCACCGAGCACATCTTTCCCTTGCTACATGCAGACAACTCATCGAAATGGGACGTGTTGATTGGCCATTATCTTGGTGTGGATCATGCCGGTCATAGATATGGGCCAGACCACCCTGCGATGGCTGACAAGCTGGCTGAAATGGACGGCCTTATCCGTAAAGTGATGGGTACAATCGATGATCGGACTCTACTGGTTGTAATGGGCGACCATGGAATGGACCCCAAAGGTGATCATGGCGGCGAATCTGATGATGAAATCGAGGCTGCACTGTGGATGTACTCGAAGAAGGGCGTTTTTGGCAGAGTGGGTGACAACACCCTACTACCCCCCATGACAGCAAAGGAGCGTCCAATCCCTCAAATAGACCTAGTTCCTACCCTGTCGCTGCTCCTTGGACTACCGATTCCATTTAATAATCTTGGATCTCCAATTGAAGAAGCCTTTGCTGGTAAAACAGGCCAGGACTTCCGCAACCTTGCAGCCGTTAATCGATTGGCTTCCGCGCAAATCAAACGATATCAAGATGAGTACTCCAAGGCCCGCGGAAACGAGGCGGTCCAAGCATTAAACCCGCTTTCAAAGTGGTCCGATGCCGAGGAAAGTTGGAACAACATCCATGCCACTGGGCAGAATGACGACCTTGCCTACCAAGCAACCTACAGTACATACCGGGAGTATCAACGTCTTACACTCTCTGTATGTAAGGGCTTGTGGGCCAAATTTGATATCCCTAGCATGGCCCAAGGAATCGCCATCCTTGTTGCAGGCGTGGCATTGCTATTGTACTATGCTCGCGCAATCCGGGGTCATCGAACGGACATTACATACCTTGCGCTCCGGAAAATCGGGTATGGTTCCTTAGCTGGAATTGGCGGTGGTGCGATATTAAAGGCCAGCCTCGCGTTGGATATGCATATTGCTGAAAGCATAGCACTTGGGTGTGTTACAGGCGGTGTCATATCAGCAGCCTCACTGATATTCAAAAGTCAGAAGACTGTTGGCACCGTTCTGCCAAAATCCCTGTGGGGATGGGGAATGTTTATTTTCACCATCGCCCAATCTGTTGGGTTTGCTTCAAACTCTTACACCATTTGGGAGGATCAGATACTTCTGTTCTTCCTTACAACCTTCGGTGTATTTGCTGCCATTTCTTCATTGAGGCAGCAAGCTACGGCAGATAGAGTCCTCGGGTTCTATCACTCCATTGTTTTCGTATTGCTGGGAAGGCTTGCCTCGATGTCCAAGCTCTGCAGAGAAGAACAAATGCCTTACTGCCAGTCAACTTACTATGCCTCCAACAATTCCTCCACCTCTTCCCCTTTGCAATTGCTCATTCCTTTCTTCTTATCTCTGCTTCTCCCAGCTGTGATTCGTTCCTATTACCAAGGGACAAAGTCATACGAAGGCTCGGCTATCTTCTGGATCGGTTTCGCACTTCGAATGGGCCTCCTTTTAGTTGCGATATACTGGACACTCGATGCTGCAGATGACGGGAACTGGTTTGCCATCCAAAAAGACCATATGAAATCAGCACGTATGATATTGGCTCAGGTGGTACTCGCCATCGCGTTTGCTGCTGGGTCTACAACGTTTGCGTGGGCTAAACCATGTGTCAGTATTGGCGTCACTCCCCAGAGCAGTCAATCCGGTGAAGCCAAAACATCCGTAACAATCCTAGGCTACGCAAATGTATACGGCACCCGTTACTTCCTGCTCCTGGTCAATTTTACTCTGGCTATAATTTTGCTTCAGAAGCCAATGGGCGGAGGCGCTGTGGGCCTCCAGATCTGGCAAATCCTCTCGCTCATGGAGATTTTGGATACAAATAATCTTACTACTACCAACTCTGCGACAGGTCCTGTGGTTCTCGCGCTCCTAGGCTCGTTCCATTATTTCACAACGGGCCATCAAGCGACTCTCAGCAGCATCCAGTGGGAGACTGCGTTCATCCCGCTCAAAACTGTCCAGTACCCGTGGTCCCCTATTCTTGTGACCTTGAATACGTTTGGACCCCAAATCTTATCCGCCATTGCTGTCCCACTCACCGTTCTCTGGAAACGGCCGATTGAGTCGCGCGTAAACTCCAAGCTCCCGACCAATATGCCAACAGCTTCATCCCCAGCCCCAACGCAGGGCGATCCACAAAAGGCCTCTAAGCAATCTTCTCCTGCCAACAAACTTCTGAGTGACGTTGCACAAGCAACAGCAACTCACATGCTGTACTATGCCACTATCAGCTTAGCCACGACTATGTGGGCTGGCTGGCTCAGGAGACATTTGATGTTGTACCGCATCTTCTGCCCGCGATTTATGATGGGTGCTGCCATCCTGGCTGTTGTTGATATTGCGGCTATCTGCCTCGCGGCTGGCGGTGTACGATGGAGCACACTCAGTGTGGGAGAAATCTTTGGATGGGCATGACACAGCTCATAAACGCTGTTTAATCTATAAAAAGGATATATAGATTATGCGACTTGACTTGTTCGCATTTCCCAGACATCCTCTAAAAACATAACGCTGTTGATACGGGTCTAATTGGCTAGCCCGCTCCTGTCTTCAAACAGGGTTTTATTGACTGATATAATGTTATTTAATAGTCCTTTTTGCTGTATCATATGAGCTCAACATGGGCATCTAAATTAAGGGAAGCTTCCAACATCGATGGTTAGTGTATTATGTAATCTTAAATGCCAAGACATCTCTATCTCTTGAACGAGAGCTCTCAATAATTCTGAACTGCACAACAACCAACTAACACGGCAGGTTGAACATGATACAAAGGTGCTCTTGGTACTCTACTACCCTGGTCTATAAGTGAGGCAAAATCTGCTCGGCCCGTCACACCGCTGATTACGAAGGGATTTCCGGCACTTTAATTAACTATCCTGATCTGGTTCTTCAACTACTAGCCGCTTAGACAATACAACCACTTGAGCGACTTTGCAATACACAGAAATGAGTTCAAATGTTGGCCTCACCACTCCTCGTGGGAGTGGAACGTCCGGATATGTCCAGCGCAATTTATCTCTCTTAAAACCCCGCGATCCGAACTACGCAGTTCCGCCTGCAGCATATGGCGATAATGGCCCCAGCGATGCTGGATTTAAGCAGAGGCAGCCAGACAAACAAATTCTCGAACATGACCGGAGGAGAGCTATTGAAGTTCAGATCATAGAAGAAAGAGACAGGCTGGAGGAAGAAAACGAGAAAATCGCAGAAGGGAATAAAAAGCTTGCATCGAAGAATAAGACGGATTCAGATGATACTGAGAAAAGTGACTCTAAGTCAGAAGCTCGAGGAAGGCGAGTCGAGTTAACCGAGGAAGAGATTGAGGAGAGACTTGATAAGCTCCGTGAGAGGCTTACGAATGAACTAGACGATGAGTTGGCTGGCAAGCACAAGCCAGGGCCCTCCCGGGATGTGAGACACAGAGACCAATCCGGTTACGAACCATATCCCTCAAGGCAACGGCGGCCAAATGGCCATGAGGAGAAAAGTGGCTATAAAGGCCGCAAACAGTTTAAAACCTACCAAGTTCACGAGCAGGCCGAGGCTAAAATTCAAGAAAGTGAACGGCTACGAAAGGCCCTTGGCATACGGGGAGAAGGCGAAGAAACCCCTTGGGATTCTGGCCGTCGTGGGGATCGTGAAAGAGGAGGTAGAGATCGCTATGCTGATAGAGACTCAGGCCGACGGTGGTAGGTGTGGAGATATCTTGCCGAGTATTTTGATACCATTACTGTACTATAAGAGCCAGCTACGAGTGTTTTATACTGGGAAGTCGGTGTTTGAGGGTTTCTAGCTAACGATATCAACAATCAAGGGGTTTCTGTTTGTTTTGAGTGCCTATATTTTTACATGCTATCAGACATTAAACTTCTTATATCTATCGTCTACATATCAGACAAAGGCTGCCCTCAAGATGGCATGAGGAAAGGAATCTCTATAGGGGAGATATATATACCCGACAACCCCTATTGAACAAATCGGTCGATTATCCATCCGTGTTTCTTATCCTTGACCTGAATGACCTTCTTAGCAGGTAATGGCCAGCCAGTGCTTCCAGATTCTCCAACGAGTGAAGGGACCACCCAACATTCTCGTTTTTCAGGTAATCCCCCCAGACTCTCAACCTTCCCGATTGGTTTGCCGTACTCAATCAGCGGCGTACCTTGTGCAAGCGCAGACAATTGAAGACCGCTTACGGGTGTGAGAGGGAACATACGGACTTTCGGACTGTCTCCTATATGTGATGGTGTAGACTGCTGCAAATGAGAATACACAACATATTGAGGGAGTTCGTTCAATGAAAGCTTCGCAAGAACAGACGAAGGGTGTATATAAACTGCCCTGTCCTCTATTTCCGAGGAATAGTTGTCGCGTGACGGAAACAGTGTCAGGTATGGGACATCAATGGCTCTCCTTGGTTTTCGGGGCATATCAGGGCGAACTGGAGCAGCATCTGCCCGAATAGCAACTTGGTCAATAAAACCCGCAGCTGTGATTTGCTTCAATGCGCTGATTTGTTTGTCAGACGGCTCACGCAGACGAAGTTCAAATTGGCTCAACAGGTTTGGATTGTTAATCCGAACCAAGTTCGATATCTGGCGGCGTAGCTGTGACGCCTCTTTCATGGCATTTGGACGCAAAAACATTTCAGAGCAGAACTTGTCTCCATTAGGCGCATACGCATATGCGCAAACTGCTGTAAGGAATTTCATAGCATCAGACTTTTCATCATACTTGCTAAATATCCTCTGCGCTCCCTGATAATCTTTTCGGCGTTGCTCTCTGGCATCGTCCTCAAGTCGATCTGCATTCGTGTACACCTTATCTTCTTCCTCGTCTTCTTCAGCAGCTTTGGGCCTCGTCAAACTTAAGTCAAGTTGGTTTTCTTGAATAAATACCTCTGACACCGACAGCGCGGAAACCAGGGCTATTGTATATGGCATACAGCCATGTTGATGGCCGATATGGAGCATTTTGCCAAATCTCGGGCTCAAGGGAAATAGAGTAAGATGCTGACCTGCATCTGTAACCTGGCCATCCGCCGATAAAGCAGCGAGGTTCTTAAGAAGACGTTCTGCTTTGGCGAGACCAACACGGTCTGGAGGGGTAGGGAATGGGAAGTTAATGATATGATGAAGACCCATGTGCTTCATTTGCAAAACAACTCCCTCGATAGGGGTACGGAGTATTTCCGGCTCTGTGTGCTCTGAAAATGAATCTTCATAGACCGCAGATGAATACAGCCGGTAGCAATGGCCGGGCCCTGTACGGCCAGCACGTCCAGCACGCTGACTTGCACTCGCTTTGCTGATCCATCCAATTGGGAAACTCTGGACACCAGTGGATAGGTCGTACTGTTTCTCCTTTGATCGCCCACAGTCAAACACATATCTGATTCCGGGTATTGTCAAACTGGTCTCGGCAACATTGGTTGCAAGAACTATAAGACGAGAACCTTCAGGTACCGGTTCAAAGATGCGAAGTTGTTCAGTAGTTGGTAGCTGAGAATAGAGAGGCAGAACATGGACGGATGTTTTTGAATCCACAGCACCCTCCTCTTCATCAAATTCATCATCTTCCTCCTCTTCATCTGTACCCCTAATATCAATATCGCTATCAAAATCATCCTCTCCTTCAAAAGTGATAGCTGACTCGCCCCCACGTCCAAAGTCAATATCGTCTGCCTCTACAGAGGCCTCCGAAGGCCGGATCTGAACCCTGGCCTGTGAACGACCGGGTGTCTGCGTGGATTTCAGTGCAGCTTTAAGCCGCTTTGAAAGGTCCTTGATTTCGCTCTGTCCCGTAAGAAAGACAAGAAAACCACCGGGAGGCAATTTACGATGGCCCCTACAAACTTTCCTAAATGCTTCTTCAACATAATCTCGATGGGTTCGACGAGAGAAGTGAATGGTGACAGGAAATTGTCGACCTTCCGCTTGGACTAGCGGTGGAGTTCCGCTGCGAAAGAGGTTGGGATTTCGAAGGAAATCAGATGTCCGTAAAGTGGCAGACATGATGACTAGTTTCAACGGTTTTATAGACGGATTTTCTGCACTCAGAGTTTTCCGTAAATCCACGATACGACTAACCATGCCAATTAGTAAATCGGTATTAACACTCCTTTCATGGGCTTCATCAATGATGATTGTAGAATATTTCGAGAGAGAAAAATCTTGTGCCACCTCTCTGATTAGGACACCATCTGTCATGAATTTGATTGCAGTCTTTGATGTAACTGATGTATCAAACCGGATTTGGTATGATACCCTGTCCGAGTATTGAGCGAGCTCTTCGCCGACGCGCTTTGCCATACTGACAGCAGCTACTCGCCTTGGTTGAGTAATACCGATCATTCCGGGATTCGGGCTATCAGGGCTTCCATAGCCGGCTTCAAAAAGAAATTGAGGAAGTTGAGTAGTTTTTCCACTTCCTGTTGCTCCCCAAATGACCACACAAGGGTTATTATGGATGGCTTCCATTATCTTCTGCTCTTCTCCAACGACTGGAAGATTCAAGCGAGCGCTCTGGATATGTTCGGGCCTGTTTATCTGAATAGCGAATGACTTCCTACCCGAGTCTCCATTTGTCACCCTCAGTTCTTGTGGAAGTGGTTCCTCCTCTTCCGCCGTATTCCTCGGCTTGAACCCCTTGGCTTCTTGAGGGGGAAGCACGGGGGCAGTAGCGTTATCTGGAGTGAATCCTGCGGCTTCATTAATTTGCTGTACCGCCCATGATTTAAATGCAGATTGGCGAGGCTTAATTTTCCTCTCAGGCTCAGCTTCGCTATCAGATGACGAATTTTCTTCGTTTTCTAAGTCTGAATTAGATTCTTCGTCGGATTCATCGCTGCCACTAAGTGAGTTTAACTCTGGGTCTCCTTCTTCTTCATCAGCGTTAGACTCAGGTTCTGAATCAAAACCCTCCCATACCGGTTCTTGGATTTCGATTGCTCTTGCTTTTGACGCCCTCTTTCGCCGCTTTATGATAGGACGCCCATCCTCGCCAATTTCCAATGGCCGCTTCAGACCACTTCCAACTGCGGTATTTGCGGGTGTGTCCCCGTCCCCCCGGACATTTATATGAGACCGTGATGAAGGAAGGTCCTCGTCGGACCCAGAGCTCTCAAACTCACGCTGATCTAAGCTCGGCACACCTTGTTTATTGTCAGACGGCAATTGCGACTTTCTGGATGATGGTTTATGGGATCGCGCTAATGAACGGGAGCTCTGAAGCTGGCTTGTGTCGACTTTTGACTTCGCGAGCTTTTCGATAAGTGTGAGGTTCTCATCCTTTCTTAGTTTGATATCCTATTGAGGCGGTTAGCTACCATAATGAAAAAATACGAACAAACTCGTGATCATACAATATACTTATCCAATCGCTTTTGCTTTTTGCCCGATATTTTTGACTGTTGAGCTCTCAATTCCTCTCTCAACTTTTGTCTTTTTTCTTCCTTCTCCTCCTTTGATACTGGAGCTACCTCGGCAACATTGGTATCTTGGGGCAGCTTAGGCTGGCTCTGCCTATCCCGAGCTTTGTATTTCCGCTGGCGGGGGACGAATTTTGGCATCTTCACGAGTAGATATTACTCGTCAACTCCTGTCGCGTTCTTCGTCTTCCACCAAAATTCGAAGCTCGAAACTACAAAAAATTAAATAATTCTGCCACACCAAAGGCGGTGAAGATAAGAGCGATAAAGTTGAGCCTGATGATCTAATACATTGAGCCTCAGTGCAAAATAAGCAAACATGCCGCTTTTGATGTCAACAATTTCATTCGACCTTCCGTCAACTTCAGTTGCAACTTGAGGGCAGTTAAAGTAGTCGAGTTGGTGCAAAATGTCCTCAGAAGCCCAAGTCAAGCCTGGGGGTGTGCACCCGATAATGCTGGGTTTGGAGAATGCTCCGTATCCTGCTTCTACGAAACAGGCCGCGGGCGTCGTTGGGGGGCAGCAAACAGATGTCATGGTCGTATCATTTCAAGACCGAATACTGGTGACCATCACACAAAACGGGCGTTTAGCACAATGGGTAAGCTACGTTCCTAGAAAGAATGCAGTTATTGGCAGCAGTTGTTCTAATGGTGGTTACAGCTTCATGTGCCGATGGAAAACCCTGATCCAACAGTTGGCTTCCAGACATTGAGCAGCAACCAGGAAGATGCTCTCCTACCTCGTCCGGAATTTAATGCTACTCCTATACTCGGTGGACGATCTGGTGACTGGGAGGTTATTGGACAGCTTTATGCTTGTCAAATTGCGACGGCAATAACCACAAAAACCCCTGAAGAGAAGAGGCTATTGGTTGTGGGGCTTGGTCTAGAAACCCCCGACGTTGATCGGGATATATATCTAGGTATCGTCGATCTTGTTCTGCAGTGCTTATAAACCACAAGGCATTATGGGTAGTGCAATGGATTATTGACGCATAGAAAATCCGTCCCATTGGGTACAACATATTTGGAGATTACATCTTCGATTTCATGACAACAAACGGAAAGATAGGTGTGATGCCCATTCGTGAAAGGTCGGCTCTCTAAATCGGCACAAGTTGTATTCGGATGACTATTATATCGGTGTTCCAAATAGGTAATTTATGTTGTCATGGTGGTAGTAATTGTATCAAGATTCCCACTGCTTTTAGACAAAAACTAGTGGACTGTTTTAATGCTTTCTTTTTATATTTCTAGCTGCTAGTCTCTTCGTACAATAAATACTAGCTATTAAATTCGGCTAAATTTCGAGATAAATCACGTGTAATGTTTAGTTCTCATTCACACTTATTAAATGTTTATATCTAGAAATCCCCCTTATATATAATTGCCTCTATATATTTGTAGGGTTAGGCTTGTGTCACCACACTTCTCATATTCCTTATATTAATGTACTTAGTCATCACACTTAGTTATCAACATCACTTAGTCACATCGTCCAAACGCATAGTGTCAGAACACATAGTACAAGAATGACATTATATCTCACCATCAGCAAGCCTTTCCAAAGCTTACAATTAATCAATAATAAGGATTCTAACTAATTAGCTAATTTTTATCTATTCTTTAGGGATCTATAATATATAACTGTTATTCACGTTTTAGAATGTAATAGCCTTTTCTTCGCTTTAACAATAAATTATTATTTCATTTTAGGGTTTTAATATATAAGATGTTAATTAACTAAATAAAACTATGTTAATTATTCATTTTAATAAATTATCCAATTCACTTTAGTTGTTTTTATCTCTGTTTTCGAATGATCAAGAAAAAAATCCCCTAATTTCGCTAAAATTATCGCTGATGTTTTGGTATCAACTCCTACCTCAAGGAAAATAAAACCACGAGCACGTTGAGGGCTAGCTGATAATATAACAGCATATTTAGAGGCATCAGTCCAAGTCTCCATCATCCATTCGTGAAGATACTTTTTGGCTCTTTTTACCCGATACTTCTCCGTGGGAGGCCTTGTGCGCCAATCCGGGACTGCGGCAACGATCTCAGTCTTATAACAATCAGGATTGTAGGAATCTTTTATACCCGTATAGGCTCCGCCAAGTGGGGTTTGACACCATATACCAACTTGATCAATCTTAACACTCCCGTCTCGAAGAAGTTTCCAGCTGGCGACTGATGGGTGTGGGATAGAGTCTAAGTCTGGATGCCATATTTCCTTGCCCGGAGTAGATACAAAGCGATCTGCCGTCTCGAATGGGAGAATTGTTCCCATAGGCTTCCCGGACTCCAACACGCCGACTAATTGGCAATGAGCGGTATACCGGAAGCCAAAAAAGATAAACCCATATTTTTCCAGAACTTCATCGAGAAATTCATACACGTATTGCCCAAGGACGAGTGGCTCTGTCTCCTCCTCATTCCTACGCGATTGACCGGACATAGCGGCCTTTCGGTGCCACTTGACACACCCGACCGCAGACATAATAGCCTCGGACCGATTTTTTGTGCACTGGCGAATGCCTCCCTCATTAAGAATACCGAGCGGGCAGCGCTTAACATCAAAGTTAGGGACCGTTATAAGGAGCCCATAGAGCCAAAGCACCGAACCCGGCATGGAAGGGGTATAACGGGCATTGGAATCCACGTTAATATATCGTAAGGTCTCAAGAGATACTGGATTTTTGCCATAGATGGTAAAGATATCCCAGTCCTTGTTTGCTAGAATCATATCAGGGCGAAGGTAAACTTCCTGTAATGTCCACAGTGAGGTGAACCAATTTAGTGGTACATATCCGGGATCGTCAATCGGGATACCTCTCCTAGAATTCTCTTTCGATTTCAACGCGGCCCTTAGTCCTTCAACCTTCTCTTGAAAGGCAGCCTTTGGAAGTTGATATTTCATTCGATGTTGTCTTTCATGTATACCTGATAGCGGGAATCTTAGCCCTTCCAGCATATATTTTAGCTTTTCCTGCATAGTGTCTAGGGCAAGCCACATTACAGTATCCTGGAGAAGGTCCCATGAACTAGTTGTATTTAGCCAAACAACAGCAGTAACGGCACCACCAAATATTGCTGCCTGTCGGGATAACTCGGATTCTGCCTCTGGGGAGCGATCCTGTGGGATACAAAGGAGGTCCAACCAAACGTATCGAACTAAAAGCCGACTGGACAACTTTTTGAGCCCGGAAGGTAGGTCGCGCACCGGAAAGAGGGTGTTTTCAGGGACGAGCCATGGTACTTGAGGTCTCATATCTGCTTCACGGCTCTTTAGTTTCCTAAAAAGTATCAGAATAGTGGCCAGCAATGTAACGACATTAGGTCTGAGAGGTTTAATATTTACCATCTACCCCACGTGTGACTGACGACGACATATCGCGGTCTGTCAAGAGACTCCGTTTTAACTGTTTTTCCATCGACTGCGTCCCAGAGGTATAGAGGCATGCCCCTTCGTGCCTCGACGCTTAGCCAATCGCCAGGCTCTAGGGTGATGCCTAGAGGGCCTGTATCGGAGTCAGATCGTACATATCGCTCAAGGTTCAGGTATTCCTTTAATACAGCTCCGTTGTGACAGAACGCATCCAAACCGGCGGCCTTTAGACAATCGTCAAGGAGACGAATATAGGCTACGGCTTCAGCAGAATAATGCCGGGCTGATCGCAGTTTGTGAGCGTCCGCTTCGATTAATCCCATTTCACTATGGGAAAGCCGCTCGAGTACTAGCCCAGGGGCTGGTGAAACACACGGACGGCCGACGATATTTGATTTGCTTAGGAAAAGGAGGCGAAGGGAGTTGACCTGGGTCATAGAGAGTGTAGTCACAAATCGCTTTCTCAACTGTGACTGCCTGCAGATGTCTATCAGAATTTCCCAGCTTCTTTTAGATCCGGTAAAGTTCGAGTCCAGGCTTGTGAGTGTCGACCTATCCGATCGATTGAGCTTTTTCCACACAAACGCAGAAATTGCATCCGAAAGACACTCTCGTCCTCTCTCGTGTTGCCTCTTATTCATGTATAGACTCATATTCAAGACCCTTCACTGACTTAGCCGCACAGGTGATAACAAGACGCAAACATTATATATGTATATATATATATATATATATATATACAAATGAGCTCTATGAACGCATGCAATAGCACATCACCTGATGCCGTGCCGGCGCTTATATCTGCATGAATTTTTGATATAAAGCATGGCTTCCCGGATCATTGCAAGGCTATTTTGGCCCCCATTTCCAAACAGCCCCCTTTCCAATCAACCCGAAGCCAACACCGGAGTCTAACGTTCACGACACCTTCGCAATGTTTCAGGAGCATAATAAAATTCCAATCAGCAGCGTCTTGAGTGCGCTGGGCACATTGATCGGCTACATCGGTACTGAGGTTGCAAGTGACTCCTTCTTCCATCGTGTGCTTTGGCCGCAGCGTGCGTATAATAACGTGAGGCCATGGAATATGTGGAAACTGGCGCTGTTCTTACCTATAGGCAGCCCATTACACAAGGCGGCCCTTCAAACCATGGACACCTTCTTCGAAAATAGACTCTTCCAGGCGCCAATCTGGGACATATGCTGGGGACTACATTCTTCGCAGATGGCGGTGCGACTTATAAGATGTACGAGGGCTATGGCAGCGAAGCTCCAAGCAAACAAGGGCGGGCGCGTAACGGAATATAGATTCGAGCCCTGTCTCAAATGCCAGGGCTAGTGGAGGCGCAGCATAAGCCCCTGCATCCGGAGGACTGCAAACACGAGGGAAAAATCCGCCAGAGAGTGACTGTCAGCCATTTAGTGCTATCATCTGGTCAGGCTGATGGCGAGGACATCAGCCCATTAGTGGAGGGCGATATTGGCGCTGTAACCTGGGGACCAATAGCTGGGATCCTCGCCAGCGAGGCCACAGCAATCCTGACCGCAATCGCTGTCGCCATTGTCTAGAGATCCGGGTTCATGGTCCTGTGGTTGATGCCTCTTCTCATAAAAATCCTCAGTGCCTTGCTAACTATACCCCGTGAAGGGATGAATTCTCCTAAACAGCCGGTACAGCAGAGACAATGGTCGAGAGATAGTAGAAACGACAAAAAGCTCAACGACAAGCCCGATAAACACCAGAGCAAGCTGTTTCTTATTCAAAAAATTCAAGGATTTTAGTTAATAGAAGGCCCTGAGTTTATCGTGATGCCCTTCTTTCGACACTATGGCCATCCTCAGCGCTGCCGCTGGCGTAAAATCGCCCAAGTCGCCATAATTAGAGGCCTCGGTATAATCTTCCCCGTCAGGCTTATCTACTCATCCCTCTGGATACCCCTGGGGTTACAGGCTTTATGGACAGGCTATGCTCTATACGCAACAACGGCGCTATATATCAGTCGATACGCGTACGGCTGTACCTGGGCCACAACAGAGGAACGCCTTGCTGAAGTATTTAGTATCGCCGAAAAGAAGGGCGAGACACCTAGAGTACGCTTCCAGGCCGAAAGAGGCTCAATAGTCACGGCCGAGCTGGTGCGTACAACTCACGATAATTTCCATGGAGCCAAGCGCCATGTTCAGGAACTTATCCGGCAAGAAGTTAAATCAAGTTAGATATCTTGAACCTGTCTATTATATTGTTCAACGTTAAGAAGTAGTCTAGATCCTCCTCACTAGCAAGGTATCACGTTCTACTTCGAGTCGATAATTTGTTATTTACACCACTACAGCGAACTACCGTTTTGTTAGGCAGCATACTCCGTACTGTATTTCGATTTAAGTGAGTCTATCAAGGCCCTGAGAGAATCTAAAACTTTATTCAATATAAATAAACTGCTTTATACCTAACTACTAACTAGGTATTCAATCAACTATCTGTCAAATAACATTAGCAAAAGGTAAAATAATTGGTTACTACGCCGTAAGAGCGTATAATCGTGTAAATTGGCGGTGATCGAGAGTTTGATCTCTTATAGGGTGCCTTGTGTATTTTTGCTTAGCTTGGAGTAAGTGTTAGTGAGTTCGGATACTATAACTATAACTCATATTTCCATGTTACCAGAGAATCTCCTACGTTAATGCACATGTTAAGCCGATCTCTAGTCCTAAACAAGATAAAGAAAATATTCTCGAATGCAAACAGCTAATGTCATTCCTCGACTGCAGTATTTAAACTTGATGTATTATCCACTTCACAATGAAATGGGCCACGCACTTAAGAGTCGCCGTTTTTACGCAATTCTGTAACCACCTCCTCGAACCGCCCCTTGCCTGCGTCACGGTCGTAACCCCATGGGGAAACAAAGTCCCCGCTAAGATTACACTTGAAACAACGACCATTCACGTAGTCGAAATTGCCCTTCTGTTTATCGAACATGCAGCGAGCTTCCTCAGCACTAAGATGGCCAACATCGTACATGCTCCGACATGCTTTTTCGTAAAGTGCCAACATCAACTTGACTTTATCTAGTCCTGTAATATCGACTAGTTCGGAAGCTTAGTCAAATGTTAGCTTCGACAGTGGTATCAGATGTAAAGATAGGAATAGCATACAAGACATCCTGGCAGCCGGTAGACAACTACAGCTCTGTTTTTCGGTGGGTAAGAAAGTTACCAAGGGAGCTTTCTAGTAGAGAAGCTGTATGAAGATGGAGAAGAAAAAAATGCACTTATGCTCGTTCTCTTGTGCGTCCTTATATGGCTATTGAATTCTGTGAATGGTCGTGGAATAGTTAAGACTCTCGAAGTAGCTGTTGGTAAATGTGTGACTACTAAGGAAGAATATGTTGCTGGCGTTATCCTTATATAATTCACACAGAACTTTGTAAGCCCTCAAAAACAGCTAGGAAGGTTTATTTAAAAGGAAGGTGCCATGTGAAATGTGAAGTTGAAACAATGGGCATTGAGTGACAATGAAATAAATAATGAAACCTTTTTGTCCTTGGGGCTTTGAATTGACCTCATTTGTTTGTAGTAGTTCAAATATAATGATTTCCACTCTTTCTTTGCTGCTGTTTTTCATTCTCAAAGGATATTATTCTTGAGGCTCGGGGTATTTTCTAGCGGCTCTTGTTGGCCGTTGAACTTAATGTGGAGTATCACGATTAATGCCATCACTTAGGTTATCCACAAGCATAAACTATCGCCGAAATACGTATTAACTAACACGCTCTTTACTTCACAAAGTGACTTTTCCGGACCCTCTGTATGTCCGAAGTTCTCCGTCGTTGTTGGCGATGTTGATATCTTGCGGCTCGGCAAGCTGGTCGTCTTTTTTAAGTTAAAATTCTGACATAAGCAAATGCCAAGATATTTTAAATATCCGGTCACGTGATGCTACTCCTTCACGTCTAGTGGAAATTATACATGGGAGAGCGCGACTTTGGGAGCAAGTCTTTGGACGATGGGTTAAGCGCGGTTCGGATTTTTTTAATATCGCGGAGCCCTGAGCTATACACAGGCTTTTGGCTGTAAGCCATGGCTTATAGGCAGAATGGCCAATATCCGCCGTCCCAATCACCGCGGCAGCCATATCCGCCAGCAACGCCTCCGCAGCAATCCTACCATCATTCTCCGCAGTTCTACCCACAGGTTGTAATTCCAGCATACCCTCCTCACTTAGCACAAAGTCCGCTACTACAACCCCCTTTACGGCCGCATGATTTCACGACCCCCGCTATCTCGCAGCAAATTCCTCCCCATTATTCCGCTCCACCGCACACGGGCTTCCAATATGGAGGGGTTTCCGGTGCCCCAGGCTCGCCATTTGCGGTACCAAATCGACACCCCGACTCATACGTCTCTCCACATTCACTATACCCAGTGACGCTACCGCCCCATTCCCAGACTCAAGTCCCTCCTCGACCTCTTCAGCCAGTACCTCAACGACAAGTTCCACAGCCAATTTCTCCTCAAGTACAGAGTTTACCACAGACCCAAAGATACTCGCAGTTTCCTACACAAGCAAGCCCAACAATACGGAATAATCATCATATACCAAAAGGGACCAGGACACCAACTGCCCAACCTCAAGCTCGGCCATCACCACAGATGATGGGGTCAAAATTGTCACAACAGCAGAAGCACGGAGGACATGATAATACCAAGCCATCTGTGGACTACCAGGTTTTGCTTCTGGCTCTCGCTGATGAGTATCTTGATGCTGCCCATAGCCAAGCTACTTTAATCGCAGTTTCCCAGGATGCGCAAGAGATGGAACAATATTACAAACTGATCGCCTCAGGTTTGAGATGTATGGAGGCACTGCTGAAGGTTTGTCTTGCACTGTGCTGCTGACTGCGGTGACAGAAAAAATCTAGAGTAGAACCAACTGTACATGCTGACACCTATAGAATTGGAGGCTGGCTCCTCAAACAGAAGCACTTGTGACCTTGCGCTTTGCTAAGATACTGTATGAGGAGACGAATAACGACACAGAAGCCGAGACAATATTAAGCAAAGGGGTATGCTTTCGCCTGAATCCTAATATATGCTTAAACCCCCGGTTTTTCTCCGTTCATGAAGCGCTAATAATATATAGATTGATCTATGTGAACGGGTGTGTAGTCCACGTTTATGGCGACACAATAAATGGATTAAGCTTACAGGAGTATTGTATAGAATAGGATGTTTGATCTCAAATATGGAATGCAGCAATTACTGTGCCGAATAGTGTCCAAATCCAACCCAAGAGCCGCAATGAAGACAGTTGACGGTGTGATTCATGACATAGAAACGTAAGTCTAGTTTGATCTAGATTGAAGTCTCATCTAACTTAAGTAGGTATCGACATACTGGCTGGGAGTATGCATTTCGTCTACTAAGGGCATCAATATCACTCTCACCACCACCACACCAGGATTTGGTGGGTGCATTGCATAACCTTCAAAAAATATCGTCGTTGGCGGCATCGTGCGGCGATAAAGCAGTTTCGGTTATTGCCGCCGTTCTTGAGGCATTGATCCATCTTCAGCAGTCCACAAATGCAGATTCCATTGAGCACGCACAGCGAGCAATTGCTACAGCCCGAAGTCGCCAGCTGGATCCTGAAATCCGTGGTATACCCCAACTTAACTCTGTCATCCAAATGGTAGATATATGTTGCAGCATCCTTGAGTACGATACAAATCAATCTAGCCAAAAACTCAAGGAAATGCAGAGATCAATGGACCAGGACATTCATAATCCAAAGTGGAAAGACGACGGATCGTTCGCTCTCCCCCTGACCACTGGGACTCTGAAATCAACCTCGTCTCGAGAGCCTCAAAATGACGGCCATATATTTGAATTAACAATGAACTGGCTTCCTGAGCATGACCTCTATGCACTTTGCTATTTCCTAAGCTCCGTCACCTTGAGCGCAAAGAATTCGCAGGACGGTCATAAGGCGGAGAAATATCTTGAGGAAGGTTTGGGCATGATGAAGGGTAAGCTTTATATTTATTTGTAGCCGAGTTGACGTCGGATTATTGCTAATGGATCTTCTAGCTGGTCTATCATCACCCCAGGGAATCTCCGAGTCGTTAGTTGCTTCCTCTTCTCGAATTTGCTGGAGGAGACGCCTTTACTGCAACATGCTCCTCCAGCAGGTGTTTCTCTTTTGCTCTCGATCCGAGTGGCGAATGGCAAATAAGACGCTTAAAGAAGTTAGGAGTACGCTGGCCGAACTCGGAGACTCGGTAAGCGATGATATTATATGTCTGGCTGAATATGCACGCGGTATTATATACCAAGCAATCGGCGACATTGAAGCAGCAATGGGCACTCTCCGGCAGCCCATATTCTCTCTGTCGCGGGCCACCAACAAAGTTCCACGAAGCAATCCACATCGTGATATCATAATCTTAGCGAACTTGAATCTCGTACTCCTTTTGAGGGATCCTTCAAAAACAGATCACTCGCTTGCCTCGGAAACGCTGAGCATTGTCGGTCCGCATTGTCAAAGCAGCCCAAACAAGTATATCCGGGCAGCGCATTCTCTTATAAGTGCCACCGTGCATACGGAATCTACAATCCAGACGAAACGTGATCTTCACCAGGCACTGCAAGCCGCGACGGCAATCCAAAACAGTCAAATAACCTGCGTCGCCCTAACATTCATGAGCTGGAAGTATTTCCGGGGCGTGATTGGCGAACAATCTGAGAAGAGCGCTATGGCTGCTAGAGCCATGGCAAGAAAGGCAGATGATAAGTTATGGATGAGCGTTACGGATGATCTGTTAGCTGAAACGCTGGATCGACAAGGAAAATCTGCAGAGGCCCAGGCATTGAGGGCCAAGGCAGATAGAAAGCTGGAGGCGTTACCGCCGGCGTTGAAAATGAACAGGCCCGATGGGAACGGGAATGGAAATACAAACACCAATGGTGGTGCGTCGAAGAAATATGTCTAGATATAATGCATGTTATTTAACACGGCGAGTATGGCGTTGAAAGCATGTCGGCCTTATGGGTAGAGTGGCGTGTTTCAGGGGAAGAGGCAGTTATAGTAAATACACTTGTTCCTGTGTATAAAAGCGCCAACTCATGGCAGGAATGTCACATACGACATATTGGTTGTTATTTGTATGATTAGAAAGGCGACTGAGGAATATAAGCAATGCGCATTCCTTCCATCAGAGCATATATACAGATAGCTGAGTCCACGCTTGTCAAGGACATCGCTCGAATGCAAGTAAACAGGACCGACAATTAACCACCAAGTAATCCAACTCCTTTAAAGGGATGCAGATTTCTTCTGCGTTGCCCCTCGCTCGCTAGATTGGACGAGCCCCAAACTCCAGAAAACAGAAATCAGAGTAATAAATGCATATACTGGGAACAAGTCTGACTGGAGTCAGAATGGAAACAAAACAGCAAGTCAATGCAAAGGGGGAATCATTGTACAGCAAGGAAAATAATAAGACAAAGGGTGAAAAGGTCGAGTAATCAGCCCAGTCCACCCCATGCGCCTCTTATCCTTCGAGCTAGCTGTATGTCCTTTTGCATGATGGTGACTCGTTTGGCGTGGATGGCGCAGAGGTTTGTGTCCTCGAACAGATGAATTAGAAAGGCCTCGGCAGCTTCTTGTAGAGCCTGTATTGCTTGCGACTGCCACCGCAGCTCTTGACCAACTTCTGATGGTAGCAGGTCCATAGCAATTTCACGCACTAGACGAGCGAAGGGTAGTTTAAGAAGTAGGAGATCCCATGATTTCTGATATCGTCGGATTTCCTTTAGCGCAACGGTTCCGGGGTGATAGCGATGTTTCCGCTTGGCAGGTAGAGGATCACCAGCTAGAAAGTTCCAAGTCAGAGAGAGAATTACAATGATCAAACACAAATTGAAGGGAGAACATACGCTGTATATCTGATGTTCGTGATTCTCTGGCTTTCGACTTTGTTACCCCCCCTCTACCTCCGCGCGACGAGGAGCCGCCTCTCGAACTAGTATTTCCACCACTTGTTCTCCTAGCCACAGAAGACGACCCGGGCACCGTCTTGGCCCCTTTTTCCACTCTTGACGGCATATCCTAGCTCCTCTGGTGCGATGCGCGCACAGTCTGGCAGAGTCTCAGAATCGCGGGGTATACCCTCGAGGAGGTTCCCAAACGGTTGCACCTTTCCCTGGTGGCTGTCTGAGACGAATTTCCGAGAGACGCCAATTCAATTGATTGTATCGAGTCACAAACGTGTAAAGGCTGGTCTCAGTGACTTGGTGTCTGATCCGGTCGTGGGATAACGGTATAAAACGGCGCGAAAACGGAATGTGTCGCAAAGACAAGAATACCGCATTCAGGTTCAGAGAGATGGAGGAGCAAGCAGAGACACAGCAGCTTCGAGGGACAAGATGGCTGGCGGTTCAAGTAACAGGCGAAAGAAAGAAACCAAAGTCTCAAAGGACGTTCGGGCGTCTCTTTTTTTTTGTCGACTTCCCAGCCATCTCAAAGTGGAAAACGCGGCGTCGAGGGAAAGGAGCTCTCTGATTGGCTGAAGCTCGCGCCCAGCCACTCTACGCGTCGGTCACGCGACAATGACGCTAGCTTGTATTAGGACTAGCGTAATATTACGTATAATAGTTAATCCTTTCCCGTGATTATTACATCATCATTACATAATCTCATGCTAGATAAGCTTTCTTGCTGCTTCGTATCAGAAAAACGAACGTCAAGAACAACAAGTTGGCTTCAATTCAACTGGAACTCGCGGTCTGTCTTTTTCTTCTTACTTTACCCTCTTGATTCTCCTGGTTTCATGAGAGCCTGTTGCGCGTGATATGCCAGACACATATCTCCAGTGGCCTGCTTTTGTTCTTCGAAGAAGACACTCATCCATTCCATTCGTGCCCGCGCAGAAGATCATCTACAACGAGTATGGCGGCGATCTGGGGCAACGCAGGTCAGGGTGGACAGTTCCCTCTGGAGCAGTGGTTCTATGAGATGCCACCTTGTACACGGTGGTGGACAGCTGCAACGGTACTGACATCCGTGTTGGTACAATGCCATGTTCTCACTCCTTATCAATTATTCTACAGCTTCCGGTCGGTGTTCGTCAAGTCACAGGTGAGTCTGGCAGTTGAACAGTAACCACCCTTGGTTATCGAGTATATGTGCTGACATTGATATGTGTAAAACTAGTACTGGAGACTCGTTACAACATTCCTTTATTTCGGGCCGTTAAATCTGGATCTGGTGTTCCACGTCTTCTTTCTCCAGCGGTACTCCCGACTACTTGAAGAATCGGCCGGTCGTTCTCCTGCATTTTTCTCCTGGTTGCTACTTTATGCAACCTCTATACTACTGCTTGCATCGCCATTCCTTTCCCTGCCGTTCTTGGGCTCTTCTCTCTCCGCTAGCCTGGTGTATATCTGGGGACGGAAGAACCCCGACACGAGGCTAAGCTTCCTCGGGCTCCTCGTCTTCACAGCGCCATATCTACCTTTCGTTCTCATGGCGTTCAGCCTTGTCGTGCATGGAACGATTCCTAAGGATGAAATATGTGGTGCCGTCGTGGGGCATATCTGGTATTACTTCACGGATGTATACCCGCAGATGTACGGAGGGGTGCGGCCATTGGATCCTCCCGCCTGGTGGAGGAGACTATTTGAGGCTACCAATACTCGAGACCAACGAGCCACGAATGCAGCACATATAAACAACGACATGGCTGCCATTGCTGCTCGGGAAGTGAGATGATTCTTACAAATGATATTATTTGTACTGGGACCTTTGGACCGTTGACTTCTCTCTTCTGTATTAACGAAGAAGATGGCAATGGCGGGGTAGATGGAACTACCCTCTCCAGGGCGCCCTTTTGTGGTAAAATTGGTGGCGGAAAGACAGACGGTGGCATTCATTTGTTTTACCTTTATAAAGCATTCTGCACTACTATGGGATACCCAATCATAGTCATAATGGCGTTTGGCTGGCTGGAGTTTGCATCTTTTATTGTGTTATTTAGCCTAGAACTTGAATTTGAATTGCATCGAGTCGCTTAATTTGCGATCCTGCTGGTATTGAAATGGGTTCGATAGGTAGGGTCTTTTTTTTTTTGGAGGGGGGGGGGAAGTACAAGGGTTATGTTAGTTGCTCCCTGCGAAAACGGATAAAAAAGGGGGTAAAAGGGAGCGAAAGAAATAGTTTTAATGCCAGGGAACAAGGGCCCTTCCAGAGAGAAAGAACAAATTTATCTACTGTATGAAAGAGCGGAACAATAAACTGATCAAGGAGGCCACAAAGGGGATTGACCGTTGTATGGTGCCTCGACGCTGGAACGCATTGGACATTAAATAAATAAAAAAGGATGTAGTGCTGAGCAGCAGTAAAAAAAGCCCTTAACAAGGAGGTATAAAACGAAAGACATAAAAGGCTACTCAGTGAACATCTACAGTCAGAGAACAAGGAAAGTGGGTGATGACCTGGATATCAATCCGCTTTGACAGAGCTGTATCATCATTGTATTAGTGGATTGAATGGGCTGAGAGTAATGGAGAGTGTGGTCATACCTGTAAATTCGCCGTACGAATATGTATGCTGCCAGGAATCCTACGGTGCCTGTTAATAGGCCGTATACAGCACAGCCTAGGAAGCTGTAGCTGAAGAATAAGAGGCTTGAGACGAATCCGTGGATATGTAGCTTTGTGCAGAAGTACCAAATGCAGTACATGAAGACCCAGACTGCGCTGCTTCCTCCAACCATGAAGCTGTGCCACCACCAGCGATGGTTCTAGCGGGTGGAAGTTAGCCAAGCATGAAAACACTAGGAATATGGTAGGAAGATTAGCCCGTACCTCTGCGCATAGTAGAGTGTAGGTAGTAATGATAGCCACCTCGGCAATGGAAAGAAGAGTCAGAAGGCCGACTATGCTCAGGTATCCGAAGACGTAGTAATATCCGCCCTTATCCTGTAACATGTTGCGGAACAGGAAGACCAGTTCCACGAACAGAACGGCAAATGGAGCAAACCCAGAAAGAAGAATTCCTCCGAGAGATCCTGAGTACCATGGTTGAGCGGGTATCTGTCGCGGAATAGCACTGGTGCGCGTAGGGTGGCTCCATGGTTTAGATCTCTCGTAGCCATACCAGCTGCCTGCGTATACGAGAGGGACCTGTATGAGGAGCCAGAGAGCAAGGAGGCCGACTAGTGTACCAAATGGAAGAGCTGTGCTCGATGCCTGAGCCCAGACAAACAGGTTCAACACGAAAATTAGGGAAAAGACAAGTCCGGGGAATAGCAGTGCAGTCTATCATACGTTAGCTTCTCCCGGCAAGAATACGCTTTCTCGTGAAGAAAGGAAGGAAAGGAAAAGAAAGGGTGTAGAGCTACTTACTATGAAGGTATTCTTCCGCCAGTTCATACCCCCAAAAGTCCTGTACAGGCGAGCAGAGAAGTATCCAGAGAAGATACCCGCAAAGGTGAACAGGCCAACACCTACACTGATGAAGCCGCCCCTGAAACTGGGGTTTAGCACACCTAGACAGCTCAGGGACAATAGGCCCGTAGCCATGAAGAGGAGCTGCATGCCCGATCCGACAAACGGAGCAAGAAGGCCGCTATACGCAGGCGTTCGAAAGACGTCACCGTGGAGCCGCTTCCACGACGAGGCGTCGTCAAAGTCATCGTCAGACGAGAGGTCATCATCCGAGGCCACACCGCCGTCAACTAGTCCACCAGACGACTTCGACTTCTCCTCTACAACTGGAATTGAGCCGCTGGATTTCCGAGACCGAAGCCTGGCTTTACCATCCTCGAGCAGACCGTCTGTTCGACCCTTGGAGTCTCCGTAGCCGGTACGACGGTATATGACGAGCACAGTGGCACTTAGGACACCGCATATCACCAGGGAATTCAACAGGGAGAGCCAATGGGTAGTGGTGCCGTCCTGTTGGCTGTAGAGGTATAGATCCCATCTGTTAGCCCACTCTACCTTGTCCTCTCGCTTGAAGAAGACAGAGTAGGTGTAAGGGATAGAAAGCTTAGCACCGTCGTCGACCTCGTCGTTCTCCGGTAGATAAGACGCACCCGGGTACTGCTGTGCCAGCCGCGTGTTGTTTGGTTGCAGATGCAGCTCGAACCCATGATGCACGGTATGCACATCGCCGGGACATCCGTCCTGCTTCCTGCCCTCGCGGCTGATGCTCTTGGGGTATATCTCAAAGCCGACGATGACCTTCCGCCCGTCACCGTCACCACCACGCGGCGCGTCTCTCCACCGGATAACAAAGGTGAAATGGTTGTGGATGTAATGCGTAGGCCTCCTGCTGGCTGATGAGACGGCCTGGTAGCCCAGCTTGAAGCCGGTGGTATAGTACTTTTGAGTTTTGTCGACAGTGATGAAGCTGGTTGCGCCGGGCAGGTTATCCACTATCCACTCGGCCACGAACCCGTCGGATATCAAGCTCTTCGCCCAGTTTACCTGTCTGCGCCCGATCTCGCGCGTGCAGAGCGGTTTGCAGGCGACGTTCTGTCCCATCTCGAGCTCGAAGTCGGACAGGCTGATGCGGTCTCCGCGCAGCACTTCGCCCAGGTTGAGCGGGATGCTGTGGCCGCCGCTGCCGGCCTTTGCGGTCGACGGACAGGCGAAGGGCAGGTCTGAGTAGGCATATTGAAGCTGTGAATTGTCTGAGAAGATTTTGTTGACGAGGACGGGGATGCGCTGGCCGTCCTGGTATGTTTGTATAGAGTATCCTGCGGGAATGTCAGTCAGCCAGTCAGTCCGCGGCCACCACAGCTTGACTCGGAGCCAGCTCTCTGGTCTATACTTTGGGAACAGCTGTATATAGAGTGCGTATTAGAAGAAGGACAGTTACTTACCAGGCACGTAGAAGGCTGTGGCGTGCGGTGGAAGCAGAAGAAGGAGCAGAAACGAGAGTAGATACGCGAGCGGCGCCGTCGAGTCCATGTCGACTACATCCACGCAGCCGAGACAGACCAGAAGAAGACGAAGACGACGAAGAGAAAGATAAAAGAAGAAAGGACAGCGAGGTCTCTGTCTCTGTCTCTGCCTGCAAGCAGTGAACTGTTACTTTGAGAGTCTAGTTATTATTCAAACGAAGGACGAGGGCGAGAAAGAGACAGTCTTGTTGATATCGGGACGAAGGAAGAAGAACCGCTGCAAGGCTCGAGAAGAAGACAAGAAGACAAGAAGATACGAATCAAATATGAAAAAACGAACGAACGAACGATTGACCAAGCTGGTCTTTCTTTTCTTTCTGGTTCTTCAGTCAGGAAGACGAAGCTCGGGA